CTTCTGGAACTCGAGCTTCTCGATGCCCTCGAAGCACTTGCGCAGGAAGGGCTGCACGCGCATCGGGTCCTTGGTCTCGGACAGGATCTCGAGCAGCTCGTCGTTCGACAGGAAGTAGAAGCGCGGGAACGCCAGGCGCTTGGTCTCGAGGTAGTCGTTGAGGCCCTTCTGGACCTCGTCGAGCAGCGAGTTCGCGTCGACCATGGCCGCGAGGAGCTCGGCGTCCGACGTCAGCGCCAGCACCTCGGGATTCTTGACGGCCTTGTCCATCGAGCGGCGCCACGTGTCGTCGACGGCGCGGAACTTGCGGCCCTCGATGGGCATCTGCTGCATGATGTCCTCCGACCCGAAGATGGGCTCGAGGTACAGCCACGCCTGCTGGCAGCGCAGCCACTGGTCGATGATCTCCTGCGCCATCGAGAGGCGCTCCTCCCAGATCTTGACGCGGTCCTCCAGCGGGCCGATGTACGGCGACGCGCGCATGGACTGCGTCTTCACGATCTGGTCGTCCAGCAGCATCTGCACGTCGTCCAGGGCCTTGAGGATGTACGTCCCCGTGTCGCGCCACTCCAGCGTCTCGAACTGCACGCCCGTCCACTCGCCCTGCATCTTGTCGAGCGTCCGCTCCAGCGAGAACTCCTTGCTCGCGAACTCCGAGACCTCCTCGATCGCCGCGATGTGCGCCGGCAGCCCCATGGCCACCGCGCGCGACAGCGTGAAGTCCTCGCTCGGCCGCACCGCCATGCCCACCGCCTGGCTGATGCGTTCCCAGTGCCGGTCGCGCATCCCGGGGTTCCGCAGCGCCGTCACGAGAGGCAGGTGCGTGTTGAAGTCCTCCAGCTGCCGCCGCAGCTCCTTGACCACGTCCGCGGGCGGGCCCACGAGCGACTTGGCGAGCTTGCCCGACCCGCGGTACCACCGGTCGACGTCGTTCGCGACCTGCTCGGCGTCGATGTCGCGGAACGGCCCGTCCTTCCACTCCGGCAGCGCGCGCGTGAACTCCGCGCAGGCCTTCCACAGCTGGGCCGCGGGGTCGAACAGCCGCTGGATGGCCTCGAGCTCCGGGTGCTCCGAGGTCGGCAGGCCGAAGATGGCCTCGCGCGACTGGTAGAGCTCCGCGAGCTTCTCGTACCCCTGCAGCTTGGCCTCGAGGTCCACGACGGTGATGAGGCGCTCCTCGACGGCGTTGAGGTCGCCCTGGCGGCAGAACTCGCCGACCTCGGACTCCATCGCCTTGAGGTCCACGCGCAGCTGCGCCTGGTCGTTCTTGAGCTGCTCCATGTACTTGATACGCGCCGCACCCGACCGGCGCTTGAAGCTCGACAGCACGTCCGCCAGCCGCCCGGGCCACCACAGCAGCCGCCAGTAGGACTCCGAGGCCTCGTCCGGCACCCCGCAGTGCGCCTCCTCGAGCCGCTCGGCCACCTCGCGCGCCGTCTCGATGCGCTCCTCCAGCGCCGGCAGCTCGCCCTCGGCCTGCTCCTGGAACTGCATGAGCTCGTCGAGCTCCTCGGGGGACGCCGGGTCGCGCGAGAGCGTGTCCGCGATCTCGTGGTACCGGTTCGACGCCGTCATGTTGGCCTCCTGCCACCCGCGGCACATGAGGCCCATCAGACCCTGCCGCAGCGCCTCCGCCTTGGCCATCAGCGCGGCCTTCGCGCCGTAGCAGTCCACGCGAATCAGCCGGAACGACACCAGCGCCTCCGTGCGCGCGAAGATCGCCTCCGAGAGCTGCTGCAGGCGCTCAATCTCCACCCACGTCTCTTCGTCCGAGTGCTGCGCCGCGGCCCAGTCCTCGATGAACTGCGCCTCCGAGTGCTCCAGCAGCTCGGAGAAGGCGCCGAACGCGTCGCGCAGGTTGAAGGCGCCCTGCAGGGACCGCTCGATGGCCGTCGCCAGCTCCTCGCGCGCCGAGACCACGCGGGGGTCGTCGTGGTCGATGGCGCCGAGCGCCCGCTCGGCCATCGAGAGGTCCACGCGCGACAGGATGTCCTCGACGCCCTGCCCCGCGGAGACGATCGAGTCCAGCAGCGACGTGATCACTTCGCCGACCTTGCTCAGCGCGGGCTTGAAGTGGAGGCCCTCCTCCGCGTCGAAGTTCAGCGCGACGAGGATCAGCGGCGGCGGCACGGACACGAAGAGGTCCGCGCCCCACTTCCCGTCCTTGTCCTCGGGCTCCGCGGCGCGCTCGTCCTCGGTGCCCGGGCGCGTCATGTGGCGCATCATGCACTGCTTGAAGCCCTCGACGGACGCCAGCACCGCCGTCTTGAGGTGGTCCTGCATCCGCAGCGACAGGCCGCGGAGGTACCGCGACATCACGGCCCCCTGCTGCACCGCGCGCTGGCGGTCCACGGCCTTGTGCATCGACGCAACGCCGCCCGTCGCCGCCGGGTTCGCCGCCGCTGTGTCCGCAGCGCCGGCCTTGACGAGCCCCGAAGTGACGCTGTCGACGAGCGACATCACGCGCAGGACCCACTCCCCGCGCAGCTGGTCGCTCATGTCCTCCAGGTGCTGCCGCTGGAGCTGCTCGAGCTGCGCCAGCGACGTCGGCAGCTCCAGCCCCGCGCCAATCTCCGGCTCGAACATCGTCATCGTGCTCACGTCGAGCTCGGCGTGGAACTTCATCAGCCCCGCCAGCAGCGCGTCGTGCCCGTGCGGCAGCGCCGCCTGCACCGCCCCCAGGTTGTCGTCAAACAGCGCGCGCTCAATGTCCAGCGCCTCGAGCACCAGCGCACCCTCCTGCGCCACCTCGCGCCCGTACCGCGCCGAGTACTTCTCCAGCGGCACGCACCCCTGCGGCGGGATCGGCGGCCGCACCACCATCGGCTCCAGCATCGCCTCCTGCCACAGCGCGCGGTGCCCCGCCGGCGTCGCGAGCTGGTGGTCCACGATGCCGCGCTTCACCGCCAGCTCGTACACCGCGCGGATCTCCTCGACGATCTCGCCCACGACGTGGCCGTGCGCGGCCGACAGCGCGCGCGACGCCAGCTGCGACACGCGTGCCGTGAACCCCGCGCCCAGAATGTCGTGGTTGACGAAGGGCTGCCGCTCGATGTACAGGTCGTAGCGCGCGACGGCCTCCGAGAGCATCTTGTAGTGCCGCGCGCGCGCCAGCCGCGTCCGGAAGGCCCGCACGTCCTCCGCGTCCAGGACGATGTTGAGCCGCGTGACGTGCTTGTGCCGGCCCGTCTCATGCCACCGGATCTCGAACAGGCCCGTGTCGGCGTCGAACGACAGCGCGGTGCACGGCGCCCACCAGAAGCTCCCGTCCGTGCGGAAGAACCGCGACCGCGCGGGCAGCCCCGCGCCGCCCGCCTCGGCCAGCAGCGCCGCCACGTCCGTCGGGTGCAGCCCCGGGTTGTCGAACAGCCCGACGCCCATCGTGGTCTCCGTCACCGTCTCGAACTCCTCCTCCAGCGGCGTCCGCGACTCCGTGCTGCCCAGCTCCGGCACCCACGTCAGCGTGCTCGGGCTCTGTTGCATCCCGTTGGCCAGGTCCTCATCAATGTCACGGGCCGCGGCGCCGCGCGGCGGGTACGACGGGCTGCACTCCTCCGGGTCCCAGAAGAACTCGTGCGTGCAGACGCGCTTCCGGCGGTTGCGCGCGTGCAGCGGCTCGCCCCACGTGAACTCCTCCTGCGCTGGCGGCGCCGGGGAGGCCCCGCCGCTGCGCTCCCCGACGCTGTACGTGGACGCGGTCTCGCGGCCCTCGCTGCGCTGGCCGCTGCCGGGGCGGCTGGACGGCGCGCCAGCCGCGGCGTCGTGCGTGGGCGACGTCCCGTTGATGGCCTCGGCGGGGTGCTTGCTCGCTGCCGCTGAGCGCGCGTGCTTGCGCTTGAGGGTGCTGCGCGGGCTGCCCTGCGGCGAGGGGAATATCTCCTGGTCGAAGCCGCCGCGGAAGATCTTCGGGAGGCGGATCTGCGGAGCACACAGGCCGGACAGGACTGGGCAGGTGAGGAGCGCTGGTTGCAGGGGGGCGCCGCGGGGCGCGGGGCGAGCGCGGGGCGCTGTGCGGGGGGCGGCGGGGCCGGGACCGCGCGAGGGGGCCAGGGCGCCGCGGGGCGCGACGCGCGCGGCGTGAAACGAGCGCTGGGGGCGCAGGCATGGCTCTCGGCATGGCGGAGAAAGGCAGGCGGGGCTGGCTCGTTGCGAGGGGGCGCTGGGCAGGGCCCGGTTGGACCGTTGGGATCCAAGGAGATCAGGGGGGCTGCCGCGATGCGAGCGCGCGCCGCTGAGGGCGGACACGGCCGTTGGCGAGCCGGCAAGTGGGCAAAACGAGAGCAGAGGCGCTCGTCAAAGGCGCGTCGTGCGTCTCGTTGCGAGGAGAGCGCCGCGGCCGGTGCGTTGGGATATGTGCAGACCGAGAGGCGACGTATGCGGCTCGGAGCTGCGTCAGCGGACGAGCAGCAGCAGGCAGCATGACGAGCCTCGAGCAGACGACCCGAGGCGCGCTGTGCGACGAGAAGGCCAGGGCCGCCGCGCATGGACAAGTCCACATTGTGTACCCGCGGAGACGCGATCACGTCCTGCCGCGACCTCGACACCTTCGACAGCTCCAGAAATGTGTTGGACTGAAGCAACCAGGAGCGCACCTTCACCGCCGGCTCCACGGTGCCTCGGGAGGCCCGCGTGTCCCGCGGCATCTTGTCTCGCGCTGAAGTACCGACCAACGTGCACAACTACCTCCAATACATCACGGCACCGGGCTCCTTGGCTGCACTACGCACGACTGCGGCCTGCGGACGCACGCAATGTCCGCAGCGCCTCACTACTATCTCCGTGCAGAGTACGTGAGTTGTGCTAGGCGCGCCCGGCCCCCGCAGGCGTTGAAACCGCGGACAGGCCACGAAACGGCGACTTGAGCGTGTCCTACTTGACACACGGCTCCAGTTGGGCGCCCGCGGTGCTCACCAGCGGGGCCCCACGGCGGCGCTGTCCACTGCGTGGCACGGCTCCAGTCGAGGTCTCGACACTTGCGGCCCGGGCGGGGCAGAGGCAGCATGTTTCGCCGCGCGCTGTCGTCGGTAGTGGCGCAGGTTGGGGCGCAGACGCGCAGCGTGAGCGAGAAGGTCACGACGGGGCTGGTCGGGCTCAAGGTGGACCCCCTCGCGCGCGAGAAGATCGTTCAGCGCGCGAGCCTCGTCCTGCGGTCCGTCGGGCACCTGCCCGAGGGCGCGGGTTTCCGCACGGACACGGAGGAGACGTTTTCGCGCATCAGGTGCGCGCAGGGGCTCGATCGCGCGAACGACCCGGACAGAGCACATGCTCGCTGCTTCCTCCGCCCTGCCCGCGCCGTCCCCGCGCCGGTCCCGCGGGGCCGCCGCGTTGCGGGCGCGTGGTCGTGCCAGGTGCTTGTTTTGGCCGCTAAGCCGCGGCTGCGGGGCGTTTCAGCGGTGCGCGGTGTCCGTGGAGCGCCGATTGCAGGGATGTGTGTCAGAACAAGAAGCTGAACGACAGGCAGGTGGAGCAGACGCTGGGGCGGGGCAACCTGGAGCAGGTGCTGGCACAGTGCGAGGACCACTTGAAGCTGATTCCGACCATGCGGGAAGAGAAGCCCTGGGAGGTTCCAAAGGATCACCTCCTGGAGGTCCGGTACTGGCGCGCGGACGAGCCTCCCGCGCCCCCAGTGCCCAAGTAGCGACCTGCCGCAGCCCACACGAGACTGTACATCGACCGCGCGTTCCGCCCTCAGCGTGCGGCGCACAACATGTGACGCAGCGTCGTCGCGATACCGCAGCGCCGGCTCCGCGGCCCTCCTTCACGCGACCTGCAACGTTGTCACCGTGTGCCGGGACACCCATGCCGGCGCGCCTGCCCGCCCGCCGGCGCCCACACCTGCTCGCGCGAGCCCGCACACGCGCACGGCGACCCGGTCCCCCCAGACGCGACACAATATCGATGCGGGTGCTTGTACTCCGCTGACCTACAGGCAGCCTCACCGCGAGGATGCTTCAGCGACCGAAACGGTACGGCAGACGGGACTACCACTCGCACAGCAGACAGGGCAGACAACGTGAGCAGCCACGCACGTCGCACATACCCCGGCACGACGGTGAGACACGGCGGGGCCGCGCTGCCACAACAGGCCGCGCGCGGCCCTCCCGGCGTCGCCCCGACGCGCGCCGCGCAGCAGCGCACCGCGCCGCGTCCCCGCGCGCCCTCGCCAGCCGCATCACACCCCCCCGGCGCGGCGCGCTCACGCCTTCGCCTCCTGCTCCTTGACCGTCTCAAAGAACTCCTTCTCGATCCGCAGCAGCTCCTCCTCGGGGATCTTCCCCAGCTCCCCCTCCTCCTCCTTCTGCGCCGCCTTCCGCGCCCGCACCTTGAGCTCCTTCGCGCGCGCCTCGAGGTTCTTCTCGCGCCGCGTCTCGCGCTCGAACGTCTGCCCGATCGACGCCTTCTCGCCCTGCTGCATGTGCACCAGCGAGTCGGACAGCTCCAGCACGTGGATCGAGCCGTCCTCGGTGCCCACGCCCAGCACCTTGCCCTGCGGCTGAATCGACAGCGAGACCAGGGGGGTCTTGTCGACCTCGATCGACAGGATCGGCGCCGACGCCTTGTGGTACAGGTCCCAGCAGTCCAAGTGCCCTGCGAGCGGCGACGGAAGCGACGGCGCTCACGTGTCGCAGAACGGCAACGAGACGGCGCGCGGCGCAGCGCGCCATGCACGCGCACGCGCGGCCGCGGCGACGCCGCGCAACGCCCGGCACGGTGGCGACAGATCCGGCGCCGCCGCGGCGACGGCGCGCACGCGCGGTCAAGCGGGGGGGTGTTTCGCGCACCTGACATGCGCGTGAGGAAGAACACGCCGGGGCGCGTGGGCGACCAGGTCCCGCCGGTGAGGTTGCTGGAGTGGTAGGGCGTGGTGATGATGGGCTGCCGGATGTCCTCGTTCCACATCATCGCCGTCCAGTCGGCCACAGTCATGAAGTACTTGCTGAAGAAGGGGTTGCGCTTCAGGGCGTACACGGGGCCCTTGTGGCCCGCGTAGCTCGCGCCGATGCGGTCCGCGGGCGTCTTCGCCTTGCGGTTGCAGCTCACGACGACGCCCTGCTCCGTCCCGACCATGAACTTCGTGGCGCCGGCCGCGGCGTCGTACTCCATGCTCACGGCGCCCAGGACGAGGTCCGAGTTCTTCTCGGTGATCGTGAGGTCCTCGAGGGGCTCGGACATGCGCCGGATGTCCCAGAAGAGCACCTGGCCGTCCGTGGAGGCCGTCATGATCTCCGACCCAGTCTTGCTCTGCAGCCACGCGTTGTCGTACACCGGGTCCTTGTGCGACGACTCGATGAGCGAGGTCTCCACGGGCGTCTTGCCCTTGCGGCGGTCGAACAGCGCGAACTGCCCGTTGTACTGCCCCGCGCCGAGGAGGTGCTCGTCCTTGGGGTTGAAGTTGATGCAACACAGCTGGCTCGCCGGGACCAGCTCGAGCTCGGGCGCCGTGGGGTTGGCCATGTCCCACATGTAGCTCTTGAGCTCCATGTTGTGCGGCTGGGACTGGAACTTCATCAGGGAGTACGCGCACGCGACCTTGCGCCCGCCGGGGTGGAAGGACAGGTACGTGGCCGAGCGCTTGATCTTGTTGGGGTCGGAGAGGACCGTCAGCGTGCGCGCCTCGGGGACCTCCGAGGAGTGGTCCTCCTGCACGTCCGTGAAGAACTGCTCGTAGATGTCCAGCGCGTTGTTCTGCCGTATCGTGGCGATCGCGCCGGAACTGAGCCTCGAAACGGACGCGATGTAGTCCTCGTCGCGCTCCACGCGCTTGATGTACCGCGACACCTGGCTCGGCTCGTTCACGTCCACGTCGCGCGGCCACCCGCCCTGCATGTGCGCCATGCCCACCGTCCTGCAAGCACCGCGGACGCTCGTCAACATGGGCGCGCCCAACGCGCGAGCCCCGCGCCGCGCGGACGCCGAGCCTACGCATGCGCGCGGTACAGGAGCTGCGAGCATCGTGGTGCGCGCGGAGCCGGGGCGCGGGAGCGCCCGGGGGCGCCCGGGGCGGCAACGCAGGTCGAACAGCAAGCACCGTGGGCGGTGTTGGCGCCCCGCGCGGGCGGCGTCGCGCTCCGGCCGCTGGGGCTGGGCGGCCAGGCGACAGTACGCGCGCCGGGGTGGGCTCTGCGCGGCGCAGGCGGCCGGTCTGGCCGCAGCGGCGGCGAGGAGCCGGACATTGCGTGGGGCATGTAGCGCGGGCAGCGCCCGCGCGGGCGCGCGGAAGGACGGAGATAGCGCCGCGAGGCGGGAGCTGGCGATGAGAGATCCCGAGGCGGAGCGCTGGCGAGGCGTTTCGGGGAGCGCCGCGGCGCTGCGGGCGGCCACGTTCGTGGGCAGGTGGTGCCGGCCGTGTGCGGGGGGGCGCGCGAGCTCACCTATAAGTGGTTTGCGCGGTGTTGACGGTGCGTTCCGAGAACTGCGGGATGACCTGGACGGTCGTGGTGCACGGCTGGCGCTTGATCATCTTCGCCTTGCGCTCCTCGTCTGGGCGGAGGTCGTAAATCAGCTCCGCGTGGAACTCCTTGAAGTTGGGGTGCTTCCCGAAGTCCTTCCGGAGCTTCACGTACTCGTGAGTGATCTCCATGGCGTCCGGGTGCTATCCGGCGCCCGAAGAGGGCCGCGCAGCTCCTCCTGCCAGTGCCGAAACCGCGCCACGCCTCACGAAGTCCAGCTCTCCACCCACTGCCTCGGCGAATCACTCTGTGCACCGGTGCGCGCGTGTGCCGCCCGCCGCAGCCACGCGACGGCAACTAGCCGCGGGCTGCGGCCCGGCCGTGCGTCTCAGGAGAGCTGACTCCACCCAGCTCTGCATTCCACGCCGCCGGGCCCTCCATTTCCCCCCATCCGCGACGCCTTCGCCCAATCTTCAAGTGGAGCCGCAGTTCCCGCGATCCACGAGCTCGCGATCCACAGACCTGGCTGTACGGGCCGGGCAAGCATCTGCAGTGAGCAGAGGCCGTTGTTCCCGGGAGGTGCTACGGAAGCGTCGAACAACGCAACGAGGTGACGCCTCCTGCAACGCTGGGTCTCCGACGGCGCCGACAGCGCTGGACACGTGGCAGGGACCATGACTGCGGCACGCTTCGCCTGGCCGGCAGTGCTGCTCTTCCTTGCGTCGTTCGCGGCCCTCGCGCTCGCCGCGGTGGATCCCGCGAGCTTCATGGATGAAGCGAAGGGCATCGAGGATTGGCTCGTCGCAGTGCGCCGAGAGTTCCACTCGATTCCAGGCAAGGGTCCCCTGCGGCTGCCACCACGCGCGGCGCGCCGTCGCGCACAGGCCCTGGTGTGACGGAAAAACCACGCGGACCGCACGTAGTTGGATATCTCCACACGTGTCTCGCTATTTCTCGCGATACAAAGCCGTCGGCAAGGAGAGGCTCCAATGTGAGTCCTAGCCACTCCTGTGCGACGCAGAGCTGATGTACGAGGAGCACAAGACGAGCGCCGCGATCCGGAAGCACCTCGACGAGCTGGGCATCAAGTACCAGTTCCCCGTCGCGGGTCAGACGGGCGTCGTGGCAGAAATCGGCTCAGGTACCCCTGCGCCCACGACACGCGCCTTCCCCGCCCCGGCCGCTCCCCCGCGAGTGCCGCAACGACACACCGTGCGCCTCCCGCCGTGACGGCCCCTCGCGCCACGCGTCCCGCGCAGGCGCACCGATCGTGGCCCTGCGTGCCGACATCGACGCGCTCCCGATCCTCGAGGAGACGGGGGTTGAGTTCAAGAGCCTGACGAACGGCAAGATGCACGCCTGCGGACACGATGCGCACATCACCATGCTCCTCGGAGCCGCCAAGTGCGCCCCCCGCCGGAGACCCCCTGTGCACAAACATGAGCCGCCTGCGAACGCGTGACGCGCGCGCCCGCCCACACCGCGGCCACCGCCTCGCCGCGGCGTGCAGGCTCCTGAAGAGCCACGAGGCGGATCTGCACGGCACGGTGCGTTTGATCTTCCAGCCCGCGGAGGAGGGCGGCGCTGGCGGGCAGAAGATCGTCGAGGAGGGCCACCTCGAGGGCGTGTCCGGGGTGTTCGGGTTCCACGTCTGGCCGGGCCTCCCCAGCGGGCTGGTGGCCACGAGCGAGTCGGCCATCATGGCGGGTTCGCGGCAGTTCAACGTGCGCATCAAAGGGCGCGGAGGGCACGCCGCGATGCCGCACCTGTCGCGGGACCCTATCGTTGCGGCCTCGGCGGTGGTGTCGTCGGTGCAGACGCTCGTGGCGCGCGAGCTGAGCCCGCTGAGATCGGCTGTGGTGTCGGTCACGGCGGTGCACGGCGGCGAGGCGTACAACGTGATTCCCGACGAAGTGGAGCTGCGGGGGACGATCCGCGCGCTCGAGGACAAGACGATGAAGTACATCAGGTGCGCGAAGCAAGTGCGTGACCGCGTCAGTGACGGGACGCGTCATGTTGTGCCTCACTTCGCCCGGCGCCCGGCCGCCGCTTCGCCGCAGCAAGCGGTTCCAGGAGGTCGTGCAGGGCATCGCGAAGGGGCACGACTGCGAGGCTGTGGTGGACTGGCGCGAGGACGAGCACCCGTACTATCCGCCGACAGTGAACGACGCAGCCAAGGCGAAGTTCGCACTCAACGTGGCTGCGGGGCTCGTCGGCGAGGACAACGTGCGGCTCACGGAGCCGTCCATGGCCGGGGAGGACTTCGGCTTCCTGACTCAGGCCGTCCCGGGGGCGTTTGTGTGGCTGGGCATCAAGAACGAGACAGCGGGCGCTCTGCACGGGCTGCACACGCCGCGGTTCACGCTCGACGAGCAGGTGCTACACCGCGGCGCGGCCCTGCACTCCGCGCTTGCCGTGCGGCATCTGGCGGCCGCAGCGGGCGATGCCAGCCGCTCCGAGCTGTGACGCGTTGGTGCCCACGTGGCAGCGTCGTGCGTGGCGGCGGACGAGCTTGCCTGGCGCGGCAGCGAGCCGGACTGCGGGCGCGATGGCCAAGTGGCATCGCCAGCGGTGCGTCCTGGACTGGACGGGAGGCCTTGACTTCAATTGCCAGTCTAGCAGTTGACCAGCTTGTTTAAGACAGCAGTCCGCGGAACCTCGTCACACCGGGGCAGGAGGTAGCGCTGGTAGCTGACGACTAGTTCGGTGATCTAAACCTTGGCGGTGGTGGCGACTCCGGCGAACGCACCGGCGTCGAGGGACTTGTACTGCCCGATGACGCGCCGGTGCCAGATCCAGGCCCCGAACATCACGGCGGCGAGAACCACGAGCCCGATCAGCAGCCCGATCAGAATCCAGATGCCCTTGGCGAGCCCCGCTTCATGCTTGAGGTCCGCGGCGCAGTCCGCGTCTTGAACCTGCTTGTAAGTTGACGCAACGTGCATCATCATAACGGTCTGGCATCGACGCGGCAGCTACGTCACTAAACGTGTCGCAGCTGAGCCATCCAGGGCGCAGGGAGCCTCGCGGCACGTCGGAATCGTGAGAGACGGCGCACAGGTCGAAGGGGCAATCAACGTGATGTCGCGGGCTGGTCTGGGCGCCGGCCCGCGGCCGCACCTCGACGGGATCCCCGCTGCTCAGCCCGGCCAGGTAGCCGTGCATGTCGTGGATCTGCAGGTTCTGGCCGTTGATGATGTCGACGAGCATCTGCCCAATGAAGGCGTCCTCGCCGAGGGCGGCGTCAGCGCTGGCCACGGCGGCGGCGCCCTGTCTGAGGAGGATCTTCGCCATGTTGACGGCGTTCTGGTGGTGGGGGATCATCTGGCGCATGAAGGTCACGACGGGGTCGTCGGAGTGCCTGACGCGCATGGTGTGCTCCATCTGGCAGTCGATGGCCTCCATGCAGCGCAGGAACTGGTCGTCCTCGGAGCCGCACAGGTGCCTCTCTACGCACATGCCCGTGCCGAGGCCGAACGCCGACGGGCCCAGGGTGTCGTCGTGGTTCTCCGCAGGCGTGAACCCGCAGACAACGTCCTCCTCGTTCCTCACCTGCGCGAGGCGGGACCGAGGGAGCCGCTGACGTGGTCGAGGTCTCTGTCGCGGAGCGGCGCATCGGCAAGCTCACCAGCGACGTATAGCACGGAAGTTGCATGTTCAAAGTGGCGCACCGTCTGGTTTGGGAGGTCCGCGGCGACGTTCCCGGCGCCGTTGTTGGTCCGCCGCACCCCGCCATCGAACACCAGGATCCGCCCGCTCATGTGCGCGTGGAGGTGGCAGAAGTAGAACAGCTCTGCGGTGGCAGCGTCCGTGACGGACAACCTGACCTTGTACTTGTTCTCCGACCACGCCGCCTTGCTCCAGTCCTTGAACTGCGGCTCGTACACGTCCAGACCGAACCCGCCGTCCGAGACTCCGGCGTAGGGATCGGACGCCGTGGAAAGGAACGTCGGCGTCGACGACGGACCCCCGAGGAAGACCGAGCCCGTCTTTCCGCCATAGTACATCGGGCTCTGGCACGCGTCGGACGCAGCACACGTCGAGCTCGATCCAGGGGGGGTCACGCCGGGCTCGAGCTCGTCCTTGTTGGCGTGGGCGCCGTCGACGTAGTAAGCGAAGCCCATCGGGTGCAGCCAGTTCGTCGCGTCAGTCTGTGAGCGAGGTGAGAGCCGGACGCGGATGTCATGGAGGTGGCGTGGCGCGGGCAGCAGCTGGGGTGTCGATCGCGACAAGGGTGGCGGGTGCGGTGTCAGGTGTCCGGCACACGCCGCTTGCGTGTGCGTGCGCTTGCCTGGAGGAAGTCGTAGACCTTCCCGGCCTCCATCTTGAGCACGGGTCTCTCAGCGGTGCAGTCGTCGAAGGCATAGTACCCCGTGGACGAAACGAAGAAGTCCACGCTCGCGTTGAAGATGTAGGGATCGGCGGTCGTGCCGCTGCCAGAGGTCGGCTCGCACCTGCGTGCACGCGAAACTCCTCCTCGATCGGCCCGATAATCGCAAGCGGCGAGCATCTAAGAACAGGCGGTCGGCGGCCAGATGCATCGGCGGCTGGCGGTCCGCCAATCGCGGGCGGTTGGCCAGGCCAGATGCATGGGCCAGATTTCGGTGGTATCGGCGCTAGCTCGACGCGCGATTCCGGTCGGGAACGCACGGGTCAGCTTCGGTGCCCGCGTGGATGGCCGCGGAGACACCGCGCGGGGCGACCAGCAGCATGAGCGCCGCCAGAGCAGCAAAGATGAGTCCCATGATGCGTTCGTTCGTCCCCGAATGCGGACGCTAACGCGAGGCGCGAAGAGTCGCGATGTGCAGGTCGGTGCCGGAGATGATGCCAGCACCACTGAAGTGCACGCGTCACCGCCGCGCAGCCGGCAAACAGCCGGGCCGCCAGAGACACGTGCCGTCGTGTGCCAGCGTGTGTCCTTTTTTCAAGTAAGAAAAAGCGCGCACGAACAGCACACCCCATCAGGCCGTTGCGGCGCCGAATGCGAACGAAGCGCCCCCGCTGATCTGCGTGCGTATGTATGTCCCACGTCCGTCATCATGCGTTTACCGACACGCACGTGGGACGGTTCAGGTCTGCAGGCGCAGTGTTGGGCACGTGAAAGCGTCAATTACAGAGCGCGTCCCCGTCAGGACCGGTCGTCTGGCCCGGTGAGCGGCGTGATCGGCGTCCGCCACGTCCCGCCGCCGCTGGCGTTCGACCGCGTGCTCGCTGGCTGCGACGTCGGCGTGCCGTATGCGGTGCCGAAGCTCTCGCGCGACCCGCGCTGCGCGTCAGGGTCCGTCAGCATGCTCGGCGCCTCTGGCTGCGACGGCCCGGCTGTCTGACTCAGCGATGATATCGAACCTGCGATCGCGTCATCACGGACGGACGTGTTTTGCGCGCTATTGTAACAGGCATCGCCGCGGGCAGTGGGCCGGTTCCGCGTCACTCACTTCCGTCTGGCTTGCCGGAGCGGTGCATGCTGCTTTCGATCGCGCCGCGGATGACCGGGTGCGGCTGGTTGACGGGCTGCCCTTCCGCCAAGTTGCGGTCCACCTTGTGCTCCGCCTCCTCGCGCGACGTGTAGTCGACGTGCACGAAGCACCGCTCCACGAACGGCAGCGCCTCCACCTTGTGCTGCAGCATCACCGCGATGTCGTGGCTCTCCGCGACCGTCATCGACGCCTGCACCCACAACACGAAAAGGCGGCGTGCATTGTCGTCGCGAACACGACGCAGCGGCGAGCTCGGGCGGGCGGGCGGGCGGGTGCGGCGCGTGGGCGCACCGGCATGATGACCTCGAGCTCCACGAAGAGGCTCTCTCCGAAGTGGTAGGCGCGCACGCTGTCGTGCTTGACCAGGTCGTGGTGCGTGTCGACGACCTCCCGCACGCGCTGCACGAAGTCCTCCGACGCGGCCCTCCCGACGAGGTTGTTGACCTGCTCGTTCGTCAGCGACCCCCACGACCACAGGCCCCACACCGCGATCATTATACCCCCCGCGGGGTCCAACCACCACTGGTCCGGGCTGCGCGACGCCGCCGCGGCCATCCCGATGGCCCACGTGTTCGCGAAGAAGTCCACGCGCGCGTCGATCGCCAGCGCCTCCAGCGTGTTGCTCTTCCCGCGCCGCAGCGCCATTTTGCACCCAATCCACACCGACAGCTTCACGCCCGTGGCCGCCAGCATGATGGCGTACATGTACCCCGTGAGCTCGAGCACGGGCTGCGTGTGGTCGCGGATGTTGACCCAGAGCTTCTCGATCGACTCCTGGATCACCTCGAGCAAGGCCACCGACATGATGCCCGCGCACAACATCACCGAGACCGTGTTCAGCCGCGTGCGGCCGACGGGGAACCGCGCGTCGCGCTGGTGGGCCGCCCGCGCGGCCAGGAGCAGGACGCCCTGGCTCGCGAGGTCCACGACGGAATCCTGCGCGCGGGGGGCGGTCGCGAGGGTGGGAGAGGGCTCCGCGGCACGTGGCGCGCCGTTCGTGCGGGCGCGCGGGGCCGTACCGCGAACGACGCGAGGACCGACATGGAGAGCGTGGAGAAGAAGACCCAGCCCTTGGCGAACAGGAGGATGATGTTGGAGGCGATGCTCAGGACCGTGGCCCACTGCGCCAGCCGGCCCACCTCCTCCCCGTCGCCCTGTTCCTCGCGCATCTCCGAGAGGAAGCTCAGATACGCCTCGCCGACCTCCGCCTCGGGGACTGTGGGCCCGAAATTCACGGAGGACGCTCGCGGCGGCCGCACGCGCTCGCGGCGCCCGGAGTGAGAGGCATCCGAGAGCTCCGTCCTGCGGAGCGCGCGACGAGGAGTCGAATTCGTGACGCTCCGCAGCGTCCGTAGGACCGCGGTCGATGCGTGCTGCCCAGCGGGCGCGTCGGACGACGCGTCGCGCGACGCGCGGCGGTGCAAGCGCGGCAGCCAGTTGTGAGTTGCATCGTACCGCGACGGCTCCTGCGATCGCTCGCCCGCAAGTAGCGGCGCGTTCACGCCTTGCTCTATATCTGCCACATGCTGACGGACGCGGTGCGCGGCCTTGTTGCGCCCCTTGCGGCCCATGGCAGGGCCTGCAGCCAATGTTCGTTGGCCTCCCCGCCGTCGGCCGTGGAAGGGAATATGACGCCTGCCGCCGCTCAAGCTGGATGACGGTGCGCTCGTCCTGGCCGCGGCACATCGGGAAGGCGGGCATTGACGCGTTCGAGCGAGAACGGCGCCTCTTGGTTGTACTCTGGGGTCAATTGCACCGACCGCCGCGGACGGAGTCATCGGCCCAGCAGCCCGAGCGCGCCCCGCAGAAACGCACCGCAACGACAAGGCTGTTGCATCTCAGCACAGGTCCGTGCCCGCATCACGAAGGAGGCCAACGCACCGGGTGCGAGAAGCAGCGCAGCCCCATCACGGCGGACGTGATGCCCTTGAGGGCCAGGTACAGCCCCATGAATTGAACCTGACGCTTACGACGGACGTGGACATGAGGTCACGCCGTTCTCCGTCGTTTTTCTGCCGGCCTGCGATAGGGGCGCGGGAGTATCCATCCTCCACGCCTCTAGCTGCACCACGGGTCGCGGAAAACGCGGTCCGACCAGATCGTGTGACAGACACCTCCCTATGCTATGCAGCGTCCTCGCTGGGCGCCCGGCGCACGCGCTCCGGCGCGCATCGAGCAGCGGGCGCAGGGAGACGAAGTGCAGCGCTGGTGTCAAGGTGCGATGCGGCGGCCAGACCCCTCCTGATCCGACGGCCTCCATCCAGCCGTCCTGGAGATTGGCTGTACGAACGCAACACGCTGTTGAGCTGCGAGCAAGTGCAGGGGTACGAGATCTTTTCGCCCTCGAAGATCAATGTCTTCCTTCGAATCGTTGGCAAGAGGCCCGACGGGTTCCACGAGCTGGCGTCGCTGTTCCACGTGATCGACCTCGGCGAGACGCTGACGTTCGAGGACATGGTCGGCGGTGCGGAGGACGCCCTGACGTGCGACGACCCTGGAGTCCCCACCGACTCCTCCAACCTCGTCCTGCGCGCCATCGACCTCTACCGGAAAAAAACAGGTCCGAGCGCACGCCGCACCGTCCGTCCGAGCTCGTCGCGCGCTCGCAGCACCGGCACCCACCGTTGCCGCTCGGGGGGGGCCCTACTCGACATGCGGCGCACTGAGCGCCGCAACCCGCGCAGGACACACCAAGATGTACCGAGCGCACATCGCGAAGAGGGTGCCCTTCGGTGGGGGTCTCGGCGGCGGCTCGGCGAACGCGTCGACGACGCTGTTCGCGCTGAACGACATGGCGGGGGGGGGGGTGTCTGAGGCCGACCTGCTGGAGTGGAGCGCGGAGCTCGGCTCGGACTGCCCCGTGTTCTTCTCGAAGGGCGCCGCGTACGTGACGGGCAGGGGGGAGTTCGTCGAGGACGTCCCCTCCCCGTTCGACCCCGCCACGCGCCTGGTGCTGGTCAAACCCCCCGTCGGCCTGTCCACGCCGGAGATCTTCCGCGCGTTCGACCTCAGCAAGACGTCGCAAGCAGACCCGAAGAAGCTCATGTCCGAGGTGGGACCCACCACCCCCTTCCCCCTGCACCACGAGCTCGCATGCCGCCCAAAAATAACACAGCGTCAACCTGCCCGTCGCCTGTGCGCGGCCCCGCAGATCGCGGCCGCGGGTTGCGCCACCCAGGAGCAGTGCGTCAACGACCTGGAGCTGCCATCTTTCACCAAGCTGCCGGAGCTGGAACAACTCAAGGAAGCGCTGAGAACGTCAGGCTGCTTCGAGGCCAGCTTCATGACGGGGAGCGGCTCGACGATGGTCGGCATGGGCGGCGCCGGCCCGCTGCCGCCCGTGGTCGAGGAGGCCCGGGCGGCCGGGTCGTTCGTGACGGAGGCTCGCTTCATCACACGAAAGGAGGGGGAGTGGTTCAAGCCCGCGCAGCGCTGACGAGGCTCACATCGGGGACACCAGTGGCCCCGCACGCGAAGATGTGATGCGTACGACTCCGTTGCTGCCAAAGAGAGCGTCGGTGCGTTCCGGCCTTGCTGAGGGAACCACAGCTGCCGCCTTTGGTGGCCGGGGTCTACGATTGCGGCGCCGGGCCCACGGGGCCGTCCGAGGCGCCGAGAGCATGCAGAAGCATCTGGATGGCGCGCATCTGCGCCGCGTCGCTCGAGGCCAGCAGCTCCGCGGGCACGCTGCGGTTGGCGTTGCGCAGGAAGATGCCCATGTCTGTGTGGGACGGCCTCGAGTTCTGGATCGCCGTTCTGACGTGCTCCGGCCGCACGCACGACCATCTGCGCTGCAGAACGCCGTCGAGGTCGCTCTGTCCGGTCGGGTTCGCCTGGTATGCGATCTTGAAGGCCTTGCGTACGACGTCGGCCAAGTCGCTGCCCGACCACCCGTCCATGGAGGCGACGATGTCAGGGATCGCTTGCCAGGTGTCCAGCGACACCGCACCGACGCGGTTGAGCTGCATTTCGAAGGGTGCAAAGACATCTCGATTGCACTTTTGCCTGGCTCAAAGCAACGCGAGATCCCCGCACGCGCCTTGCGGTCCTTGACGAGGCACATGACGTCGTCGCGATGTTGCAGACGCGTACAATACCACGATGTTGTGTATTGTACGATTCTGCAATACCACGACGACATCATGTGCCGCGCCAAGGTTCTCACGGCACGTGCGCCACGAACAACACACACGCTGCGCGGGCCCCCGGCTCAGCGCGCCGGGCGGGGCTGCCGCGAGTCGTCCGGGCACTGACCTGCGCGGGCATGGCGTCGACTCCCCTCACGGGGTCCCTCCAGGACGCCCTGCACGCCTCCAGGTAGGTCGCGAGCTCGTTCGCGATCCTCTCCCGCGCCCTCGCGTCCCCGATCCTGTCGCACCTGCCCAGGAGCATCTCCAGGCGGTGGCGGTGGTCCTGGAAGAGGTGCAGCCGCACAATGTGGGCACGCCCCGCGCTGTCGGGCAGGGGAACCTCGTAGCGCAGGTTGAAGCGGCGCTTCACGGCGTCGTCCAGGCTGTCGGGGCGGTTCGTGGCGCCCATCACGATCACGCCCGCCTTCAGCCCGTCCCACAGCTGCATGAATTCCGTCTTGTAGGCCGCCACCAGCTCGTGGTCGCCGTCGCGCCGGGCGCCCATCAGCGAATCCACCTCGTCGACGAAGATGACGCACGGCGCGAGCTTCTGCGCCAGCGTGAAGTACGCCGAGACAAGCTTGTTCGTCTCACCGACCCACCTGCGTTGAGGGGGTTGGGCTGTTGATCGTCACGTGCAGGCGCGCGCAGGCGTGGACGGAGCCGCGGCACCTCCGACGTGTGCGCGCAGTGGGTCTTGCGCAAGCACAACGCGCGCGGGGGTCTCCGGGCGCCCACTTGTCCAGCAGCACCGATGCCTGCACTTTGATGAAGCACAGGTTCACCGAGCTCGCCACGGCCTGCGCAAGCATCGTCTTGCCCGTGCCGGGCGGCCCGTACAGAAGCAGTCCCTTGGGCGCCTGCACCGGACAGGGCAGGTGGTTGCGGTGCTTCACGGCGCGCGAAATGACGCAGGGAACGCGCAGCACATGCAGGTCCTCGTCCGGAGGCCGGCGGATGCGGTCGAGCTGGCAAGCAGTGGGCACGCGGGGATCGCTGCAGCGCAGGGCCTTGCGCGGCGCACCATCATGTTGGGCGAGCAGAACACGTCGGGCCTCTGCAGCGGCTCCACGACGTCGCGCTCGAGGGATTCCTTGATGGCGGCGAGGCCGCCGATCGCCCCGAAGGTCGAGTCCGCGCGGGTCATGATGGCCCCGCGCGCGACGAGGTCGGCCTCGTGCGGCGTGAGTCCGACGCGCGCCACCTCGCGGTCAGGGAAGGTCTCTTTCATCGCCTTGTTGATGCCTTGGACGCGACGCTTCTTGTCGCGGTCGGGGTCCAGGATGTTCTTCATCATCCAGATTCCCCATATGCCGACTCCGATCGATATCCCCGCGAACACGAGCTGCATGCCGTGTGTTGACCAACACGAATTGGTGTCGCGGGGCGCGGCGGGCGGACGGCGAGGACGGCGCCGCGAGCGCGCGCCGACGCAACATCTGGAGTAGTACTATCGTTCTAGCCGCGTTTCAAGCGGCCTGCGGCGCCGGGCTGCGCGTGCGTCGCAAATCCGTTGTGTCCGCTGGCGTCTGCGAATCGTCTCGCCGCCTCGCGCAGCCGCATGCGCGCCGAAACGCACGTACCTCGATCACGACCTCCTTCTTCAGGTCTCGCTGACTCATCTCGATCCTTTGCGGACCCCGGACGAAGTCCCCGGTCGCGCCTCCGCGCAGCCTCCCTACTGACCCAGGAAGGACCGACGTGCGAGCGTCTAGCCCGCCGTCCTCGGCGCCTGCCTGCGACGCCGAACGAGCCCGCCTCGGTCGTAGCGCTCTGAGCAGCCACCTGACAGGGCCGAGAAGGAGAGGCGGGCGCTTGCTCGGCTGTGGCGAGAGCTCCTTGAGAGAAGCCCCAGCAGACATCAACGGTGAGTCCCCTGGAGGCGCGCACGCCGGCCAGAACGGATCGACTAGCAGGGCGATCTGGTGGGTAGTGCAGGCACGCCCGCGCGCCGGCCCGAAAACGCCCGCAGGCCGCCCTCGGCTCGCGAACACCACTCCCCCTGGTACGACGCCATCACACACTGCTCTCCCCCCCCCGCTCCGCAACATCCGAGTCGCGAGCGCGGCAGCGCGCGCCCGACGCGCAGCGCCGCGCAGAGCGCTGCTCGGCGCCTCGTTGCGCGCCCTGCACGCTGCGCAACCGCGGATCGCCCACCGCAGCGCTCTCCCTGCACCCAACGGCGGGAGAACGCGGTCGCGGCTCAAAGCCGACCGCACCGCCACGCCAAGACCCTGCCCCCTCCCGGTCGACGCGCACGCACAGCCCTGCTCGCACCGCCCCAAGCCCATATGACGTGCGTTACATGTTGGCGGCAATCCTCGCTCACTGGTTGCGCGCCACCCCGGTGGACCCGAACCCGCCCGCGCCCCGGTCGGTGCTGTCCAGGTCCTCGACCTCGACCACCTCGGGCGTCACGATCTTCTCTAGAATGAGCTGCGCCACGCGGTCGCCGCGCTTGACCGCGAAGTCCGTGTCGCCGTGGTTGAACAGGATCACGCCGACGGGGCCCCTGCGAAGCCAGACCATTCACCTGCCGGTCAGCCCGCGTTGGCCGCCGCGTGCGCGCGCCGCTGCGCCGCGCAACCGTAGCAGGCAAGCACAGAGGACCTGGCCTGGCGACAGCGTTGCGCGCCGGGCTCGTTGCGCAAGGTTCTGCGCGGAGCGGATCGGAGGGGCGCGGTTGCGCGCTCGCGCACCTGTAGTCGAAGTCCACTACGCCGGCGCCGGTGTCGATGAAGTTCTTCCAGGCCAGGCCCGAGCGCGGGGCAATGCGGGCGTACGTGCCCTCCGGGATGGCGATGGAGAGATCCGTCTTGACCAGCTCCTTGCCGCGGGCGGGCACGACGGTGTCGTGGGCCCTGCACGGCGCGCGGGGCGGCGGAAAGACAGGTGGGGACAGCGGCTTGGAGCATTTGGCGGGCCAGCGGCGGGACGCTTCGGAACGACGCCGAACTGCCAGCCTGATGCACGAATTCGCGTCATATCTGGGGAGAGACGCGTTGTGGTCGTCCAGGGGCTCCGTGCGGACCCGCAAGCGACGCGCTGGTGCGGGGGGTCGGGGAGCGCACGCTGAGAGGTCGTAGCCAGCAGCGCCCTTGGAGCCGCGCGCAGGGATCGTTGCGTGCTCGCTGAGCTTCTTGATCTTCAGGAGAGGCTCGTCGCGCTCGCGCTTCTCGCCCGCGTACGTCATGGTGGCAGTGCGGGGCCCGGGCACGAGGGAGCGCAGGCAAGGGCGCGGGAACGGCGCGCGCGCGAATCTGAGGCCGAACTGAGCCAGGATGATTGCGTCGACGATGACACCGGGTGCAAAGGAACCGCGTCGCAAGTGTGTCGGGTGCGCTCGGGGCGCACTACATACACTGCGGCGCGCAGCAAGCTTTCTGCGTCGGTGTCGCACTGGCTACCGGTATAACTCAATAACGGTCCTTGCTTCCCCGCCTCTGCCCCGTCCGACCGCTGCCCTGCTCTCGACGCATGCGGCCGAGGTAGCCAGCGCTCGTCCCCGCCTGCGAGATCCCCGAAGCCACCAACTTGCCACTATATCTCAAAAACGCATTCCTTCCTGTCTCGAATGTCATATTCCCCTGCTGGGCTCGCCCCCAGGTGGCCCGCACGTCTCCCGCCCGCACGCAGCCCGTCACAACGCCCAGCGCCTACTCCCCCCCCGCACACCCGCGCGCCCACTGGGCAACTGGCTCCCCAACCGCAACGCTCCCGGGCCGGTCGCCCTCGCACGCGCCCGACGGCTCCGACACCACAACGGGACTCTCCGTGCGCTGCGCTGCGTCGCTCCACGATATGCTGTCGCCGCCCTCGAGCGGGCCGGGCTGGTCAACACCACGCGGTGGACCTGCCGGGGCGACCGCCCCTCGACGCGGCGGCGACACCACGCTCTCCCCGGACGGCACGTGCTGCGCGAGCGATGCTCGCGCCGCCGCGAGGTCGTCGCACACCGCCTCGCGCGACCCGGCAGTCTCAGCACTACGCGCTGCTTGCTGCTGCTGTTGCAACTGGCGCTCGAGCGCGCTGCAGCGGTCGGCGAGGACCTCGATCTGCCGCACCGCGGCGGCCAGGACGTCCGTCATGCGCACAATGCTCTGCTCCACCCACGCCGGCACGTTGCCCGCCGCAGCTTCGGCTGCCGCCTGCGCGCATCTCTCATGACCGTGCAATCAGGGCGCTGTCGCGGGTGGCGCGCGCGGGCTACCGAGACAGACAGGCAGGTGCAGTTGGCGGGCAGGGGCCGCTCTCACCAGCTGCTCGAAGCGCTTGGAGAGCTCCTGGATGCCGCCGGCATGCGCCGACTGCTGATTTCGGAGGCTCGACTGGTCGGCGCGGACCTGCTGGATCGCGTCGACGGCGGCGCTGACGCCGCGGGCCATCACGTCCCACTCCGCGTCCGGAGCCCGCGGCGTCCGCTCCAGTCCGGCCGCGCGCGTGATGCGGCACGAGGGCGCGTCCGGTGCTCGCGCACTGTCGTCGTGGCGGTCCGCGCGGCGAAATGGCTGGGGCAGAGCCGCCGGTCCCCGCGAATCGGGCGCCGGGCCGGCGTCAGGGGTCCGTGCGCGGCCTGTGGGGCTCGCTGTGTCGGCCTCAAACGGTCTGGTGGGCAACGACGTGTAGTTGTTGCCCGGCGTCGCTCCGTTGTGGCCTGTCGTCGGGATCGGGGTGAGAAACGAGGTGGCCTCCAGACTACCGGTGCCTTTGCGCGCGTCACTCGCAGCGAGGATCATGTCCCGGCACGACGCACGCACCCCCTGCACAGCGTTTTTTCGAGCTCAGGTGGGTCTCGCATTCCACTCCACCGAGGCCATGATACGACCGAACGCGCGCGGAGGCCGGGTCCCTCAACACGGGTGAAGGTTCCTGGCTCGAGCTCACCTCGAGTGCGGACTCGACGTCCGCGTGGCTCGCTTTTTCGTTGAGGAGCCTCAACGTGCGCGTGTATCTTTCAGCGCAGACGTCGAAATCATCATGACTGCCTCGCGCGGGAGTGCTCATGTGCGAAGCTGCCTCGCCCATGACGAGAAATGCAACATTTGACGCCCAGAGGCCCGCGTTGACGAGAGGCCCTGCAGAGGCTCCGTGCCCGCCCCAGACGACCATGCCTGGACTGAACCTCCGCGGGGGCGCACTCTCGGAGGTTTCGTGGACGCGAGCTTGCTGTGCCGAGCCGCGGCAGTCCATGGCGCAATAGCCCCGCGCGCCCCAGAAGTCGGGCGAATCCAATGCTGGACCCCTGGTGTCCTACCGCGGGCTCCCGCACAGCCCGAACTGTCGGGCACGAGCGGCACAGCACGCTCGCCGCATAGAGACGCACGCGCAGCACCCTCCCGACGATCGCCAGGCTCGCCGGCAAGGGGTGCGTTGTCGTTCCAAAGTGCAACTGCCTGACTCCAGCGGAGATCGCGCCCCGGGCGACGACGGCATGCGCACCACATCATTAGCGCTCACACAGGGCACCTGTCCTGGTCTTCTCGTCTAAGTCAACTTCTCGCAGCTATCAACCTAATGCCCCCTTTGCGTGGGGCGAAATGCAGCGCGCGCTCCTTGACTGCCGCCGTGCGAGGGCGGAGACATCCCGTGTGCACGGGGAGCGTCGCGGCGCAGTGCTGGGCGCGCAAGCAGGGGCCACCGCGCCCAGTGCGCCGATAAAAAGTCTCTCGCGGGCACCTCCAGCCACTCCTGAAATGCCGCCCGGTGCGGGCGAACACGTCCCCATCAAGCTGGGGTAGCGGCGGTGTGCGAAGCGTTGAAAAATGGTCGCGCGGCCCGGCAGCTGGTGCGCTCAGGGCGCGTAGTTGAGCGAGGGCCCGAGCCACTTCTCCATGACGGCCCTGTCTTTGCCCTTGCGGTCGGCATAGTCCGCGACCTGCTCGGGCGTGATCTTGCCCACGGAGAAGTAGTGGCTGGCCTTGCCGGCGAAGATCAGCCCCGAGACCGACGCCGCGGGCAGCATGGCCAGCGACTCGGTCAGCGACACGCCAATCTCGTCCTGCACGTTCATCAGCTCCCACATCGTCTCCTTCTCCGTGTGGTCCGGCTGCGACGGGTACCCGGGCGCCGGCCGGATGCCCTGGTACTTGACCTTGAGGAGGTCGTCGCACGACAGGCTCTCGTCGGGCGCGTAACCCCACAGCTCCTTGCGGACCACCTCGTGGAGCTTCTCCGCGAACGCCTCGGCCAGCCGGTCCGCGATGGCCTCGGCCATGATGTAGTTGTAGTCGTCCCCGGCCTCCTTGTACTTCTTCGTGACCTCGTCCAGCCCGTCGCCCGCCGTCACCACAAACATGCCCATGTAGTCCTTCAGGCCCGAGCTCTTCGGCGCGACGAAGTCCGAGATGCACGTGTACGGCTTGTCCTCGACCTCCACCTGCTGCCGCAGCCCGTAGAACTTGCACTTGACGCTGGCGCGGCCCTCGTCCTCGTACAGCTCGATGTCGTCGCCGACGGCGTTCGCCGGGTAGATGCCGAGCATGCCCTGCAGGCGGACGCGCTTGTTCTCCATGAAGTCCTTGAGCATCGCCTGCGCCTCGGCGTAGAGCTTCTTGGCCTCCTCGCCGACCGTCTTGTCGTTGAAGATCTTGGGGTACCCGCGGTTGGGGTAGCGCCCGCGCAGCTGCCAGACCTGGAAGAACGGGTTCCAGTCGATGTAGTCCAGCACGTCCTCGATCGGGAACTCCTTGAACACCTTGGTCCCGACCAGCTTGGGCACCGGGGGGGTGTTCTCGGGGGCCTTCCAGTCCACCTGGAAGCGCGACGCGCGCGCCTCCTCGATCGTGAGGTACTTGCGGTCCTCCAGCCCCGCGTAGAACTCCTCGCGCATCTCGGCGTACTGCTCCGCGACGTCCTCCGCGAACCCGAGCTTGTGCTTCGGGTCCAGCAGCGACTGTGCCACGGGCACCGAGCGCGACGCGTCGAGCACGTACACCACGGGCGACTCGAGCTGCGGCGCGATCTTCACCGCCGTGTGCATCTTCGACGTCGTCGCGCCGCCGATCAGCAGCGGGATCTGCACCCCGTTGTCCTTCATCTTCTGCGCCACCGTCACCATCTCGTCCAGCGACGGCGTGATGAGCCCCGACAGCCCGAGGATGTCCGCGCGGTGCGTCTTGCACGCCTCGATGATGTTCTCCCACGGCTGCATCACGCCGAGGTCGATGACCTTGAAGTTGTTGCACCCCAGCACCACCGAGACGATGTTCTTGCCAATGTCGTGCACGTCGCCCTTGACCGTCGCGATCACCACCACGCCCGCGCCGCGGTCGTCCTCGACGACGTCCCCGGCCTTGCGGTTCTTCTCCTTCTCCTCCTCGATGTACGGCACCAGGTGGCCCACCGCCTTCTTCATCACGCGCGCAGACTTGATCACCTGCGGCAAAAACATCTTGCCCGCGCCGAACAGGTCGCCCACCACGTTCATCCCGTCCATCAGCGGCCCCTCGATCACCTCGAGCGGCTTCTCGTACTTGCCGCACGTCCGGCACTCCTCCGTGTCGGCAATGATGAACTCGTCCGTGCCCTTAATCAGCGCGTACTCGATGCGCTTCGCAACCGGGTCGTCGCGCCACGCGGCGCCAGCCTTCTTCGGGCCGCCGCCGCTCTTCCCGGCGGCGTTCCCGGCCTTGCGCACGGCCGTCGGGTGGCACTTCGGGTCCAGCGTCGCCGCGTACTCCAGCATGCGCTCCGTGGCGTTGTCGCACAGGTTCAGCAGCACGTCCTCGATGTATCCGAGCAGCTCCTTGTCCATCTTCTCGTACACGTCCTCGTTCACCTGCACCGTGTTCACGATGCCCATGTCCATGCCCGCCTTGCACGCGTGGTACAGGAACGCCGAGTGGAAGCCCCGCCGCACCGCCTCGTTCCCGCGGAAGCTGAACGCGATGTTCGACACCCCGCCCGAGATCTTGCTGCCCGGACACAGCCGCTTGATCTCCCGCGTCGCACGGATAAAGTCCACCGCGTAGTTGTTGTGCTCCGCCATGCCCGTGCCGATGGTCAGGATGTTGGGGTCGAAGATGATGTCCTGCGGGTTGAAGCCCACCTCCTCCACCAGGATCCGGTACGCCCGGCAGCACATCGACACCTTCTCGTCAAAGTTCGCCGCCTGCCCCTGCTCGTCAAAGGCCATCACCACCACCGCCGCGCCGTGCCGCTTGACGATGGTGGCCTGCCGCTTGAAGGCGTCCTCGCCCTCCTTGAGCGAGATGGAGTTGACGATGCACTTGCCCTGGCTGCACTTGAGCCCGGCCTCGACGATGTGGAACTTGCTGCTGTCAATCATCAGCGGCACCTTGCTGATCTCCGGGTCCGACACGATCAGGTTGACCATCTTCGTCATCGCCGCCACGCCGTCGATCAGCCCGTCGTCCATGTTGATGTCCAGCACGTGCGCCCCGTTCTCCACCTGCTTCTTGGCGATGGCCAGCGCCTTCTCCCAGTTGCCGTCCACGATGGCGTTCTTGAAGATCCGCGACCCCGCCACGTTGCACCGCTCGCCCAGGTTCAGGAAGCTCGCCCGCATGTCCTCCGCGCTCGGACGGTAGTTCAGCGGCTCCAGCCCCGACAGCCGCATCAGCTCCTCCACCTCGTGCAGCCGCCGCGGCGCGTGCTGCTTCGCCATCTGCGCGATCGCCGCGATGTGCGCCGGGCTGCTCCCGCAGCACCCGCCGATCGCGTTCAGCAGGCCCGCCGCCGCCATCGGCTCGATCTCCGCCGCCATCGCCTCGGGCTTCTGGTCGTACCCGCCCATGGCGTTCGGCAGCCCCGCGTTCGGGTAGCAAAACACCCAGCAGTCCGCGCACTTGCTCAGGTTCTCGATGTACGGCTTCATGTCCTCCGCCCCCAGCGCGCAGTTAAGCCCCACGCCCAGCGGCTTGGCGTGGCTGATCGAGTTCCAGAACGCCTCGTTCGTCTGCCCCGACAGCGTCCGCCCGCTCTTGTCCACGATCGTGCCCGACACCAGCACCGGGATCCGCTTCCCCTTGTCCACGAAGAAGCGCTCCAGCGCGTACAGCGCCGCCTTGGCGTTCAGCGTGTCGAAGATCGTCTCCACCAAAAACAGGTCCACGCCGCCGTCCCACAGACCCTCCGCCTGCTCGTAGTACGCCGCCTCCACCTCGTCAAACGTGATCCCGCGCACCGCCGGGTTCTCCACGTCCGGCGACACCGACAGCGTCTTGTTCGTCGGCCCCATCGCCCCCGCCACCCACCGCGGCTTCCCCGGGTCCGCCGCCGTCGCCTCCGCCGCCGCCTCCTTCGCCAGCCGCGCCGCCTCCTTGTTGATCTGGTACACCACCTCCTTCTTGTCCAGCTCGTAGTCCGCCTGCGAGATCCACGTCCCGTTGAACGTGTTCGTCTCGATGATGTCCGCCCCGGCGTCCAGGTACTCCTTGTGGATGCCCTTGATCACGTCCGGCCGCGTCAGCACCAGCAGGTCGTTGTTCCCCTTCAGCTCGTGCCCGTGCGACGCAAACTGCTCCCCACGGAAGTCCGCCTCCTGCAGCTTGTACCCCTGGATGCACGTCCCCATCGCGCCGTCAATGATCAGGATGCGCTCCCGGAAGTGCCGCGCGATCTCGTCGAACGCCGCGCTCTTCGCCACGGTGTCCTGGTACGCAGAGTAGCGCGGTGTGGGCGGGAGGGTCTCCGGCGGGGCCAGGGGGTCGAAGCCCTGGGGCTTCGGGTTGACCTTGGCGCTGATCTTCGGGCCGCTGTCGCCCTCGAGCTTGCGCACGGCCGTCGGGTGGCACTTCGGGTCCAGCGTCGCCGCGTACTCCAGCATGCGCTCCGTGGCGTTGTCGCACAGGTTCAGCAGCACGTCCTCGATGTATCCGAGCAGCTCCTTGTCCATCTTCTCGTACACGTCCTCGTTCACCTGCACCGTGTTCACGATGCCCATGTCCATGCCCGCCTTGCACGCGTGGTACAGGAACGCCGAGTGGAAGCCCCGCCGCACCGCCTCGTTCCCGCGGAAGCTGAACGCGATGTTCGACACCCCGCCCGAGATCTTGCTGCCCGGACACAGCCGCTTGATCTCCCGCGTCGCACGGATAAAGTCCACCGCGTAGTTGTTGTGCTCCGCCATGCCCGTGCCGATGGTCAGGATGTTGGGGTCGAAGATGATGTCCTGCGGGTTGAAGCCCACCTCCTCCACCAGGATCCGGTACGCCCGGCAGCACATCGACACCTTCTCGTCGAAGTTCGCCGCCTGCCCCTGCTCGTCGAAGGCCATCACCACCACCGCCGCGCCGTGCCGCTTGACGATGGTGGCCTGCCGCTTGAAGGCGTCCTCGCCCTCCTTGAGCGAGATGGAGTTGACGATGCACTTGCCCTGGCTGCACTTGAGCCCGGCCTCGACGATGTGGAACTTGCTGCTGTCAATCATCAGCGGCACCTTGCTGATCTCCGGGTCCGACACGATCAGGTTGACCATCTTCGTCATCGCCGCCACGCCGTCGATCAGCCCGTCGTCCATGTTGATGTCCAGCACGTGCGCCCCGTTCTCCACCTGCTTCTTGGCGATGGCCAGCGCCTTCTCCCAGTTGCCGTCCACGATGGCGTTCTTGAAGATCCGCGACCCCGCCACGTTGCACCGCTCGCCCAGGTTCAGGAAGCTCGCCCGCATGTCCTCCGCGCTCGGACGGTAGTTCAGCGGCTCCAGCCCCGACAGCCGCATCAGCTCCTCCACCTCGTGCAGCCGCCGCGGCGCGTGCTGCTTCGCCATCTGCGCGATCGCCGCGATGTGCGCCGGGCTGCTCCCGCAGCACCCGCCGATCGCGTTCAGCAGGCCCGCCGCCGCCATCGGCTCGATCTCCGCCGCCATCGCCTCGGGCTTCTGGTCGTACCCGCCCATGGCGTTCGGCAGCCCCGCGTTCGGGTAGCAAAACACCCAGCAGTCCGCGCACTTGCTCAGGTTCTCGATGTACGGCTTCATGTCCTCCGCCCCCAGCGCGCAGTTAAGCCCCACGCCCAGCGGCTTGGCGTGGCTGATCGAGTTCCAGAACGCCTCGTTCGTCTGCCCCGACAGCGTCCGCCCGCTCTTGTCCACGATCGTGCCCGACACCAGCACCGGGATCCGCTTCCCCTTGTCCACGAAGAAGCGCTCCAGCGCGTACAGCGCCGCCTTGGCGTTCAGCGTGTCGAAGATCGTCTCCACCAAAAACAGGTCCACGCCGCCGTCCCACAGACCCTCCGCCTGCTCGTAGTACGCCGCCTCCACCTCGTCAAACGTGATCCCGCGCACCGCCGGGTTCTCCACGTCCGGCGACACCGACAGCGTCTTGTTCGTCGGCCCCATCGCCCCCGCCACCCACCGCGGCTTCCCCGGGTCCGCCGCCGTCGCCTCCGCCGCCGCCTCCTTCGCCAGCCGCGCCGCCTCCTTGTTGATCTGGTACACCACCTCCTTCTTGTCCAGCTCGTAGTCCGCCTGCGAGATCCACGTCCCGTTGAACGTGTTCGTCTCGATGATGTCCGCCCCGGCGTCCAGGTACTCCTTGTGGATGCCCTTGATCACGTCCGGCCGCGTCAGCACCAGCAGGTCGTTGTTCCCCTTCAGCTCGTGCCCGTGCGACGCAAACTGCTCCCCACGGAAGTCCGCCTCCTGCAGCTTGTACCCCTGGATGCACGTCCCCATCGCGCCGTCAATGATCAGGATGCGCTCCCGGAAGTGCCGCGCGATCTCGTCGAACGCCGCGCTCTTCGCCACGGTGTCCTGGTACGCAGAGTAGCGCGGTGTGGGCGGGAGGGTCTCCGGCGGGGCCAGGGGGTCGAAGCCCTGGGGCTTCGGGTTGACCTGCACACAGCGACAGCGCAACAAGCTACGTGACAATGCCCGGAGCGCGAGAGGTCGCTGTTGGCCGTCCTTGCGGCGAGGCAGACACTCAACACACCTTGGCGCTGATCTTCGGGCCGTCCTCCTCGCCCAGCTTGCGCACGGCCGTCGGGTGGCACTTCGGGTCCAGCGTCGCCGCGTACTCCAGCATGCGCTCCGTCGAGTCGGCCCGCCGGTTCAGCAGCACGTCCTCGATGTACCCGAGCAGCTCCTTGTCCATCTTCTCGTACACGTCCTCGTTCACCTGCACCGTGTTCACGATGCCCATGTCCATGCCCGCCTTGCACGCGTGGTACAGGAACGCCGAGTGGAAGCCCCGCCGCACCGCCTCGTTCCCGCGGAAGCTGAACGCGATGTTCGACACCCCGCCCGAGATCTTGCTGCCCGGACACAGCCGCTTGATCTCCCGCGTCGCGCGGATAAAGTCCACCGCGTAGTTGTTGTGCTCCGCCATGCCCGTGCCGATGGTCAGGATGTTGGGGTCGAAGATGATGTCCTGCGGGTTGAAGCCCACCTCCTCCACCAGGATCCGGTACGCCCGGCAGCACATGGCGACCTTGTCCTCGTACCCGGCGGCCTGCCCCTGCTCGTCGAAGGCCATCACCACCACCGCCGCGCCGTGCCGCTTGACGATGGTGGCCTGCCGCTTGAAGGCGTCCTCGCCCTCCTTGAGCGAGATGGAGTTGACGATGCACTTGCCCTGGCTGCACTTGAGCCCGGCCTCGACGATGTGGAACTTGCTGCTGTCAATCATCAGCGGCACCTTGCTGATCTCCGGGTCCGACACGATCAGGTTGACCATCTTCGTCATCGCCGCCACGCCGTCGATCAGCCCGTCGTCCATGTTGATGTCCAGCACGTGCGCCCCGTTCTCCACCTGCTTCTTGGCGATGGCCAGCGCCTTCTCCCAGTTGCCGTCCACGATGGCGTTCTTGAAGATCCGCGACCCCGCCACGTTGCACCGCTCGCCCAGGTTCAGGAAGCTCGCCCGCATGTCCTCCGCGCTCGGACGGTAGTTCAGCGGCTCCAGCCCCGACAGCCGCATCAGCTCCTCCACCTCGTGCAGCCGCCGCGGCGCGTGCTGCTTCGCCATCTGCGCGATCGCCGCGATGTGCGCCGGGCTGCTCCCGCAGCACCCGCCGATCGCGTTCAGCAGGCCCGCCGCCGCCATCGGCTCGATCTCCGCCGCCATCGCCTCGGGCTTCTGGTCGTACCCGCCCATGGCGTTCGGCAGCCCCGCGTTCGGGTAGCAAAACACCCAGCAGTCCGCGCACTTGCTCAGGTTCTCGATGTACGGCTTCATGTCCTCCGCCCCCAGCGCGCAGTTAAGCCCCACGCCCAGCGGCTTGGCGTGGCTGATCGAGTTCCAGAACGCCTCGTTCGTCTGCCCCGACAGCGTCCGCCCGCTCTTGTCCACGATCGTGCCCGACACCAGCACCGGGATCCGCTTCCCCTTGTCCACGAAGAAGCGCTCCAGCGCGTACAGCGCCGCCTTGGCGTTCAGCGTGTCGAAGATCGTCTCCACCAAAAACAGGTCCACGCCGCCGTCCCACAGACCCTCCGCCTGCTCGTAGTACGCCGCCTCCACCTCGTCAAACGTGATCCCGCGCACCGCCGGGTTCTCCACGTCCGGCGACACCGACAGCGTCTTGTTCGTCGGCCCCATCGCCCCCGCCACCCACCGCGGCTTCCCCGGGTCCGCCGCCGTCGCCTCCGCCGCCGCCTCCTTCGCCAGCCGCGCCGCCTCCTTGTTGATCTGGTACACCACCTCCTTCTTGTCCAGCTCGTAGTCCGCCTGCGAGATCCACGTCCCGTTGAACGTGTTCGTCTCGATGATGTCCGCCCCGGCGTCCAGGTACTCCTTGTGGATGCCCTTGATCACGTCCGGCCGCGTCAGCACCAGCAGGTCGTTGTTCCCCTTCAGCTCGTGCCCGTGCGACGCAAACTGCTCCCCACGGAAGTCCGCCTCCTGCAGCTTGTACCCCTGGATGCACGTCCCCATCGCGCCGTCAATGATCAGGATGCGCTCCCGGAAGTGCCGCGCGATCTCGTCGAACGCCGCGCTCTTCGCCACGGTGTCCTGGTACGCAGAGTAGCGCGGTGTGGGCGGGAGGGTCTCCGGCGGGGCCAGGGGGTCGAAGCCCTGGGGCTTCGGGTTGACCTGCACACAGCGACAGCGCAACAAGCTACGTGACAATGCCCGGAGCGCGAGAGGTCGCTGTTGGCCGTCCTTGCGGCGAGGCAGACACTCAACACACCTTGGCGCTGATCTTCGGGCCGTCCTCCTCGCCCAGCTTGCGCACGGCCGTCGGGTGGCACTTCGGGTCCAGCGTCGCCGCGTACTCCAGCATGCGCTCCGTCGAGTCGGCCCGCCGGTTCAGCAGCACGTCCTCGATGTACCCGAGCAGCTCCTTGTCCATCTTCTCGTACACGTCCTCGTTCACCTGCACCGTGTTCACGATGCCCATGTCCATGCCCGCCTTGCACGCGTGGTACAGGAACGCCGAGTGGAAGCCCCGCCGCACCGCCTCGTTCCCGCGGAAGCTGAACGCGATGTTCGACACCCCGCCCGAGATCTTGCTGCCCGGACACAGCCGCTTGATCTCCCGCGTCGCGCGGATAAAGTCCACCGCGTAGTTGTTGTGCTCCGCCATGCCCGTGCCGATGGTCAGGATGTTGGGGTCGAAGATGATGTCCTGCGGGTTGAAGCCCACCTCCTCCACCAGGATCCGGTACGCCCGGCAGCACATGGCGACCTTGTCCTCGTACCCGGCGGCCTGCCCCTGCTCGTCGAAGGCCATCACCACCACCGCCGCGCCGTGCCGCTTGACGATGGTGGCCTGCCGCTTGAAGGCGTCCTCGCCCTCCTTGAGCGAGATGGAGTTGACGATGCACTTGCCCTGGCTGCACTTGAGCCCGGCCTCGACGATGTGGAACTTGCTGCTGTCAATCATCAGCGGCACCTTGCTGATCTCCGGGTCCGACACGATCAGGTTGACCATCTTCGTCATCGCCGCCACGCCGTCGATCAGCCCGTCGTCCATGTTGATGTCCAGCACGTGCGCCCCGTTCTCCACCTGCTTCTTGGCGATGGCCAGCGCCTTCTCCCAGTTGCCGTCCACGATGGCGTTCTTGAAGATCCGCGACCCCGCCACGTTGCACCGCTCGCCCAGGTTCAGGAAGCTCGCCCGCATGTCCTCCGCGCTCGGACGGTAGTTCAGCGGCTCCAGCCCCGACAGCCGCATCAGCTCCTCCACCTCGTGCAGCCGCCGCGGCGCGTGCTTCTTCGCCATCTGCGCGATCGCCGCGATGTGCGCCGGGCTGCTCCCGCAGCACCCGCCGATCGCGTTCAGCAGGCCCGCCGCCGCCATCGGCTCGATCTCCGCCGCCATCGCCTCGGGCTTCTGGTCGTACCCGCCCATGGCGTTCGGCAGCCCCGCGTTCGGGTAGCAAAACACCCAGCAGTCCGCGCACTTGCTCAGGTTCTCGATGTACGGCTTCATGTCCTCCGCCCCCAGCGCGCAGTTAAGCCCCACGCCCAGCGGCTTGGCGTGGCTGATCGAGTTCCAGAACGCCTCGTTCGTCTGCCCCGACAGCGTCCGCCCGCTCTTGTCCACGATCGTGCCCGACACCAGCACCGGGATCCGCTTCCCCTTGTCCACGAAGAAGCGCTCCAGCGCGTACAGCGCCGCCTTGGCGTTCAGCGTGTCGAAGATCGTCTCCACCAAAAACAGGTCCACGCCGCCGTCCCACAGACCCTCCGCCTGCTCGTAGTACGCCGCCTCCACCTCGTCAAACGTGATCCCGCGCACCGCCGGGTTCTCCACGTCCGGCGACACCGACAGCGTCTTGTTCGTCGGCCCCATCGCCCCCGCCACCCACCGCGGCTTCCCCGGGTCCGCCGCCGTCGCCTCCGCCGCCGCCTCCTTCGCCAGCCGCGCCGCCTCCTTGTTGATCTGGTACACCACCTCCTTCTTGTCCAGCTCGTAGTCCGCCTGCGAGATCCACGTCCCGTTGAACGTGTTCGTCTCGATGATGTCCGCCCCGGCGTCCAGGTACTCCTTGTGGATGCCCTTGATCACGTCCGGCCGCGTCAGCACCAGCAGGTCGTTGTTCCCCTTCAGCTCGTGCCCGTGCGACGCAAACTGCTCCCCACGGAAGTCCGCCTCCTGCAGCTTGTACCCCTGGATGCACGTCCCCATCGCGCCGTCAATGATCAGGATGCGCTCCCGGAAGTGCCGCGCGATCTCGTCGAACGCCGCGCTCTTCGCCACGGGGTCCTCGAACGCAGAGTAGACCGGCACGGGGTCCCCGGCCTTGATCGGCTTCTTCGGTGGCGCCGCCGTGCCGTTCCCGGTGGCCTTCTTAGGCGCCTGCTCGACCGCCGGCTTCTGCGCAGGGTCCGCGCTGCTGGCGACGATTCTGGCGGCCTGAGGAGCCGGCTCTGCAGGGGAGGGAGGTGTGGCTGCTTGACGCGGTCAGGTCGCGCGCTGGGGCACCGGAGCGGTGCCTGCTGAGAGCCCGGTCGCCAGCATTGCGGGCCGTGGGGGCGCTCAGGGGCAGGGCGAGCGAAGGGCATGCCCGCGCGCGATCCGATTCGAGCGGGACTTCGTGCGTGCGTGCGTTCTGGCGGGGCGGGAGGCTCACTCTTCGGCGAGGCAAAAGGGGCCGCCTTGGCCAGAAGGTCGCCCGGGGACGCCTTGTAGCTGGCAAACACCAGACCCTGCGATGCGTGGACGACGAGCACGTAAATCGTGAGCGTGGAAATGTCGTCAGATAGGCGGTTGGGCGGCGGAGCGGGACGTGGCGACGGTGGGAATCCACAGCCACCCCAACGAGCAGGCTGGCGGCGGCCTGTGCCGCGGCGTGACGACATGATTCCGCGCACAAACGTCAGATTCTCACCATGGCGAGGAGGGTCGCGGGGATGATGATCGGCGCCCCCAGCACAGCGAGGAAGAGCAACACGGGGCCGAGGAACATCGAAGCAGGGACCGCCACGAGCAGCAGGGCCCCCGCGACGACGGGCCTGGCCTTCATCCACTCGTAGACGTCCATCATTGCCGCGGGGTGCCCCCACCCCTCCACGGGCAGGCCTATGCGGATGGATGCAGCGAAACGAGACAGAAGCCCTTTCCCTAGCCGCTCGAGAGGTTGTAGACGCACGCCAGGCTCGAGCGATGCTGGCGGCAGTCAATTCTTTGTGTCGCGGGTGCGCGTGGCCGCGCACAAACAAGTCGCACGCCCCGGGGCGGCCCTGCCAGGCCAGTCGGACCCCGAGTAGAAGCGATGTCACGCGCAGGGCGGGCGCCGCGGCACAGCAGGCAGCGGCGTTGCAGGCAGTCTTCCGAAACAGCAGAGGATCACCCCCCGCTTTCGCGCAGGAAGCTAGAGACGCACCCACGGCGCGAGGCTGCAGTGCATGTGGTAACCATCTTGTGTCACCGGCGCTGCGGTCGAGGCTGGAGGGCTGAAGCTGAGGCCTCGAGGCCCCACGCGCAGCTGCACGGAACGCGTGCTTCGCCCGCGCGCTGCAAACGTAGCACTCGATGCGCCCGCGCAGGATGCGAAATGACATGCGGTGTGCTGTCGTCCTCATCAAGGCGGCGCCGTGGCAGGGGGACTCGCGCGAATGGCCATGCGAGCGCTGCGGCTGGACAGCGACGCCGTCCTTCGACGTTCGCCCTGCATGAGTCACACGATCCGCTTCTCATTCTTCGTCGACGTCGGGGTCTCCATCAGCGTCCCCGCCAGCGTCCCCGCCGGCGTCCGCGGCGTCGGCCCCGCCTTCGCCGGCCGCGGCTTCACCCAGCGCCCGGACCCCCCCCGCGACCGCGCCGACGGCGCCGCCCGTCATGGCCAGGCGCTCGACCTCACGCATGTCCATGTCGACGAGCGACACGATGCGCAGCCGCTCGGCCTTCCACTCGGGGCACTTGAACACGTCGGGAATCGAGAGGTTCGCCCTGGCCTCGGAGTTCTGGTCGATGAGCGGGTGGTGCTCGGACAGGTAGAGCAGCTTGGCAAACATGGCGTTCAGCGCGGCCTTGGTCTGCAGCCCGCTCGACGACAGCCCGTCGAGCTCCTTGTCCACCATGATGTAGCCGTACCGCTGCCTGCACGACCGACCGCGCACGCGCCGCGTCTCACGCCCCCGCCGTCGGAGCCACAACCACAGCAGGGCAAGCAGCGCAGCACAAAGCGGAGGCGGGGCCGGCCCGGGCCGCACGTACATGATGCGTTCGCCGCGGCCCTTGAGCGCCTCGGCGACCTCCTCGTCGGAGAGGCCCAGGCTCTCCTTGAGCTTCACGAGGTCCGCCACAGCCTGCTCGTCAAACTGACGGTCCTTGATGACGAAGTTCAGGTACTTCCGGAACACCTCCATGCCCGAGAAACCCGTCTGCCGCATCAACTTCTTCGCCTCCTTGCTCGTGAACTGCGGCGCGGGCGACACGCGGCGTTCGCGGCTGGTGGTGACTCGTACTCGTGCGTTCCGCAGGAGGGGGCCTGACAGGCGTCAGAGACGTGCGCAGGGGGTCGACTGCGGCGGCGAGCGCGCACCTCGCTCCTGCGGTCCGGCAGGAAGGCCCTCAGCCCCTCGACGACGAGGCTGTTCTTCTTCACGTTGCGCCGGCGGCGCTGCGGGCCGCTGGTGTATTTGCGGAACAGCCGGACCGCGGTGACGACCACCGTCAGCCCGAACAGGCCCGTCGCGACACCCACGCCCGCGCGGACCACCTTGTCCGGGATCGCGATCTGCGCGCACACGAACGCGGCACCGGTGTGCGTCGTGTCCCTCAGGCCCCCGCGCAACGGGTGCGACAGGGGGCGTGAGCAGCACCGCCGCGCATCGCTATAGGTCGTTCCAAGCACAAGCTTCGTGGAGGCGAGCGTGACGTCCTCGAAGCGCCCGCCTACAGGCCAGCATCTACACGCGGGCGGTTTGCGCCCACCACGAGGCGTTCGCGACGCGGTCCCGCTCCCCGATCCGTGCGCACGGCGCCGCGCGCGTCCCTGCGCCGTGGTGAGACAGGCTGGCCAAGGCGCGCGGCGAGGAGGCTCACCTTGGGTCCGGCGGGCACTGCCGCGGTGGACAGCTCACGCGCGTCCAGGACCTCCTCATCCTCCGCCTCCGCCTTAATCGCGCGCTGCTTCGCGATTGCCTGGGCCGCAGGGCTAGGGACAGCGCCCGCTCCGACGTCGGAGGACGCGCTCGCTGAAGACGGGGCCGAGGGAGCCGCGGGCGGCGCCTGCTGGGTGGGCGGAGCGGCTGGTGACGTCGAGGGCGCCTGCTCTGGTGCGTTCGCGGACGCGGTGGTTGGTGGCTGCGGCGGGGTGTTCGTGGAGTCAGTGGTGTTGTCGCTGTCGGCGCGGACGACCAGGCGCCCAGGCCGCCGCGGGGCCACCTGCTTGGGCCTCAGCCCGGCCAAGGGCGCGTGTGCGGCGCGGCCCGCGAAGGGGACGCGAAGCGCCATCGTGCCACACCTCCGAACAAATGCTACAGCCCACGGCGCGCGGCGAGCGAGGCGAATGTGCGCGCGTGCGGCGCATGCGAGGATGATCGAGGGGGGGAGTCGACTTGCATCAAGGCAATCTGCACCGCCGCCGCCGCGGCCCGCGCCTCCAACGCCGCGGCCACACGCCCCGTCCGTGCAGCGTGCCGACGACGCCTCCGTGCCACGTCAGCGTCCCACGCGACCGTCGCTCGGCCCAATCAATGTCGTCGACGCCTCTCGTCCTGCCTGCCGCGCCCCGACACCGCCCGCAACGCCCAGCGCGGCCCGTGCAGAGCTGCGCCCGTACACTCGCCTGGCTCGCGTCGAGGCGCTGCCCTCGCCTGCCGCGGCGACGCCGCATGCAACCGATCATGCGTGTATTATGCAACAAGTCCCCAACACGCGTCCCCGCGCGTCGCCGCCACCCTTTCTGGGTGCGCCGGGGGCTCGACGACACGCAGGATGTCGCGCGCGGGTCTGCGCTGGGCGGCCTGGAGGCGGGAGACGCGGCCCGACCGTCGAAAATGATGTGTCATACCCTGACTGTGTGTGGGGGCGTTGCGGCCACCCGCGGTGCAGAGTGGGCCCCGCGGCTCGAGGGGGGGCGGCCTGGGCTGTCGCGCGGCGCCGAAGGAGGTGCCTTGGACGTGGAACCTCACTCGTCTGGCGTGCAGGGCCTGCAGGGGGGAGGGGGTGTGCCAGGGGGCCTATGACCACGGGGCCTTCTCGGGGCAAGGACGGCGCGCGTGAGGGCGCGTGGACAGACTCATGCCGGTGCAACGACGTGCAGCTATGTGTTCTCCTTGTCGATAACGGCCGCGGGATGCCGCTCGCCCGCCCAACCGCCCGGCGCACTGCACGCGCCGTCGCCCAGGCGTTCGCAGCGCTCGTCGCGCTGGCCGCATTGCTGCTCGTTAGCCGACCTGTCCTGCCTCGTCCGCTCGAGGCTGGCCTGCCGGAGGAGTGCATCCTGAGACCCGTGGTGGCGTCGCCCCCATGGCCGCTCGAGACGCGCGCGTGGCGCGGCGCGGCGGTCCTCTTCGGCGACGAGCCCGTCGCGGCGCTCGACACCTCGAAGATCGACGCCTACTACTGGCCCGAGACGCTGCGCCTGGCCGCCCTGGCCCCCGCGGACGACCAGGCCCCGGCAGGTGGCCTGATAGTCGACAGCAGCTTCGTCGTCAACGACCCGCTCCTGACGATCCCCCACTTCACTCTACAGCCCACGACCGAGGACTGGCCCGTTCTGGAGCTCCCCGGCGAGTACTTCCTGCTCTGGAGTAACGATTTCTCGAGTATCAACTTCCAGCACTTCCTTTTCGAGCTCATGGAGAAGCTGGAAGTCTACCGGCAGGTCCTGCAGCCGCGCGGCGTGCGCCTCCTCATCCCGCGTCCGCTCGACACCTCGCTGTTCTGGGAGGTGCTCGAAATGGCAACGGGGCTCGCGCGCACCTCGGATGGGCCCTGCCGCCCGCGCCCGCGCGTGATCGACGCGGGCGAGGTGGTGCGTCCCGGGACGCTCTGGACCACGCCCTACACCCACAACTTCGAGGCCATCAGCGGGGCGGACGTGGCGGCCTTCCAGACCCTGCGACACGCGCTAGGCCTGCGGACAGCGCCGAGCCCCGCCGGGCGCGAAGTGCGCGGCCCCGGGCCTGGCATCCCCTCGCATGTGCTCTATTTGGCGCGCGAAGCGCAGCCCGACCACGACCGCGTCAACAACGCCGCGGGCGCTGGACGGGTCATCGAAAACGAGCCCGCACTGCGCGCCGCCCTCGAGGAGCGGCTCGGGGCGCGCACGGTGGCCCTGGCCACCAGCTCGCTACCGGAAAAGCGCGACCAGCTGGGACGCATCGGCGTGGCCGTCACGCAGATGGGGTCGAACATCAACAACTTCCTGTTCGCGGCGCCGGCCCGCCACATCGTGCTCCTCACGTCGGAGCTCCACGCGCCCTACGTTCCGTGGTACGACGAGCTGTTCGCGCGGGTGTTCGCGCCCGCGGAGACGCAGGTGACGGGCCTGACGTTCCCCACCACGGACGAGCTCGGGTCGTTCGTGGCCGATGTGGACGCCGTGGTCGAGCTGGTGGCGCGGCTGAGCGCAGACGTGGACGTCGACGCGCTCGGGTAACGGACCGGCGGCGCGAGTCTCGACAACGGGCGTCCGAGGCGCGCGTGCCCATGGATCATGCTGTACATATTATAACTCGACTTGGAGATTCAGTGAACGAGTGGACGAGAGAGAGGCGCGCTGGGTCGTCGTGGGACACGCCTGCTGCGTCGCAACTGGGAGGGCCAGGCATTTGCACGGCCCCGTGTATAATCACATGCTCACTTGGAGCGCCGTACTCACGGCAAAGTCAACTCGTTCGGCTCACACAAAAGCTCCGCGCTGCCCTCGCCTACCGCGGCTCGTGCGGCGACGCCGCATGCAACCCATCACGCGTGTCTGGCAACAGCGCCCCCCCCCACCGCGCGTCGCTGCCACCCTTGCTGACGCGTGGGGGGCTCGACGACACGCAGGACGCCGCGCGCGGGTCGGCGCTGGGCGGCCCGGCGGCGGAGGACGCGGCCCGAGCGTCGAAAATGATGTGTCATACCCTGACTGTGTGTGGGGGGGTTGCGGCCACCCGCGGTGCAGAGTGGGGCCCGCGGCTCGAGGGGGGGCGGCCTGGGCAGTCGCTGGCAGTGACGCTTGACCTCGCGTCGGGCTCTAGCGTGCAAATCTCGCCAATCGCGCGCTGTGAGGCAACGTCGAGGTGCTTGGCGGGGCAGCGCGGGGTGCAATGGAGAATGAACGGCAGCTCTTCGACCGTCTCGGCCGGCTGCTGTCGCAGACTGGTCCGGGGGCGCTGCCGTACGCCGAGCGCAACAAGAGAGTGATCCGGGAGCAGCTCTGTGCACTGGTCCAGGTGTGCCTGTCCCTCACGCGCCCCACAGTGCCCCTCTCTGCCGCAACGCTCCTTCTGCGCCACACCCACTTGGACCTGAGGTGTTCGTCGTGGTTCATGCGGCGAGATTCATTCTGGACGTGGTCGCGGGAGGCGAGTTGTGTTGCCGTCCCTTCAACCGCCGTTTCCCTCGCACGTTCGCAGTCCTACCCGCTTCTGCGCATCCTGGACGACAGAGAGTTCACGTTCAACAACGGCGCCACCGCGCGGTTGCTGCGCGCGGAGGGAACTGTGCCTATCCACTACAAGGGAGCTCGATACAACATCCCAATGGAAATATGGCTCCCGGAGAGCTTCCCGAACGACAGACCGATCGCCTTCGTTGTCCCGACGCACAGCATGATCATTCGCACCGGCCACCGCCACGTGGACCCCAACGGCGACACCCTCACGCCGCAACTCCAGGTATTTGACACCTCTCCGCCACCGCCCGCGGCGCCCCGGAGCGTTCGCGAAAACGCGGCCATTCCCGGCTCACGCGCATCGCCAGCGAGCGAACTCGGCATCGCGGACCGGGAGCCGGCCTCGCGGGGACTCTGGCGCCGCGCGTGCCGGCCCGCGGGCTGCGTCCCCCCAGCTCTCCGCCCACCTCGCACGCCCCCGCACGCGCCCCTGCAGTCTTGGAGCTGGCCGCCCTCGAACCTCCGCGCAGCGGTGGACGAGATCTGCGCGATATTCTCGGCGGATCCCCCGTTGTTCAGCAAGGCGGCCGCCCCGGCCCATCAGCCGCAGCGCCCTCCGCCGCACGACGCCGCGGCGCGCCCGCACGGGTCGCATTTCAACGGCCAAGCGTACGGGCAGCAGCCCCCGCCGCCGGCCGCGCACGCGCACGCGCACGCGCACCCCGCGCCGGGTCGCTACCCAGCGGTGAACCAGCCCAGCGCACAGCCACCCGCCCCCGCCATGCACGGGCCCGCGCTGGGCTACCCGCCGCCCCCGCAGCCCCACGGACAGCCCTACGGCGGCGCACCGTTCGACCGGCCGTCGCCGATGGGAGCACCCCCCCCCGGGGCCTACGGCACACCCCCCCCTCAGATCCACGGAGACGCCCGCCAGAACTCGCACGGGCACGCGCAGCCGGGCGCGGGGTACCCGAGCAAGCCGTCCGCGTCCGCGTCCGCGACGCCGCCGGCGCACGCGCGGCCGCCCGCTCCATCCCGCAGCAATCCGCAACTCGCGGCGCAACCCACGAAGCGCGACCTGGACCAGGCCGCGAGAGACGGAGCGATGCTGCACCTCGTCCCGCTCGTCACAAGGTGCATCGCGGCCGCCGAGGAGGCCGAGGCGGACCGGGCACGAGCCCAGGTGGATCTCGGCAAGCGAGTGGACCGGGACCTCGCTACCGCGCGCGGGGCGCTGCAGCAAGTTCAGGTGCGGCGCGCCTGGAGCGACGCTGGCTGCGAACGCCGTGTGCGCTGCCTGTTCGCGCCGAGAACGCACGTGGTCGGGGTGTGCTGCTGTTGGGTGCAGGAGGAGAGAGCAGCCGTGGAACGGGCGGCCTCGCAGCTCTCGCAGGTCCGCGACAAGCTGCGGACGTGGCTGGACTCCCACTCGCACCTGCGAAGCGGCGCCGAGGCGCCGGCGCTGGACGGGCTGGTGGTGCCGAGGACGGCGGCGGCGGGGGAGCAGATCGCTGCGGAGTGCCGGGCCAGGGCGTGCGACGACGCGATCGGGCTGCTGGACAGGGGCTTGCGGCGGGGAGCGCTCGCGCCGGAGCCGTACTTGCGCCTGGTGCGGCACCTCGCCTGCGAGCAATTCTTCGCATTGCATCGCGCACAGGGCAAGCGGGCCGCGACGCTGATCGGGAAGTAGCGCGGCCGCAGCTGGCAGAACCTGATGATGATGGCGCTTCGCCTCGCGGCGTCCTTGCACGGCAGGTGATGCCAGCCCGGCAGCGACGGGCGCACGTTGTGCAAGGCATCGATGTGACGGCCATGCAGCGAGACAGCCGTGTCCGTGTGAGCCATGACTGCGAGGGTTGCACGTCTGTGCGCTGGAAACTGACTCAAACTTCGCGGCCGTTCTGCCGTTGCATGTCAAATGCACACGCGTGCATGCCTTGCCTGCGGTCGAGCCACCACGCAAGGCTCTACCCAGACGTCCACTCCTGTCAGACATGACCGTACTCAACGCGAAAGAGTTCGTCTGTCTCCGCCGCGCTTTCCATTTCCGCAACCACCTTTTGTCGCATGACGCTCCTCCTTCTTAGATGGTGCTGCGCGCCGTGTTCTTCAGCGCGCACCCGACGCAGCTCAGGAACACCGTGCTCGTCTTCTCCTCGGGCCGGATCGTGAACCGCACCCCGAACACCTCCCGCACGTGCCGCAGCGTCTGCACTGCGTACGCCGTCAACGGGCCAAACCGCAGCTCCGCGATCTCCTCCGGCCCCAGCGCAGCCAGCAGCACCGCCAGGCCCTGGTGCGAGGTGTCCACCACGCCCCCGCGCGCCACCTCCTCCAGCAGCGCCCGCGCCGCCCGCGCCCCGATGTCCTCCGGGACCCTCCCGGACTCGGTCAGCTCTTTACCCCTCCCCGGGGCGTCCGCGACGACCTCCGCGGACACGAGCCGCCCCGCCGTCGTCTCCGCGACCAGCGTCACGCCGTAGCCCGGCGACGCGCCCGCCTTCGCCCCCGTCATGTGATCGGTGAAGATGTAAACGTCGGCCAGAAAGTCGTTCAGGACGCCGCGCGCGCCGTCGACGCAGCGGTTCGCGGCCTGCGGCGTGACGCGCATGGCGTGCGCGATCCCTCGGACCCTGCGCACCATGCCCTCCTCGGTCGCGCGCACCGCGGGGAGTGACTTGACGATCGGCACGGTCAGCACGACCTCGCCGCCGCCGCCCGGCGCGGCCCCGCGTTTCACGACCTTCAGGTCGACGCCCTCGATGCCGACGCTCTTGAGAAACGGTATGGTCACGGACCTGCGTCGCAGCGCGTGCATGCAGGGCGTCGGCACTCCTGCACCAACAGCGTTGCGCGCAGGCGTCAAGCGGTGCCGGTGGCGTACTTGAACGTGTCGACGGAGGGGTCCAGGACGTGGTTCGTGATTCCGCGGAGAGTGATGCTGAGTGGTTTCTTCCCGAAGAGTCCTAGGAGCAACAGAGGTTCGAGATAGTATCCGATGCCCCGTGACAAGCTGCAGTCGTGCTCGAGTCCGCCCCCCCCTGTTATGTGCCCAGGCTTGTAACGCATGCTCGTGCCTGCGCGGTGCGGGAGCCGCGTCCTCGGCTGAGCACGTGCGGAGGTGGGGTGCGCGTGAGCAGCGGTGCTCGCCGCCAGCACACTTGCAGCCGCGTGCGAGCGCGCAGATCGCGTCGGCGCGCCCGACGCGGCCGGAGCAGCGTCTTCATGCCAAGAGGTACGCAGCCGAAAGGACGAAAGTGCCGCTCATGTCCTGTCCAGTGCACAGGACCGGCGGCTTCTCCGTCCCCCCTGCCAGGCAGGCGCGCACCTGTCTCGTTGATTTCCACGATCACGCCATTGCAGAGCTTCTCGAAGAGACGGAGGAGGTTCGCCTCGAAGTCGCGCAGGCCCGGACTCTCATCCTTCGCGCGGATCTCGTCGATGCGAATGGGCCGCCGCGAGAGGTTGGCCAGCAGCACGCGTTGCCGGAAGTGCCGGCTTCCCTTGAATCTAATCATCTGGCGCCTAGCATCTACCCTTCATCTCATTGCCAATGCGGGCGAGTCGGGGCGCGTTGGGGGCTTCCCGTCGCAATATGCGGCAATTCAGCCCATACAACACTCTCGGTCGCCAGCACGCAACTTTCCCCTCGCGCGATGCTGCCGTTCGCTTCCCTGCCCGCGTCTGACCCGGCACGGCGCGCACCTCGGGCCGATGGCTTCACGGGTGCAGGGGGGCCATGACATGGTAGAAGCAGGTGGGGTGCGCAGCAGCTGTCAGCGTGCGTCCCTGGCCCCGCGTCGACGTTGGTTGCAGGCGCGGGCGGACATGCCACGTCAGTGTTCTTGCTGGACCGCTCGCGCACTTCCAGAAAAACGGCCCCGACGACGCGCCAGAGCGGCCCCGTGGTGCTTCTCTGGGTGTAGGAGCCCTCTTGCGTCTTCGACGGCCGGTAATGCCACCTCCGACTGGGCAAAAATGAGTAGGAGGGATCTTCTCGAGCCTCTCATTCCATCTAGAAGCATGAGTAGGGTCGGAAACGACTCGCACAGCGACCTTCAGACGGCCCGCTTCCCATCGTCGCGAGGGCTCAGCATAACACGGTGCGAACTCCCTGCTCTGCGCCTCCGTCGCGGAAGAGCTCTCGTCGAGCGTGATCTCCGCCGCGGCACACCGCTGCATTTTCCCCAGCAAGTGCGTTCTTGCGCTGTTAGTTGGTCATCTGCTTCCGCCCGCTCGGCCAGTGGGCTCGAGTCGCTGCAAGGGCTCGAGGAACATCGGCACGTGATCATCCGAGCGGCTCGCGCGGCGAATCTCACCCCCCACGCCACGCACTCCCCCCCCCGCGCTGCAGGCAACCAGAATACACGCTCGATCGCGATGAAGACAACTTGCCGCCGGTGGTGGGGCAGATCGTCATGCAGCGACGAACGCGACCAAAGCTCGCGAAGGAGCACCGCCCGGGGCTCCGAAGATGGCTGCGGTGAGCGGCAGCCCCACCGCCACACATCCCACAACGTCCGCGCAGCTGCCGCGCCCCACGCGCGGCCTCAACGAAGGCGCCGCTGCCCGCCTGCCGCACCGCGCCCGCCAGTGCGGCCCCAACACGGCGATCTGCCTGTACGTTGCGTTGCAGGTTCAACGAGACCGGCAACACGACGTGGTTGCAGGCGGACAAGTTCGCCATCGTCCACGAACTCGGCGTGCGGCTACGCGACCTGCGCATCATCGATCCGAACCCGATCGGGGCCACCAGGCCGCAGACGTACCTGGCCCACAGCAGCCGCGTACGGTCGCCGATGGCCATCCTGATTCGCGAACGCGCGCTGGTCGTCTCGCTCGAGGACGTCAAGTGCATTATTTCGACGGACCAAGTGCTCGTCCTCGACGCCGTCGACAGCAGCCTGGGCACCCTGACGCAGGAGTTGTACCGCCGCCTCAACAGCCCGCCCCACCCGGACGACCCCCCCTACGAGCTCAAGGCCCTCGAGGTCTGCCTGGACGTGTCGTGCAGGTGCGCTCCACTTCCGTGCCACGCCGTCACCGCCGAATCCCCCTTTTCGTGTCGCTGGCTTTGGAGGCCAGGGGCTGTGCGCGACGCGGTGTTTGCAGGTCGCTGGAGCAGCTCGCGTCGTCCGTCGAGTCGGAGTCGCTGCCCACGCTGGATGCCCTGGCGGGCGGCGACACGAGTCCTAAGCGGCTGGAGCTGGTGCGGAGGCTGAAGTCGCGGATGGTGCACTTGGTACGGCGTACCGAGGCTAGCAAGGAGGTTCTCGAGAAGCTCCTCGCCGACGACAAGGACATGCGCGACATGGTGCTGTCGGCCAAGATCCTCACGACCGGGAGGTGCGCTCGGCGCCCGGGTTTGGCCCGGCACCCCGCCTGACAGATGTTCTTCCGCTTCCCGCATGTCTGCGTCGTTTGCACGAGCGGCCAGCTTCGAGATCCCGCCACCTCACGTGCAGTCAGCTCGGTACTGTGCACGAGGACGCTGCGCCGCACGACGGCGGCGCAGGGCCCAGCAGCGGGCCGGCGGCCGCGCATGACGCAGCTGCTGCGGAGGACGCAGCGGCGCCGCGGGAGCCTGACGACGCGGTCCTGGACGACAACCAGGGCGAGCCGGCTGCGCACCCGACGGGCTCGCTGGGCACGTCGTGGCCGCACAGCGTCAGCCGGCTCACCCGGGCGTCGCTCCAGCGGCGACAGTCGGGCGTGGGCAACCCCTCGGCGTCGGGGGACAGCCTGGCGGACACGGCGGGGGACGACATGATCGCGGAGGTGGAGATGCTGTTGGAGGCGTACTACATGCAGGCGGACAACACGCTCGAGCGGCTCCGGGCGCTCCAGGAGTATGTGGGGGACACGGAAGACCTGCTGGAGATATCTATGGACTCGCTGCGGAATCGACTGATCACGCTGGAGCTGATGCTGACGCTGGCGTCGCTCAGCGTGGCCTTCATCGCGATGGTGGCGGGTGTCTTTGGCATGAACATGAAGAACACGTTCGAGGTGCGATGCGTTGTGTGTATGATGTTGCTGCTCGTGCTGAGCTGCTGCGGGGCGCGGCGACGGGACGCTCATGCCGATGCCACGTCTGTTCCTGCAGGAGTCGACCCAAGCCTTCATAGTCACGGTGCTGATCTCGTGTGTAGTTGCAACATCCATCTTCGCTGGCGGGCTGCTGTGGTGCCGCAGGCAGCGCTGGCTGCCGAACGCGTGAGCAGGTTCGTCTCGTTGAGGTGAGGTGAGGTGTCACATTCTTCGCGTCGTGGTCCGATCCAGCGTGCGAGCGGTCAAGCGGTTCGATTCAGTTGTGAGTCTGCCGCGATGCGACAACGTTTCCGGCGGAGCCCTTCTGGCGCATGCTCACAAGTTCCCGGTGCTACGCATCTGCCGGGTCGCAGTCTTCACTCAAACTCAGCCCAGGAGGCTAGCGTAAACCGCCTGCGCGACGTCCGCAAAGACGTTCGACGCGAAGCGGCCGCTGATGTTCTCGGGCCACTCAAGCACGTACGAAAAGATGCTTGTGTCCGGAATCGTTGAGAATCCGAGGATGGCGGGCGTGAACAGAGGGTCGTTGAAGGGATAAAAGTTGGCGAAAGGTCCGAGGAAATTCTCCGCGTCGAACGAGACGTCCACGTAGCCGATGACGCTCTGGAATCCCTCGGTGTCGAGCGCGTAAGGCAACAGCTCCGCCTCGATTTCAAGGCCGCCTGTAAACAGCCTCGAACACGGTGTGTCACTTGCGGCATCATCATTATGGCGCGTTCGCCGCATGTTTGCCGGAGCGGCACGCGAGCAACGTCGCTGGGCGCGGGCTGCGAGCTCGCGGGCGTCCGTGGAACGCGAGGCATTCGAGAGAGCGAAATTCAACCACTCAAAGCCAAGGAGGACAGCGCACCAACGAGCACGTCGATATCTGCGACCCCCGCGTCGAGCCACTCGTAGATCAAGTCGCTGTCTGCAGGAATCAGCTTGACGCGTCGGGCGCATGTGCTCCTGCGATGCTTCAGGCGCCCACAGATGAGAGCGTGACGCGCAGCCCCGTCGGCGCACCTGGGAACCACTCCTGCTGAATAACACCGGCGCCCAGATCTCCCCCGATGGCGATGAAGCTCACCCCGGGCACGAACGGGCTCCCTTCGACGCCGGTACCAAGGAAGTTGCCGTCATCGTCAAAGTTGGTCGTGCCGAGGCGGTCGAACACGGCGAAGGGAGAAATGGCCCACCCGGCTCCAAGCTGGTCCGGCGCCTGCGATGATGATTCAAATGAATGAATCAAATCGGCTTGTATGCGGATTCGCAAGGCGATCTCAGCGGCTGTGGTTCGATTGCACCGGTCAAACCGAGTCGGGCACTCACGAACGCCTCAGCATCCACCCAGGCGAACTCCCAGTCTGCGCGCAGGTCACCTCGAAAAACGTCCTTTCATTCATTCGGTCGGCACGGCGGTTCAAGTCGCGCGGCCTCCAATGCACGCAATGCACACTGTGCCTGTGTCAGACAGCCTGGCAGGCTGTCTGTGTGACAGGACGCTTTGCCGGAGTAACGCACGGACGCTCACCTTGTTGGCCATCGCCGTCCACGTCCGGGCCGAACACACAATTCGCGTCCGCAAGACTGCCGTATGGCGTCAACGTGCCGGAGCAACCAGGCGGGAGGGTGTTGAGGTCGAACTGCTTCAGCTTGCGCCCGCCGCGGCTCGGGACGCGCTCGGTGAGGGCGCCCGCCGCGAATGCCCCCGGGAATGCGGCGGCGGCGATGACGGCGCAGGTCGCCAGCAACGATACCGTCCACGGCATCTCGGCTTTTTCGAATACCAGTAAACAGCAAGACTGAAACGTCTGCAAGTGACGTATCCACAGCGTCAAGGAGCAGGCCGTGGTCAACGAGGACTGTCCCGGCAAGCCCCCCCGCGCGGCGCCTTGAGAGCGGCTGTGCGCTGTCAAGCCACGTGGCCACCCATGGTGATCACATGGTGCACATGGCCTCTCCCACGACGCTCACACGGCACTCCCCGACACGCGCCGCGGCTCGCCGTCACACTTCGCTGAGCGGTATCGACGCCAGAGTGCGCAGCGGCTGCTCGATGTCTCGGCTGGGCAGAGAGTGCAGGGTCCAGCCAGCAGCGTCCGACGCCATCGTGGACCTCGGCCCGCCTGGCGCCTCCTGCGCCTCCTGCTCCTCCTGCGCCTCCGGGAACACGTCCTGCGACGCCCGCTTCTTCGGCGACGGGCTCTTGCCGAACAGCACCGCGTCGAGACGGTCCCCGGCACGTTCGGCGGCGTGGCCCTGCGCCGCGGCCTCGAGCAGGTGCGCACGGCACGACTGGAGCAGCGCCTCGGCCTCCATGACCACGCGCGTCGCGCCGGTGTAGTGCGCCGGCCCTGCTGCGGCGGCGGCGGCCGCGCGCGCGTCGCGCACCTCGGGCGGCGTTGGTGGCGGCACGCCCGTCTTGAGGGCCTGTGTGCGCCACAGCTGCGGGCGCTTCAGCGCGCCGATGAGGGCCTGGTTCGCGTCGCGCACCCGCGGCACGTGCACGCGGTCCCCGAGCGCCTGCGCGAGCGCCGAGGTCGGGTCGTCCGCCCACGCAATGGCGTGCCGGATGTGACCGCTGCCCGCCCACGGCGGGCTCGGGCGCCGCGTCCATATGTCCGGGCCCGTGCTCCCTCCCAGCGGCAGCAGCGCGCCGGACGTCGACCGCAGCTCGATCCGCGCAGACCCCCTCCGCGCCACCGCAAGTGCCGACGGCGTTGGCTCGGCCCCCTTGCGCTGCGACGCGGCCTTCGCGAGGCCGATCTGCGACGGCGTGGTCGCGACCGCACCGAGGTCCGGCAGGTTCACGGGCCCCGAGCGGTCGCTCGACCCCGCCTGCTCCGCCGCGCCCGACGCCAGCGGCGTGATGACCTGCCGCGTGTCCGCGCGCCGCACGCCCCGGAGCGCCTCGTCGAGCTCGTCCTCGCCGTCGTCGTCGCCCTCGTCGAACGACAGCGCCGAGCTCAGGTGCCCCGTCTCCCACGCCGCCGGCCCAGCACTGCTGCTGGTCGCATCCCCGCCTCCGCCGCCCGTGCGGTAACCCCCGTCGCGCATCGACGCCGAATCCGTCCCGCGGTACTTGCTCATCGGCATCTGCGAGCTCGTCCCGCGCCCCGTTCCCGGCGGCGACGTCCCGGACAGCGAAACCTCGCCCCCAAGAGAGATCCCCGACGCCCCCGCCCGCACCCCCTGAGCCTGCACGGACTCGCGCGCCCGCTGGAACGCCGCGAGCACCTTCGAGTGCGCCGCGGGGGCGCCGCCGGGCGCCGCGGCACCGAGCGCCGCCAGCGCCGCGGCCTTGTGCGGCTCGGTGTCCTTGTCCAGGCGCGCCACGCCGCCCTCGCCGAGGATGGTGTCCTTGAAGACGCCCGCCATCATTCGCTGCGCCCGCTGCTTCGCGTGGCGCTTCGACGCGTGCCCGCCGCGCGCGTGCGGCGGCTGCGCGGGCGCCGCCGTCGAGTTCGCGCCCACGCGGTCCCCCGTGCTCGCGCCCACGCCCAGCAGCGGGTCGTGCGTGTCGGGCGTCGGCAACAGGCCCAGGCGCCCCGCGCGGCTGCCCGTGGGCTTCCGCGCGGGCCCGAGGCCGGGCTTGCCGATCGGCGGGGTCGCGGGCGGCGTGACGCGGAACTGCAGGCGGTCCGCGACCCCGCTCCCGAGGCGCGCGCGGGTGTGGCGCTGACGCATCGGGTTCCCCTGAAGATAGATGGCCTGGACGAGCGGCATGCGCGAGAGCGGCTCGGCGTCGTCCTCGGACTTCAGGAGGTTCGACGACAGGTCGACGGTCGTGAGCTTCTGGAACGCGGTCGCCGGGCTCAGGTCGTGCGGGACGTGGTCGATGTTGTTGTCGCACAGGAAGAGCTGCTCGAGGCACGCCAGGGCCGACAGCGGGTGGAAGCACGTCGCGGTGAGGTCGCAGCGGACGGCGACGAGCCGCCGGAGCGCCCGGAACGGCCCGAGCGACGCGGGGAGAGCGCCCAGGGAGTTGCCGCTGACGTCGAGCTGCGACAGCGAGGGCAGCTCCGACAGCGCCACCACGTCCTTCGCGGTCAGGAGGTTGTAACTGCGAGCACGTGGGCGGGGCGGCGCGGTCGGGTGCGGGCGGGCGGGCGGGCGCTCGACCCCTGCGGCTTCGGAGCGGTCTCGCGGGCGCGCACCTGACGTCGAGGAGCGTCAGTCGCAGGAAGGCGTCGTCGGGGAGTCGCCCGACGGTGGTCATCATGTTGAGCGGCGCACTGAGACGTTCCAGGCAGTACATCGGCGCGAGGCACGCGAGGTCCGGGAGCGCGTTCTCGCCCACGCGCAGCTCCTTGAGCGACAGCAGCTGCGGCAGGCCGCGCTTGCGCACGGACGCCAGGTTGCGCCCCGTCAGGTCCAGCGTCTCCACCTCCGCCGGGGACTTGGCGCCCGCGGCCTCGACGATGAACTGCAGGTCGAGCGCCACGGACGGCTGCGACGCCAGGCTCCCGAGCGACCGCTGCCCGCGCGTGCCGAGCGACGTCTGCGACTGCTCTGGCGTCTCGTGGCTCACGGTGAGCTGCCAGGGCACCGCCCGCGACGCCGACGCCTGCATCGTGCTCTCCGACGCCTGCTGCCCGACCGGGTGCTCCACCTGCAGCATCTCGGACCGCGACGACGACACGCCGTGCTCCATGGACGTGATTTGAAGCACGAAGCTGTTTGCCCTCGCAGCCTCGGCCGGGTCCTGCCACGCGGTCTCCTCGACGTCGGGACCGTCGCCGCTGCCGTCCGAGAGCGGCTGGCTCCACTCCGCGCCCACGCCGTCGCCCGGCGGCGCGTTGCTGTGCCCGCCGAGCTCGCGCTTGGACTGGTGCATTAGGCGCGTGCGCCCGTGCGGGCCGTGGGCCGTGGGGCCGTCGGCGTCGACGGCGTCGCGCGCGCGGAAGCCCGGGAAGCTGTTGCGGGCCTCCGGGAGCGGCGCGGCGTTCCCGCTGGAGGACTCGCCCAGGAGGGAATTCTCGTTTGACGGCCCGCCCTTGGAGTACGTCCCCGAGAACCCCGATTGCGCGGCCTCCGAGGCCTCATTGCGAACGTCGGAGGCGCTCTTGACGTGGAGCAGGCCGGAGAGGTCCTTCTGCGGCCGCTGAGACCCTTCGAGGGAGCTGGGTGACTCCACCCGAAAAGTGAGCGCCGCGAGGCCCCGACGGCTGACCTGGGGCTTGCCGGGCGGGCGCTTGTGGCCGCTCGTGCCTGCGGGCTCCTGAAGCGCCGCTACGGCGGACTCCATGGGCTTCCCAGTGCGCGCCACCTGGACGGCATGCACCTCGAGCTCGAGCCCATCCCTCTGGGCCTCCTCGTGGCTGCTCCTGCCCTCCATCGCGGCTGTCGCGCCACCGTGCCCCTGCACCTACCGCCAGCGGCCTACCGGGACGCCGCCGCTATCGCCCCGAAGTAGAGCGGCGCATTCGAACACAGCGCGGGCGGTCGACCCTGGTGGTGGCCCCGCGAGCTCCAGGGCGCGCGCAGGTGCGCGGGTCTAGCGAGTGCCGGGCGTCCGGCTCGGAAGAGACGTCGCAACGCGCCTGATTCGCCGCGAGAAGCCCAGGGGAGGGGCGCGGAGCACAGCGGACACACCAGGCTATCTAATTCGCGGCCGGATAGGCGTCAGCTTCGGTCTTACGTCGCCTGGGAGGACCGGAAGTGCAGGGCCCCGCTCGCGCGGGGCCGTATCGTCCGCGTTGGCGCCCCTTCGTCCCGCCGCGCTGACCCCTCCAGTGGCGACGCCCCCATGACAGGTGGTGTCACCTGGCACTTGGACGAGCGCAGCGCGCCACGCACGCCAGTTGCGCCGCCTCTGACGCTGCACGCCACTGGGGTCGATTGAAGGCCGGTGGGAGGTGAACCGAGGGCCGGGAGCTGTCATTGCAGCGCAGTGCTGCTCCCCAAGAGGGGCGCATAGCCCGCGTTTTCGAACCAGAGTCAATCCAGCCGCAATCTGCAGTCCTCCGTCTGCGCCAGGGAGCGTCGTCATGGACGGCAGCGGCCCGCACGGGTCGCAGCGGCCCCAGTTCCTTGCAAACGCGAGATCGCTCATTGACAGCGGCCAGCCGTTGGCTGCGTTCCAGGTTCGTCACAGAGCTCACTGACGAGTCGCCGCCGCCCCAGCCGCCGCCCTGCACGGGCCGCCTTCCGCAGAGAGGACCTCTCAACTTGCGCGCTCTTGTTTCTCGGCGGTGCGTGCAGCTGCTAGTGAGGTCCCTGACCAGCATGTACGGAAGAGAAGCCGTTGATCAGTTGCTTTCAGAAGCGCGCACGAGCTTCACGAACAGCCTCACCGCCCAGCACCAGGGGGCGCCCAGCTCGACAGCAGGCGCGCTGGACGACCTCTCCGCGCTCCTCAGCCACGTGTCTCTCGCGAACGAGGGACGCACCCGCGAGCACTATCACCCCCGCGACGGCACGGACGCCGCGCACGCGCCCGGGCCCGCCAGCAACCACGCCCCTCTGTCCCCGCTCTGTTTGCCAGACAACGGCGCCAGCGCCTTCGCCCGCCTCTTCCGGGACCTCTCCTGCGCCGACGACAGCATGGACATGGACCACGCCCCCTCGGAGACGGCGCGCCCGCCGGGCGGCCGCGCCCCCGCCCCTCCCCCGAGCGACTCCCCGCAACACAGCATCCTGCACGAGACGGGGCGAGAGGGCATCGCGGAGGCCGCGCTGCTGGACGGGTCGAGCGTGCAGTGCCACAGATGCGGCGGCGTCGTTCCGGCGAACCGAGCGCAGGCCCACCTCGCGCTGTGGTGCCCCCTGGCGCGCCAACAGCCATGGTAGCCCCCGCCCGCCGGCACGGCACCTGTGATTGCGACTTAGATCGTCGACGGCTGGGATCACAGCGGGGCGAGCGCCGCGCGGGGCGCGCCCCTCGGAAACAAGAGGGCGAACACCACGGCTTCACTTCTTGACTTTGTGGGGTCCGATCATCTGCTCCGGTCGCACGTACTTGTCGAAGTCCTCCCCGCTGATCACGCCGAGCGCGAGCGCGGCCTCCTTGAGCGTCGTGCCCTCCTTGTGCGCCTTCTTCGCCGCGGCCGCCGCGTTGTCGTACCCGATGTGGGGGTTGAGCGCCGTCACGAGCATCAGCGACTCGTTCAGCAGCTGCGCGATCTTCCCCTCGTTCGCCCTGATGCCGTCGACGCAGTTGTCCACGAACGACACCGACGCGTCCGCGAGCAGCCGGCTGGACCGCAGCAGGTTGGCGGCCATCATGGGTTTGAACACGTTGAGCTCGAAGTGGCCGTTGGAGCCGCCGACGGTGACCGCGACGTTGTTGCCCATGACCTGCGCGCACACCATCGTCATCGCCTCGCACTGCGTCGGGTTGACCTTGCCCGGCATGATGCTGCTCCCGGGCTCGTTCTCCGGCAGCGACAGCTCCCCGAGGCCGCACCGCGGGCCGCTCCCGAGGAACCGGATGTCGTTCGCGATCTTCATCAGCGACGTCGCGACCACGTTGAGCGCCCCGTGCGCCTCCACGATCGCGTCGTGCGCCGCCAGCGCCTCGAACTTGTTCGGCGCCGTCACGAACGGCAGCCCCGTGTCCTTGGCCACCTGCTCCGCCACCGCCTCCGCGAAGCCCTGGAACGTGTTGAGCCCCGTGCCCACCGCCGTGCCCCCCTGCGCGAGCATGTGCAGCCGCGGGAGCGCCGCCTCGACCCGCGCGATCCCGTACTCCACCTGCGTGGCATAACCGCCGAACTCCTGGCCCAGCGTCAGCGGCGTCGCGTCCTGCGTGTGCGTCCGCCCAATCTTGATGATCTTCGCGAACTCCTTCGCCTTGGCGTCCAGCGCCGCGTGCAGCTTCTTCAGGCCCGGCAGCAAGCGCTTGCGCAGGTCGATGCAACACGCGATGTACATGACCGTGGGGAACGTGTCGTTCGAGGACTGGCTGCGGTTGCAGTGGTCGTTCGGGTGCACGCTCTTGTCGCCCACGGTGCCGCCCAGGATCTGAATCGCGCGGTTGGCGATCACTTCGTTGCTGTTCATGTTCGACTGCGTCCCGGAGCCCGTCTGCCAGATCACGAGCGGGAAGTGGTCGTCCAGCTTCCCGTCCGCGACCTCCCCGGCGGCCTGCGCGGCGACAGCGCGCGGGGACCACGGTCAGGCGCCTCGCGCGTCGAGGGGTCGGCCGTGATGTTGGGAGGCTGTTGGGTGGCCGGGTGGTGCAGCCGTGAGGGTGCGGGGGTGCGCCCGGTGACGCCCAGGTGCGGAGGAAATCGGCGATGCCGTCGCGCAGGTCGGATGGTGTCGCGCGTGCTGTGGACGCGGTGTTGTTGCATGCGATCGAACTTGAGGTGTCGCTGCGGCGTGGCGCCGAGACGCAAGGGCGAGGCAGGGGCGCGCGTTGCGCAGGACGATGATGCAGCGTGCCGGTGCGGCGAGGGAGCTGTGCCGGATACGCTGCCGCCGGCGCCGTCGCCGGCACGCAACTGCCGCCGCAAGCAGCGGCGCACGTTGCCGCCACGTGTGGCCGTTGTAACGGCACGTTCATCGTTTCAGTAGCATGCTCATATACGTTGCGCCGCGCTCCGGGTGCTCAGTCACGGGAATCGCGCAGGCGCCGTCCAGGCGGCGCACCTTTACGATGGCCTCTCCTGTCTTCTTGTCGAGGCCGTAGCGCATGTTGACGCGCGCGGCGGCGCGCTTGAGGATGCCGAACGCCCGCACAATCTCGATGGGCATCCGCTCGGACGCCCCGCCGATCTTGAAGTTCTGCAGGCTGCGCTGCGTCTGCGCTCCCCACAGCTTGTCCGCCGGCACCTCGATCGGCCCGAAGGTGTCGTTCTCGACGCGCACGTCGGCGGCCGCGGTCTTCTGCTTCTTCGCAGGCATGGTTGCTGTTCTGACTCGCACTGACGGACTCGGAAGTGCCCGCACGCCGCGGAACGAGGCCCAGTAACAGCCTGGCGCACCAGGGCAGTGTTGTCAGGGGCGTCTCAGGACGACGGGGAGCCTGGAGAGCGGCCCTTGGGGCCGCGACGCTGCGCGCTTCGTGCAGTTGTCTCCGTCCGTAGATTGGTTCGTGTACGACGGCGCCTGCGTGCACTGCACTGCGCGAATTGTTCCCACTACAGGCCGTTCGGCTCCAGCAGAGCTGTGCCGTGCGTTCTCGGGCGGCGCTCTGGGGCGATGGCGGCCGAGAACGACATTCCCGACCTGACGGGGGCGGGCGATCTCCCCCAGGTCCGTCAGCTGCGCCGCGCCCACGCCCGCACCGCAGCACGCTCCCTCCCCCGTGCCGCGTTCCGCGCGGTTGTAGGCTCGCCGACTCACCTCGCGCACGCCGCTCCATCCGCAGGACAAGGAGGACAACGGCGCGGTCCCTGGCCTGGAGCAGGCGATTCCCCAGGTCGCTCCCGCGGCGAACGAAGCCGACGCGCAGCCCCAGGCAGCGCTCGGGGCTCCGAAAGAGGACGCGAAGAAAGAAGAAGACCGCGAGGGCGGACGCGATAGGCGGTCGAGGGAGCGGGACGACCGGCGGCGCGACGACCGCGAGCGGCCTGCGCGGGGATCGCGAGGGGGCCGCGACCGTGGGAGGCGGGGCAGCCCTGGAGCGGGCGGTGGCGCGCTGGGGCCGCACGTGCAGCCGGGCACGAAGAGCGCGAACTACGTACCCGGCAAGATGTCCCTGGAGGGGCTTGCCACCGGCACTACGGAAGAGGAGGTGCGGAGGGGCCTCGTGCAGCCTTGTGCTCACAAACTCGCACGGGACGGCTTGCTGGGGCGCCGAACGGGCTCGTCCGCAGCGCGTGCTCGCGCCTCACGTTCCAGAGCTGTGCGTCGGCGTCCCCTTGCGCGGCCACCGTCCCGTTTCCGTGCGTGGCTCACCCGTGAAGGCTCGCGACACACCTACATCGACTGCCGCGCGGCCGCGTGCGACCCTGCAGGTCAAGCAGCTCTGCGAGCTCTTCGGGGCCATCAAGGACATCGAGATGGCGCCCACGAAGGACTCGTGCGTCGTCACGTTCGAGAACCCGAAGCATGCCATTGACCTGATTTCCGCCAAACAGGCAAGCCCGACACCCCCCTGCGAGCGACGCATGACGAGGCGCCGCCGCCAGCACGCCCACGTCGCACGCCGTCGATCTCGCGGCCAGCGCGCGCGCGTCGCGCGGCCGCGCGGCCTCGCACCACCCACTGCTGCGTCGACGCCCCGGGGTCCCGCTCTGCGCGTGCCTGCATCCAGCGGCGCGCGGCGACGTCCCCGGTCCCCGCCGTGCCGCGCCGCAGAGGGGGAGTCTCACCCTGCGCAACGTGGAGCTGACGGTGCGCGCAAAAGTCCCCCAGGGGTCTGGGCAGAACAACAACTCCCGGAAGATCTTCGTGGGCGGGCTCCCGCGGTCCGTCACGGACCAGACCCTGCGCGAGTCCTTCGAGGTTTTCGGCGAGATCACCGACTGCATCGTGATGACGTCGCGGAAGGACGGCCTCAGCCGCGGCTTTGGGTTTGTCACGTTTTCGGACCCGCTCGACGTGGACAAGACGCTCGTCTCGCCGCACGAGGTCGACGGACAGGTGGTCGACGTCAAGCGCACCGTTCCGCGCGACGACCCCGCGCTGGCGCGGCAGCCCCGCGATCGACCCGGGTTTGGGCGCGCACGCGGCGGGCCGCGCGGTGGACGCGGGGGGCCGCGGTACGGGCCTCCGCCCGGCATGGTGATGATGCCCGCGGCCCAGGTGCAGCAGCAGATGGCGGCGTACGGCGGGATGGGCTACGGGGGGGGGTATGGTGGCGGGTACGGGGGGTATAACGGCGGCCGGGGAGGCGGTGGCTACGGGGGCGGGCGTGGCGGCGGGGGAGGCTACGGAGGAGGCTACGGGGGCGGCGCGGGGTACGGTGGCGGGTACGGCGACGCGTACGACGCGTACGGCGGGGAGCAGCAGGCGTATGGGGGCGCCGAGCAGGCGTATGGGGGGGGTTACGGGGCCGGCGGGTATGACGGAGGGTACGGGGACGACTATGGCGGTGGGTACGACGGGGGCTACGATGGGGGGTACGGGGGCGGGTACGGTGGCGCGTACGATGCAGCGGCAGGGGGGGGGTATGGTGGATATGGAGGGGGGGGGTATGGGGGGTCCTACGGCGGTGGGTACGAGGGCGGAGGTGGTGGCGGAGGTGGCGGCGGGCGCGGGCCGCGCGGGGGCGGCGGCGGCGGCGCTGGGGGCATGCGGCGTTACACACCATACTAGTTGGCAGCAGCGTGTGTAGTTGTGACCTGCCGAGCTGTGTGCGTGCACGGGGCGCGTGCTGTGGCGTTCACGGACGGGCCGGTGGGAAGAGGAGCGAGCGGCGTGCAGGAGCGGCGCAGGTCGCACGCCATCTCGTCGGACGTGGGGGTGTTTTGCTTTCAGGTGGTGCTGCAAGTCGCGAACAGCGCGTGGGCCGTGCCAGGACGCGAGTGTGTTGATCGCACGTGATGCCGCGGCACGGACGGCAGGCTAACGGGTGCCGTGGGCGCGGGGACTCGCGCGCTAGACGCGGGCAGCCGGTCGAGTTGGTCAATCATGCTATCGGATACTATCTCAGGCTCTGGGATCTATCGAGTGAACTCTGATTGGGCCGCCACGACAAAATCTCCGCGCTCGGGTGATCCCACGGCGCGCCTCTCCCGCGGCCCGCTCGCACACGCACGCACAGCAGCTACACGGTGCTTCAGATCGCCGCGTTCACAGCGTGCCACCAGGGCGCGCGCCACAAAAGCAGCGCGGCCCCCACCCTGTTGACGAGCCCCACAGCCCGCCAACGCCAGTCGGCTCACGTCCCGCCGACGTCCAACCACTCCCGAGGTACTATCCCGGTCTCTCCGCGGCCCGCGCCGCCGCCCCGCGCCCCTCCGACGCCCTTGACCGCGCGCTACGGCCCGTCACGCCGCACCGCCCTGCACCCCCCCCCCCGTGCCTCTTCGCCGGTCCGCACGTGGGCGCTTACGCGACCTGGAAGGAGCCAACGGCCGCCTCGATCTCCTTGTTCACGCCCTTGAACCAGCGCTTGTCGCCGGCCTGGAACTTGGCCACGTAGAGGTTGCCGTTCGAGATGGTGGCCTTGATCAGGTGGTGGCGGCCGCCCTCGTTGCCGTCGGCCGAGCGGGTCAGCACGTACGCGGTGTAGTACGTCTTGCCCTTCTTGTCCGTCTCCTTGCCGACGTCGAGCAGCGACGCCGCCGACGTCTTGCCGTTGGCAAAGCCGCCCTCCGACACCGTGTCGCCGATCCACGCCTGCTGGCCGAGGAGGCCGGCGATCGAGGCGACGAACTCCTCGGGCGAGCCGAGGTCCTCCATCTTCGTCTTGTCCGTCTTCGTCTTCGTGATGATGACGTTGTTCACACTGTCACCGTTGTCCTCGTAACGCAGGATGACGTTCTGGTTGTCGCGCTCCGGGGACGGGTTCCACCGGGCCGGGATCAGGAACGCGTAGCCGTCGCCGGCGTACGTCACGAAGCCTGCGAGGCGCGGGACCGCGTGCGAGGACGGTTGGAGGGCAGCTGGAAAGGGCTGGGCAACAGGGGCCTCGGCCAGAGTGCGCTCGGGGCCGCGCGGGGGGGCTGCGCGGCGCCGCGGATCGGTGGGCACCGGAAACGATCGGGGGAGGGCCGAGGGGGGGGCTTCGGGGCGCGGACGAAACACGCCGGCGGCGATCATCGTCGATCCTCCGAGAAGCACAGGTGTCGGGCGCCGGGGGTCGACGAGGACGGGGGATGGGCGGGGGGCGGCGGAACCGGGCAGGGTGGATTGCGAGGGGTGCGTAGCGTGGGGAAACGGCGGGCTGTGCGCGCGGGGTGCGCGGTGCGAGGGGCAGGTTGCTCACCAGACTTGTTGGTCGTCTTGCCGAACACGTTGGCGCCCTCACCGTACGCGGCCTGCGCGGCGTCGCCCTTCAGCACGAGAGCGGCGACACCGGCGAAGCCAGCCAGGGCAGCGCGGCGCGACTGCGAGCACCGAAACAGGGCGGGGCGAGTCAGCGAAATCGCTCGCATCGTGCTCGTCGCCGCGAACAAACGCGGGCTCCCGCGCGACTACGCGCTGTCGGAGACGCATCTGCAGGTTCCCCCACACATCGTGCGCGCTGGGCCGGGATCGGGCCCTGGGGCCACCTGCTATCACCGGCAGATTCAGCGATGCGCCGAGGCCGCGCCAGGGGCCCATTCAGCGCGATGCAAATGGGAGCACGAAACCAGGAAGTATGGGCACCGGGCCAACTCACCACATCCTCCGACTGCGCGCGGGCGGCCACAGCACGAGGGCGGACCGAGCGGGTCGCCTTCTGCTGGGCGATGATCACCTTGCTCGACGTGAGGGCAGCCATTTTGTCTCCTTCCAATACGTGACCAGCGAAGTGCCCCGCCGCACCGCCCAGCGGGCCCTATCGAGCGAGAACGGCCCTGCCCAACCTCGGCCCAGACCCCCCCAGAGCCAAATCGGACCTCAGCGCGCCGCCGGAGCCCCGCGAATCCACCCAAACGCCCCCACGGCGATGCCCCGCAAGTGGTCTACCGGCAGGGCCGCCCGCCGCCCTCTCACGGCGCCCGCACGTTCTCCGAGGCGCGATTCAGCTGCCACAGCCGCGCCGATCCGCACAGCACACCCGCGGCCGCCGGTGCGGGTCTCCGTGCGCGCGCTGCGGCCCGGCGCATGCCCCAGCCGACGCGCGCGCGGATTGGCGCGGAAACGCGTCCCGCTCCGCGCCGCGCGGGGGGCGGCAAGGTGCGTGTGTCATGCGGCACGTCCACGGTCTGACGGCCGGCTGGCGGCCTAGAGGGGCCCCGCGGCGGCCGCGGGCGCCGCACTGTCGCAGCAGGGGTCGGACACGCGATCGAGAAGCTTCCGTTTCACGCGTTGTAGGCCGCAGCAGCAGCCGTAGGCCGCGCTACGCTACTTCACGGTCTCTCGCGCGCACTGGGCGGCGTGGGCGAAGCGGGGACCTCGCGCGCCGTTCGCGGGCACTTCGCGAGGCCGCGGGCATCGGGGGCTGGACGGACCGCGGAAGGCCCGCGAGGCCGTGGGCTGGTGGTTGCGTGACGCACCGCAATGGCGCACTCCGCCGTGCCATCGTCGCGCTCGCTCGCGGTGAGTAGCAGCGCCCGCCGCATGGCTGCTCGTTGCTGTCGCGCACCAGCGCGACGTTCTGCGCGCACCTGCGCGGCTGCAGGGCCGGCATTGCCTCTGCCGCACTCTCTGCCCGCGTCGCGCGCCGGAACGGGGCCTGGGGCAGTTGCGTTGATCCCTGCACGAAGTTATGCGTGGGAGGAACCACGGCAGCCCCTTGAACGTATCATGGGGGAGTTTGGGGGCCAAACCGCGGCCCTGTCCGCAAATACTATGGTCACGCACCGCGGAGCTCCCCACGACGGCCCGAGACTGGCAGAACACGGCGCCCCCGCGTGACGACAGCGCCTTGCCGGACGCGCTCCGTCCAGCGCCGGTGCCGCTGTGTGGCAGCGCGGAGGCCGCTCGCGGGCTTGTCCACCCAGAGCGGGTGCCGTTTTCGCGCGCAATGCGTGATGTTTCCCCGGCCTGCCCGCTGTGCGCAGCACGAGGAGGGCATCACGACCGAGATGCTCGTGACCGCGTGTTCGCTGCATTCGACGGCGAGGCGCGGGCGCGATGAGACCCTGGACGACTTCCTGGCTCGCGCGACGCACATCCACCTCGAAAACAAGGTGCGACCACGCGCCCCGGTGCCGAACAGCCGCAGCCTGCCCGCAAGCGCCGCGCGGCAAGAAACAGCTCCGCCAGGACGCACCAGCGCGCCTGGCACGTTGGGCGCGTGCCGAACGCGAAAGCCTCGCGAGGTCGGGCGCGCCGCAGGGTCTGGACCAGATAGGCGGGCAGATGCACAAATGCAGGAGCGCGCTGTCGCTGTACCTCCAAAACAACGCCCTCTCGGTTCTGGCCGGCCTCGAGAGCCTCTCCAAGCTCACGCACCTCTACCTTCAGGACAACGCCGTGTCCGAACTCGCCGGCATCGGCCGCCTCCACTCCCTCCAGAAGCTCTACCTCGACGGCAACAAACTCTCCGTCGTCTCGGGCCTCGAGGAGTGCAAGCACCTCGAAGAGCTGCACGTGTCCCGCCAGCACGGAGCAGTCACGGCGCCGGCAGGGCTCCAGTTCGACGCGGCGTCCCTCGCCGCCGTCGCGCCGACCCTGCGCGTGCTCGGGTGCGCGGACAACCGCATCGACCGCGACGGCGTCGCCGCGCTGTCCCGGCTCCCGCGGCTGCAGAAGGCAGACCTGCGCAACAACAGGATCGGTGCCGCGGCCGAGCTGCAGCCGCTGCTCGAAGGCAGCCCGCGCCTGCGCCACATCGAGGTCGCCGGGAACCCGCTCTGCCAGTGCGTCCCCGCGGCCACGCGACCCGCACGGCCCCTGATCTGTTCTTGTCAAAACTAGTCCTCGTTCCCCTTCTATCGCGCTGTGTGTGTGTATGTTCCCCTTCCCGCGTGCTGAGCGGTTGCGGTACCGCCGTGTCCGCGCAGTGACGAGCCGAGGTTCGCGGACACGCTGATCGTCCTCGGGGACGAGCTCTCCGTCATCGACGAGCGCGAAGTGACGCGGCAGGAACGCGAGTTCCTCCTCCGCCTGCACCTCCGGCGCCTCAAGCGTCAGGAAAGCGGCGCCGCGGCGTCGCCGTCGTCGAACGGGGCGGGCGCGGGGCGTTCGCCGCACTCCGGCCAGGGCGACGGTGCAGGCGCAGGGCGGGGCCGCGGGGGCGGGCGAGGCGGGCGAGGAGCCGGGAGCGGAGGGCGGGGGCGCGGCATCGTCATGCACGGGTCGACCGTGGACCGGCAGGAGACGACTCAGAAGGGCCAAACCGGCAGCCTGAGCCCGATTCAGGCCATGACCCGCAAACCGCGACCAGCGTCGTTCCGGAGCATGTTTGCCTAGGCGCCTCCTTCGCATACGGTCGCACGTGCTGGGGGCAGCATGTGAGGTAAGGGCCGCTGCGCAGGGGGGTGTTTGGGGGTGTTGGTGTTGTACCCTGAGGTCTGGCGGGGCGTCGCGCGACGCGAGCTTGATGCCGGCGCCGCAGCGCCGGCGACGGCAGTTGCCGACCTGACTCGTGAGCGACGCAGGCGGGGCCACCGTCGCAGCGACGCTCGTCTCCAGTCCGGCAGTGGCGCGGGAGGAACACCAAGGGTCACGTGCTGGCATCGCGCCCTCGCGGTGGATCGCAGCTGCGTGTTCAGTCGCGGCGAGCACCTCGACCGCCTCGCGCATAAAAACATCAGGCCAGGGCCGGGCCGCCGAGGCGCAGAACCGCGGCGGACGACAGGAACGGGGAGAATGACCGCTGGACGGTACGAGCGGACACGACGGCGGCGCGCGCCACTGGCGCTGCTGCTGGCAGCTGTCGTCCTGGCCGCGGTCTCGCCTGTGCGAGCAGCGTCGATCGGGGTGGTGCGGGAGTGCGCGGGCGGCGTGTGCTCGACGGCGCTGGACGTGAATCTCACCACGACGCTGGAAGCAGGGCCTCTGGATCAAGAAATCGCGATTCCGACCAACATGATGATCGAGGACGCCGAGGGCGAGCTCTGGCGGGCCACCGAGCCCATCACCGTGCGCCTGCGCGCCCCGCACGGCCGCACCACCAGGTCCGCACGCCCCCGCAGCTGCCGTGCCTGCTCGCGGGCGTGAACAGACCGAGCTCGATTTCCGGGCGGTAATTGACCACCAACTCCCTCGGACGGCCGCTCCTCGCGCACACCCATCATGACCGCCACGCGTGCAACAGTTTGCCTGCTTCGCGGCCTCGGTATCGGTCTGTCGCGCGTTGAAGAACAGGAACAGCTTGGATGAAGCGACGCGTCGACGCGGCGGGTGCGCGCAGGTTCGACTTGACGTACGACGGCGGCGAGATCTACGACAGACCCGTCGTGCCGTACCAGTACGACAACACGGACGCCGCGACGCCGAACTGCACCACCAACATCGTGCAGGTAAACATCGCCCCTTGCGCGGCACCGCAGCCTCGCAGCACCTCCGCGCCCGTTCCGCGCACCACGTCAAAGCCGCTGGACGCCGCTGCCGACGCGCGAACCTCGGAGCGCTCCCCTCCGCCCTCATTGCAGGACTGGTCGCAGTCTGACGCGTACAACGAACAAACCGTGCTGTGCTGTCCGAACCAGGAGCTTGGGCAGTTCGACCCGCACCGCGGATGGGCGTTCCTCCTCGACCGCTGCCCGTTCGACGCGTACCACAGCTTCGACCTCCGCAACGCGACGCACTCGGTGGACCTGAACGTCACCACGTCGCAGCCGGCCGTTGGCTTTTCCGAGGGCATCCTCGTGGTGGCGTCGGGGAACGGAACGCGCCCCGACGCGAAGATGACGCTGTCGTACACGGTCGTGTGGCCCGAGGCCGACGCCGTGGAGTCCCAGCTCGGCGCGGGCCCCGGCGGCACTCTGAAGCTCCTGTTGCCGTCTGCGGACAACTACGCCGAGGGGTACGCGATTCCGTCGTCTGCGTTCGGCACGGAGACGGTGCAGTCCACGGCGGACCCGTCGAAGAAGTACGGTCTGCTCGGAGTGCGCGACCAGGCGTGGGCGGAGGAGCACGTCAACCACTGCAGCGCCAACGGCCCGGTGCACTCCGCGGTGCTCGATTCCGGCGAGTACAACACCACGCAGCTCAAGCCCTTCCTCACGTCCACGCTCGCGTCCAGGTACGTCGCCCGCGGCGCGTTAAATTACTCTTACTGCGCATTACATGTCTAGTCTTCCAATCAGCGCCGTCTTGCGTCGATCTTTCGCGCAGGCTCGGGGGGCAGTACGGCGGGACGTGCTCGTTCGTGTCCGACCCGGACTCCTCTGTCGCGACCAAGGTCGCGGCGGTGCAGTCCAAGCAGACCGTCCGTTGTTTCGACCCTGCCACCACCGTCACGCTGCGCCTCCTCGTGGACGCCGGCGTGGGCGCCCTGTCCCTCGAGCGCGTCCCGGTCGAGGCTTCCGTCGTCGCGAGCTCGGTGGAGGCGACGACGACGCTCCGCACCGACCCTGCGTCGTACCAGCGCGTGTTGTTGCTCGACGTGCTTCTCAACTCGACGCTTCCCCAGGAGGTGACGGTCGCCGCGGGGCAGTGCTGCAGGCAGGGCACGTCTGACTGCGGCGTCGCGTCGCTGAACGCCACGCAGCAGGTCCGGACGATCGCCGCGGGCGCCACGGCAACCTTTGCCTGGGGTCTGACTATCTCTAGCGCGCAACAGGAGACCTTCACTCTCGAATGCCAGTGGGCGTTCTCCGCGAACGACCGCGACATCGGCGTGTCGTCCTCCACGACGGTCGTCGTGTTCGAGCAGCCCGCGGCCGGCACGGCGCCGCCCACGACCACCGCAGCGCCGGGCACCAGCCCCCCCCCTGAGCCGATGATGTTCCGCGTGGCGTACGCGCTGCCGCCGTCGCAGCTGTCCATCTCGACCGTGCAGCTCGACAGCCTGAAGACCATCCTCAGCGACGCCATGCAGGTACTTGCCTCGCTGTTCGCATTCACGTTGATCCTCGCGGCTATTTTTGGCACTTCGGCAGCATGATCCGTTCCCCGGGCTCCCGTGCACCGCGCAGGTCCCGAGCGGGTTCGTGTCGGAGAGCTTCGAGCTGCGCGCGTCGGCCCCGCGGCAAAACACCCCCCCCGCGCGGCGGCGCTTGCTGCAGCCGTCGCAGTCCACCGCGTGCGCCGGCGCGGTGTACTACATCACCTACACCGTGACGCTCGGCTCCTCCTCCGACGGCGCCGCGTACAGCGACCGCCTCGTCACCGCGTTCGACACAGGCACTATTGGCGCACAGGTGTCCAACACAGACGCTGGGGCCCGCATCGCGCTGCTCACGGAGCCGAATTACTGACTGATTGCTTCGCGGACGGTGGCGAGGCGACTGCGCGCCCCGTCGAAGCGCGCACCGACCCTGAGTGTGAGGCATTAGAACCACCCCCCTCCGTTGCGTGAACCGACTCGGAAACTGTGCGTGCGCCGCGGGGGATGGCGCACGCGTCGCTGGCGACCGTCCGGCTCGCAGCCCGCGTCTGCTCGGGGCACGGCACCGCCACGTGGCCTTGCTGGCCGGCGGTAGACCTACCACAGGGAGGACTTTCAGCCTACACCCCCCCACGCGGCGAGGGAGCTGTTGCCGGCGGATCGCGCCCGCCTCGACACGCTCTGCTTCGCGTACGTGGCGCGGCTGCGACTGTGCGCAGTCAGGCCCCTATCGATTCGGAGGAGAGAGGGTCGTCTGGAAGTGAAGAGGGTCTAAGGGGCCCGCGCGGTTCCGTCCCGTGCCCCCCCACGCGGTTCCGTGGGCTCTCGCCGCGATGAAGGCGACGATGCGTTGGTGGGGGCTACGCAAGGCGGCGGAGCCGTCCTGCCGGCGCCGCGGCGGGCGGCTCTGGGCTGTCTACGCAGTCGCGGTGCTGTTTTGCGCTTTTGTAGGGTTCGAGATGTACAGGCCGGCTTTCCTGCTGGTTGGCAATGTCACGGAGGACATCGTAGGCTCCAAGCAGCGCGCAACGGTACGTCGTGCCGCGCTTGACGCGCTTGCCGCGTGAGGCAATCAGCAATGCAGTCGATCGCAGTATCTATGGAACGTGGCGCCGTTACGAGGACGCCGCGGCGCGACTGTGCTCCCGGACGTGGTTCTTGTCGACGCGCTGAGCCGCTCTCTGAACACGCGCTCCGCTGTTTCAAACCGCAACGGGGTGCTGATGACCTGAGGACAAACGACGCGTTTCCAACTCACAGAGCGCCGTCATGGCACGGTTACCGCCTGACCGAACCCCAACAGGAGCACATTAAACCCCCATACGTGCTGGCTGCGTGCAGGGCGGCGCGGTGACGTACGCGGCGAGCTTGCTAGGCACACTCGGGGCGCGCGCGTGCGTGGTGACGTCGGGCGCGTCCCCGCACGACATAGTCGCGCTGCGCGGCCACGACGTCGTGCACGTGCCTTCCCAGGACACGCTGACCTTCGAGCACAGCTACACCTGGTGCGTCCGCAGCCCCCCCAGCGCGCAACAGCTGCCTCGCCGCGCGCAGGGCAATGCTCGATCGGCCGCACGGCCCCACAGCACGCTCCTCGCGTTTCATCAGTACCGCGGACGCCACATCCACCTCACAACGCTGGGCACATGTCGCGAATATGCAGGTTCGGTCACCACCGCAAGCTGCGCGTGACGGCGCGCCCGCCGCACGCCATCGCGATCGACCACATCCCGCTGCGGTGTCGTCTCGCGCGAACGGCCGTCCTCGCGCCCCTCGTCAGCGACGACGTGGACGTCGAGAACATCGTGCATGGCCTCACGACCGGTGCGACCCCGCACGCACGCCCGGGCTCGCTCACGTTCCTCCCCGAGCCTCTCCCTGCACATGGCCGGCCGCCCCGCTCCCTCACGCGGCCACCGCGGCGCCCCACGGTCCGTCGCAGGCCTCTGGTGGGCGCCGTCGTTTCTGCGGCCGCGGCTCGCGATCCTGGCCCAGGGCCTCCAGCGCACGCTCTCGGACGGGCGCTTCGGCGCAGTGGGCCACGCGGCCGGCCCGGCGCCCGCCCTCCGCGCCAGGATGCCGGGGGGGAGTCTCTTGTTTCTGTCTGACGTGGAAACCGACACCTGGCCGGCCGGGGCGGTCGAGGAGCTGGCGGCGTCGACGGGCGCCACGCTCGTGATCACCGAGGGCGCGAAGGGCGCGGTCGTGCTGTCGCGGGGCGCGGAGGGCCCCGCGCGGAGGGTTGCGCCTACGCATGTGCGCAAGGTGCTGGACACGAACGGCGCGGGGGACTCCTTCGCGGCGGCGTACCTCGTGGCGCTGCAGTGGGGCGTCGAGGACGCGGGGGCCGCGGCGTCGTGGGCGGGCGCGGCGGCGGTCGCGCGCAGCCAGGGATGCAAGCCGAGGTGCGCTGCGGCCAACGCCGCGGCGAACCCACACCTCGCGTCGCCGCGAGGCGTGCGCGGGCGGATTGCGTGGTGGCTGGCCGCGGTGGCGCGGCTCGGCCGGGGGCCGCGGGTGGCGATCGGGGGGGACTGGGTGGGGCCTGATTATGACTATGGCCTAGACCTGACTCAGCCGTTATCGGCGCGGGACAACAGCTCCTCCGGGCCGGTCTACAACTGGTCGCGCAGCAAGCACGACGCGAACGTCTCGGCCAAGCACACCAGTGTGTCTTGACAGCACCCATTTTGCATGGCAAAGAACGTCTGCGCTCTCTCTCTCTCTCGAACTGCAGCCAAACGTTCCGGCCTGTCCACACCCCTCCCGCTTTTCCTGCCTGCCGCCTGACCTACACCACCCACCCCCAGCACATGACCTTGGAGCGAAGCGAAGCGTCACGCTCCCTTGGTCGCGCATTCGGCCCGTCGCGGCCCTGTAAACTCGACTGCAACGACAACGACCGCGCATCCCACGATCGCAGCTCCAGCCAGCTGTACGTCAGCCATCACTCGAGCCAGCAAACAGCCAAGCCCCAACAAGCCCACGCCGGCGAGCACAACCCCTGTCTCCACCTCCGTCGCATCGCGCAGCCACATCTCATCCAGCGCCCCTAGGTCGGCCACTCCTTGTCATCGCCACACCCCCTAGTCACGGTGCGGCCTCCAGTCGACACGTGTCGTACTTCATCATCATCATTACACCCCCCCCTATTAGGAGATATACGTATAGACGCTCCTGTCCCCGTCGTCCCGCTCGATGTACTCGCGCTCGATGAGGCTCTCCAGGCACTGCTTGATGCGCGCCGGCTGCGCGACGAACCGCGGCGCCAGCTGCCGCGCGACCTCCGCGACCAGTGCGCTGTGCTCCATACGCCGGCGCCCCTTCATCACGCGCATCACCGCCGCCTCCACGAGGGGCTTCCGGTGCTGGTCCAGCACCTCGAGCGTCTGCTGCCGCTCCCGCTCGCCCTCCCGCTGCGCCGCCACCATCCCGATGCGCACGCGCTTCAGCCTGCAAGGCAACGCGGGAACGAAACGGGAACTTGTTTGGGTGATCGCGTTCGCACGGGCGCGGCGACGGGGCGACGCGTGCGCGCGCGGGCGTACTTTGACTCGAACTTGTCGTTCACGGAGAACACGTCGCCCTCGCGCACGTCTTTGCTCATCGGCTCCTTGCGCAACACGTTGCGCCCCTTGACGCACGCCAGGCTCTGCAGGCAGCGCTCGAGGTCCCCGGCCTCCATTCCCGTGGCCTCCCGGATCTCCGCGAGCGTCATGCGCTCGCGGTCGTTGAACAGCATCAGCACGCACATCTGGTGCGTGGACACCGCCAGGTCGTAGCGCTTGCCGTTGGCCTCGAACCGCACGTCCGCGGTGCCCAGCGCGAGCTGCCACTGCAGCTTCCGGCCGGAGTGCGCGCCGAGGTAGAAGTCCGCGAACTCCTTGCAGCACGCCTGCGCCTCGACGGGGAGCCACGGTTGCACCGCGTCCGCCGCCGCCGCCGCGTCGCCCGCGCCGCCCTCCGGCCGCGACGGCCACGACCCGAGCGTGAGCACTTGCACGGTGAGGTCCACGCCGTGGATCCGCGCCGCGTCCCCGCGCTGCGCACGGAACGCGCGCAGCGTGTCCGCCGAGGTGCGCACGTCCAGAAACATGCTTTCGAGCTTCGACGTGTACTGGTACCCGCACTCCGCCTTGAGCTTCTGCAGCATCGAGCGCTCCGCGTCGTCCGAGACGGTCCGGCCCGACAGCAGCCGCTTCGCGAGGTGCGACCGGTAATACCTCTCAAATAGGTCCTTGTCCTGCAAGTGCCGGAACAGCCTCAACACCCCCTCCAACACCCCCTCGACCTCCTCGTCCGACATGCCCTTGATGCCCTTCCGCAGCTTGGCGTCGATGTACAGCGACAGCGCCTCCGCGAACCCAGACGCCGCGTTGAGAACCTTTTCAAACGCGGCGTTGAGTGCGGAGCGGAACTGGCGGTCCCCGTTGAACACCGTCGCGACGAGGCCGTCGTACTTGATGCGCAGGTCCAGCAGCGCCTGCACGAGCTCCGCCGGCGCGCGCTGCTGCTGCGCCTGCGCGATCTGCTCCCGCCGCGCGTCCTCCCCGTCTCCCGCGCCGCTCCCGGCCGCGCCCGCCGCCGCCGCGCCCGCCGCCGCCGCCGCCGTGCCCTCCGCCGTGACGTGGCGCCCGAGGACGGTCCGCATCAGCCGCAGGCCGTCCTGGGCCCGGGAGAGCAGCCGAAACATCCGCTGCAGGTCCTCCGCGCGACTCGCGGAGAGCATGGCCGCCATCCCGGTGTTCTCCATGCCCACGAGCTCCGCCATGCGCGCGTTCACGAGCTCCGCCTGCACGGTGCGCAGGAGCCGGCCCTCCGTCGACGGGTCGAGGTATTCTTGCACCCGGGCCTGTTCCTGCGTCAGGCGCTCCTCCGCGCGCCGGAGGTACGCGCCGCAGTCGCGCTCGCCCAGCAGCGCCTCGGCCTCGTCGCGGTAGAACGCCGCGGTCGCCTCGATGAGGGGGTCTTCGAAGTCCTCGGTATAAACATGCGCGCCCAGGTCCGCCCACACGCGCACCGCGGAGCGCAGGAGCGGGCGGTCGATCGCGTCGCCGCGCCGGTCGGCCTGGATCATCGAGAGCGTCGCGTCGATCAGGCGCTTGTGCAGCGGCTGCACCACGCCCTCCCGCCACAGCGAGACGCCGAGAGCAAACACAGCCGGGCGGCCCGCCTGCACCACGTACGTCCGGTCCATGTACTGCGGCGCACGGGCGACGGCAGCGCAGTGAGTCCCGCGGGATCTGCGGCCCCGTCCTCGCGGGCGTGCGCGGCGGCACGCAGCCACAAGGGGCACAGCGTGATGCACGTGCGCCTTCCGGCGCGAGGGCGGCGGGCGCGCGCGCACCATGAGGATGTCGCGGATGGTCTGCATGGCCTTGACGTGCTCCTCCCAGTGCTTGATCGTGGCGCGCAGGAGCCCCGCGCCGTCCTCGGCCGAGACGCTCGCGAGCACGCCCGCCAGGCGGTGGCGGACCTTGCCCTCCACGCCCGCGTAGAGCTTGTCGCCGAACTTGTGCAGCACCATGTAGTACGCGTTGCGGTACAGCTCCTCGTAGCTCAGACCCGACGCGCTATGCCCGAAAATGTCGTCGATCGCCTTGTCAATCACTGTCCACATCTTTTCTGCGAGATACCGGGCGGCGCGGACCGAGCCGGTGGTCATGCTGAGGTATTCGTCGCATGGAGATCGATTCGCGGCGGGGATCGTCGCTTCCCGAGGCCTCACGGCCTCGGCACCGCGGGCGTTGGCTGCAGCAATAAGCTCTGTACCCTCACCTGCATATTGCGGGTCCGTCTCCTGCCGGATGCGGAACGGCTCGATCTTGAACTGCAGCGGGCGCGCCGTGTGGCGGAAGGGCCGGTTCATCGCGAGCGGCGCTGGGGTGTTGAGAGCAAGGCGTAGGTGCATCTGCGTGGAGAACAGTCCCCTCCTGCTGCCAGCGCTGAACGCGCGGCGACGAGGGTGGCGCTCTTCGTTGTCGGCTCGTCCCGCCCCGCTTGCTCCGCAGATGCGGCGCCAGGCGCGTCGTTCGGGACCATCTCCCTCAGGCTTCCAGTGCGAGGTTTCATGGCGCGCAGCGATCGGTGCGCGGGACTCACCGACGACTTCTTCTTCTGGAGAGACATCTTCGCTTCCCTGTCGCACTGACACTGCTCTCGGGGCCGCCCGCGTCCAGCCGAGCTGTGAGCAAGTGGGCAGCCCTTCAGCGGCGCGCGACGCTTCGACGCCAAATGCGTTCGACTCGACCGCTGCACTACCAGGCAACCACTCTGTCAGCAGTCCAAACCGTCTTCACGAAACGCGTGGGCAGCCGCTGCGGCACGGCGTTTGCGACCAGACTGCCCACCAAGGACCGCCTGCGAGCACCGCCGAACAGGCCGCGCTCCGCAATCGATCGTCCCGCGACGGCTGAGGCAGCGCATACCGTGCCGCGCCACGGGCGCCGTCAGGGCAATGTGGACCCAGGACGCCCCCAGGCCAGGTAGGACACATTGCACCTATTACATCCTCCCTGTGGCCGAAGCGCGCCTCCGTCGAGGCGGGAGCGGGTCGAGTGCTCGCCACCACTTGCAAAGCGCAGCTTTACGTGATCAAACGAGCGTCGAGCCCCTTTTCGATTCGTCCCCAGGGCTCTCAGTTCATGGTGGCCTGAGGCACCGCCAGCGGCCCCCCGAGGCACCGCCCCCTCTGTGTGTGCGCCTTCAGCCTGGTGGTGATAGGAGGGACCTGAATTACCGATATTCAGGCCCTCATGGCGTCAGGGAAGGGGAGCGTGGCCATGGAGGTGCAGGGCGGAGAGAGGTCGGTCAGCAGCGCGTGCTGCGCGCGGTGCGGGCGTGAGAACAGCGACGGGCACGGGCTGGGGAAAATCCAGACGGTCATCTTCGTGGTCGCCGACCGGCTGAGCACGTGGCTTTCGTTCGTGTTCCGGCCACGCGGGAGGAAACAGGTGGTAGCATGCATCGCGTTTTGGGTCTTCATCGCCGCCGTCAGCGTGGTCTTCGCGCTCTACGTCACGCCCCCCATCATCGACGAGGTGCGCACTGCCTTTCTCGCCACGTCCCCCGCATCGAACCACCAAGCCGATGTCATGTCTACTTGGAAGCATTTCACCCGCCCCGGCCCTCCGGCGCCCGACGCAGGGCATCATCCCGCTGATGGAGAGCGCCGAGGAGTCGCTAGCGACGCACTGGATCGTGATCATCTCGATATCATGGATGGCGGTCATGCCGTGCATTTTCTTCCCCACAACTCCCGCGACGTGGCTGGCAGCGCTGACGCTCCCGCTCGGCTGGGCGATCGCCGTCGTCCTCGCCGGCGCCTACATCGGCTTCTGCACGTCCTTCTTCTTCGGCCGCTGGCTCCTCCGCGACGCCATCGCGCGGTCCGCGCCCACCCACTCCGCCACCCACCCGCCTCCCTCACGCACCCAGCGGGCCGACACACCGTCCCGCACCCCCCCACCGCCTTGCAGGGTCGTAGTCTCGCGGCCGCGCATGCGCGCGCTGCTCCTGATCATCGAGGAGGTCGGCCAGTGGCGTGCTATCTGCATTATGCGCATGTGCCTGTCTTACATAGTGGCGTCCTATATCTGTGCGGTCTCGGAGGGCGTGACGTTCGTGCCGTACGCCGTCGCGTCGATCGTCGTCGAGACGCCGTTCTTCATCGTCGGCGTCTTCCTGTCCCGCGAACTCAAGAGCTTGTCGCAGCTCCTTCAAGGGAACAGCATTCCCACGCTGCGGCTGGTGACGATCTGCGTCAGCGCGTCTGCGGGGCTCGTGATGCTAGTCGGGGGCGGCTGGTACGGCCGCCGCGCGATGAAGAAGGCGGTGCTACGCGTGCAGGAGGAGGAGAGGGCGCTCGAGGCCGCGCACGGAGGCGGGCGGATATGCGCTGCGTGTCGGTGCGTCACGGCGGACGACGGGCTGCTGATGATTGCGCACGCGGGCGACGGGGAAAGGCACGCGAACGGGGACGCGGGCCGCGCGGGAGCGGGGGGGTCGCAGGACGGAGGCGGGGGACAGGAACATGAGTCCGCCCTTGTGGCGCCAGGGTCCCCAGGGCGCCCGCATAGCGCAGGACGAGAGGGCGACGAAGCAGTTGTGTAACGCGCTGATTGCTTACGACGCGCCATCCGCCGTGGTGCTTGTACTTCGCTGACCTACAGGCACCCTCACCGCGAGGATGCTTGAGCGACCGAAATGCTGCACTGTCGCGGGGCGCCCCTGGCGTGGACATCGCGGCTACTGTCTCGTTCCTCGCGCGACGCGCATATCACTCTCACACGAACGCCGTGCACGCCTCCCGCCCTCTCCACTCCCCTCCGAGGCCCACGTCCTGTCTCGGCACACACGCACACGCCACTCTCCTTGGGAGATAGGTTCAGGACCGCATGGCGCGCTGCGCCTCCTCCTGCGTCCGCCGCAGCTCGTCCATCCGCATCTCGTGCTCGCGGAGCTCGTCGGGCGCCACTGCGTCGCTCGCGGGGCTGTTTGACGAGCTCCACTGCGCAGCGCGCATCAAAAAGTCGAGCTTCCGTTCCAGGTCCCCCACGCGCTCCTCGGCCCACGCGCTCGACTCCGCAGGGCCCTCCATGTCCGCCGGACCCGCGCCGCCCGCCCGCTGCGCCCCCTCCACGCCTGCGGCACCGGAAAGCAAATCTACATGTGTGTCGAGCGTAAAGAGAGGCCGCATGCCAACGGCGCAGCCGGCGCGTTCCGATCGCGGTCGGCGTACCTTGAGACTGCGGCATCGACGGCACGCTAGCCGGCGCGGCGGCCTGACGCGGTACTGGGGTGAGACCCGGGGAGATGACGGACGGCGACGGCATCGCGTCCACCGGGCCGCCCCCGGCCCGTGCCTCGCCGGCCTGCGATCCCTGGCTGTCGGCGCTGCGCGCCGGGGCCGCGGGCAGCGGCGGGCGCGGCGGCACGGCCTCGACGACGGCGCGCGCCTCGATGGGACGGCCCATCAGCATAGTGGCCTCGAGGCGGCTGGACGCGGCGTCGTTGCGGTTCTCGACGTCGCCCTCGCTGAGGTCGTCCTCGAGCTCGACGCTGTTCCACGCGCCCGGCGCAGCCGGCTCGCCGTCGCGCGCGTGCGTGCGCGACATCTCCAGCGCGCTGCGAACGCCCTGCGGGAGGCCCGCGGCCCACGACCCCTCGTCGTCGTCCTTCCGCGCGGACCCGAGCGTGCTCCTGCGACAAGCAAGGCCGCGCGTCGTGAAGCATGAGACCGGCCGCGAAAGCGTACACGGGCCGCGACCTCTCGCTCTCGCTCGCTGCGTGCGCGAGGTGCAACGCGCACGCATCTCTCGCGAGGACGCGAGGGGGGCTGGGCCACGTACTTGCCCATCTGCTGCGCGCGTTCCAGCTGCGCGACCCGCCGCGACAGCGCCTGCGTGGCGCGGTGCTCCTGCACCAGCTGCATCTCGAGCTTCGTGATGTACTTGTCGCGCTCCGCAAGCGTCTCCTTCTTCCGCTTGTCCTCCCCCGCGAGCCACTCCAGCCGCCGCACCGCCCCGACCAGCCGCGACTGCGTGCGCGCCTCAAAGTCCGCGTGCTGCTTCTTCAGGGCCACGTGCGCCCGCGACAGCTCCCCGTGCGCCGCCGCCAGCCGCTGGCGCTCGCGCTCCGCCTCCCGGACCTGGTCCTGCGCCCGCCCGAGCCGCTTCCGCAGCTCCGCGTTCTCCTTGAGCAGCATCGTGCTGTCGCCCTTCGGGGGCGCCGCGGGCACGGGGAAGTCCGCGGGCGGCCGCGTGAGCGCGAGCACGTCGCTCGTGGCCACCTCGTCCAGCAGCCGCTCGCGCCGCGCCTCGTGGGCGGAGATGACCTTGCTGGGCTGCTGGACGCCCTGCGCAGGGGGGGGGGAGTTAAAAAGCACGCGGGACGCGTCAGATAGGCGCGGAGGGGGCGCCGCGACGCTCGGGGCCCGCGTGGCGGCCGGTCGCGCCTCGGACGAGCACGCTTGATACACAGCGTGACATCAATCATAAAAAAAACATGTACCGAAGAACACATGTGGTTGCGTCGAGAGAGAGACACGTGGTTGCGGTCCGGGGGTCGCACCTCGAGGTACAGCGCCTGCAGGGACCGCATGCGCTCCTCGAGCTGCTGCGAGAGCCCCTCCGCGCGCGCCTTGCCGTCGCGCAGGGCCGTCACTTCCGTCGCCAGCACGCTGTTGTCGCGCGCCAGCGCCTCGGAGGCCCCCGCGAGCTCCGCGAGCGCCTGCTTGTGCCGCTCGACCTGGTCCTCCAGGTACGCGATCTGCTCCGCGGCCGACGTCGCGTGCTCCAGCTGCGCGTTCCTCGCCTCGATGGCAAGATCGGATACGCTCTGTTTGGCATCGCACACCTGCTGCACGAGCCGCCGCGTGTGCGTTCGCAGCGCGTTGTTCTCCGACCGCAGCGCCGCCTGCTGCACGCGCAGCCGCGCCACCTCGTACAACATGTCGCGCTCCGTCGCGGTGTTGTGCGCGACGGCGGCGCGCGCCACCTCGCCGTCGCGCGTGTCGAGGGCCCACGCGCCGCTGCCGTGCGGCGCGCGCGCTAGCGCTGCGGCGGCCTGCTCCGAGAACCCCGAGAGGCCGCGCGCCGGGGGCTCGGACGGCTCCGAACGGGACCTGCGACGCCGGAACGAGCGGGGGGGGGGTGTTTCGCGCGCACGTCGCGTGGGCGCGCGTGCGGGCCCGCTGCCGCGTCGCGGCGGGCCGCGGGAGCGCGCGGGGCCCGCTGCGGGGGCGTCGGACGGTGCGAGGCGCAGCGGCGGGCGCGGGGCGGCGTCGCACGTGGTCAAGGTCGCTGCGCACCCGCGGCTGTCCGGCGGCGCGTCCTCGCCCAGCTCGTACGCGTCATTGGTCTGGAGGATGTCCTGCAGCGCGTCTTTCTTCCACAGCTCCCGCTCTAGGGAGGACGCCTCGGAGGGGGCAGACCCCGGCTTTTTGCCTTTCGCCGCTGCACAGCCGAATGCGACGCCGCGATATCGATTTACGACCAGAATCGCGTAGTCATGAGGTTCAGCTAACCGCTGGCGCCATACCGCGCCCCGGGAAGACATGAGGGCGGCGCGGGAGCGGTGGATGCAGGCCCAGTGAGGTGACATCAGAACTCAGACGGATGGTGCGGCCTCCCGCGGCCATCTGGCGATCCGGACTGCCAGCCGCTGCAAAGCACAGCTCATGTAGTGCTCTGGGCGCGCGGCGCACCTCGGTTAAAGAAGACCTTGGCGCCGCGGAGGAGGACCTGGCGCTCGCCCTCTGGGAGGCTCTGGAGGAAGGTTTTCTCGGTCAGGAGGGACTGTTTATTGAGCGACCCGTCGCGCTCGAGGCTGTACGAGGTCTGGTGCGACCGCTCCGAGACCAGCATCGTCGCTGGCCGCCACCACTGCCCGTAGAGGAGCCCCGGGACTTGACCACACCGCGCGTGGTCCGCTCGCGCAGGCTCGGGGCCGATTTACGGAGAAACCAGGACCTGACCTACGGCGTGATCATGGCGGGATGCGCCCAGGAGCCCCCGCACGTCGGTGGCGAGGCGGGCGAGGCTCCGATCGCCCCTGGCAACAATGCTGGGTTCGGGTCCGCAGGCGTGGGTGCGCAGCGCAAGTCACCCCGCAGCTATCGTCCACGGGCTATTTCGTACATGCGTCTGTTCGGTGCAGCGGCCCGCGCAGGGCATTGAGCGCGGGGGGCACGGCTGCAGTCCCAGTCGACTCAGTCGCACGAGGCCGCCCGCGCGGCTCTCCGGGGTCCGCGGATCGATGCCGCGGCGCCCGCGGGGGCCGGGCACTCGCAGGTACGCGGAGGGCCGCTCACGAACGGTTGGGTCGCTTTTTCCTCGACGGAACAGGGCAGAGACAGGTGTCATGTCGGCCCTCCGGTCAGCTGCCGCGGCCATGCGGCGCGCTGGCGCTCTGCCTAGCAACGTCGGGTCCGCGAGGACGATGGCCGGCGGTCCAGGGAAGCGCACGAAGAACATCTGGGAGGTGCGGGCCAGCAAACCGCCGTGCGCAGCAACTGACGCCCCCCTCGCACGATACGCGCCCGGCCACGACTTCACGCGCGGGTTCGGCGCTGAGAGCGCCGTGGAGCAGCCAGTGGTCACCCTCTCGCGTCCCCAGAGCGCCGGCCCACCTCGCAGCGAGCCGTATGCTCGACCAGCCAAACGCCGGCCAATCGCGCGCAGGCTGCGGCCAGACAGCATGAACCGCATCCCAACCGCCCCTCCCGCGATATCACATGCGTTCCCGGGCGTCAGGCTCCCAGTCATGGCACACCACCCGCTGCGCGCCCAGCCAGCACTAGCACGCGCCAGGGGCCGCACGGCGCGCCCAGACCGGCACCCTTTGCACACGCCAGGCCTCGCGCCCTCCACTGAACCGAGCGCTCCTCACCCCCGCCCCCCCGCCAGCCTCGCTCCCCTCACGCCGCGCCCCGCGACCAGGCCTCGACCACGCGCGCCCACCACCAAGCGCAGACCACGGACCTGTCGGTGATCAAGTCGGAGCACATCACCATCGCGGTGCTCGGCATGTACGCCGGCCTCTACTTCGGCGTCCCCTGGGGCAAGCTCTTCGCGCCCCCGGCCAAGTGATCGCGCCGCGCCCGCCACCGCCCGGCAGCCGCGCCGATGCGCGCGCGGAGCCCGCGCCGCGCAGCAGGCCTCGCCGACGCACGCCCGGACCTGCGGCCGCACGCCGGCTGCGCGCGGCCTGTCTCCGCGGCGCATTGTGACTCACCTTGCCGCATGGTCTGCGCCATGCGGGACGGCTTTTCGGCCCGCCGCGGGGGACCGTTGAGTAGCCTGCGTGATCGTCTGCGGCCTCGGCGGCGCCCCGCCGCACCGTCCCGCGCCTCACCGGCATGTGGTGCGCTGCGGGGTGTTGGATGGGGGGGTGCCCTGTGCGACGGACCGCCCGTGCCGCGGGCGGGTGCGGACATGTGTGGCGTGGGGGCGCGCGGGGCTCTCGGACGCTGTGCAGCGAGGACAGGGGGGGTTTTGCGCTCCCTTGGCTTGCGTCAGACGGGTAGGGCTCGCTGTGGGCCCCTGTGGCCTTCGCTGGCGACAGGGCGCCCGCGCCCGTACAGATTGCGGGGTTCTGCGATACGCAGTGGCGTGGGGAGCTGAGAGCGAGCCGTCCTGGGCGGCGCGAGGCCAATAGCTGAGCCTGCAGAGGTTTTCCAGCACGTTTCGAGTGGACGCGTGGCCGCGGCCCAGGGAAGCACCGAGGAAGCAGCCTGTACTTCTCAGGAAGCAGTCATCAGCGGTCGAACCGCGCGGGGGGGGGGCAGCGTTCGCGGTGGCACTCGGCAGGGTTCACACGGGCCTCTGTCCGTCGCGCCAGGCGCGCTTCTTGTTGGACGAAGGCGAGCAGCCCCGGACGGAAGACGTCAGGCATCAGAGCGCCTCGGCGCACTGCTGCTGAGGGTGCGCCGGGCGGCGTCGCCCTGCGGGCGCTGGAGGTCGGGTAGCCCTAGGAATCGGGCGCCATGTCTGACACAGTCGATTTGCTGGGCTTTCCAGTGAAGCAGCTGACGGAGGAGGAGGTGAACGCCCGGCGGCGGGCCGCTTCTGAGGAGAATGCGCCCGCGCGGCTCAAATGGTGGACGAAGCAAGCCCCGAAAGTCAAGCCAGGCGTCACTCCCAAGGTACGCGACACTTCGCCGCTTCTCCGCCCCCGTTTCCTCGTAGAACGCCCCCTCAGACGCACGCGGCGCGCCTCTCGTCCCGCGCGCGTGCGACCTACACCGGGCACGGGCGCTGATCAGCGGTGGCCGGTGAGCACCTCGCACGCCTGGCAGCGCGGCAGGGCGAGCGGGACGCGCGGCTCAGTCGCAATGCATCCACATTCTCGTCACCGCAGGGGAAGCTGAAGAGGATGATCCGCGGCGGCATCCCACATGAGCTACGTCCCACGGTGTGGCCCAGGCTGGCCGGCGTGGACGCGAAACGCGAGAAACTGGGCGCCAACTACTACTCGTACGCTCTACGCCCTCCGCGCCACCACGCAGGCCGCGCTGCGCGGCCTCGCGGAGCTCTCACCGGCCACACATGGGTCCGCTGGCCACGCCTCGCACCCGCCGCGCAGGCGTTCGCGCCGGCTCCCGCGCGCCGACCCCCGTCTCGCGCGCCGCCGCCCGCGCAGGAAGCTGGTGAAGAAGATCTCCAAGGTCCCGCACGCCGTGAAGACGCAGATAGACATGGACATTCACCGCACGTTCCCGGGGCACCCGCTGATCAAGTCGCCGCGCGGCGCGGACGCGATGCGGCGCATACTCCTGGCGTACGCGCTGCACAATCCGCAGGTCGGCTACACGCAGGGCATGAACTACGTCGCCGGATTCCTGCTCATTGTGTTGGGCGGCACCGACGGCGACCGGCTGGCCAGCGGCGGCGAGGAAACCGCCTTCATGATCCTCCTGTGCGTCATCGACGACATCCTGCACTCGGAGCTGTTCGGGGACGACCTCATTGGCCTCCACATAGAGGTACGTCGCTGCGTTGTATCCTGCCCGCCGCGGCACGCGAGGGGGCAAGAGCCGGTGCTGCTGCTCCCCGACGCACCACGTGCCGCGGAAGAGCATGTCTGCGGCGCGCGTGGGCTGCTGCAACGACCCCAACGCGTCGCGCGCCGCCACGCCCCTGCAGATGGCCGTGCTGCGCGCCCTCGTCAGCATGCGCGCCCCGCGCGTCGCCACGGTCTTCGAGCGCCTCCAGGTCCCCATTTCGGTGGTCTGCACGGAGTGGTTTCTCGGCATGTTCACCCGCGCCATGCCGTCGGAAACCGTCGCGCGCATCTGGGACTCGGTGCTGTCCGAGGGCGTCAAGGTCGTCTTCCGCTTCTCCCTCGGCCTCCTCCTCACGTCGGAGCCGCGCCTCCTGCCCTGCGTCCACGTCGGGCAAGTCATCCAGGTCATGCGCACCCGCTGCGAGCGCATGCACGACAGGCAGCGGCTCGTGAAGGCCGCGTTCGACGTGAAGCTCAAGCGCGACGAGATCAGCAAGCTGCGCGTCTCCAAGGGCGAGGAGGTGAGGGATCAGATCTCGAAGAATGCTGGAAGCCGACTCGGGAAGCAAATGGCACGGATCACGGGGGCGATGAACGTGCAGGACAGCCCCGACCGCAACAGACTCGACCTCGCCGTGAACGGCATGGCGCCGGCGCTGGGCGCGCAGAGCAACCGGGTGAGCGGCGCCGCCTTGATTGATGTCGTACCTGTGGCGCGTGGACACGCGGCCCCGACGGGGGGCGCGGGTGGTGCTGCCGCGCGGCGGCCTCGTGGCAGCAGAGCGAACGTTGCAGGCATGCGTGTGCGCAGAACTGACGACGTGTGTGTATGGGGGGGGGTGATTTGTGTTGTGCAGGAGACGGAGAACGCGTCGCAGGGGGAGCCGGGGCACTCCATCGCGAAGAAGTCGATGGGCGGGCAGTCGTCGCGCAAGGGCGCTGCCATCGCGCGCGTGAGCTCCAAGGGCGGCGCCATTGCGCGCGTCAGCTCGTCCAAGGGCGCTGTGTCAGGGAAAAACACCCCCAGGGCGCCGTCCGCGCCGAGGTCTCGGGGCACGTCAGCCGGCGTGCCCCAGCGTTCCTAGCGAACCCGGGGCGGCCTCGAAGCCGCCCGAACACGCGGCCGTGCACGGCGACACCAAGGAGCGCGCGCGCAGCAGCGTCGACGCTGGGCGCCGCAACGCTGGGACGGAAGGCGCCGCAGTGCGCCGAGTGCGGCCGCGGTGGGTTCCGTGTCTGGCGAGGCCGGCAGTCGGGCCGGAGGAGCGCCGTCACGCCGTGGCGCAGGCGGTGCGGATGCATCGCATGAGGCTTGTGTCTGCCGGTGGCCGCGACACGACACGGCAGGGCCTGCGAGAGGCCGGCGTGAGCAAGGACGCGCGGCGGGTGCGCCGGCAGCGGTGGCGCGACCGGAGGCGGGCGGCGCAGGCGGGCAGCCTCGCGCCCGTCGCGGCAGTGCTCTCGATCGCGTAGCGCGCGGCGCTGCTGAGTGGCGCGCACCGGAACGCGCTGGCGAGGGGGCTCTTGGTGCGAGACTCGACCGGCGGAGAAAGCCAACGAACCGCTATGGCAGACGCGGTGCGGTCCGCGCAGTGGCGGGATGCGACGTGCGGTGTGACGTCAGTCTGCAGGCCTGAGCGCGCGCCGGATCGACCCTGCTGCGCGCGTGTCGTGAGACGACCTGCGTTGATCCGGACGGTCTCGTGCAACCTCCACTCTGCGCAGCCGTTTCCGGCACTGCGACCCGGCTCCATGCTCAAGCGCACGCCCCGCGCCTCCCTGCGCGCGCTCGAAGCCGCGAACGGCCCGGCTCGACGAGCAGGGCCTCGGCCAGCACGCAGAAGGACGTCCCCGCCGTGACGGCGGGGGTGTCTCCCCGAGACCCTCCCGTGGCCGTCAAGGCCGCCGCCGAGGCGCCGTGCGGGACCAGATGGACTACGGCTGATCGGTTCGCGCCTCAGCGCTCTGTCTTGACATCGTGCGGGGAAGACACGCGGGGTGGTGGGGCGTAGCAGGGTGACCTCGCGCGGGACCCGGGCGCCGCGGCGCAGGAGCGATGTACAGCTCGAATAGCACTGCGGCGCAGGAGTGGGCGCGCAAGCGCCGCGAGAAGATAGAGAGGTAGCCGCCTGCGCGTCACGGGCTGTAGACGTGCTCCTTGCGCTGGGAGCTGCATGCCTCGGGCGCATGCCGCGCACGGTCGCCCCCCGGCCCCGCCGTACGCTCGACCGAGCCCCCGTGTATCTGGCTTGCAGGGCGAAGGAGCTTCGCGAGGCACGGAAGCGCGAGAGGGAGGCGGGCCCGTACGAGGGTGGCTTTGGTTCTTGTGCCGCTGGCGGGGACGTCGACAACGCAGCGCCGGACTACGATTTCGGGCCCGCTCCGACGCGTGCGGACCCCAGTCCGCCGCGGGATCGCGGCGGGTACGACCGGGGCCCGCCACCCGTCCAGCCACGCGCGAACGCGGGCCCGCGCGCTGCCCCGCCGTACACCAAGCCCACTTCGCAGCCCAGCAGCGGCTCTCTCGGAGGGTACGGAGCGTCGGGCCGATACCAGCCACCACCGCTGTACTATTTCGACGACCAGGGGTCCGCGAAGAAGGCGTTCGAAATACCACAGCCCAAGCCAAACGTGAACTATGTGCCGGATGATCCCAGGGACCCCGCAAACTACGGCAACAGGCCGCTGGGCGACTACGAAGCCCCCCGGCGCCACGCCGAGGACGCGGACGGCACCTGGACAACCACGCTCCGCGGCGCGCTGCCCGACAACGACCTGCAGCCCGCGCGGGCGAAGTCGCGCGCCGACAAGAGCCGAAACGCCCCCCGGCGCCCGGAATGGAACAACGACTTCGTGGAGGACTTCTCCCTCGGCGCCCCGCCCGAGCCGGAGCCCGCGCCCGCGCCCGCGCCCCGGCGCACCGTCCGCAAGGCCCCCCCGCGGCCCGATTGGAACAACGAGTTCGCGGAGCCGGAAACCACCGTCGACGGCGCGTTCCCCGCGGCCCCGCCGCCGCGGCCGTCCCCGGGCGCGCAGGCCTCGTCGGGCCGCATCAACCGGCAGGGCCTCGCGCGCCTGAAGGACAGGATGGCCGGGCGGAGAGCGGGTGGCAGCGCGGGCAGTGGGGGGTCGGCGACGCCGTCGCCGGCGCCGTCGCGCGGGCCGTCGGAACGCGCGCGGCCCGCGCAGCCGCCGGCGCCGTCGCGCGGGCCGTCGGGCAGGGCGCGGCCGCCCGCGACGGATGAGGAGTACAGGGCACCAGCGCGGCGCAGCGCCGACGCCGGCGCGTGGCAGACGGGCGCCAGCGCCGGCGCCGCGGGCGGCGCGCGCGCCGCATCCGGCGGAGAACGGCGCCGGAAACGACGACGTGCCGCTCCCGCGGGCGCCGGCGATCCCGGAGGGCGCGGACGACGCGCCTCCGGCGCGACTGATCCAGTGTCGCAGTTGCGGACGGTCGTTCAACGAGCAGGCGCTGGCGAAGCACGCGAAGGTCTGTCAGAAGGTGTTCCAGACGAAGCGGAAGGCGTTCGATTCGACGCGGCACCGCCTTGCCGGGACGGACGCCGCGCAGGTCGCGCCGCGCGGCGGCAGAGGCGGCGCGGGCCGCGGGCGCGCGGGCGCGGGAGCGGACAGGCCGATCAAGCCCGCGGGGGGCGGGAAGGGCGGGAAGTGGCGGCAGCAGAGCGAGGCCTTCCGCGCCGCGATGCGCGCCGCTCGCGGCGTCACGGAGGCGATCAAGGCCGGAAAGGACCCGCGCGACATTCCGGTCGTGCCGTCGCAGCCGGACCCGGACCTCGTGCCGTGCCCGCACTGCGGCCGCACGTTCAACGAGAAAGCCGCGGAACGTCATATTCCAAAGTGTACCAGCATCATGGCAAAACCCAAGATGCTGCGCGCGGGGGGCGGGCGCGGGGGCGGCGGTGCGCGCGGAGCTCCGCCACGGGGCCGCATGCGGTAGCGTCGGCCCGTGCGGCGCCGTGTGTGTGACCCGACAGCAGCACTGCGAGCTCACAAGAGGCCCCGGGGGGGTGTCTAGCGGGTCACGCGCGCCCGTAGCTGCGCGGCGCGGACGTGGTGGTCTTCGGGGCGGGCCCCGTCAGCTGCTGCGAGTTCCAGCGCGCGCCCATTTCCAACAGAAGCTTAAACGTGGGTTCGCCGTCGACACCAAGCTCGTGGGCAAGGAACGCCGGGGTGCACCCGCGCTTGTCCGGGGAGTTGATGAACCGGTCGCGCTTGTCCTTGGGCATCAGGTTGATCAGGAAACGCACGGCGCCCTCCCGGCCTGCGCGCGCCGCAAAGTGCAGCGCGTTGAGTCCGTTGTGGTAGTCCGTCACCTCCGGGTCGGCGCCGAGCTCGAGCAGCATCATCATGGCCGCCATGCTGCCGCCCTCCGCCGCCCAGTGGAGCGGCGTGCGGCCCATCGCGTCCTTCTTGTTCGCATCAAACGGACTCTGCAACACACTCCAGGGGGGGTATCAGCCGTCAGACTGCGCGGTGCGTGGTGCGGCTGCCCGCGTTGGCGCCGGCCATGCGCGGGGTAGGCGGCGGCGCGTCGCGGCGCGCGTTGGGTGCGTGCGCGCGGCGTGAGCGTGTGTGGCGGACGCGCGCCTTTTCTTGCTCGATGAAAACCTCCATGAGCTTCGTGTCGCCGCGCGCCGCGGCCTCGCCGATGTTCTTCGCCGGGCGGTTGGCCTCGCGCGACACGATGTCCGTGATGCGCTCCTGCTGAGGCACACGGAAGCCCCCTGGGGAGGCCGCGTTGGCTGACGGTGGGGCCGGCACGGCCTTGCCGTCCACCACGCGCTCCGCCATGTTGCCGGACCTGCGCGCAGAGCAAGGTCGCGCCGATGAGCGCACGGCGCTCGGCGCGGCTAGCCAGTCGCCAGTGCCAGCAAGCACCACAGGGGGGCGAGTGCGGAGCGAGACGCCGTCTTCGGCGCACGTTGGCGCGCGCATGCTGGCCGCAAGTGGGCGAGAGCGCACTTGGTCTTGTGGAGCTGGCGCTGCTCCTTGTCCTTCTTCTCTTGGAGGCCCAGGAGCTTCTTGCGTCGGTCCCGGGCCTCCTGCGCCTTGATTTCCGCGACCTCTCGCGCGAGCTCGTTGTCGGAGATGGTCCGCTTGCTCGGCTGCCGCTCCATCGTCTTCTGCGCCGCGGTCGCCATCGCGGCGGCGTCTCGCAGGCGTCGCCTGCAAGTCTGTTACACCTGGGAGCGCTTTGCGCCGTCCACGCGGCCGTTCAGCGCGTGGTGGTGACCAGCCGACCTAGCAGCACGACCAGTGTCCCCCGCGCTGCGGCCAGCTCGGCAAAAGCTCCCTCCAGGCGTGCGTCCGTCGGCCTGCAACAAGTGCCACGTTCGATCGGTCGGAGTTCTGCGCTGAGACGGGAGTTCCCGCGGATTCGCGTCCGTCGACAAAGAGTCATGCGCGGAGAACCCGTCGCGCCGTGTGTTCCGCGTTGTGTGCGACCGGGGAGCGCGTCGTCACGTTGTGGCACCTAGTGGGACCTCCAGCGGCGCCGCCCGCAACCGAGCGCTCAAGAGGCGTCACGACGCGCACTGCACGCGAGCAGAGCACTTTCCCCGTCCGCGCGTCGAGAACACACGGCAGGAGCGCGACTGTGCGCACGGGGCCGCACCGTTTACGTTGGCAGACGGAATTCCACCGTTCTCTCCCCGCTTGGGACAGACGACCGGCTCGCTTGGAACGGCAGAAGCTGTAGTCCACGGCCGCCGCGCCAGGGGCGCCCGTCGAGGCGCAGGGCGTCTGTGCGGGGCGTATTCGAGTGGTAGGATACTGGGACATCCCAGGTGGCCTCATGAGAAGGCCTCGGCGGTCGGGAGCGGGCTCATCGGGCTGCAGCCGCTCGCAGACGTGCAGACGCTGCGCATCACGAGGGTTTTGTCTTCAAACGACGGATAGGCGCTGGTGCGTGTGGACGAGAGACACTGTGAAGTAGGTCGGCCTGAAGGCACGACATGGGCGTGGCGGGGCAAGTGACCGCTGCTGCGGCTAGCAGAGCCTGCGTGCGTGCCGCGCAGTCCACCGGGCGGCGCATCGGGGCGCGGAGGGCGTCTGTAGGGCGCGGCAAGTACGTGTGTGCAGCTTCCGGGGGCAAGGACGGGACGGACAGGTTCACCGACGTCGTTCTGGAGAAGAAGCGGCAAGAGATGGCTGAGAAGCGCGCCAGCGAGGAGTCGGTGTCCTTCGAGGAGGCGCTCCGGATGAAGAAGGGGCAAGCGCGGGCGCGCAAGAGGAAGGCGCAGGTCAACGTGAACGCGCCGGAGGTCGACAAGGCCTACAAGACCGCCCCCGAGGACCGCCCGATCGAGTCGCAGGCCGAGGCGGCGTACCTCCAGGCGAGGAACCCCCCCAAACCGCGCGTGCTTCCATCACCACTGGATCAACCCGGCTGCCCCGCTCCCACCCGCACGATGCTGCCGCGACGACCCCATCCCTGAGACTCTACGCACTTCTTCAACGCGTGAGGGTCCCCTTGGCTCGCTGTACTCGCGCCAAACGAGCCTGTGGACCAGCTGCACCCTTCGCAGCTCCTCCTGTGCTGAGGCACATTTCGTCCCGCCATGATCCGGCCGCGGCGCAGCGGCGCCGGTGACAGGAACTACGGCGAAACGTCGGCAGCGAAGATACCGGGGCCAGCGACAGCGGCGCCGAGTACGAGTCGCCCAATGCCGACGCCGACATGAGTGGCCGGATGTCAGCGATCGCAACGACGTGGTCGCATCGTCGTCGTCGCATGACGTCGCAGCCACGTCGTTGCGATCGCAGACATCAGGCCACTCATGTCGGCGTCGGCATCGGGCGTACTCGGCGCCGCTGTCGCTGGCCCCGGTTCCTTCGCTGCCGACGTTTCGCCGTAGTTCCTGTCACCGGCGCCGCTGCGCCGCGGCGGGATCAGCGCGGGACGAAATGTGCCTCAGCACAGCAGGAGCATGCCTGCGGGCCTCCCTGGTTGCGCACTGGTCTGGACGCGATGCCACGGACGCTGCCCACCACCGCGTCCGCGCCCTCGTCCGCGCAGTTCCTCACCGCGTACTTCGTCGGGATTCTCGCCATGGGGGTGTTCCTCGGGGGCTCTGGGTTCCTCTCGGACGAAGCTGACCGCATCGCACAGGTCCGTCCGCCCCACCCCGGCCGCGCGCCGTCGCTCGCGCGATCACACGCACGCGCCGTTGCCGGCGCGCCCACCAGCGTCTCCGCTGCCCCCCGCTCGCGGACTCACCGAGGTCGTGCCCGCAATCACACAAAATGCTATGCAGGACTTTGTTTACCCGGCGTTCTCGCCGGTCGTCGGCGGCTTCCTCTTCTTCTCGTCCTTGTACGGCATCTACAAGGCCTACGGCCCCGGGCGCGCTCCATAGGCTCAGCGGCACCACAGGCTGTGAGACACGACCTCCTGCGCCGCGCGGCGTCAAAAGAACGACGTCACCTTCGCGCCCTCGCCCTCCGACGCGTCGCTGCTCTCCTCGCTGTCGCTGCCGTAGTCCAGCCCCAACCCCCCCCCTCCCGCACCACCTCCGCTCCCGCTACCACTACCCCCACTCGTGCTGCTTCGCCGCCGCTTTTTGGACGGCTGCGCGTCCGCACCGGCCACCTTCTCCTCCTGGTCCTCCTCGTCCCGTTCCGGCGCACCCGGCGCCGGCGCGGCCTTCGCCACGTCAGCATGCGCGTGCTGCGGCGCCGGCTTTGCTACGGGCAGGGGCGGCGGGACCCACCCGTCGAGATCGAGCACGGCCGCCTCCTCGTGGCCCTTTCGCGCCTCCGCCAACATCTCCCTGTGCGACGACGCCTGCAGGAAGCGCGCCCGGAGCCACGCGGGGTTGCGCCCACACATGCGACACGAGCCAACGCACACATGTGCAGTCATATCGAGTCCCCGCAGGACAGCATCGTGCGCGCTGCCCGTACCCTGGTATCCCCCTGCGCCATGCGCTTCTCCTTGAGCTCCCGTGCCTCCCGCAGCTTCTGTCGTTCGCGGTCCGCGCGCTGCTTCCGTATGGCGGCCTCCGTCTCCGCCGCCTGCCGCTTCCGCTCCTGGATCTCCCAGCCCGCAGCGGCAGCGGCGTCTCGCGCCGCGCCGCCCCGCGCGTACATCTCCGCGTCCCTGGAGGGGGCGCAAGTCACGCGGGAAACACATGCTATGGGATGCCACGTCCTCCTCCTTCGCACCCAAAGGACGCGGCCCGCGAACACATGCCAGTGCGCCGGCGCGCGGGCTCGGTAGGTAGGGAGCAGCGGACGCGGTTTGCGCGACGGGGCCGGCGCGGCGACGATGACTGATGCATTCAAGGTGTGACGTACCGCTGCGCTCTCTCCACGGCCTTTCGGTGCGCGGGACCCGCGACGTGCTGGTGCATTTCGATCGCCGTGTTGAAGTCGATCGCGCAGACGTCGCAGTGGAACGCCGGCGCCTCGCATTCGCCCGCCCGGGTCTGCCCCGCCGCAGGACCAAGAGCGATCCCCCCGGTGGCGTTGGAGCGCTTCACGCGCTCGCTGTCGCCACGACCCGAGCCATACTCGCGGTCTCCCTTCTCCGCCTGCACGTGAATGCGTTTCGTCGCGCGATACGTCCGCACGACCGGCAGGGAGTGTGCAATTGCTCCGCGCCGCGGCTTGCGCGGGGTTTGATGCCGCAAACACCGCGAGCAACCGAGCTTGCAGAAGGATGATCATGTTGGCAAGGCTGATTCGCACGCAGGAATCCTCGCGGACACCGAGAACGAGCATGCTCTCTCACGGTTTGGCCACGCACCTGCCGCCTCGACTTGCCCTTCTCGCGCCGCTCCTCTCTGCGCTTGAGAGACGCCTCGAGACGTTCTCTCTGTGCCGCGAGGGACGCTTTGTTCCCCCCAGGGACGGACATCGCGTGGGCGCCCGCACAAGCTTGCCCTCAGTCGCTCAACGGCCCCAACGCTGCGCACGCCCTGCCCGCGGTCGCGCGCCGTCGACTCCCCGCCACGCCAGGTCGCGCGCGCGGTGCGGCGCGGCGGCCCGGCCCGCAGCCATGAAGCCGCCCCACTCGGGCGGACCGTCTGTCAATGTGGGGAAAAAAAAGGAAAAAATGACTTTAAATTGACCTGGCTGACTCAGGCGCGCGGAGCTGCCGGGGAGTCCGACAGCGCAGAGCGTTGCGGGTTTGTCTGGGTCACAGCCGCTTCGAGATTCAAGACTTTACTTTACTTTCAGTCCTCGTTTGACCTTCACTGAAGTAGCTTTGAGAGTTGGCCGACTTGCAGGCATCACGCAGACAGACATGGCTCACGCGTCGATCGAGCTCTCGACTTGATACGGAGGTGTTCTCATTCACATCTTCCTAATTAAGGTCTGAGGAGCCAACGGTGGTGGAACTCGCCGCGCTCGGCAACGCCCGGTCACGTCGCGCGTCGATGTTCCCGACTGCCAGACTGCTGCTCGCATGCGTGGTTTCGAGCCTCCTCGAGCCTGCTAGGAGCGCGGCATGCAACGGCAGTCAGCTGCGGGTGTGTTGCCCACGCATCCCGCCCTGTGGTTCCACGCACGGACCGTACAAGGGGGGGTGGCGGGGAGACCGCGCGGCAGCCAGCCGCGGCGAGCGCGTGCGCCGACACTGGCTGGAGACGGCCTCGAGGAGGTGGGCAGATAGAGCTCTGTTGGTGTGCCGCGAAACGAGGTCGTTGGCGCGGTTCAGGTGAACGTGTTGCTGGTCGAACCGTTCGTTCTCGCCGGGGAGTTGGGGGGAAAAGCGGACACACGGTGCCGCCGGCGTGGCGGACGGCGTCCAGTCCGAAGTGGTAGTAGCTCGTGTGCTGGCATGTGTGCCGTCCGGTGCGATGCGCAGTATGTCGTGGGTTGCGTGGTTTCGTCGCGCCTCGCTTGATCGCGAGGGTAGATTTGCAGGGCCAAATCATTTCGCGGTGCGGTGGCTGAGGTGTAGCAGCGCACCGCATGGGCGAAAGCGCGACCGTGGTGCTAGAGGTCGGGCGTGGAATGCATCCCTGGGCGGGAGCGTGTCCGCTGGGGACGTCGCTCACTTCGAGGAAGCGGGCGTATGCACGCATGCTCACCAGGGCAGGTGTCAGAAGGGGACAAACGCACTGGCACGATCAGAGGACACATGCATTCGCGTCCAGACCGGACCATGTGCCTCGAGCGTCAGAAGTGACCAAAAAGTGCACGCAGGAGAAGGTGAGGGAGGGGGGGGGAGGGGTCGGGTGCTGCGCGCTGGTCGTCATCGCACATCCGACGACCACATCCCGACCGACCCGTCGTAGCTCCCGGAGATCATCAGCCCGATGCCTGGAGCGGCACCGAGCACCCGCACCGCGTCGCCGTGTCCGTGGCACGTCCGCATGCGCTCCATGGACTCGATGTCCCATATCCGCACCGTAGTGTCATACGAGCCTGACGCGAGCACGTTCCCGCTCGCAGCCACCGCGAGGACCGCCTCGGTGTGGCCCTCGAGGACGGCGTCGCAGCTCATGTCGTCCACGTCCCAGACGCGCACCGTGCGGTCCCAACTGCCGCTCGCAAAGCGCGCGCCCGGGAGCGGGCAGAGCACGCGGATCTTGTCGCAGTGGCCCATGAGGATGCCCACGCACGAGAGCGTCTCGACGTCCCACACGCGCAGGCTCATATCGTCGGAGCCGCTCACCACGAACCGGCCGTCCACGGACGTCAACGCACGCACCGCGTCAGTGTGACCTGCACGAACGGACGCACCGCGCGAGAAATTGAAACTCCGCCTCCACGCGCCGCTTTCCAAAAGCCACCGCGCGTCGTCATTCGCCGTGCGTTCTCGACACACCCCCGCCCGCACGGAACGGTGCCACATCTCCGCGCCCGCGCGCACGCCCCGCCGCGGGCTCTCACCTGCCAGGGTCGCGACGGGCTCCAGCGTCTGCGCGTCCCACACGCGCACGGTCTTGTCGTAGCTCGCCGAGAACAGCTTCGTGCCCACCACCTCCAGCGCGCGCACCGGCCCTTCGTGCCCGACCAGAATCGCGCAGCACTTGAGCGCCCCCACCGCCCCCGTCGCCCACGCCCGCACGGTGTGGTCGTACGACGCCGTGAACAGCATCCCGTCCACGACCACCATACACCGCACCGCGTCCGTGTGCCCCGCCAGCGTCGCGACGGGCTCGAGCGTGTCGAACGACCACACGCGGACGTTGTGGTCGTACGACCCGGAGAACAGGTGCGTGTCCGACGCCGTCAGGCACAGCACGGGCCGCGTGTGCCCCTGCAGCACCTTGACGCAGCGGCGAATGGTCGAGTCCCAGACGCGGATCGTCTGGTCCGCGGACGCCGTGAAAACGAGCGGGCCGTGCACGAGGATCGCCCAGATGATCTCGCTGTGCCCGTGCAGGATGCTGTCGCCCGCCTCGCGGCCCTCGTGCGCCGACGCCCGCACCGAGGCCCGCTCCAGGTAGCTGGAGCGAACGCGCGGGCGCGGGGGCAGGAGCACGCCGCTCGCGGAAGCCCACTCCTGCGCACGATCGACGCACCCGGGGTGCTGCTGCGTCGGCTTTCGATCGATAAAGCCGCGCGTGTGGGCGGCGCGGCAGGTCAACCCGGGTCTGCTGTATCACCCAGGGGCGACGTCGGGGGCGGCGACCGGGCGACCGGGGCGCGAGCGGGGACCTAGGATGGCGCGGCGGGGGCGTGACCGGGCGTGTGCGCGCCGGGGGCGGCCGCGTGGCGGCCGTCGAGCTCACCTCGAGCGCGTTCCGGAGGGCATGGTTGGGAATGAGCTCAGCGGTGTCTCGGAGGCGCTGCCCGGTGACGGGGCAGGTGTTGTTGCCCTGGGCGAGCCAGCGCTCGATGGGTACGCGGTCGTACGTGTGGCCGGTGTCGAGCATGACGGGGTCGACCATGAGGTCGTGCGTGATTGGGCACACGAAGGCGCTGGGCGGCGTAGGTCGGTCCGAGGGCTCCGAGGTCGAGTTGTGGCGCACGGAGCTGCTCGTGCTCTTCTGGCCCGATGGCTCCGATGGTGGGAGCTTGTACCTGCGGAACATGGGCGTCGTGCGCGGTCGGGCTGCCGCGGACGGGACTGCTGCGACAGCGGCAACAGGCGGGGAATCCCGCGGTGCCCCGGGTCGACCGTCGCTGACGCATCGGGGGCTGGCTGGAACGATTCGGAGAGGCCGAACGCGGTGGTCGAGGGCGGCGCGGACGCCGTAATTTTCCGGAATGCAGTCGGTCGACGGGCTCGTTCCGCTCACCCCGTGTACCCGCTGTCCCCTCTCCTCATGCACGTTCCGTCGCCTCCATCCGCCATTGCGCCCCCTCCTTCAGCCGCGCTCGCCATCTGCTGCAGCCGCGTGCGCAGCAGCTCCGCCTGGGTCTTCATGCGCAGCGCTTTGACTCCCCGTCCGGCCTTCCTGAGGCCCTCTAGGGCCCGCCGTCGCCAGGAACCTTTCAATTCGCACTAGCGCCGAGGGTCACGGCACCGAACAAGGTCTCTCGACTCCCGCTCGCCGCCTGCTAGGCTATGCTAGGACTGCCGCGGCCACGCAAATGCAGGGACGCGTCGCTACCAGCAATCCCGGATGCTCAACCTGCGGTGCGCAATGCTCACTAGGTGTGCCGCCGGCAGCGCAACTTGCGGCCCCACGAGCGCGCCCGGCGCGGTCCGACCGAGTCGCACGAGTCAGCCACGAGAGGCCACACGCCCGCGGACCAAGGCCAGGGCGCCGCGCGACCGCCGCGCACTTGCCTGCACCTGCCCTGCGGCGCCGACGCTCCATGTCGCGGCTGCTGTGCCGGCACGCCGGCACCGTCCTGGGCGTGTCATGTGTGTCAACGGGTGCCGCGGCGGGCTCCGACAGCTCGGCGCTCGTGACCGTCGAAGGGGATGGCGTCATCTCGTATGCGGGAGCTTACGCGGTGCGTGGGGCGCCGGCGGCTCCCGGCGGCCTGGCCGGGCCTGCCACAGCGTGCAACTGGCACCCGCGCTCTCCGCGCCCTCGCGGCTCGTTGCGTGGCGTTCGGCCGATACAGCCGCGATGCCAAGCCGTCGTTCGACGGGGTTTCGCAGTAACGGTCCGTGTTTCGCGTCTGTGCCGCGCAGGAGGCGGAGAGGGCGTGGGCGGCGGGCCGGGCGCAGCTTGTGTGCGCAGCGCAGCCAGACAGCGACGGCGAGGGGATCTGGGTGGGCGTGCGGGGAGTCACGGGGAAGGTCGACCTCGCGCGGGCGCGCCGCGACGCCTCGGGCACCACGCTCGCGACAGCGGACGCGTCACCTATGCCGGGTTTGATGTGCCTACACCCCGCGCCACAGGGCGTGCCGGGGGTCGTGGCCCTGGCCAGCGACGGGACCGCGCACCTGGTGAGCGGTACGGACGGAGTGGTGCATTCGTCTGAGCCCCCAGGCCGCGCAGGCAACGTGCAGGGGTCCGCTTCTGCAGGCCCTGGCCGCTTGGTCTACGTGGAGAACCATTCCAAGGAAGGGCTTAGAGCGTGGAGGATTTCGGTTGCTGACGGCGGCGACGTGCTGGAACGGCACGGTCCGTTCGCCATCGGCGCTGCGCCGGCGCCGGCAGCCACCCCGGCAGCCATCGCCTCCGAGGACGGCGAGACCCTGGCGGTTCTGTGGTCGACGGGCCATCTGCGTCTTCACGGGCTAACAGAGGGCCGCCACACGACGGACATTGGCGCTCCAGTCTTCGAGGTGGCGCTCAGGGGGCTGCGGACCCCAGACGGCAACCCACCAGCGGCCTCCGGACGCGGAAAGAAACGCGCTCAGGCCGCCTCGGCCGCGCCTTCCGCCTCCCTATCGATGGCGGCTCTCGGAGGCGGCTACTACGCCGTTGCCGGGCAGACAAACACCGACGCAGCGGCGCCGTTGGCTCCCAACAAGGCGATTTTGGCCGTTCTCGACCTGAAGTTCGGCGCCGTTCACGCGCTGAAGCGCTTCGAAGAGGAGATCGACGGGAAGCTGGAAGGCCTGCAGGTCACGGGCCTGACCGCGGCGCAAGTGGACGGGCACAGGGGCGTGCTGGCGACGTTGGGCGGCGCGGTCGTCGCGGTGCCGCTGCCGCTGCCGCCGCTGAGCCTCGCGGCCGTCGCGCAGCTGCGTAGGTCCGGCGCGGACGCCACCGCGCTGATCGTCGGCGCGGGCGACGACAGCGCGTCGCGGCCAGCGCTCGTTGCGTGGCGCGCGGTCCTTGGCACCGCGACGCCGGCTGCGGGCACCGACGGCGCAGCCGCGCTCCTGGTCGCCGCCCCGCGCGATCGGCTCGCGTTCGACGAGCGCGAGGCCGCGGAGGGCAGCATCGCGAAGGGCATCGCGGCGCTGCAGGGCGCAAAGACAGCGGCTGGCGTGGTCAAGGCGGCGGGCGCCCTTGCGGAGGCACACGAGGCCAGCGACGCGCCGTGGTCGCAGCACGCGGTGGCCTCGCTGGCGGCGCGGTGCGCTGCCGTCGGCGGTGGCTGGGGCGCCCTGCGTGGCGTGTTGGAGAAGGCCACGCCCGGCACGCTGGCGTGTCCGCCGGGCGCCGTTTCGGAGCTGCTCGCGGCCGGCGACGCGCTCACGCTCGTGCACCTGATCCTCGCGGCGGCGCACGTGCCGGCGGGGGACCTCTCGCTCGTTTTGCGCGCGTGTCTGCCTGACAGCGGGGCTGTGTCAGACGCACTCGCCGCGGGCCTGCGCGAGGCGGCCGCTGCGAGCGCCGCGGCCGCGCAGCAGATCGTCGCCGACGCCGAGGCGCGGCCGACCGCGACCACCGTGCGCGGCGCGGCCCTCGCTGCCGCAGCCATCGCAGTGGCGCCGCGCTGCGGCTATGCAGCACCGCTCCTGCACGCCGCCATCGCCCTGCGGCCCGACCCCGCGTCGACGATCGAGGCGCTGCAGCGCCTCCCGCTCGCCCCGACGATCGACCTCCTCCGCTACCTCCTGACGTGGCTGGAGGCGTACCACCGGCGACCCAGTCTGACCAACAGCGACAAGGGCGGCACGCGGCTGACGCCGCCGCTGGCCGCGCCGTCGCTCGGCACGGTGCTCGAGTGGGCCAACCTCACGGTCGACGCGAACTTCGCGCGGCTGGCGACGCACCGCGACGCAAGCGACATGTTGCGCCGCATGCAAGACGTTGTCGGGGCGCTCTCCGGGGCGTCGCGGTCGCTCGGGCGCCTGCAGGGCGTCGTGGAGCACGTGCAGCTACACGCGCCGCTGCCGGCCGGGGCGGGCACCGCCGCGAGTTTGTACAGTGTGGAGCTGATCGATCTTTCGGTGGGGAAGGGGCCGTGATTGGCGAGGCGGGCGCGGACGTCGGTGCGGGCGTGCGCGCGGAGGAGGAGAAGCAGGCTGGATGGTGTGCGGCGGCGGGGGAGGGCGCGGCCGTTGCGGAGGCTAGGGCGCTGTGAAGAGGATGCAATCACGATTCTGGTCCTGCTCGGGTCGCGTTCGGTGGGAAAAGGAGCGGCTGAGGGCAGCGGTGGGGTATCAGCACGCACGAGGCCGCAGTGAGGTGTGACGTCAGGGTCGCAGTGTGACGTGTGCTCGCTGGTTTGGCGGCGAAGACGTCCGACGCGCTGGCCAGCAGCGTCCTCGTGCGGGCATCAACGCGTGTTGTAGGTACGCACGCTGTTGCGCGCGTTCTCAGGCGCCGCCCCTGCAATGACAGTACAGCATTCTTTGCACACGCGTCCACCCGTGGGGCCGCACAGAGGCGGTGGCGCGGTGCGCTTGCGACGCAAGAGAGCGCGCGCATCCTGGCGCATGAGTCCCGCCCTCGCGGCCCCTCTCTGCACATCAGCGTCACAGCGCGGTCCGCGCGTGCCGCCTGCGTCACCGCCCCCTGCGCATCTGCGCTTGCAGCGCGCGCACCTGATCCCGCTGCTTCGGCGGCAAGTTCGCGATCTGCTCCTCCGATAAGCTCAGCACCTGCTTCAACAAATCGTCGTGTCCGTCACCACCGCCGCCGCCGCCGCCAACCCCCATGTCCGGCCCCGGTGGCAGCCCCGCGTTCCACGGGCCGGTCGGACCCGGCGGCGGCGCTCCCCCCGGCCCCGGCCCCGGCCCCCTCGGTCCCCTCCCCGCGAACCCTCCATCATACCCCGCACCGTCAAACCCACCCCCCGGAGGCCCGATGGGCCCCGGCGCGTCGTACCCCATCGGCGGCCGCCCAGGCGGCACGCCCGGCCCGGCGGGCGGCGGCGGCGCCCCGCGGGGCCGCCCATCGGCGGCGGAGCGCCCCCGCCCGCAGCGATGCCCAGCATGGCGGACGCCTGGTAGAGGGCGCGCGCGAGCGGCGGGTGCGCCATGAGCACGGTGCGCGACTTGGCCGGATCGCGCTCGATCATGACCTTCATCTGCGCGAGGACCTCCGCGAGCTGCGCGTGCGTCATGTCCGCCAGCACCTTGGTCACGATGTCGCCTGCCATGCGGTCGACGTCCGGGCCGGGGGGCACGCCGGCGGCGGCGGCGGCGGCGGCGGCGCCGTCCTGCGCGTTGGGCAGGCCCATTTTGGTCGCGATGCGGCTGAGGACCTTGGTGGTGGGGTGTTTGACTTCTACGGGGGTGTCGTCGGCGAAGTCGAGGCGGATCGCGCGGCCGCGGAGGCGGTGGCCGTCCATCTGGCGGTGCGCGAGCTGGGCCATGTCGCGGTCGTAGAACTCGACGAAGCCGAAGCCCTTTGGGTTCCCGGAATCCCGATCATATGCAAGCCTGGGTTGTGAGAGCGGGCGGGAGGGTGGGTGAGCGCGCTGGGAGGTCCGTGGGGCCGGGGCGGGGTCGGGGCTGGAAGTGAGTGAGGATTGGTGCGACGGGCGGCGCTGGAACGTGCCGGAGCAGGCGGTGCGGGAGGCGGTGGCGTTGCAGGGCAGCACAGGGCGGTGACAGCGCGCTGTGGCGCGCCGTGGCGGCGCGTTCGGGGGGCGCACACCTCGCTTGTCGGACTCCTCCGACGCTTCGTTCGAACAGATCGTGGAGTTCGCCCTCCGTGGTCTCATAAGACAGGTTCCCAACTGCAGACAAAGAGAAACGTCGCCGCTGAGACCTGGTACCATGAAGCCACCACATACATTGCCTCATTGCCAACGTGTCGACAGTTCCATGGCCGCACGGTCATCGCGAAGGCGGCTGCGCCCTTCCGCTGGCGTCACGGCGGCACTGCAGCGATGGCCCTTGCGCCTCATGTGGGAAGGCGCACGCCCCACGCCGCGCAACGGGAGGCCGCCCACGCACCGAACAGCGTTGTCGACGGCGGCCGCAGCGGCAAACCGGCCGCCATCGCGCCCAAGCCCCCCCTCTCTCGACTCCCCAAGCCGTGTGGCCGTTGTTCCTTCGAGAACCGTGTGCGAACGCAGACGGCGACGTTCCTCCGCGCAGCCAGGACTCACGGCGGCCCCAGCCCCGCGGCCCGCTGTTCCGCGAGCGCGCCGCCTGGTCGGACCAGCGCCACGGACCCTCTTCTGTGTCCCCCCAGCCGCCGGCACGCAGCGCGGCCGCGGCCGCTGCGCTCGTTTGCACCGCTCGCCGCGCGCCCCTTGCATACTGTAGCGGCCCCGCGCGACACCGACCCAGGCAGGGCTCTCAATTGCGCGCGGCACGGCTGAAGACCTGCTCGAGCTTGCCGAGCGCGGTCAGGGGTTGTGGCCCATCGTGCGCGCCTTCCGCGCCCCGGCAGCACAAATGGACGCGATGAAGTGCTGTCCGGCGACGCTCGTCAAGCCGCGCATCGCGCATCAACGGCCGCTGACGACGCCAACTGGGCAGCGCAGGCCTGGGCGGGCGGCGACGGTGCTGTGCCGCGCCGAGGAGCGGGACCGCTCGCCGGAGCACCGCCTCAAGACCCCAGACTACGAGAAGGAGCTCGAGAGGGTGTGTTCCCCACCCGCCCGCCTCCAATTCACCCGACAAGCGCCCGCTGGGGCTCGCAGCACTGATGCGCCCCTCTGCGCCTCGCGACGCCCGTTCACGCCGGTTCGCTCCCGCTTTCGGCGTGCCTGAGTTGCAATCATGGCGCCGCACGCAGTATTCGCGTAATTTGGCGCGGCGCGGCGCCGAGCAGCCGCAACCACTAGAGGCACGGCGAGTGCCCCAGCCCAGGGTTTCGGTCAGTGCGCGGCAGCCACGACGTCCCCCGGCGCCGCGCACGGGCCCATGTTGCAGCTATCGCATAGTGCGCCAGGAAAAGCGCCCGCGGGCCGCGTCTGACCGCGCGAGCTCTCCGCAATTCGCAGATCCGCCGTAAGGGAAAGTCCATGATGCCGGCAGACGAGGGGCTGTGGATGCTGCTGGCCACGCAGAGCATCGACGAGGACGGCGACGACCACGGCTTCTTCGCCGTCAACACAGAGGTGCGCCCCCGCCGCGCCCCGGCCGCACCGGCGCGCAGCACCCCTGCCGCACATCTAGCGACGCCGACGGCCGCTCCGACGCCTCGCACGGCCGCGCAGGCCCGCGCCGCGCGCCCCGCAGCACCGCGCCTCCGGCCCACCGCTCTCGTCCAGAATCTCTTTGCGTTGAAACCTCGACATCATCAAACACAACCTGTGCAAGAAATGCGCCCGACATCTCCGGCGGCGGCTGCGCCGCCCTGCTGCCCCGCGCGGCCGGCGGCGTTTCACGAGCTCCGCTGTGCGGTGGGCGCTGCAGGCCGGCGACGTGTCGCTGCGGTCGGACGACGCCTTGTATGAGGAGCCGACGTCAGAGGCGACGGCGCGGGCCGACGGGACGGACTGGTCCGGCGCGAGCACGCACGCGCACATCGACGACGGCAACTTCTCCTTCCTCCAGGGCATCACGTGCACGCCGGACCCGGAGTCGGACGACGAGGCGGACACCCCCCCTGACGGCGGCGCGGCCCCCGCGCCCAAGGAGAAGCTCGCGCCCGCGGAGACGAGCACGTGCTCCATCTCGTCGGTCGACCTCCAGGACATGCTGTACATCCCCGCGGAGGAGCTCCAGTTGAAAGACCTCCTCGGCGAGGGCCGCTACGGGGAGGTGTATCGGGCGGACTTCGGCGGCGAGGACGTCGCGGTCAAGGTGATTCTTGAGGAGGAGGACTTCGGGGACTTCTTGAAGGAGTTCAAGGTCCTCGTGGCGCAGGTGCGGGCCCGCGACGCCCCGCGGACACACGCACGCGCACCGCCGCCCTTCGCTGGCGCTCAGCCGACGCGCGTGCGCGGTCTTGTGTCCTCCTGCGCAGGCGGCACGATGCAGCAGCGTGGTGCGGCTGATGGGCTACTCGCTGATCGACGGCAAACCCTCGATCGTGATGCATCTGTACGAGACAACCCTCCTGGAGCACGTGCGCAGCACGCTGATGGAGACGCGCGCGGCGATGCCGATGTACGACTGCCTGTCCGTCGTGGAGGACGTCTGCCAGGCGCTGCTCACGCTGCACCGGCACGGCCTGGTGCACGCGGACGTGAAGCCAGAGAACATCTTTGTGGAGCGCCGCGACGGCCGCCTGCGCGCGATCGTGGGCGACTTCGGGCTGTGCTCGTCGCACAACCACCACGAGGAGGTCAGCGGTTCCGCGGACGACGAGCTCGGCACGGACATCGTTGGCACGCTGCGATACTGTGCGCCGGAGGCCACCAACGGCATCGTGACGCCCGGGTCCGACATGTGGTCGCTCGGGGGCATTCTCGCGTTCTGCGTGACGGGCATCCCGCCGTGGTTCTTCATCGCGCGGCCGAAGCTCAGCACGAGCGAGCGCAGCGATCGGATCCTCGCGGCAATGCGCGCGACGCAGGTTCCCGTGACTGTGCCGAACTGGCTGCCGAAGCCGATCATCGAGACGATCGAGCAGTGCATGGACTACGACCCCGCGAAGCGGCCGACCGCGCGGCAGGTCAAGACGGTGCTCCGGTCGATGCTGGAGCGCTACAGCATGACCGTCACGGAGACACGGGACGAAGACCCGGCGCCCGCGAGCTCGCAGAGCGCGGACGGACCGGGGAAGGAGAAGGAGGAGGAGCAGGAGAAGGAGAAGGCCGAGGAGGAGCAGGGCCAGGAGGAGGGGGAGGGGGCCGAGGAGGAGGGTGATGGGCGCGGGGAAGTTGTGGCGGCGAACGCGAATCACAAGGGCGCTGCGCGCAGCTGAGCGGCCTTGCTGCTCAGCTGCGCCGCCTCGTTCGCGCCGCCATCCGCGCGGAGCCCGGCCCATTTTTGGCCCCTTGTGCCACCCGGGACGTGCGGCACGTGGCACATGTACATACAGGCCGCATCCCGCGGCATGCTCATCCTTGCCGTACACGAGCGGCCGGAGCTCGCACGGCAGCGTTTCGACGACGCGCAGCCGATGCGGCTACCGGCCGCGCTCACGTCGGCGGGCGTGTGACTATCCTTGCTGAGCTTTGATCGCGCCCGTGCAGAACGTAGAGAGCCGCTCTGTTCGGCGACAGCGGACTTTACCGGTCGCGCGCGGGCTGGGACGTGCTGCTGCGGGCGTCCAGCCACTGCGCCTAAGTCGCAGATGTGAGACCCGTGCATTGCCAGCGGCAACAACAACAACGTTTGGAGGACTCGGGGAGAGGGTGAAGCAGCGCCTGCACGTCCCGCTGGCGCGACACTGGAAGGGTCCTTCGCCGACACCGGAAGTTATACCTCTATAGACTTGTACTGGTCTCTGAGACTCCTACCTGACGTCAGCACGCCCTTCGCGGCCATGGGGTCGCGGCAGCAGGTCCCCGCGTCTGTACTCTATGTCGGCAGCGCGCCCGAGGATGAGTCAGGTGCCGAGGAGGGACCTGTGGATCGACGGACGCTGGCAGCGGCCAGCGGCAGGGGGGCGCATCGACGTGGTGTCGCCGGCGACGGAGGAGGTCATCGGGAGCATCCCTGCGGGAACTGCAGAGGATGTCGACCGGGCCGTGGCGGTGCGTTGAGCCTGTGTAGCGCGCGCGAGCCCTTCGCCTCAACCCAGGTCCAAAGCCTCCGGCGACGTACCGGAAGGGCGTCTTTGGAATTGCGGCGCGACATGCAGACCGATGTACTCCCAGACATGCGAAGTACGGCACGAAATCTCTGCCAGGGACCATGCAGCGCACGCCAGGCCCCAACGCTGCCTCCTCGCTGTGAGCGTCCGCGCAGGCTGCGCGCTCGGCGTTCAGGGCGGGTCCGTGGGGTTCCACGACGGGGAGGCAGCGCGCGTCCGTCCTGCGGTCCATCGCGGCGGAGATACTGCGCAGGAAGGACCAGCTCGCCGTTTGGGAGACGGCGGATTGCGGCAAGCCCCTGGACGAGAGCAAGTGGGACATAGACGACGCGTCCGCGTGCTTCGAGTACTACGCCGACCTCGCAGGTAACCAACACGACCCCCCTCCTCCTCCCCTCCCTCGCCCACACCCCCCATCAATGCCACCTGATGATGGACGTGTTGGTTACCGTGCCAACGCAGAGCGGCTCGACGGCGAGCAGTACAAGCCCGTGGCGCTGCCGATGAAGGACTTCTCCTGCCACCTGCGCAAGGAGCCCGTCGGCGTGGTCGGGCTCATTACGCCCTGGAACTACCCCCTCCTGATGGCGGTCTGGGGCGTCGCCGCCGCACTCGCCGCCGGCTGCACCGTCGTCCTGAAGCCGAGCGGTGCGTCGCCCATCGCTGCCACCGCATCTCCGCACCCGCGCACTGCCGCGCCACGCATCCGCAACTCGTTGTTACACCTGGGCTCCTCGACGTGCCCGCAGAGCTCGCGAGCGTCACGTGTCTGGAGCTGGGCGAGCTCTGCTGCGCTGCGGGGCTCCCGGCAGGCGCGCTGAACGTGGTGTCAGGCGACGGCCCCGCCGCGGGCGCGCCGCTCGCCGCGCACCGCCACGTGGCCAAGGTGTCGTTCACCGGCTCCGTCGCGTCCGGCGGCGCCGTGGCGCGCGCGGCGGCCGCGAACGCAGCGGGCGGGCCGCGCCCCGCGACGATGGAGCTGGGCGGCAAGTCCGCCCTCATCGTCTTCGACGACGCCGACGTCGACAACGCCGTCGAATGGTGCATGTTCGGGTGCTTCTGGACGAACGGCCAGATCTGCTCCGCGACCTCGCGCCTCCTCGTCCACGAGAGCATCGCGGACAGGTTCTACCGGCGGCTCAAGGCCCGCGCTGAGTCAATACAGGCCGGGGATCCGATGGCGGAGGGTTGCCGCCTAGGACCCGTCGTGAGCCGGCGGCAGTACGAGAAAGTCATGGGCATGATCGCGGCCGGGCGGCGCGCGGGCGCGCAGGTGCTGACGGGGGGCGGGCGGCCGCCGCGTGTCGGTCCCCGGGGGTTCTTCGTGGCGCCGACAGTACTGACCGGAGTCAGGTCTGACAACGTGGTGTGGCGCGAGGAGATCTTCGGGCCCGTGCTGGCCGCGGCGACCTTCCGGACCGAGGACGAGGCTGTGGCGATGGCGAACGATTCGGAGTTGGGGTTGGCGGGCGCGGTGATCTCCCAGGATCTCGCGCGGTGCCAGCGCGTGGCCAGGCGGCTCGAGGCGGGGATCGTGTGGGTGAACTGCAGCCAGCCGTGCTTCGCGCAGGCGCCCTGGGGCGGCATGAAGAACAGCGGGTGAGTGCGCGTGTGTGCTGGCCGGGCGGCGACTCGCGCGGTGGCATCTCGTCGTCATGCTCCTCATCGGTGAACCCGCGTGATGGCTGGCGCAGGTACGGGCGGCACCTGGGGGAGGCGGGGATGGAGAACTACCTGCAGCTGAAGCAGATCACGGAGTACCTCGTGCCTGAGGAGGTCTGGGACTGGTATCCTCAAAACAATGTTTCTGCCGGGCCTGTGAGCAAGATGTGATGGCAGGAGCGCGGCGGCGGTGGACGCGCGCCCCGCGTGATCGTTATCGCGCGTGGTGAGGTGCGTGAGAGGGTCGATTTACGCCGCGGCAGTGCGTGCGGCGGCAAGACGTGAATAGAGGACTTCGCGCTGTCCTGCAGCATAGAGAATCATACATTGCGATTCGTGCGGCTCGAACGGTCGAGATGCAGGTTCTCGAATGGCTGCTTGTGGAGAGGCTCTGCAGAGGCCGGCCTGCGTCAGTCGGACGAGGAGGTGCACTGCAGTTAGGTGCAGGCCGGCTACAGCGGGGCACGCGCGGCGCGGGCGTGGCCAGAGTCGCGCCGACGAGGCAGAGTCGACGAGGGCGTGGAGATGAGGCAGGCCAGTGCTAGGGTCGCCCAGCTGGCGGGCAGGGCAGGCCGTCTGGGCCTGGGCGACGCCCTGGGCTCTGGAACGGCATGCGGTGGCTTCCAGGTGAGCGTGCGCGCGTCGGAGCTGGATGCATAGTTGACGAGCGCGGTGTCCGCATAGCGAACAGCGCGTCGCGTGCACCTGCGGGGCCTGCTGCGCACACCTCGTCGAAGCGCACGTCACGCACGGCGCGCCGCCCGCCCTCTGCCGAAGACGTCCGCCCGGGCAACCATTTTCACGGCATACCTCGCGATCATCTCGGCACCTCAGCGCCGCTGGGCGACCGCATGCGCGTCCGCAGCGTTTCTTCTGGCACCAACAGGGCCCCGCGCTTCCCTGCGTCGCTGCGTCTGCCTGAGCCCCTTGCATTCCCCACCGGGCACCTCACGCTCGCGACCATCCCCCACGCGAGTGGCGAGGCCGCGCCTGGCCGCGTACGCGGCGTTTCGCGCATTTTAGTTGCTCCCTCCATGCTGCCTCCCGCGGAGCCTCCCTCCGTCTTCCGCACGACTTCTGCGCCGGTCTGGCACCGCCTCCCGGGATCCTCGCCCCCCGCAGTGCGCAAAACCTTCCAAACCGCAGTCCCACGCCGCACAGCCCCGCTCCCAGCAGCACCCTTGCCAGCCGTCCGCCCCCCCACAGACGCACCCCACGCCCCGCGCACCCCGCTCCCAACACCACCCCCACGCACCCGTCCTCCCCCACACCCCACCCCCCGCAACCCCGCCCCCACCTCGCGCCGGGCGTCCCCGCCCTCCTGCTCTCTGCCCGCTCCCCACCTCCCCGCCCCGCCCCGGCGCGGCAACGCCACCCCACGCCCCCTCCCTCCCCCCCCACCTCCCCCACTTCCCCTCCATGCCCGCGCAGGCCCTCTCCGCGCGCCAGGCCGCCGCTGCGCGCGCGTTCGGCGACCTCCAGCCTACCAACTCCTACCCCTACGCCAAGGACTACCCGAAGCGGCCGTTCGAGTACCCGACCGTCGGACGCGAGTACCAGCAGACGGAGTTCGACAGCGTCTTCGACATCGTGCGCCGCCACGGCGAGCAGCACAACCCGGAGCAGTGGGCGGCCGTGATGGCCAAGGCCGACGCGGTCGAGGCCGCCAAGCTCGACGCCGACCTCCAGGAGTTCCCCGAGGGCGCGCGGCCGTACGTCAAGCAGCTCCTCGCCCCCGAGATGCCCTCCGCGGCGCGCCTCGAGGAGATGTTCGCGCAGTGGCCCACGCACGACGAGGTCGTGTTCCTGTCCTGGTGGTCCGGCCTGACCATGGGCGAGAAGCGCGCGCTCCTGGGCCGCGGCGCCGACATCGCGCGCTTCGACGCGAAGTTCCAGGAGCTCTGTGCCAACGCCGACCTCCTCCCCGAGGAGCGGTGGGACCTCCGCCGCGAGATGGCGCTGGCGTGCGACGAGCAGCTGGACGACGTGCTGTCCGGGATGCCCGCGGACGTCGCCGAGGGCCTCGCGGAGCAGCTCAAGGAGGTCGAGGTCCGCCGCCAGATCGCGAACGAGTTCCGTCACAAGCGCTCACTCGTGGGGCCCAAGGGGCCCGTGCCGTACATCACGCCGTGGGGCGTGATGCACGCGCGCAAGTGGAACTACGCGGACGTGGACTTCGGGCAGGCGACGGGCCGCTGGCGCTGGGAGCTCGAGATGACCAAGCTGGGCATCAACATGTACTGCGACCCCGCCTACCTGGAGGCGCAGTTCGGGCTCGTGGGGTGGTCGCCGCGCAACCCGGTCATCGTGAACACGCCGAACGAGGAGCGCGTGATCGGCGTGGTCGACCCGGACGACGACCACACCATTTGGTGGTCGCCCATTCGCGCCGGCGACGCCCCGCGGCAGATCATCGAGGACGGGCCGTGGTTTGTGTGCCGGTGAGACGCCCCCCTCCTGGCTTCTTTCCGTGCGCAACGGCGCGCCGCCCGGCGCAGCCGTGCGCAGGGCGCGAGCAGTCCGCCCGGCGCTGCGTCCCGCCTTGGCCGCGCACTGCGTCGCAGACGCGATCCGCGCACGCTCCCGCGCTCCGTGCAGGCGCATCGACAAGGAGGGCACGTTCGCGAAGCTCGCGGCGTACTACGAGATCTTGATGGAGGAGGAGCTGGACGAGACCTCGGAGCGGCCGCTGGACCAGATGCTGTGCCAGATGAAGCAGCAGCTCGACCAGTTCCAGTTCGTCCTGCACGACATCGGGCCGGACCCCGCCACGCTGAGCATGCTGCGCGAGAAGAAGGCCGAGTACGCGAAGCTCGCGGAGCAGGAGGCGGCCAAGGCGCTCGCGGCGACGAAGCAGTACGTCGGGTCGCTCCAGGCCGGCACGCCCGCGGCGGCGGCGGCCGAGGCGGCCGCGGGGAAGCCGCTGAGCGCGCTGTCGGCGCTGAGCGACGCCGACCTGGCCGCGAGCAAGGGCCTGGTGGCGCTGGCGATGCAGGACGCGTGGGAGCGCAAGCAGGTGACGAAGTGGGTGGCGCGCATGTCCGCGGGCGCGCAGGACGCCAGGGACGCCGAGGCGTGGACGGGGATGCCGCTCGCGCAGCTCAAGGCGCTCCCGGAGGCCGAGCTGGTCGCCAAGGTGCGCGAGGCGTCGACGGGGCGGCTGGCGGAGCAGTACCGCGCCGAGCTGGACGCGGAGCTCCTGACGGCCGGCGGGGCCGGCGCGGAGGCGGACGCGCGCGTGCAGCAGCTCAAGGCGTACCGCGCGATGGGCGACGCCGAGCTGGTGGCGGCGGTGGCGCAGAATATGGCGCGCGGGCGGCCCGAGGGGCTGCAGCGCGGGATGTGGCGGTCGATGCTGGCGGGGAGCCTCGTGGGCGAGGGCGTGATGCGCGACGGGGACTCGCTGGTGCGCGCGCTCGGGCTGGACGACGAGACCAGCCGCGCGGAGATCGAGGCGAAGTTCGCGCAGTGAGAGGGCGGGGCGCGGTGGAGCGGCGTAGACTTGTTTGTGAGACTCGAGATGGTCGGTCGGGCGGCGGGGAGGGGGTGAGTTGGGATGAGGGTTCGCGCGGTGCGTGGGTTGGTGGCGACGTCGGTGCGTGGGGTGTGGGAGGAGGGCGCTGTTGCGGGCGCTCGCGGGTGCGCGTTTGCGTCGCGGGCGCGGGCATCCGGCGGAGGTGACTCAGGGGGGGAGTTATTGGGTGTGACGTCATGTCGGGGTGTGGCTGGGCGGGGTTGTTGCCGCGCGGATCGTCGGTGCGTGCGGTGAGGCTGCGCAGAGCTTTGCGGTTGGTGCGTTTGCTGCCGAAGACAGCGTTGTGCTGCAGTGCAGTAGCTCAGAGTATATCAAGGTCCCTGCAGCCAGCGCTGCTTGTTTGGCGCGCGGAGAGCAGGCTCGTGGAGATTCAGTGCTGATATACGGGACAGTGTCACGGGAAGGGCTTTGCTGACGCCGCGAAGCGCCCCCGAAGTGGGGTGAAACCCGTCTCCGGGCCCGCCCGCGCCCGACGGGCCGCAATCTGAGGCACGGCGGGGATCGCTAGTTCGATCGTATAGTGAGCGAGAGGGGTGGTGGGGTCAGAATGGGGATGGGGCGCGTCAGTGGCGGCGGCAGGCGTCGGAGTTGGCCCCAACTGGCGGCAACGCTGTTTCTCCTTCTGGCATGGAGCGCGGCGGCAAACAAAGCCGAGGAGATGCAGGATCGCAACCTATATGGGCAGTTCGTCGATCTAAGCACTGGTTTCAAGCCACACATCGAGTTCATGCCCTACAACTTCGACGTAAGCACCCAGGAGCCCAAATATGCGCTGTGCGAGCAGCGGGCCGTTCAACGGCCAGCAAAGCACATCTGCGGCGCTTGAGATGGCATCATCACGCGTTTCTCACCTTTTTCGCTCATCCGCGTGTTCCTGACGCGCCAAATCAAGGCGCAACGTCTTCTGCGGACACGCAGGAAGTGCCGCTGCTGACGGTGGCGCACGTCGACGTCCTCAACCGCGAGGACGTCCGAGGGAAGGTGCCGGTCGGGGTGGACATCCTCGTTCAGGGCGCCGCGGCGTACGACGTAGGGTTGTTGGTGGTTGGCAAACATGAGGACTTCGTCCCGCAGGCACAGGTGCGCGACCGAGAGACGGACCCCGTGATCACAGACTTACGTATCATGCTGCCTCTCACGCCGCCGGCCGGCTAATCGCTCGCTCTGCCCGCCAGCACCCACGTCCCGCGCGCACACGTAATGCGGCGTGCTGAGCTTCGCTGTGTCTCGGCCTCCGAACGTCGCCCCGCGACGGACCCGTGCGCAGGAGTGGGAGATCCACTACCGGCACGCCATGGGCGGCCTCATGGTCGAGCGGCTGCAGGAGCTGAACCGCACCGTGCACAGGCTGCCGGACCACGTGGTGGTGGCCGCAGTGCACGCGACGGACACGGCGATCCTCGACGCCGCGCCCGCGATCCTGGAGCGCTTCTACGCGATGGACGCCGACATCGTCTTCGCCGGCCGCGCCTCGATGTACCCTGACAAGAACACGAACTTCGACGCGCAAGCAGATGAGGTGCGCGGCCCGGTCGTGCCGCGCGGCGGCGCGCCTGACAGCTCTCTTCCCGCACGCGTCCGAGTGAGCTGCATCGAGGCGCGAGCACGGCGAGCGTCGCTCGCGGCGCCCCGCGCGTGCCCTGCTGCTCGTATGCAACGTGTGCGATGCATCGCTGTCGCAGGATCGCAAGCTGAGCCCGCTGGTGCACCCGAGCGGATGCTGCTTCATCGGGTACGCCGCCGCGCTCCGGCGCATGGCCGGCGAGCTGCTGGCCGGGCTCGACCACCACGTGCCCGTCCCGGTGCACTTCACGGAGACGATCGCGGAGGACGCAAACAACGCGGTGCGCGCCCCGCACTCTCACCGGCCGGCTGTGGCCTGGCGCACGCCGCTTGTCCGCCGCTGGCACGTCCTGCAAGGAGCGCGGCGGGGTGGCCTCGGCATTGAATCTGCCGCACCTAGTGGGCGCGCCGGCTCGTTCAGCGGTCCGCCGCTTCGTACACACACGCGCACTGAGGCCCAATGCGACTGGAGCAGGGAATTCACTGCAGATCACGTTCCTCGTGAGGCGACACTCCAGGCGGCACTCACGAGGAACGTGATCTGTGGCAGGTTCCCGACTCTAGTGGTTTCGGCCCCCGGCGCAACTGCGCGTGCACGGAGGCGGTCCACTTCGACCACAGTCGCGCCCGCCAGCGGCGGCAGGTCCTTCGTCCCTGCACCTCACGTCATGTCATGTTCCGCCGCCCGGTGAGAGTGCGTTGCGCGGCGTGATTGCCGTGCAGGATCCTGCGTGGCGGAGCATTGCGCACGAGCAGCGGGCGTTCCAAAAGTACTACTGGGTGCTTGGCAAGCAACCCGGGTCCGTGACCGGGCGCGGACGCAGCGCGCCGCCCTCGCGCCACGTCGCCGTCGACACCCACCAGCGGCTCTTCGCGGACCTCGACCCGACGCGCCGCGACCTGTGGCTGGGCCCCACTGCGCGCGTGGAGTGCAATCCGGAGGGCAAGGCCGACGTGATGTGCACGGGCGCGGCCGGGTTCAAGCCCGCGTTTCTGCACGCGACGGGCGACGCGAAGTTCGAGTACGCGTACATGATGGCGCGTCTGGGATATATGGTGCCGTCGGTGACGGCGGAGCTGTATGGAGAGTGCGCGCGGGACACGCACACCACCGTTGCGGGCCGCGCGCTGCTGCGCGGCGACCCGCAGAAGCCCGCGCATGTGCCGTTTCCGCCGCCGGGCATGCCGGACGTGGATTTCGACGCTGCGGGGGGGGCCGTGGAGAGCTGGGGTGCGCCGCCGCCACGCGGGCAGCCGGATGGGCACGCGGAACTGTGAGACGAGCGGGGCGGAGCCTGGCGTCACATCGCGGCCGCAGCGCGCGTAGAGGGAAGCGCGGCGCGCGCAACGGCGAAGGAAATGCCAGGAATCAGCGATTAGTGGTTGTCGTTGTGGTCTGGAAGGTAGACTTGCAGCGCCTTCGTGGTCGCGAGCACGAGCGGCGCGGCGGGCTGCATCGGGAAGCCCAGTATCGCCGTTGGCTGGAACCCGAGCGCCCCGCGGCTCACGGCCTTGCCGGTAGAAAGGCTGTACAGCGAGAGGGCCTGCGACTTCTCGCCCGAGGCCGCCACGATGCCGCCGCCGGCGAGGAAGACCGGGCGGTACAGCGACGACACCCTTCCGTTGCCGAGGCAGTGTCCGAGCAGCTCCGCGGTGGGTTTGCTCGGGTTCCGAATGTCCCAAATCTTCACGGCAGCGTCGAAGCCCGTCGTGGCGAGCACGTTGGCGTCCGCGGGGTGCCATTCCGCGAAGTTCACTGCGGATCCGTGGGCGTCGTCGATGCGCACGCTGGCGCTGCGTCCGCGCGAGTCGGTGACCACGACTGCGTGGTCGTTGCCGGCTGTGGCCATGACGTCACCGGCGGGGCCCCGCCACCGCACCGACTTGACGACGTTGCCCCCGTGAAGGTCTTCGAAGACCGCGTCCTGCTTCAGGCTCGCGTCGTCAGCGACCACCTGCAAAACCACGTCGATATATCATTTCATATGTTTTCATATGTTTTCTTTGTCCTGCATAGATAACTAGGGCCACCGTCCGCGAAGCACCTGCAGGACCAGTCCACGCGATCGCCCGCGAGGCGGCCAGGGTGCTCACCGCGACGCTGACAGTGCCGTCCTTGCTCGCGGTGGCCACGCGCATCGCTGCCTCGTCCATGCTAAACACCCCCCCCGCATGCACCTCCGCGGCCGCCACCTCCTTCGGCCGGCCCGCGCCCGTCTTGTTCACGTCGAACACGCCGCACGACCCGTCGTTCGACGTCGCCAGCAGCAGCCGCTGCCCCTCGCATGCCTGCTGCGACAGGAACCGGACCTCCGACACCCAGCCCTTGAAAAGCTTGCAAGACAAGAGCGGACCGACGTCCTCGTCGCCCCGAGCGCAGCCCTCCGCGAGCACCCGCGTGCCGAACACCGCGAGCCGCCCGCCGTGCCCGCCCGCGGCCAAAAGACCCCCCTGGTGGTCTATTGAGTACGCACGCTTCATGTGGTCGTCCGTGAAGCAGCAAGGCACCTCCCGGAAGCCCCGCAGGGTGCCCGCCGCGCCGCACGCCTCCTCCGCGGCGCCGTCGAAGCGGTCCGGCAGCGACAGCTTCGCCACCCAGCCCGCGTCGCCGCCGTCGGCACGAGCGGGCGCTGACGAGCACGTGTACCGCAGCACGGAGGAGTCGTCGTACTCGACCGCCTCCTCCTCGACGTCCTCGGGCGGCTCGGCGGCTCGCTCCGCGGCAGGCGCGGCGTCCGCGCAGCCGCGGCGCGGTTGTTGCCGGCGCGGCGGCAGCGGGGCGCGGGGCGCCCGCGGCTTCGGCTTGGCCTTCCGCGCGGCCGCGCGGTTGACGCTCCTGAGCACCGGATCGTCGCCGATCATCGCGATCATGATCTCGCGGTTCCTCTTGATCCGCTCCGCGCGCAGCGCCTCGTAGCTCTTACGCGTCGTTTTATCGTCCGCCACGGCGCCGCCGCAAGGACGCGCATCCCCGGCGCCGCGGCGCTGCGTCTCGGCTGCAGGCGACGGCGGCGGTTCCTGCGATGCGGGCCCTGACGGCGCTGCCGCGCCGATGGGTTGCGCTGGAGGGGTACTGTCGTGACAGCGCGCCTGCCGCCGTGAGGCGCGCCGCGCCGGGGCCGCGGACGGATCCGCGGGCCTCGCGGGGGACGACGCCGGCGCGGGGCGCCGACGCGGCGGCGTGCGGTGGCCCTGTGTGGTTGCGTCGCAAACCACTTTTGCTGGCTCCTGCGCGGCCGGAGTCGCGCGCAGTCGCGGCGGCGAACCGACCACTGCTTCCACCGGTGAAGATACCAGTTCCGGCGCGGCGCGCGGTCGAGCCTCGGGGCGTTCCGGGCCGGCAGGGTCCTCTTCCAAGGTTGGCTGCTCGCGTCTGGTCGCAGCACGCGGCGTCGCGACCAGGTCCTCCCTGGCCCCCGCCTCCGCCTCAAGGACACTTGTGAGCAGCGGGCCGTCACTCGTTTGCCGGCGCTTCGCGACGGGCGCCGTTGGCGGCGTCGGGGCGGCCCGTTTCTCCACTGCTGTCTCAATAGCATTGTTTCCGTCTGTCATGTCGCACGCAGCGCGCCCCGCGTCCGGTCTGCCGGCCGCGCTGCTGCGCTTGAAGAAGGCGCTGATGCTGGCCTGCCCCCCCACGGGCTTCAGGGCTTTGCGGCCGCCCATTGCGCCCCTTTCTTGGCACGCGCCGTTCAGATCGTGCTCTCCCGCCAAGAGCCCGGAGCGCGACTGTGCGGCGACGTCGGGGCGGAATCGCCGCGGCCTGCGCGAGCGCGGGATGTGCGTGGCGGGTGCGTCGGACGAACGCCGTCACAGCCGCCGAGCGAGCGCACGTGCGGAGGGCCCCACCGGTGCGTGTGCGACCCCCCCCGTTTCCCGAACGCACGGTGGACATCGGGGAGATCCGAGTACCGCGCCAGCCAGTCGCAGACAAGTAGACGCAGGCAGGAATCGTTTTCCGCGCGGAACGGGAGCGTTGCAGCCTCGCGGGGTGTCCTATGGCAGAGCGGCGTAGGGAGGGACAGGCAGACGTCGCTGAGGCGAAGCCCTTCATCTCGCCGCTGTTGTTCGCTGTTGTCGGCATCGGATCGTTCGCGACCGCAGGGGCGGTGGGCTACGTGGTGGGCAGCAGACGCATCGCGGCCGAGTTCCGCCGAGACGGCGTGCGGAGTCTGCCGCCGTCGGAACAGCTCGCCAAGGTCGGGCCCGCGCTGCTGCTTAAGACCTTCGCGTACGGCACTGTCGCGGCCGTGGTGGGCGTCCTGGGGTGCACCAAGCTGGGCATGGCCGCGGCGGGCGTCACCTGGGACGACGTACAGGCCTTTGGACGAGACTACCGCCACCAGGCTGCTCGGCAGCGGCTCGAACGCACCTCCGTGTCGCACAAGTTCCATTCCGAGATTCGAGGGAGGGGCTAGGAGAGCCTGTGCAGCGGTGTCCGCTAGCAGGCGGCCTCGCAGCAAGCGCCGCGGAGCGCGTGTCCTCCGCAGCGATGGACGAGACGGCAGCGAAGCTCCTCTCGGGGTTCCAGTCCGTGGAGGCGGTCGTCGACCGGCTCCTCAACGCCCGGGACCGCGCTGTCGAGCTCGACCGGCAGCGGCAGGGCATCCGCGAAGCCCTACACGTCCTGCGCAAGGGCGGCGACCCGCCGCGGAAGCTCTCCCTCGAGAGTAGGGTCTGGGTGTTCCGCAACGGCCCCGTGCCCGTCCAGCTGTCGCGCGCAGACGCCGTGAATGAGCTCGAAACGAACATGCGCCGCATCGAGGACCAAATCAAGGCCGCGAGGGAGGAGCAGAAGCGCCACATGCAGGCCCTCGAGGTACGCACTGCTCGCCCGCGCGGACCCGCGTCGCGGCAGCGGCGCACGCAGTTTGAGGCTGTGCGGCGCCCACGCGAGCGGCTTAATTTGCCCGCGCCGGCGCAGGAGAAGGGCGAGCTCGCGAGCAAGATCGGCGGCGCGAGCGCGAGCGCGCTGCTGTCGCTGCGGGACCCCGGCGGGACCGGCGCTGCGGACCTCCTGGGCAGCGCATCGCGCGGGCCGCGCCACAGCGCTGGGCGGCTCGTGCCGGACGCGGATGAGCACGCCGGCCCGGAGCCGGACTTCTCGAAGATCGACGCAAGCAACCTGAAGCTCGACGAGGTCGATTGACGCCCCGCGTGTCTCTGCAGCGCTGCTGCTGAGCAGGGGTGGGGTGAACGCCGACTGCTGTGCGTGCCGGGGGCAGCGTGGCGGGCTTTCGCCACGCGTGACGGCCGCGAGGCCTGCGTGTCGTGTAGCGAACTTCCAGCACGGCGTTCGCGTCCGCCGAGGGCCGCAAGCATCAACCATGTAGCTTGCGGCTCGCGGGCACGGCCGAGAGCGACGACGCGGCGGAGCACGCGCGCGCAGGAGCGCGCAGCGGAGTGTGACAGCTCACACGCGCCGCGGCGGGCGGTCACTCCATCTTGTGGAGCTTCCCGCTCTTGAGGCGGTACGTTCCGGGGGAGTCCACGGTGTAGTTCTTCGGGCCGTCCTTGTTGAACGGGTCCGGGCTGTCCCACTTGTCCCCGCCGTTGTTCATCACGAACTCTGCGCCGCAGCCGCACAGCACAGCGCGTCACTCACCGCGCAAACAAGCAATCAATCAATCAATCAATCAATCAACCAATCAATCAATCAACCAATCAACCAACCATGGGCAGAAACACGCAAGCACCGCGCCGCGCGACGCCACACCGCCGGCCCCGCACACCGCAGCGCCTCCGCACAGGCCACGCGGTGCCCTGGGCCGCACGGCCCGCCGCGCGGGCCGCCGGGCGGGGCGCGCACCGACACTTTTGGCGTCGAACACCACGCGCTTGGCGTGCGGGATGGAGTCGTTGCCGCCCGTCGCCATCTTGTCCCCGGGGGGCTTCGTCCAGCCCCGCCCCTCGACGTTGTAGTGGATCCACGCGTCCGGCCACCCGGACTCGTAGAGCACCTCGATTGTGTCGGTGGGCTTGGGCTCCTCGCCGGGGGCGCCGCCGCCCTTCTCGACGACCTCCTCGAGCTCCGCGACCTTGGCCTCGAGCTCCTCGATGCGCGCGTTGGCCGCCTTGAGGTCGTCGATCGCCTGCGGGGCAGCGCGGGGCGGGTGCAAGGCAACGCTGAGTTGGCCCGGCACGTTCTCGCGGCGCCGGGGCAGCGAACGGGTGTGCGCCTCTGATGCAGGTGCCCGTCGTGGTGCACACGCCGCGGACGGGGTCGCGCGGCTCTTGCGGGCAACGACGGAGGAGAAAACCGGCATACAGCGCTGAGGGTTCGCGCCAGCTTGTTTGCGCGCGTGAGGCCTTGTGGGGCCGTCTTGCAGGGCGCCGGTGCGTGCGCGTGGCTGTGCTCAGGCGCGGGAGCGCGGGAGGGGGCAGTTGCGCGCGGAAACTGGCTGCTGGGCGCCGCGCAGGCGCAATCTGAGGGCCAGGGAAGAGTGCTGAAGCTTGCCTGGAGCCGGGAGCGGTTGAGCTCGAGGATGTTCTTCTGGGCGTCCTGGAACATGTTGACCACGTCGCGCGACAGACCCTTGCGCGGGAAGGACATGTCGGGCATCGCGGGCTGGTCCAGCGACGCGGCAAGCACCGTCTCGTCCTTGTTGGAGCTCTCCTTCGCTCGGGCCGCCACAACTGGGCGCCGCTGGGCCTGCAGGTGGAGCGACGAGGCGCTGCGGGCGTCAGGACGGGGTCGTCGGCGACCGTCGCGGCCTGGCGCGGGTCCGAAGCACAGCAGGAGGGCGGTTGCACCGACGGCTCGCGTGCGAGGGCGGTGCGTGGGAGATCGCCGCGCGCGATTTCGACGGAGAGATTCAGTCAGGCCGGCCCGGAGGAACCGCGTGCGTCGATCGGGCGCTGGGACGCAGGGCGGGAGGGCCGAGCGCAGGCCTAGGCACGCACCTTGCGCAGGCACGGCCCCGCCGCCGTTAGGCGAAGCGAGATCATTCTCCTAGTTCCAACAAGCGAGAGACGCGCCCCGACCGTTCCTGGCCGCGACGACGCACTCCGCGGGGATACGCGCTTGGGGGGAGCGGTTTCCGCTGCGGCCAGAGGGCGCAAATGTATCTGCCGCCGGGCGCGCGAACTGTCTCTGCAGCTACTAGCAAGTGGCCCGTCGCCGCGGCGGGCAGCCAGCCTGACGACCGCGCCCTGGCGGGCCCTCTCCACCTCACTGCACCAGCCCGACCGGTCAGCGCCGCGGCCCGTGCGGCCGTTCCGCAGCCTGGTCCGCATTGCACGCCTGTCGACGCACCGGACAATCCCGAACGAACGTCCGAGGCCTCATTGCTCGCGCAGTCAGACTGGAACGTCGTGCGCTGCCCAGCGTCCATAATAATGCTTCGTTCCACCACGGCGGCGACCGCGCAGCACGAATCCGCCCCAACGCACCACGGCGACTCGGGCACCCGCACCTGCCCCCAGCGCCCCCGCCACGTCGCCGCAACGGCACGCCTTCGCAACTGAGAGCAATAACACGTTTCGGCCTCTGCGCAGGCGGCCCGCGCGCCCGCGGCCGCTCAGAGCCGCGACATCGGCGCCGCGCGCGACCCGCTGCCGGCGTCCCGCGTCGCCAGCGGCACGTACGGGCGCCGCATGGCGCCCATATACATCTGGCGCGGGCGTGCAATCTTCATAGCGGGGGACTCCGAGGCCATCTCCTTCCACTGCGCCATCCAGCCGGACGTCCGCGAGACCGCGAAGAGCGCGGTGTACATCGTCACGGGGATGCCCAGGGCCCGGAGGACGATTCCGGAATAGAAGTCTACGTTGGGGTATAACCCCCGGTCGCGGAAGTAGGGGTCGGTGGTCGCGACCTTCTCGAGCTCCATCGCGACGTTCAGCAGCGGGTCGTCCAGCTCGAGGTGCCCGAGCACCTCGTGGCACACCCCGCGCAGAATCTTGGCGCGCGGGTCGTACGTCTGCACACGCCGGACGAACGCACACGCAACGCGTCTCGAACCGGAGCCCTGCGCGATGCATCCGCGCCGCTGCCGAGCGCCCTGGCGGCCGACGCACGGCCTCTCACTCCACGCCACACACGCACGAAGATACACACGCCCGCGCAGACACACTCAGAGGCAAAACACCCCCCTTCTCCCTCGCGCCGCGTCCAGAGCGTCGCCGACAGAGCGTGTGCGGCTATGGCGCGGGCGGGCATCGCGTGTGGGGCCGGCGTGGGCGCGGACTTGCCTTGTAGACACGGTGTCCGAAGCCCATCAGGCGGAACGGGTCGTTCTTGTCCTTTGCGCGCGACACGAACTGCGGGATGCGCTCCGTGCGGCCGATCTGCTCGAGCATCCTCAGGACGGCCTCGTTCGCGCCGCCGTGCGACGGCCCCCACAGCGCCGCGACGCCCGCGGCCAGCGCCGCGAACGGGTGCGTCTGCGAGGACCCCGCGACGCGCACGGCCGACGTGCTGCAGTTCTGCTCGTGGTCCATGTGCAGGACGATGATCGCCTCGAGCGCGGAGGACAGGACGGGGTCCACACGGTACGGGCGCCCCGGGAGAGAATGCAGCATGTAAAGCAGGCCCTCGGCGTACGAGTGCGCGGGGTCGGGGTACACGATGGGCTCGCTGCGGGAGTGCTTGTACGCCATGGCGGCGAGGACCGGCGCCTTGGCGATCGCGCTCACGCACGCCTCCTCGCGCAGCGCTGCGTTGCTCACGTCAATGTATTCCGGGTAGAACGCCGCCAGCGCACCTGACGCAGGGGGGGTGTATTGCGTTGGGTGGCGTGCGGGGAGTAGCGGAGGGCGGGGAGCGGCGCGGTGGCCGCGGCTGCGTCGCGTGCGCGTGTCGTGGGATGCGATCTCGATGTGTGTATGTGCACGTGGGCGTTTGGGCGGACCTGTGAGCGCGACGAGGATGGCCATGGGGTGCGCGGTGCGGTCGAAGCTGCCGAGGCACGACACGAGCGCTTCGGGCACGAGCGCCTGCGTCGCGAGGCTGCTACGCAGGCGAGCTCGAGCTTCCCTGTCCGGGAGCTCGCCCGCGACGAGGAGCGCCACCGCGTCGATGAAGTCGCCCTGCAGATACAGGCAGGCACGCGCGGGCGCGGCGTCGGGGCCCGGCGCGGCCGGACGCGGGCGGGGCGGCGGATGAGAGGGCAACTGCCGCGCTGGCGTGGTGGCGCCGCGTGGCGCGTGTGTGGCGCGCGGGGAGGGGCGTCGCGCGCCTTGGAGGCAACCTCCGCGATGTCGTATCCCCGGTAGAGCAGAATCCCCTTCTCTCCGTCAATGAACGTGATGGTCGACGTGCATGCTGCGATGGGCACGTAAACACGTCGCGCTCATCGCTCACGCCGCGAATCCCCATCAAAATGGGCCGACGTGGTACCACAGACACACAGCGCACGAACGCGACCACGGAGACGCGGCCTGACGCATGTCGTTGGGCAGGAGCGGGCACGTCCTACTGGATTGCACCTGCAGTCGAGGAGAAGCCCGTGTCGTACGTGCAGATCCCCGTCGAGGGCTGCAGCTTGCTGATGTCCACGAACTCGTTCCCCGCGTTGTCGCGGTGGTACGGCAGGCTGATGGTCTTGCCACCGGGCGTGGTGAGCTTGGCTTGAGCCATGGCCAACCTTCCGGTGTGCAGGGCCGAAGAACCACGGATCTACGCACCCGCAACGATCCCACAGCGACCAGGGCGGCCGCCAGTCACGCAGGCGAGGCGCCTCGTGCGCGCGTCCGACTGCGGCGACCGACCTGTTGCGTGTGTCTCACGCCGCGTGCTTAGTGCGTGTCTGCGAGCTCCGACGGTGCGGACGGGAGCCGAAATTGCTGCCCGGCGCGTAGCTTGTTGTCAGTCGTGGTGCGCGCGCGCGCCCAAGCGCGCCTTGCGGCCCCGTGCGCCGCGCAAGAGCAGGTACAACAATTCGCGGTCTGGGGCTGCCCAGGCCACGGGGGGCTCCCCGCGCGCTGCACGGACGGCGTCGCGGGAACAAGGGCCTCGCGCAAGCGCCGCATGCTTCACCTCGCCGGTACAACCAGCCCGGGACCACGAAATAGCCTCCAAGGCTGCCTGTTCCGCCGAGCGCCCCTCACCCCTTCTGGACCAACTGATCGCCGTCCTCGGCTAGTCATTGCCTTTGCGGCGCTGCGGCCGCGGGCTGATCGCGTACGTACTGCGGGGGAGCCGTTCGCGCGCCAATCGGAGGACGGCGCCACGGAACGCGGCCAGAACGCGCTAGACAATGCAGGAGCGAATTGGGCTGCTTCTGGGCGGCAGCCTGATGGGCTACGCGGCGTATGCGACGATCCAACGTGCGTGCGTCTCCCCACCATGGCATCAGCGACCCGATCCGCGCGGCGCCCGCCGCTACGGACGCCGCTATTGCGCGTGCCGCCGCGGTGGCTGTGCGCGTGGCTCTTGGACCAGCCGCCCGCGTAGATCTGGGGCGTTTCCAGCGCTGCGATCGATATCAGACCACGGACAACGCGCATGCTCGTCCGGAGGGAGGAAGAATCCGCGCGTTGCGCGCCGATATTCCTGACGGCGCGACTTGACCTGCCCAGTGTCTGCAGAGCACGGCGCGGAGCTCCTGACGCACCGCGACGAGCGGTCGGTGTCGCTGCGGGCCGCAGCGATGATCCTCGCCGGAACGGTGATGATTCTGATGTCGTATATAAGCACGGTGCAGCTGAAGGAGGTCCGCCTCAGTGGCGAGCACCTCTCTCAGAGGACCGCGGTGCCGTGCTGCAGCTACGACCTCCTGCCCGTCGGCACCCGCGCCGCGGACACCCTCACTGTCCTCAAGAAGTGAGCGGACAAGACTTGGCGCCTCCCCCCCCACCCTGCTCAGCACGCCAGCCCACGTCGCCCGCCCTCTGAGCGCGCAGCACTCGCCCTCTGGGGCCCGCGACCTGGCGACTCACAAGACGCACCCCGTTGCCCCTGTATATTCCCCGCGCCCCCGCTCTGGACGCTCCGCACGCAAGTGCCCGGCTGTAAGAGCTCTACGTCCCACGTGACGGCTTCGTGCTGCCTCACCGACCGCTCCAGCACAGAGCACAGCGCTCGACTGAGACACGGCAGGCCTACAACTACAACTACAACTTGACGGACGAGCACTCACGCATCGATCGACGCAACACTAGTCATGAATGAGTTTGAGTCCGGTTCACAACATCGGGCGAGGCCCGCGCAGCAAGTCGTCCGCGCGGGCCGCCACCTACGCGGGCCGGCGTTCGCCTCGTGCCCTATCAGCCACGGTGCACATCGCCCGCAGCTTCTCTAGTCCTTGTTCTATATCCTCTCAAGATCGCGTGTGCTGGTTAGGTTCTAAGTTCGTGTGTGTGTGTGTTGGTTCGATTCTAGTGCTCTCAGCCCGCGCGCCCGCGCGTCACGTCGACAGGCTGAGCAGCGTGGCCGTTCCGCGCTTGACCCAGTGGTCGGGCTCCACCTGAGTCTTCAGTTCCATATTAATCATGAACGAAGGCCTCTCGCGCGTGCCCGTGCGCACGGGGTACAGGTACAGCGGCGACAGGTACGTGCTCTTCCCGGGCTTCTTCTTGTTCTCCACGGGCTTGAACAGCACGATCGGCATCGGCACGATCAGCTTCATCGGCTCGGGCTCGCACAAGCAGCCCTGCTCGTAGTCCCACCCGGCGCCCTCGAGGAAGATGCCGCGCACGTACACGCCCTCGCGCGGGGGCTGCAGCCCCGCCTCGTCCTCCGAGGCCATCACCGTGAAGTCGAACGACAGCGTGTCGATCGGGATCCCGTTGCGCCGCGCCGTGGTCTGCAGCACCGCCGTCAGGAAGCCCGTCGGGTACGTGAAGCCCGACAGCCAGTACACGTCCGGGTAGCCCTTGTCGATCCACAGCTTGAGCTGCTCGATCCGCTGGAGGAGGTCGCGCGCCCACGACCCCAGCGGCTTGAGGCTGGGGTAGGCCTTGAGCCACGCGGCGGGGACCTTGCCGGTGCTGAGCGCGTCGTAGATCATGTCGAGGTCCGCGCTCATCACGACGAGGCCCTTGATGCCGCGCTGGAGCTCGTGGCACGAGCTGTGCACGTGCGCCAGGAGCACGTTGTACCGTTCCACCTCCTGGAAGAGCACCACGTGCAGCGCGGACGGGTCCGACGCCTTGGACTTCATCACCTGCTCGAGGTTGAACGGCTGCGGCACCGTCTGCCGCAGGTCCTCCGCGATCGAGTCCACCCGCGCGTCGGCGCTGTCCCCGCCCGCGCCCGCGCCGCCCGTCTTGGGCTGCAGCGACAGCAGCGAGTCGAGGACGACCATCGAGTCCTCGGTCTGGCACGAGATGTCCGCGTTCGGGTGCTGTCCGAACGCCTGCGGCGCGTCGATCAGCGGCAGCGACAGCACGTAGTCCTTGAACGACTGCAGGGTGCCCGTGTCGGGGATGAAGTAGTGCGGGAGCGTCGAGAGCTTGTAGTTGGGCACGACGAGCGCCTCGTCGCAGTAGTACTGCTCGAGGTACGACCGCAGGACGCGCCGGTCGAGCTCGTCCGTCACGCGCCCGCCGTAGTTGGCCTCCGAGATGAGGTACTTGAGGGCCTCCCAGGGGGTGTCCTCGTACGAGTCCAGGTACGACTTGAGGAGGTCGTCGGAGACCTTCATGTCCGTGTCGTTGAAGTCGTACGGGATGTTGAGGCCGAGCGTGCGGAACTTGCGCCGCTCGAGCAGCACCGAGTGGAAGAAGCACAGCGCAAAGAGCAGCTTCTGGTACTTGTCCTGGCTCTTGCACTCGGCGAAGCTCTCCTCGCTGATCGTGTTGTACAGCCGGAGGAGGTTCGCGCGCAGGCCCTTGGGCGGCTCCGTGGTCATCTTGATCGAGCGCTGCAGGATGGCGATGGGGAACTTGGGGTCCGGGTTCGACGAGAGCCAGAGGCGGAAGTTCGGGTGCGGCTTCGCGGCCGCGAAGGACTCGATGATCTTGTCGAGCGTGGGCAGCCACGACGTCATGAGGTGGCAGTTGGCCAGGAAGACCCAGTGGCCCTGCTTGAGGCCGTCGGAGATGAGCTTCGTGGCGACGGGCGCCTGGCCCTGCCCGAGCGCGACGGAGTGGAACTTCTCCGTCATGTTGCGCTCCTTCGCGAGCTTCGCGAGGTTGTCGTACGGGTCCACGCCCGGGCTGAGCACGAAGATGAGCGGCGACGCCGGCACCGAGTCGTTGTACGTCTCCGCGAGGTCGAGCACGGGCGGCTCGACGAACTTCCGCCCGAGCGCGTTCGCGACGAACGCCGTCGCCGCGAAGATGAGCCGGTCCGGCCGCAGCGCGCGCACCAGCACCATACGCTGCAGCTCGTTGCAGCGCGACTCCCACTCGCCCGGCAGCTCCTCCGCCTCGGGCTCGTTCGAGCGGTACCAGTTCTCCCAGTCCGGGAGCGCGCCGTCGAACGAGCTCACGAGCCCCTGGAAGTTCGGCAGCTCCTCCAGCGTGGTCACGCTGTCCCACGCCAGCTCGGAGATCCAGTGCGGCGCCGGGTTCGGCGGCTGGCTCGAGCGGTCCATCACGGACGCGCCGCGCAGGAGCGCCTGCCACTCGTCCTGGTTGATCTGCTTCGCGTTGGCCAGGATGCGCGCCGTCATCTGCAGCGACAGCAGCAGCTTGTGCCGCTCGAACAGCCCGCGCGCCGTGTACTTGTACACGGCGTACGTGTGGTAGTCGTTCAGCGCGCGGATGCGCTCGTTGATCGCGCCCGGGTGCGGCGAGTTGTTGATCGAGATGTGGAACAGGTCCACGTAGGCGTCCAGCGAGAACTGGTACATCGGGTCGATCAGCGCGAGGTCGTTGAGGACGAAGTACAGCAGCGCGGCGCGCGTCGACACGGGCCGGTACTCCTCGCTCGCGGCCGTGATCTTCCGCGACGTCTCCTCGGCGACCTTGAGCGACTCGTTGACCTCCTCCCACGTGGTCTTCGACTGGTCGAGCGTCTGGATGAGCTCGACGTTGTCCAGGAGCGACCCCGTCGCCGTCGCGAGCATCTGCAGGATCTGGTCCTCGAGCTCGGCCTGCGTGCGCTTCCCGCGCGCCACCTTGACGACGAGCTCGTTCTTCTGCCGGTCGAGCTCGGGCTGCTCGCACTTGACGACGAGGTTGAGCAGCTGCTCGTCGAGGCCCGACTCCTTGACCGCGAAGTTCACCAGCGTGACCTTGGTCGAGATCTCGGGGGTGTAGTGCGGGTTGGCCAGCTTGGTGGTCAGGTAGAGCTTGAACTCGGGGTTGTAGTCGATCTCCTTGTCCCCGAGCTTGATCAGCACGTTGTTGCCGCGCCGGATGAAGGCCTTGCTCAGCACGGGCTCCAGCGTCGGGTCCACCTCCTCGAGCACGTCCTGGATCAGCGCGGGCGCGCCGAACTGGATGCACGACTCCATCTGCCGGATCATGTCGGACATCTGCAGGTTGAGCACCTTGAGGCCGCGGCCGCCCTCCATGTTCTTCACCCACTTGTTCGCCTGCCCCTGCGGGTCGATCATGAGCGGCCAGCGCTGCCCGCGCGTCACGAGCACGCCGTTCTCCGTGCTGAACGAGTCCGCGGGCAGGCCCTGGATGTTCCAGTCGCGCACGTCCGCCGGGTCCGCCAGGAACATGCAGAAGTCGAACTGGTCGCTCGCCGGGATCTGGAGGTTCTTGACCTGCGGGAGCCACGTGCGCACGACCAGCTCGTCGCGGTACTCGCTCGGGAAGGGCCCGGCGTACGACATGAAGGCCGCCGCCACCACGCAGTCGCCCGGCAGCTTCTTCGCCTGGTCCTCGAACAGCGCGATGCTCGTCTCCCAGCGGTCCTTCTCGCCCGCGAGCCCCGTGACGAGCTTCTCCGCGCGCTCGAGCTTCCCCTCGAGGTCCGCGAGCTCGTCCTCGAGCCGCTTGTTCTCCGACATGCTGCCGTTGTACTTGTCCTCGAGCGCCTGGACCTGCGCGAGGACCTCCGCGAGCTTGTCCTGCGCCTGCTTGAGCGCCGCCTTCTTCTTGTTCAGCGTGTCCGTCGCCAGCTTGAGCTTGGCCTTCTTCGGCGCCACCTCCTTGGACACCTCGCCGTACTTCTCCATGGCGTGCACCCACTTGCACATGCCCTCCGCGGCCTTGGAGACCTTCCCGACCTTCTCCGGGTCGAAGTCCGCGTTGCTCGTGAACTTGTTGATCTTCTTCAGCAGCGCGTCCACCAGCTGGTCCTTGTCGTAGTTCATCAGCTTGCTCAAGAAGCCGGCGTCGCCCATCTGCTTCTTCGCCTCGTCCCAGTTCGTCGGCCGCTTCAGCACCGTCAGCACGCCGCCCAGCGTCAGCTCCACCGCCGCGGGCGGCTTCGAGTACGCCTTGAGCTCCGAGATGTCCTTCTTGTCCAGCACCGACAGCGCCGCCTCCGCCTCCTCGAGCGCCGGCAGCGCCTTGTCGAGCGCGAGCTTGCACTCGTTCGCGATCGCGTCCGCCTCCTCGGCCTCCTTCCCGATCTTCGTCGCCTCGGCGTTGACCTGCTTCTCCTGCTCGTCGGCGGTGCGCTTGTCCTGCACGATCTGCACCAGCAGCTCCTCGCACTCCTTCTTCGCGCGCGCCACGACGACCTTCTTCTGCTTCGCCACCTCCTGCATCTCCTGCACCTGCTCCGACGTCTCCGCGAGCTTCTCGAGCCCGCCCTTGAGCTTCCGCGCCTTGTCGATCAGCTCGCCGCGCTTGTTGCCCAGGAGCGTCTTGTACCCGCGGACCGTCTCGAGGTAGTTCGTCGGCGTCACGTAGTTCGCGCGCTTCACCTCGGCCAGCATCCGCGCGCTCGTCTGCACCACCGACGAGTGCGCCGTCTGGAACACCTTGCCGAGCTTGGTGCGCAGCGCCGCGTCGACCACGTCCTCGGGGAGGTCCTCGAGCTGCCGCTCCGCGACCTCGAGCAGCGCGTCCGCGGGCCACTCCGTGAACCAGTCGATCGTCGTGCAGTTCACCAGCCCGGGGAACATGCGGCAACGCTCCCGGAAGGCCTCGCCGACGGGCGAGAGGCACAGGATGACGTGCAGGTTCGTGCGCACGCGCTCCATGAAGAACGACCAGATCCCGTCCTCCGTCTCCGGCACGCCCGCCTTCTTGGCCTGCGGGCGCAGGTCGCCGACGATGGCCGTCATCTCGTCCTTCGGGAACAGGTTCGGCACCTCGCCGGACGTGAGGATGTTGTTCACGTCCTCGAGGAAGGTCTCGAGCTTGATCTGCGTCTCGTCGAACAGGAACGTGGTCGGCTTGTTGTCCTGCCCGGCCTGCTTGTACAGCATCTTCAGGTCCTCGCGGAAGTCCGTCTGGCGGTAGTTCTTCGTGATCTCGATCGAGAAGCAGCGCTGCTCCGCGATGTACGTCGCCAGCCGCGCGAGCGACTTGCGCCCCGAGCCGCCCACGCCGACCAGCAGCGCGTTGCCGCGCGGCTGCATCAAGATGCGGTGGATGCGGCACACGTGGTGCATCGCGTCCTTGAAGAGCACGAGGTCCATCTGCGAGTTGCCCGGCTCGAGGCCGTAGTCCTCCAGCGACGTCGTCAGGGTCTCCTTCAGCGCGCCCATGCTCTGCACGGCCTCGTACGGCGGGTTGTCCATCGGCCGCATGAACGACACGTACGGGAGCATCTCGCCGTCCTCGAAGAGGGAGTCGTACGAGCTGCCGAAGAGCGACGTCAGCTGGTTGTTGAGCTGGTTGCGCAGCCAGGCCTTGTCGCCGTGGTCCCACATGCGGTCGCCGATGATGCGGAACGTCTCGTGGCACCACAGCGCGAGCATCGACTCCTTCGAGTCGTAGAAGGCCTTGGTGGCCTGCATCACGCCCTGGATCACCTTGGCCAGGTCGCGCGTGTTGAACAGGTAATGCGACTTGGACGGCGTGGGCAGGAGCTCCGAGGCCACGGAGCGGAACACCGCGATCGACGCCTGCGTGATCAGGTCGCCGAGGGGCCGGATCTCGTCCTCGAAGTCGGCCAGCCGCGAGTTGAGCAGCGTCGAGAAGATGCGCTTCAGCTGCGCGTCGTTCGGCGGCGTCACGTTGAGCGTCGAGAAGCACGCCTGGATGCGCTGCGAGAACTTGTTGCGCCCGCCGCCCGGGGGCGCCATCGCCGCCAGCAGCTGCATGTCGACCACGTTCATCGCCTCGCACTTGAGGCGGTCATACCAGAACCCGTTGTCGACCCAGAGCTTGAGCAGCTCGAGCGGGGGGATGAACCCGAACTTGGACTTGGCCGGCATGTTCAGGTCGTCGATGAACGCGATCATCTTCTTGCCGCCGTCCGGCCCGTAGATGCCCTTGGTGCGCTTTACCAGGCGGCCCTCGATGGAGTCCTGGAGCGAGTTGCTGCTCGTCTGCGCGGACGAGTTGATCACGAGGGACGTGCGGTCGTCCGGGAGGCTCTGCAGCAGCCCGTCGACGATCATCGTCTTGCCGACGCCCACGTTGCCCACCACGAGCACGTGCTTGAAGTCCTGCACCAGCGCGCCCGCGACGAACTGCGTGCGGACCGTGTCGATCGTCGGGATCATGATCTTGAAGAACGGCGTGTCCGTCGGCACGCGGAACGTCGACGACAGCTTCTGCTCCCAGGGCACCCACTGCTTCCCCACGGGGTCGACGTAGTACTCGAAGACGGTCTCGTTGGGGGGGAACCGCGAGTCGAGCTCGCGCAGGAACATGTCGAAGCTCTTCCGCCCCTCCTCGTCCAGGCTCGCGCCCACCGACCACACCAGCGCGAACTGGAACCACAGCTCCACCACCGTGGCCAGCGAGTCGCCCGCGCCGGCCGACACGCCGTTGTCCGGCGTCGCGAAGTGGTCGAACAGCGAGCAGAACGTGCGCACGCCGTTCAGCCGGTCGATCGGCACCAGCTCCGAGCAGTTGAGCCGCTTGTGCTCCAGCGACGCTTCGATGTACTTGTCCACCAGCCGCTGGACGATCTCGACGACCTGCGGGTCGCGCTGCTCGCCGCGCACGGGCCGCTGCAGCCACGACGTGACGTACGGCCGCCAGCCGAGGTCCTCCACGTTCAGGTAGATCATTCCCGCGCGGGACACCGTCGCCGGCGACGCCTGGCTCAGGTCCTCGACCTCGAACAGGATGGAGACTTGCGGCGTCATGGAGATGCGCTCGCCGTTGAGGAGCGTGAGGAGCTTGTTGTCGTCGAGCAGCGTGTTCATCGACTCGATCCACAGCGTGTCGACGGGGCCGTCAAACAGGATCCACTTCTGGTCGGGCGTGGTGTCGTTGCACGCGTCGCGCATGATGCGCGCGAGCACACCGTTGCGCCACTCCTGCGTCGACGGCTCGAACGCGCCGTACAGCTCGTCGTTCGACAGCGCCAGAGGGTTGATGGTGTACACGTGCACCTTCTCGTAGGCCTCCTCCTCGGGGAACTGCTTGCACAGCCGCGCGAGCGCGCGCTGCAGGCACTTCCACGCCTCGGACTTGCCGGACCCGGTCTTGCCCACGATCATGTTGCCGTGCCGCGCCAACTTGCAGTCGAAGATCTGGATGATCTTGGTGACGAACTCCGGCACGATCTGCAGCCCGTGCTTCGTGAGCTCGGCCTCGAGCGCCTTCCGCAGCTCCCCGCCGTCGTTCGTGGGCATCTCGACGCCCGGGAACAGGTCCGACAGCAGCGACATGAAGAGCGGCAGGTCCTGGTACACCAGCTTGGGCTTGATGAGGTCGATCATCGTGCGGTACATGATGACCTCCTCGGAGGCGTCGGGCATGGCGCGCTTGTGCGCGCCCGCGGCGCGCGCGATGGGGATGACGAAGGAGCGCAGGCCGTAGTCGTAGTGGTCCTGCTTGGACAGCTGCTGCTGCGACAGCTCCATGATGGCGATCATCTTCTTCGCGAGGCTCTTGGCCGTCTGGAAGCCCTCGGAGAACATCATGATCTCCGCGATCAGCGTGAAGTCCGGGACCATCATGGCCACCGGCCGGACGATGGCCTTCAGGTTGTCGGGCAGCTCCGAGCGCCCGGCGTACCCGGGGTTCATCGTCACGAACACCGCGCACGATGGAATGAGGCGGATCTCCTGTCCCAGGAACTGGAAGCGGCGCTTGCGCTCCTTGATGGCCAGCATGAGGGTTGAGATCTGCGTCGCCACCACCGACAGCACCTCGACCTCGATGCGGTTGAACTCGTCGAGGCAGGCCCACGCGCCCGTCTGCGCGAGGCCCGACAGCATCTTCCCGGTCATCTTGTAGTCCACGCCGTCGGAGCAGTTGAACACGATGACGTAGCGCGCCAGGGCCTTCCCGAAGTCCTTCACGGTCTCCGTCTTGCCCGTCCCCGCGGGGCCGAGCGGGTTCCCGCCGCGCCGCGTGAACATCGCCGCGCCGAGCGTCATGTAGCACCGGTCCGTCAGCGGCGTGATGACCAGCCGCCCGTTGTTGCCCTGATACTCGTACCCGTACGTGAAGATCGACAGGACCTGTTTCACGACGCAGTCGTCCTGGTCGCGGTCCCAGTAGAACCGCAGCTGGCTCACCCACTCGAAGTCCGTCGCGCGCGAGCACCCCGTCTTGCCCAGCTTGTCGATGACGTCGCGCGCGTGCACCTCGATCGTGATGAGCGCGACGACCTTGTTGCGCTCGATCTTCGTCAGGCGCGACCGCGTGACGCCCGTGAGCTTGTTCAGGTAGCTCATCCAGCGCTTCTTGAGCTGCCGGAGCGCCTTCTTGGCCTCGTCGGGGTCGGCCAGCGCCGCCTCGCACTCCGCCGTCCACAGGATCTGCCCCGCGGAGATGATCATCTGCCCCTGGTTGTCGCGCACCCACCGCTCCTTCTTCGCGCCCTTGCTCTGCTCGAGCGTCTTGTACAGGTGCAGCTTCGTCGTCTTGAACATCGCCGCCTCGATGTCGTTCAGCCAGTCCTCCGGCCGCCCCTCCGTGCGCACGGGGTCCGGGAACGGCAGCCACTCGCCGTCGGGCGAGAAGATCCCCGTCGCCTCGTACACCTTGTGCCCCTCCTGCCCCGGCGCGTACATCTGCAGCCGCTTGATGCCCTCGAAGCACTTCTTCAGGTGCTTCTGCACCTGCAGCGGGTCCTTCGCCTGCCCGAGGATCTCGAGCAGGTCGTCCGACGACAAAAAGTAGAACCGCGGGAACTGCTGCCGCTTCGACTCGAGGTAGTTCTCCAGCGACTTCTGGATCTTCTCGAGCTTCTCGTCCATGGCCACGAAGCGGTCGAGCATGGCCTGGTCGCACGCGCGCACCACGACGGACACGTCGTGCAGCTCCTTCATGCTCTCCTGGAACGACGTGTGCACCGACTCGAAGAGGATGCTCTCCTGCGGGAGCTGCTTCCGGATGTCCTCGGAGCCCACGAAGATGTTCTCGAGGTACATCCAGTTGCGCTGCACCTGCTGGATCATCTCGATCGACTCTGACACCAGCGACAGCGCGTGCTCCCACCGCAGGATTTCCTTCTCAAACACCACGAAGAACTTGGAGCCCTTCATGGTCGACAGCGTGACGACGTTGTCCTCGAGCGCCGCGAAGATGTCCTCCGTCGACCGCAGCTTGAACGTGGCCTTGTACGGCGCGAGGTCGAGCTCGAGCGTCTCCCACGTGTCGCCGATCTTGCCCAGGGACACCTCGATGGCTAGCTCCTTGCTGGCCGAGCCGGAGAGCTCGCCGATGAACTCCGCGTGCTGGTCGAGGCGCAGGCTCACGACGGTGCTGAGCGTGAACGAGTCCGACTCCGGGTCGAACTGCTCGCCGATGTGCGCCATCAGGTTCTGCCAGTGCCGCTTGCGCATGGCCGGGTTCCGCAGGTCGATGATCAGCGGCATCGTGCGCTTGAACGACTCGATCGTCTCCTTGATCCACCCCCACAGCGGCCAGTGCTTCACCTCGCGGCCCAGCTTGGTCACGGTCTTCTGGATGCGCACCGCGGCCTCCTCCATCTCCTGCACGTTCAGGTCCTTGAACAGGCCGTCCTTCCACCCGCTGTACGCGCTCTCCCACTGCTCCACGACGTCCCAGATGCTCCCCAGCAGCCGCAGCTCCGCCTCGGTCTTCTCGAGCTCCTTGTACGGCGGCGTCGGGATGGCGAAGATCTCCATGCCCTGCCGCGTGAGGTCCGACGCGCGCTTCCGCGCCGCGCGGCAGTTCTCGAGCCACTTCTTGATGTACGCCTTGGCCTCCGCGACGCTGTACTTCTCGTGCGAGTACGGCGCGGTGTCCTCGAACTCCTCCCGCGCCGTGGCCTGGTCCTTGACGAAGCTGTCCACCATCTGGACCAGCTTCTCCCGGAACGTCTCCTTCGCGCGCTCCAGGTCGCCCTCCGCGGCCTCGAGCACCGTCAGGTACGACGCCCACTCGCCCTCCAGCTCGTCCAGCTGGGCGCGCTCTGCGTCGCGCAGCCCCACGCCAAACTTCTCCAGGGACTCGTACTTCGCCCTCAGGGGCTGGAAGCGCGCCTCGGTGGACTCGCGCTCGGCCGCGAGCTTCCGCTGCAGCGTCACGGACGACGCGAGCTCGTCCAGGTTGGCCGGCTGCTGGGCCAGCTTGGCCTTGTTGTCGCGGAAGTACGAGAAGAGGTTGTTGAGCTCCGTCGAGGATATGTCGTGCAGGAGGCCCGTGAACTTGCCGACCCAGGCGTTGCAGTGCCCGTGGATGCTCTGCTTCAGCGGCGAGCAGTCCACGCGCATGAAGCGCATGTTGGTGCTCGTGTCCTCGGCCATGACCTCCTCGCCCAGGTCCTGGTACTTCTGCGTGTCCCCGTTGAACGCCAGGAGCGGCTTGTCCGCCTTCTTGTACCGCCGGATGTAGGCGTCCTTGTCCTGGTCCCACACGTGCTGGTACTTCTTCTCCCAGTAGTCGAGGAACTGCTTCGCCTGCGCCGTGATGCCCTCGCCGAGGTTGACCAGCTGCTCCTGCGTCTTCTTGTCCGCGCGGTTCTCGTGCAGCAGGATCTCGTAGAACGGCGTCAGCTGCCGCCGCGGCCGCACCACCTCCTGCCCCGTCTCGGGGTCCACCTCCGAGATCATCGGGGCCTGCCGGAGCCGCGGGACGGCCTGCGCGACGCGCACGAGCTCGTCGCGCAGCTTGAAGATCATGTTGTACAGCTCCTGGATGGTCGGCTTCACCTCCGCGTGCCCGTTCTGCAGCACCACGAGCACGTGGAAGATCGGCACCACCTCCGTCTTCTTGTCGCCGTCGAGCGCGCGCATCAGCTCCTGCAGCGACCGCTTCCACGTCGCGCGCAGCGCGTCCTCCACCTTGCGGTCCACCTTCTTCGTCAGCGTGTACCACTCGGCCTGCACCTCCTCGCTGTCGTCGGCGAACGTCTTGTACACGTGGTCCATCGTGGACTTGATGGCCTCGTAGCACGAGCGGAACTTCTTCTTCGTGTCCGACATGTGGGCCATCTGCCGCTCGAAAAACTCCGTGTGGTCGTACACCCGCTTCTTCTCCACGTTGATGAGCTGCGACTCCACGATCATGCGGCAGTTCTCCTCGATCGACCGCAGCGCCTGCTTCCACTCCTCCACCGTCGTCCACACGTCCTTGCAGTGCCTGCGCGCCTCCTTGACGTAGTAGTCCAGCTGCGCCTTGGGCGACGTCCACGTCAGGCGCAGCAGCCCGGGCGCCACGCGCCGGTCCAGGTACCGGATGCGGTCCGCGAAGAGCCGGCGCTCCGCGCGGTCCAGCGCGCCGATGATCTGGTTGTAGTCGCGCACGACCAGCAGGATCGACTCGCGCAGCACGCGCAGCCGCTCCCGGCCCGCGTTGATCTCCATGGCCACGTAGGGGATCTCCATGCGCAGGCGCTCCCAGTAGTACACCTCCTGGAACATCGAGAGCGTGCCCTTGTCGAAGTTCACCACCAGCGTGCCCGTGCCGTCCTCCTGCGCAATGAGCGAGCGCTCCAGGCCCTGGATGGCGTCCGCCGGGACGGACTGGTACCAGTCGCGGTGCATGTTGTGCGTGAACTGCTCGACGGACGACTTGACGAGCTCGAACGCCGCGAAGACCTCCCCGGCCTCGGGGGCGTCGGGCAGCGCGTGCTGCATCTGCAGGAGGTGCCCCAGCGGGTGCGCGATGCGCCGCAGCAGGGCCTGGGCCCAGTACGCCGCGCCGGCGTAGCGCGGGAGGAAGGGCGAGGGCGGCGGGGACCGCTTGATGAGGTCGAGCTGCTTCTTCACGACGTTGATCTCCTGCGTAAACATCTGGTACAGCTCCGACGTCTTCTTCTCCACCGTGCGCTTGACGCTCTCGCGCTTGGCCATGCAGAAGAAGATCTCGAGGAGGTTGATCCGGGCCGGGAGCGACGGCACGGCGTCGAGCGCGAGCACGACGACGTTGGTGAACATGACCTCGAGGTCCTTGACGCCGCTCTTGAAGACGTTGTAGTCGTCGTGCCACCGCGTGACCTTGACGTCGAGGATCGAGTAGCCCAGGTCGCGCAGCCGCTTCACGAGCTTCTGGAACGACCCCTGGATGTCCCGGATGCTCTTGACGACCTCGGGGCCGCGCGTGCCGCCGAAGTTCGGCAGCGGCGTCGACGGCGCGAACTGGAGCTGCGCTTCGCAGATCTCGAGCAGGTCCTTGCAGCGCTGGACGAACGCGTCGATGTGCGCGAAGATCGACGACTGGTCAAGCTTCCACGGCCGCGAGCCCGAGCGCTCGAGCGCGGCCGCCGTGTTGCGGTACGCACCCTTCCAGGACTCCCCCGCGCGCACCGACTCCTGCAGCGTCACCATGACGCCGTCCACGTCGCCGGAGAGGATCGCCTCCAGCGACACGTGCGCGCAGCAGCGCGTGATGATCTCGTTCGAAATGTTCCGCAGCAGGCCCGTCACGGCGTCCTCGGTGTTGTAGTGCCGCGACAGCGACCAGATCATGCGCACGTGGTTGAGCACGTTGGGCATCAGCCCGGGGATGTCCTTCGGGGCCGCCTTGGCCAGCGCGCCGCACGGCTCCTGCAGGCTCTGCAGGAAGAGCAGGTTGTCGCGCGCCGCCTCGCCGCCCGTCTGGATCGCCTTGGACAGCTCCATGAACGGGCCGAGGTAGGACGACTTGGCCGCCTCGAGCACGTCTGCGAGAAGCGGGGGGGGGGGGTGTTGGGGGGGTGTCGTGTTGCGGGGGAGTGTGGCGGCCGCGCCGTGGTGGCTGGTCAGGCGGTGCAGGCTGGCGCTGTCGGGCCCGCCGGATCGGCGCAGCGCGCCCCCACGCGGCTCGGGTGCCACAGATTGCACACACGGCATAGGTGCGGGCGGCATAGGTGCGGGCGGGGCACGCGTGGCGCCGTGCGGCGTCCGCGCGGCGGGGGCCGCACCGACGAAGCGCGCGACGAGGGGCTGTTCGAGCTGCTGCTGGATCGACGACATGTCCTTGCTGCGCGCGCGCCAGAACTCAATCTCCGCGAGGGGCCCCGCGTCGTCGCTCAGGTCGCTGTTGTCGAGGTTGTTGACCACCTCCTTGATCTGCCGCGTCCAGTGGATCACCGTCGCCTCGAGGCGCTGCGACGCACGGCGCGGGCGGGGCGGCGCACGTTGGTTGCGGCACGAGGGCGCGCGCGGACCGTCGGGCGGCGCGCGGGCGGGCGGGGCGCGAGGGGGGCGAGCTGGGGCGCGTTCCGCGGCGAAGCAGGGCCCCGTGCGCGGCGCGTGGGCGCACCTGCACGAGCTGCTTGTCCTTGGCAGCCACCATGGGATCCCCTATCTGCTCCTTGGGGATGTATAGGACGGTCTTGCCGGCCATTTCGTGCGTGTGCTCCGTGAGCGAGGCCATGAACTTGTGCAGGGAGCCGATGATGTCGGTGCGCATGCTCTGAGGCCACGAGGTGTTTTCTAGCATCGTGGGCACGTACACCGTGTTCATCAGGCGCAGCAGGGACTCCAGCGGGCTGTGCTGGCCGCCGATCTTGATCTTGTGGACCACGTCGCGGTAGTTCTCCTCCTTCGGGAGCGACCCCTTGGCGCGGTAGAGGCACAGGAGGTGCCCCGGCACCATGGGCGGGCTCGTGCTCAGGACGAGCTTCCCGGTCTTCTCCGCCATCGCGAACAGCCGGTTCTTGTCCGCCTCGAACACGAACTCCGACAGCACCGGGTCGTGCACGTCGTGGACGTAGTGCGCGTCCAGCCATGCCTGCGCGCCCCCCTCCCCGCCCTCGCCGCTCGCCTCCTCCTCCGCCACCTGCGCTCGCGCGCCGCACACCCCGCGCAACTCAATCAGGACCGCGCGCAGGCCCCACAAACGGAGCCCCAGGCGCCCTGCGCGCTCTACAACCCGCCCGCGGAGGCACCCGCAATCCTTGCGGGCTCGTGGGGCGCGGACAGCCGCTGCGCGACGCCACGCGCCCGTGGGCCCGACGCTCGGGCATCTGTGCGCGCGCCGGGGGGCGGGGCGCCGCAGCGGGGCGTACGTACCGCGGAGAGCAGGCCTTGAATCCATGTCCATGCGGGTCCCCCCACGACGAGCGGGGTGCCCGAATCCTCCCCGGCGGCCTCCGCCTCGACCATCTTCGCTATCTGCGGGGTCCGGGGGGCGGGTGCGCGGGCGGGGTGGGGGGCCGGGCGGCGCGGCGCGGCACTGGGGAGCTCAGGTGCTGTGTGGCGCCTGGCCCGCGCGGGGCAGCGAGGGGCTGTGCGGGCGCGTTGGGGCCGCGGGTGCTCGGGCGGAGGTCGGTGGATCTGGCCGGGGCGGGCGTGGCTGGAGATGCGGGGGGCGGGGGACGCCGGGGGCGAGCCTCCCGTGCGCCCTTCGCATGCTGAATGGCAGCGCACGGTTGGGGGGTCGCGGCGGGGCCGCATCGCGCGGGGGCGATGTTGTTCGGCGATGATTTGAATTCACGCGCGATGGCGCGGGGCGAAGTCGCGCACCTGCAAGCTGTGCGGAGCAATTGGGGCGCCTGCAGCTGGTTTCACGTCTTCAGTCTTCACCGCATAGGGCTCGTCCCATTTCGCAGTTGGCTCCGCACAGAAGCGATGCGAGCGCGCGAAAGTTGCGCCCGCGCGCGCGCACGCCCGCTCCTGAAGCCCAGAGGCCCCGCGATCCCCGCCCAACTATGTCCGACTGCACTTTCTCCACCAATGCACCCCCCCGCGGCGCTTACGGGCCCGCCCGGATGCCGCGCCCCGGCACTGCGACCTCGGGCCGTCGAGCGCGATTGGCCGAGTCACAGTTAGGCGCCGCCAGAGCCCGCGCGACCCGAACACTCCAGCGGCAGAGCGCGACCGGGCGAACGGGCGGCGAGCGAGCCCGCGCAGCCCGCCAGTCGGCGGCAGTGCTGGCGGAGCGTCTGAGAGTAGGAGGGGCAGGTACAGGCGGCGCGGCGCAGGGATGGCGCGTGACAAGCCGAGCTTGCTGTTCCAGGGAAGGGAGACCGCCCAGAAGGCGCGGGACCGGTCGCCCAGCGGCACACCGCGGTCCCCAGTCTCCCCTGCGTACAATGCTGGCGGATACCTCACCGGCCCGCGCAGCGGCGCCGGCGGCGGCTACCTGCGTGGCCTGACGCCGGGACGGTGCGCACCCCGGCCCCGTCCTGCCGTGCACCGCGCTCTGCGTGTCCATGCGTGCATCGCGCCGCGTGTGCCTGCGTCTGCGCGCGACCTCGCGCGCCGCTCGAGCTCCGTCGGGCCGCGAGTGCACTCGGGCGAGGCTGTTTTGCAGCACGGCTGGCGACACGCAGTGCTCCTCGCGGCCCTGGAGCGCCCTGCGCGCCACGACAGGCTCGTCCGTCTGCGCCGGGCGCCGCTTGCGCCCGCCCGCGCGCGCGGCGGTCGCCACGGCGCCCCCCCCGCGCGCGCCCGCGCACGCACACTTGGGCGCGTTGCCTGCCGTCCCTGTGCAGGGGCGAAGCGAAGCCGCCCGTGCGGACGCTCCACGACGAGATCGACGACCACGGCGTCGACGCGTTCGGGCTCAGCCATCCCCGCCAAGGTGCTGCGCCTGCTGCACGCACCCCTCAACATGCAAACCCGCCATCATGCACCCTTGCGCTCGCTGCGCTGCCACCGCGGCGGCGGCGCCCCGCAGCGCAGATCCCTCACCGCCGGAGCGGCCCGGCCGCACGCGCTGCGCAGAGCCTTCGCCGGCGTGGCGCTACGACGGGCACGGTGCGGCGGCGCGCGACGCGGACAACTGGGTGACGGTGTTCGGGTTCCTGGCGTACGACGCGAAGACCGTCGTGGCGGAGATGCGGCGGTGCGGGGACATCCTCCAGCACGGGCAGTACGGCCGAGAGGGCGCGAATTACATGCACATGCAGTTTGCGTCCCCGGAGGACGTGCGGCGCGCGCTCGCGCTGGACGGACAGCAGATCACGCCCTCGCTGATCATCGGCGTCAAGCCGATCGACCCGCGGCACAAGGAGGACGTCCTGGCGTACATCGACACCCATCGCACCCCCATCAACCCCGCACAGCGCATGAGGTGCGCCGCCCGGCCCCGCGCGCCAGCGCGCGCGTCCAGCGCGGCGGCGACCGACCGCGGGCTCCGCGTGCACGCCCACGATCCGCCGCGACCGCGGCGCCGGCGCCGCAGCGCGCCGTGATTGCTCGCACCCCTCCGTGGCATACAACGCGGTCGACGTGGCCCGCTGCGCCGCTGGCCCCGGCCCCCTACGCTGGTCATCGTCCACTCCGAGTGCGTGTCGTTCGACGGCGTGCGGCGGCGCTCTGTGCGCTTTGCAGGTCGCTGTCGCCTCCGCCGCGGTCCGCTCCGGTTCGCCCGCACCGGGTCCAGCTGGACGGGGGCACGACGCCGCTGCCGCAGCCAGCGAAGAGCACGTGGGGCAAGATCGCGTCGTACGTCTTCGGAATGTGATGAGCATGTGCTTGGCTGGAACGTGCGCCCCTCGCTCGTGCGACGCCGCGGATCGTGTATGCGCAGCCGACCAGTGCTGCGTGCGGCTGCCGCGAGGGTAGGTGCTGGCGGGGGCGTGTCGCGCCTCGCCGACGGTTGAGGACGCCATGGGGGGGGGTGATGCGTCCCCGCTGCGTCGCAGAGGCGCTGCAAAGTTACGACGGGGTCCGCGGCCGCTGGTTCACGGTAGTTCGACCAGCAGCGTTCGTTGTTAGCTCGTGGCCACTGCGCAGCGGCTCCGTCTCGGGTGCAAGCCGAAGCGGTCCCCTTGGAGCCGGCTGCGAGGCGCGACGAGCGGGCTTGCAGCGCCCGTCTTCCCCGAACATATCGACAGCGAGAACGGCACGGGCCGCACGGGCTTATACGAGTGCACCGCGCGCTCTCACCGCTGCGTCCAAGGGGCACCTTCACCAGAGCGCGGCATCGGCCAAGCGCGCAGCTGCGACGCAGGCCGCCTGGCCAGGCAGGCCCTCTCGTCTAGGGCGCGGGCCGGCATGCACGTGGAGCCCGCTGAGGCGTCCTAGACACGCGTCTGCGGCCCCAGACGTTGCGTTGCTCCTCTATGACTTTCGCCCGCGCACAGAACGGCGCGCACGAGCGAGGCGGTTCGCGAGGCGTCGGGCACTCACCGATGTCTGTCGGCACCCCGGGACCGCCGTCCGGGGAATGGGCGGCGGCAGGGAGCACGCATGGTGTCCTGATGCACTATGCTGAAGCTGCGCCCCCGGCCATGCTCGCGTTCGCGCCCCACGTGGCGCCGCAGCAGGTGTACCCGGATAACTCCTTCTTCATCGGCGAGGGCGACCAGATGCACCGCGCAAACGGCGTCGTCCCACCTCAGGCAAGCTCCTCGGGCGACCACGCGCTCCCCGCGGCCCGCGCCGCCCCTCCCCCGCGTGCTTCGCACTGATCACACCCTGAGCTTGCTCCGCGCGGGCGCGCGTGCCGCGGATCCGTCTCAGCGCGCCCCCGCCTCGCGATGGACACCGCGCTGCAGGGGCCACCCGTGGACGTGCCGCAGGTGCCGCAGATGTTCCTGCCGGGCGCGCACGTCGTCCACGCGGTGTCCGTGCAGCAGCAGCCGCAGCAGAACGCGCACCAGCGGCACCCGCAGCACCCACAACAGAGGCTCATGGCTGTGCCGCTCAACCCGTCCGGCGCTCAGGCCGCGCACGCCGGGTTCGCGGCGCCCCTGCATTCCGCCGCGAGCGTCCCCGGCGCCAGCTGGGACGTGTCCGCGCAGCTCGTGGCCGCCGGAGCCGCGCAAGGCAGCGCGCCCGACCTGCACAGCACCCACGCGCACGCGCACTCGCTCGCCCGGCCGCTGTCGCCGCTGCTGCACCAGGACGGCCACGGCAACGCGCAGCAGTACTCCGCCCACGGCCAACAGGCCACGCAGGGCTTCTCCGGGCACGGCCCGCAGGCCTCGCAGGGCAGCTCCGCCCCCCCGGCCTACAACAACCACGCGGCGCAGCTGCAGGCGCGCAGCGGGCCGCCGCCCGCCCAGGACAGCAGCTTCGGCAACTCGACCTCGATCCTCGCGCACGCGCACACCGCCTACCGGTCCGGGCACTACCAGCGTGCGCTCGAGCTCTGCCAAACCGTACACACGCGCGAGCCTCTCCGGACGGACGTGCTGCTCCTCCTCGGCGCCGTCTACTACCAGCTCGGCCGGCTCTCCGAGTGCATCACCTGCAACGACCGCTGCATCATGCTCGACCCGACGCTCGCCGAGGCCTACGCGAACTTGGCAAACGCGCTGCAGCAGCAAGGGTCAACCGACCTCGCAATCCTGTACTACCAGAACGCGATCCGGCTGCGGCCGGGGTTCACGGACGCGTACAACAACCTCGCGTCGGCGCTCATTCAGAAGGGCCTCGTTGCGAACGCGATGGAGTGCTACAACGAGGCCCTGCGCCGCAACCCCGCGCTGTCCAACGTGCGCGTGAACCTGGGCGACCTGTGGCGGTCGCAGGGCGCGGCGGGGCACCACCCCGCGCAGCAGTGCTACAGCGAGGCGCTAACGCAGGACCCGAAGTGCGCGGCGGCGTGGCGCGGGCTGGGCGACCTGATGCGCGAGATGGGGCAGGTGGGGTCCGCGGTGCCGTACTACCGCGCGGCGCTGCAGCACGACCCGATGATGGCGGAGGCGTACACAGGTGCGACGCGACGCGGCCTGCTGCGCCCGGGCGTCCGCTCCGGCACCTGGTTGTTGATGCTACCTACGGCTCTGTTGGCTTCGTTCGCCTTCGTCAACCGTGCGTTTGCAGTGGCGTTGACCGGTTGCGCGCGTGCGGTGGTCGCAGAGCTCGGGCGGTGCCTGAAGGAGCTCGGGCAGACGAGCGGTGCGGAGCAGTGCTACCAGGAGGCGTGCCGCGTGCAGCCGAACAGCGCGCTCGCGCTCGGCAACCTCGCGGGGCTCTACTACGAGAGCGGAAAGCTCGACATGGCCGCGCAGACGTACCAGTCGGCCATCAAGATCGAGCCCAACTTCCCGGAGGCGTATAACAACCTGGGCAACGCGCTGCGGGAGCTCGGGCGCGCGAACGAGGCGATCGCGTGCTACACGGCGTGCATTCAGCTGCAGTACGCGCGCTCGCAGCGGCCCGGGTCGGACACGTCGCCCGCGCACATGGCGGCGTGCGTCGCGCGCCTGACCGTCGCGTACAACAACCTCGGCGGCCTCCTGAAGGCGCAGGGGCGCATGCACGAGGCCATCTGCTGCTACGAGCGCGTCGTCACGCTGCAGCCGACCTCCCCGGAGTCGCACGCGAACCTCGGCGCAGCGTACAAGGACTCGACGCGCCACGAAGAGGCCATCGTGTCGTACCGCAACTCCCTGCAGCTCCGCCACGACTTCCCCGAGGCCTTCGCGAACATGGTGCACTCGCTGCAGTGCATCTGCGACTGGACCGACCGGCCGCAGCTGTTTGCGCGTCTCGAGGCCGAGATCCGCCGCGACCTCTCGAACGGCGCGCTGCCGCCCGTGCAGCCCTTCCACGCGATGGCGTACCCGCTCCCCGCGGACCTCCCGCTCAAGATCGCGCAGGCGTACGCGCGGCTGTGCGCCGCCAACGCGGCGCTGCTCAAGTGCCCGCCGCTCGCGCACCCCGAGGCCAAGCCGCTCGCGCGCGGGGAGCGCCTGCGCGTCGCGTACGTCTCGTCCGACTTCGGCAACCACCCTCTCTCGCACCTCATGGGCTCCGTCTTCGGCCTCCACGACCGCACGCGCCTCGAGGTGTTCTGCTACGCGCTGTCGCCGCCGGACGGCTCGCCGTGGCGGCAGCGCATCGAGCGCGAGGCCGAGCACTTCATCGACGTCTCGGCGTGGTCCGTCCAGGACATCGCGCAGCGCATCTCCGCCGACGGCATCCACGTAGGCGTCAACCTCAACGGGTACACAAAGGGGTCGCGCAACGAGATCTTCGCGCTGCGCCCGGCGCCCGTGCAGTGCTCGTACATGGGCTTCCCCGCCACCGCGGGCGCGGACTTCCTTCCCTACCTCATCGTGGACAAGGTGGTCGCCCCCAAGGAGCTGCACCACTGCTACACAGAGAAGATCGTACAGATGCCGAACTGCTACTTCGTGAACGACTACAAGCAGTCGCACATGGACGTCCTCGACGAGGCCAACGTCCCCTCGCGCGAGTCCCAGGGCCTCCCGGCCGACAAGGTCATCTACGCGTGTTCCAACCAGCTGTACAAGTACGACCCGGACACCTTCCGGTGCTGGTGCAACATCCTCCGCCGCGTGCCGAACTCGGTGCTCTGGCTCCTGCGGTTCCCGCCCGCCGGCGAGCCGCGCGTCAAGGCGGAGGCGGCGCGCCAGGGCGTGGATCCGGCGCGCATCATTTTCACGGACGTGGCGCAAAAGGACCTGCACATCCGGCGGTCGGGCCTCGCTGACGTCTTCCTGGACACGCCGCTGTGCAACGCGCACACCACGGGCTGCGACGTCCTGTGGTCGGGGTGCCCGATGGTGACCCTGCCGCTGGAGCGCATGGCCTCGCGCGTCGCCGCGAGCCTGTGCGTGGCGATCGGGTGCCCGGAGCTCGTCGTGCGGTCGCACGCCGAGTACGAGGAGCTCGCGGTGGACCTCGGCACGAACACGGCGCGCCGGCTCGCGCTGCGGGAGCGCATCAAACAGAGCCGGCTCTCCTGCCCGCTGTTCGACACCAAGGGCTGGGTGCGCGACTTCGAGCGCGTGTTCTTCAAGATGTGGGACATCCACTGCCAGGGCAAGGAGCCGCACGCGTTCGAGCTGCCCCCCGAGCCGTGACATGCAAGGCTCATGTGCTGCGTAGCACATGGCGCGGGGAGCGCGGACGCCGCGGCCGGACCCGTCCCGCTTGCGTGAGCAGGCCGTCCGCCCCTAGCTCCGGGCGGCCTGAGCTTCTTGCGCGTACAATCCTGCATCCATTTTTTGCCCAGCGAGTTGCCACCAACTGCAACACCACACACCCCCCCCCCACCCCCCCGCCCTTTCCCACCCCGCCGACCGCCCCATTTGCTTTCGTTCTGCCTCGCGGCGCGCCTCCGTGCCGCCGCCTGCCCAGCGCTCAGTGGAGCCTCGTAACACTTACGCGCCCCGTAGCTGCTTGAATAATAACAAGCGCCCCATATAGCCGCTTGATGCCCTGATGCGTGCCCCACCTGGGCCGCACGATCCACGCGACACGACGCCCGTGGCCCCAGTTGCTCCCGGACAGACAGACGAACCAACGACCATTGAGACCCCCCCGGGGGTCTCCCGCAAACAAACAACATCGCCGCGCTGCGCAGAAACGCTTCCGCGCGCAGCGCCACCCGGCGCACCTGTGACGACTTCACACGCGCCGTACGCGCACGCGTCGCTATCGCCCCGCGTCCGCGCTGGCCTGCTTCTCCCGCACCTTGGCGTCGAACGCCTCCCTCAGGGCAGCGCAACACGCCGTCAGGTCCTGCAGCGACTGCCGGAACGCCTCCGTCGCCGTGACCTCCCCCGTCGTCTGCACGCGGATGTTCACCACCGGCTCCGACGGGTGCGGCATGCTGTACCCCGCGAACTGCACGTGTGGACTGCACAGCAGGAACAAAAATAGAAAGAATGCGGGTCTCGGGGCGCCGGCGGTGCGTTTCAGGCCGCGCAGGACGCGTCGCGGGCGCGGAGTGTGCGGTGCGCGGGCGGCGGGACGCACTTCTTGTTCAGCATGAAGCGGGCGGCGTTGGCCAGCGTGTGGTCCTCGTGTTGCAGTTCGAAGGTCGCGTTGGCCTCCGCGTCCGAAACCTCCATGCGCTCGTCTCCGCTGGCCATATCGGCGCCGCTACAGGCGCGGGCAGCGCCTGGTCGCCGAGCGCGTGCTCGTGAGCGGCGGAGGAGTTGCCTCAAGTGATGTTCCCGGTCCGTGCGCTGTGCGTGCGGTGATCCAGGAGATGGTGCCCTGCAGCGAAGACAGTGAGTGGATTTCGGCGCTGTTGGGAGCTCGAGCGGCGCTGTTCTTGGCGGACGAGCGCGGCGTCGCAGTGTCTGCTCTGCTGGTTGCGGCATTTGCTCACGCCCCGCGTCCTGTGCGGCGCCACGCTCAAAGTCGCATTCAGCGTCGACGCAAGGACGAGATTGCACCCCGTCTGCGGAAACGCAGCCGCTCGACGCTCGCACAGGACGCGCTGCTCCTCGCAGCGTTCCTTGGTCTCTCACCTCGCTAGTATCCTGCCCCAGTGCACCGAACTGCGCGAATGCAGTACCCGCACGAGCGTGTTCGTTGATCAAGCCACCGCTCCGAGTATCAGCGCCGAGCGGGGCCCGCTGCCACGTGTGTTGTCGGGCCCCTGCCAAGCAAGGCCCCACACCCCCGCTACGTAGCGCCAGGGCGCCTCAACGGCCACGCCTGCGCCGCGAGAGCGCCAAACCTCCGCCGGCTTCCTCGCAGTGGCGTAGGGATGGCGAAGCACTAGCTTTCGACGGGAAGGGGGGGGCAGCACCGCAGGCACCATGGCTTCGCCCGGGGACCAGAACGCGCAGCAGGGGGGCGAGGCTGCCGTACGCAGACTTCCGGAGTCCGTCCGTTCGCGGCTGAGCGGGGCGAACATCGCGTCGTTCGCGCACGCCGTCCAGGAGGTAGTCCTCAACGCGGTGGAGTCCGGAGCCCGTGAAATCCACGTAGAGATGGACGAGCGCGCGTCGCGCATGTCGTTCCTCGTTCGAGACGACGGCTGCGGGATCGCCGAGCCGGACATGGCCCTCGTGGGCGCCCCGCACTCGTCGTCCAAGGACCCCGGCCTGGGCTACGCTGGCAACTCTCTCGCGGGCATCGCGCAGGTGTCTGTGCTCGAAGTTTCGTCGCGCAGGTCCGGCGCGTGGGTACCTACTATATCAAAGACGCTGGCTGCGGGGTCGGAGGTGGCCACCGGGCTCGCGAAGAAGCAGAAGGCGTCCAGTGGCACAACGGTGTCTGTTCGAGACCTCTTCTTCAACATGCCGGTGCGTCGGAAGCAGCACGCCGACGCGCGGGCGCAGAGCGACGGTCTCCGGGAGTGGCTGCTCGCCCTAGCTGCGGCACACCCGCCCCTCGGAATCAGCCTGTACGACGCTGCAGCTTCAAAGCAGCTTCTTCAAATCAAGCCCGGGCGCTCGCGAGAGGCGACGGAACAGCTCCTCTTTGGCGACAGGAAGACCGTGAGGTTCAGCGCGTCGGCCAGCGTGAACGGCGGCGACCTCCTCGTCACCGGCTGCGCTGTTGAGGCGCCGCACGGCGCAACGAGCAGGGCTGCCCAGCACGTCTACGTAAACCAAAGGTACGCCGCATGCGATGCCACGCGCTCAGCGGCAGGAAAACAGCCGCGCCACAGTCGGCAGCGCACCAGCAAGTACGACAAGCGCGGGAGAGATAGATAGGTAGACTGACGTACCGCATCTTTGCGATTTCGAGATAGGCGTCAGAGTGCCGTACCCGCTTGCAGGCCCGTGAGGGCGCCCGACGTGGCGCGCCTGGTCGGCAAGCTCTTCAGCGCCTGCATCGACAGCTTCGTGCAATACTACCGCATCGAGCACCCCGCCGCATCTGGAGCCGCGCGCTACCCGGCCTACTGCGCGTTCATTCGCTGCCCGCCGAGCTGCGTGGACGTCGTCAACAGCGACACCCGCGTGTACGCGGAGGCGAGGTTTCTCAGCGACGTCCGGCCCGCGCTGCACGCCGCCGTGCAGCACGCGTTCGTCGAGCAAGCGTGGGCCCGAGTCGCGCCCGCCGCTCTCCTCCGCGAGACGCGCGACCGCGCCCCCGGCTCCGCCCCGCACGACAGCGCGCAGGCCATGTCCATCAGCGGCCACGGGGGCCTCGAGAGCCTCGCCGGGGGCGCTGCTGAGGCCTCGAGCGAGCTGGCTGGCACGCTGCTGCAGCCAGCGCCGCGACCGAGCTCCCCCGCGGCACGGCCGTCTCGCAAGCGCCGCAGGCGCCCGCTCGAGGTGTCGCAGGCGTGGCAGCCTGGCGAACAGAACGCGGGCGCCGACGCGCTGCGCGACCCGGGCGCAGCTGCGTTCGAACTCCGCAGGCTGCGCAACCCTTCCTCGCAAGCGATCGACGCGGGCCGGCCGCACCCGACGACCGTCGCGACCGTAGCGGGCTGGCGACAGGTGCACGCGTCGAGCGGCGCCGGCACCCACAAAGCACGCAATCCCGCCTCAGCGCCTGCTGCCCCTGCTGCGCGTTCCGACGTCCTCGCTGGGCTCCTCACGGGCTGGCACGACGTCGGACGCGGCGTCCGGGATCCACCGATTCGCGACGCAGCGTCCCTGGCGCGCGCTGCAGCTGCGCCGGCCGCGGCGTCGCGCCCCGTGGAGCGGGCGCAGCTTGCGCAGCTGGAGGCGCTCGGGCAGCTGGACGACAAGTTCATCGTCGCTGCGGGCGGGGGCGTGGTGTGTGTGGTGGACCAGCACGCAGCCGACGAGCGGGTCCGACTCGAGGAGCTGCAGGACGCCGTGCTGGGGCCCGGGGGCGTGCCGAAAGACCGGCAGGTGTTCCGGCCGCCGGTGCCGTCGATCATCGAGGTGACGCAGCAGGCAAGAGCGCGACGGAGACGGCGCCAGCGCAGCACCCGCGCCGTCAGCGCGCTCTCTCTCGCTCAGCTGCCCGCTGTGCCTTTCTTGCAGGAGTGGCACCTTCTCCAGGAGCACGACGACGCCGTGCGGCGCTGGGGCTGGGACTGGTCGGCGCAGCAAAGCAGCGCCGAAGCAGGCCACCGGACGGTCAGCCTCTCGGGGCTTCCGCGCGTCGCGGGGCAGGTCCTCGGCGGCACGCACCTGCTCCTGTACCTGCACGAGCTCGCTGCGTCGAGTGCGCGCGCTGTGCCGCCCGGCGTGAAGCAGGCGCTCGACAGCCGCGCGTGCCGCACTGCCATCATGTTCGGCGACCGCCTGAGCCGCGCAGAGTGCGCAGCGGTGCTCGGGGGGCTCAAGACGTGCCGGCAGTGGACGATCTGCGCGCACGGAAGGTGCGTCATGGGTTTGACTGATCGCATGTGTCATAGCGCTCTCGACAACGCTGTCTGACGGCGGTCTCTGCGAGGCCGCTGCGCGTGCAGGCCGACGATCACGACGGTCGTCGGGTCGGTCGCCGAGCTGCGCGACGCGGGGCGTGCGGCGACGGAGGCGGCGGCGGCGACGGCGGCGGGGCGCGGCGACGGGCAGGCGCGGGAGGGCGCGGGGCCGCCGCCGCTGGAATTCAGCGACGTGCTGCCGGCACGGCGGATGCTGGAGATGCTGGAGACATCGAAGCGTGCCGCGCAGCGGCCGCCATGAGGTGGGGGGGGATGTTTCGGAACGACTGTCAGGTTCGGGTGCTTCCTGACCGTCGTCGGGGTGGTGTGGATGCAGGCGGACGGGAACGGACGACGAGGCGGGAAGCCCAGTCAGTGGTATGTATGAAATGATATGTAGATGTATATATACTAATGCTCGAGTGAGTGGAACATGTAATATCGTGACTTCGCAGCAAGGCGCGCAGCTGGCGTGTCTGGGGTCGACTGCCGTTAGGTGATGCACCGGCTGGGGCACAGCCCGAGGATGCTAGCTGGGGGTCGGATTCGTCTTTACTCCCCCCTTGGTTGACTGCTAGACCTGAGTCGAGGTGCTGGGCGTACAATGCGAGCGCGGCGTGTACCGCGCTGCACACAGGCTGGCGTGCACTGATCGGCGCGCGCGACAATCTGGTAGAAGAAGCCGGCTCGCGACCGTGCGCGCCGAGTCGAGGAATAGGCTCTCAGAAATGGTCGTTGCGGCGATGGATAGCCACCTTCCGGTGGTGGACCTCGCGCCGCTCGTCGACTGCGAAGACTTCACGTCGGAGGCGGTCCAAGACACGTGCAAACAGATCGCCAGCTGCATCGTACGGACAGGGTGTCTCCTGGTAAGCACCTCCGTCGTTGAGCCTCGCCGCAGCGCACAATGCGACCATTCGTGCACGAAACACAGCTCGACCGCACGGCCTTGCTCCACTGTGCCGTTTTCGACGACCACGCGATCGAGAACGGCCCTCAGGATGACGCAGTCGCCGGCCCCCGCCGCAGCATGCCCAAAGCAGCTGCCTCCGCGCTGCCCCGTCCGCAGGTCCGCGACCCGCGCGTCGGGCAGGGAGACAGCGACGTCTTCCTCGATACCATGGAGCGGTACTTCGCGCAGCCCCCCGAAGTCAAGCAGGCCGACGCGCGCCCCGACCTTGCGTACCAGGCACGCAGCCCAGCCGACGCGAAATCCGCGGCCCCCCCGCGACGCCACGCCTTGGCCCGCGCCCGCCCGCCACAGCACGCACGGCGGCCGGCATCCCCACAGCGCCGGCGCGAACGACGCCGCCATCCTGCCCCCCGTCGGCCCCGCTGAAGGAGCTCATCGCGTCACGCCTGCACATTCGCACCGCTGCGCGCGGGCCTGCAGGTCGGCGTCACTCCGGAGGGCGTCGAGATTCCGCGCGCCGCCGTGGACCCCGCCTGCCTCGCGGGCGCCGCGTCCCTGCCGCAGGAGCACCGCCCGTCGCCGTGCAACGGCCCGGACCCGAAATGGCGGTTTCTGTGGGGCGTCGGGCCGCGCCCTGACACGACGGCCTACCCGCACCTGAACAGCAAGGAACAGGTCGTGCCCGCGGCCTTCCCCGAGTGGCGCGCGGTCATGGATGCGTGGGGGACGAAAATGCTCGCCGCTGTACACACCGCGGCGCGCGGGCTCGCGGTCGGGCTGGGCCTCGCGCCGACGGCGCTGACGGACTTCATGGAGCGCGGGCCGCACCTCCTCGCGCCGACGGGCTGCGACCTGTCCCGCCACAACGCCCCAGGAACAGTCTTTGCCGGGTTCCATTATGATATGAATCTCCTAACTATCCACGGCCGGTCCAGATACCCGGGCCTGCACGCGTGGCTGCGCGACGGCCGGCGCGTCCCCGTCGTCGTGCCCCCCGGCTGCCTCCTCCTCCAGGCGGGCCGCCAGCTCGAGTGGCTCACCGCGGGAGCTGCGGCGGCAGGTTTCCACGAAGTGGTGCTGACCGAGGCCACGCAGGAGGCGATGCGGCGCGCGGAGGCCGAGGGGCGGCCGCTGTGGCGCGTGTCGTCGACGGTGTTCGCGCACGTCGCGTCGGACAGGGCGCTGGAGCCGCTGATGTCGGCGGAAGGGGCCGCGGCTGCACGGGCGGCGCACGGCGTGCCGGCGGGGGCGCGGGGCGTCGGCGAGCGCGAGGAGTACCCGCGGACGCTCGCGGGGGAGTACGTCGACAGCGAGCTGGCGGTGATTGCGCTGAGCAGGCAGCGAGCGAAGGAGAAGGAGAAACCTGAGGCGGGCGATGCATGAGTCAGGGTGTGTCACACGTGGCGTGCCGGGAGCTCGCCGGCGCGTCCGCGAAGAGGAAGGGTCGTGTGTGAACCGACGTGGGGACTCTGAGCGCGAAGTTGCGCACGCGTCCAGCAACTACGTTGGCGGCTCGCGTTGCTTGATGAACGTCTCTCCGAGCGTCCCTGGGCGTGGTGTTTCGGTCCTCGAGTACCCTCGCGGTGGGGATGCTGTGGGCCGGCGAACGCTGCAAGTAGAAAGCCTCGCTCGGTCAGGGGCGCTCCTTGGCGGCGGAGGCAGCAGATGTGTGCTGTGGTTCGGCGTCGGCCGAGAATTTGCCGACGCCGGTCATACGGGCAGCCCAGTACGCGAAGAGGCCGACGGCGATGGCGACCGCGGACCCCGTTTGCGCGTGCGGGAACCGTCGATTCGCGTATGCCCACAGCTCGCCAATGCTCGGCAGCTGCCCCGGCTTCGAATCGTCGCCGACCTGACTGCACAAGCGACGCGGACAGCTCTGACATATCGTGCGGATTCGTCGGTGACCGAACGAGTCGGTCTCAGCGCAGGAAAACGCCGCATTCTGCTTGCTCCGTAACGTCTGGTTTTCGCAAGCTCACGCAGCTTTGGGGATGTCCCCTGCCGTGCCGCACCTCCCATCCTGCTTGTCTCCATACAATCTTCGCGCCGAGCCTCGAACCAGCGTCGTCCGCGCCCCTGGCGTGCCCGCGCGGGGGGCAAGGGACTGTGCTGTTGGCAGCCTCGGCAGCGCGTGGCCTTCAAGGGACGCACCGAGGCACACCTGATGCCCGCTGTGAACGCCCCGTGATATCCACGACGCGCAGTGCTCGGCGCTCCGTGCCACGCAGCGCACAAAGCGCGAGGCTTCCGTCATCGCACCTCCGCTGGTGGTTGCACCGGCACCGAGCTGTTCGACGACGGCGCGACGCCCGCAAACACCGACTGTGCGGCGCGGCACACCTCGCAAGCCTTCTGCACCGCGCGCCGAGGCCGCCTCGGTGAGCCCAACACCCCCCCAGACCCCCCCAAAGTATAACGCAACAACACGTGTCAGGGCCCCGTTTCGGGCGCCGCCCGCGCGCACGCGGCGGCCCGCGTTTTGCGCTAGCGGCAGGAGGCGGCGGTGATGCAGGCACCCCGACCCGTCCACCAACAGCCAGCAGGAGGTGCCTCCTGGTAGGCAACGGTGACTCTCGACGTGGCGCGCGCGCACGTCGCACATGGAAGCACCGACACGCTGCCGATGGTGTTGAGGACGGCGTGACGGCGCTCGCGGGGAATTCCAGCGACGGGGGGCAGGGACAAGAGGCATGGCGCGGGCGTCAACGGTCATGTCAGTCTGGGTTCACACGCCATCGCGGTCGCACCGGCCTCGCGAGTCCCGCCGGTGTTGGTTTTCACGGCAAGTGGTACCCGGTGATGCTGCCACGCCCGACCATCTCCCCCACCTTGTACAGACCGTACGTTTCGAGCGCGAACAGCCCGACAACGCCCGCCTGCGACGCGCGTGGTGCGCAGACACCCAGTCTGAGCGTAGTCCCGAGCCCGCTGGGGCCGCCGTGCGCGCGCGTGACGAGAAAGGGCTGGCGTGTGCTGTGCTGTGCCGAGGCCTTGCGGCGCGCCGTGGACGAGCCCAGCGCGAACGCAAAGGGCCTGGCGACGATGCGAGGCAGTCAAGGCACGGTACAGGCGCAGTCCGCACCTCGGCCATGGAGTGCTCGGTGCGGTTCGCCCACATTTTCTTCAGGACGTCCACCTCCTTGTTGATCTCACCGCTCATCCCGTCGAACCTGCGACGCTCAGCAACGCATGCGCTTCAGTGCGAGAGGCGGGCGTGGTGCGCAGCGCGGCCGCAGAGGGCCGCGGACGCGCGCGAGCGTGGGGGGACAGAGGAGCACCCTTGTCGCGCACGGCGGGGTGCGCCGGGGCTCGCGGGCGCCGTTGGGCGGCAAAACCGCATGGCGCGGTCGCAGGTGTCCTGAGCCGGCAGTTGAAAGCGCACGAGCGGCCAAGCAGCGCAAGAACGCCGGCGCGGGGAAGGGCAACGCAGGCTTTGGCCCGCGAACATCAGTCCAAGGGCCTCCTCAGGCACCAGAATGCGGGCTGCAGCTTCCATGCGATGTGGGGGACTCGGCGGCGGCACACAGCGGCGCGAGAAGGCCCCGGGACGCGAGAGGGCGGCCACGGTGGAACAGCACCTGGCCAAGTTGCTGTAGAAGAAGGTCTTGTTGACCTTGGACAGCTCCGCCGCATCCCGCACGATGTACTGCTGGTTGCTGGCCAGGGCCGACTTGTACGTGGACACCACCCGCGAGGTCACGGGCTCTGCGGCCTTGGCGACCTGCCCTGCCAACGCCGTGGCCTTCTGGAGGAGCCCCGACATCGCGACTCGGTCACCTGAACGAATGAGTCGTGGGGAAGGAAGTCGAACTAGTCCCCGCGATGCGAACCTCACGACCCCGGCCGCCCGCGTCGCGGAGCGAGCCGGACAACCCCCGAAGAACACGACCAGTCCGACGGAGTCGCCACCTGCACCGAGCGCCCCCCCCACGCCGCGACCCCGCCCGTGGCCGCGCTATCCCTGGCCCGTGCGCGGTCGCCGCCTCGCCGCGCGCAGCACGCCCCCCGCACTATGTCTCATGTTGAGCATCCGCGCAACACCACATCTACCGCCTTGCAACGCCCCCCCCACAGCCTGTCACCTCGCACGCGCGCCCCGCACGCCACGCTCCAGCCCCGCCCTCGTCGCTCAGCGTCACACCCCCCCCTGACAGCAGTTCTACTACTTTTCCCCCTCGACAGCCTTCTCCGCCGCATCCTTGTCCAGCACGCCCTTCCGCGCGCGCGCCTTCATCACGTTGCGCGTCACCACGTCCTCCAGCCGCTGCGCCTGCTCCTCCGGCGTCCCGGACGCCGCGATCTCGTACAGCCGCAGAACGCTGACCTCGCCAGACGACCCACCGCACACGACGATCGGGTGCGCGGGCGAGAACTGCACCGACGTGAGCGAGGACCCCAGGCCCGTCTGGAACCGCTCGATCGGCTTGAGCGTCGACACGGCGAGGTCCCAGAGCTCGAGACTCCCCCCCGCCGTGGCCGCGGCAAAGATCGTCGAGTTGCTGGGGCACCACGCGACGTCGTTGATCTGCACCGTGCCGGACGAGAACGTCAGGAGCGCCTCGGGCTTGCCCTCGCGCCACAGCCGGATCGTCCAGTCCGCCGACGCGGACAAAAACACCCCCTGGAGGAAGGGGGAGTATTGCACGCGGTACACGGGACCCATGTGGCCCCAGAACGACTCCAGGTACTGCTCCGAGTAGCTCGTCGAGCACCGGTGGATCGAACCCTCCTCGGTCGCCACCAGGTATATCGAGGGGTCGCGCGTGGAGAAGTCGAGCGACATCCCCGACGCCCGCCTGGAAATGAACGCCTCCTGGCCCGCCGTGGCGCGCTTCGACGCCTGCTGCAGCGGGCTCGCGACCTTCTTGAGCCGCATGAGGTCCGTGTGCTCGAGGCCCTTGGCCGTGGACCACCGCGTCACGCGGCCGTCGGTGGAAATCGACACGAGCGCCTCGCCGCGGTCCCCGAAGTCCACCCACACGAGCCGCCACACGGGCTCCGTGTGCTGCCCCGACTGGTGGTTCGCGATCATCACCGGCGACGTCCCGCGGTTGGCCACGTCGTAAATGGCGACGGCGCCGTTGTACAGCCCCACGGCGAGGATGTTGGGGTACCGCCGGGAGAAGTCGAGCGCCGTGACGCCCGTCGCAGTGCGGATGATGTGCCGCGGCCAGTTGTGCGAGCTCGGGTACCACAGCGCCACCAGCCCGCCGTGCTCGTCCTTGCCGCCATCGTCCACGCGGTCCGCCGTCTGGTCCGTCGTCGCGCTCGGGTTCGCGACGATCTGCTCCGCGCCGGAGTCGAACTGGTGCTGGCCGTGCCCCGCGGCGAGGATCCCGGCCTCGGCGCGGTTGAACGCCAGCGACGTGACGTTGAGGCCCTCCGTCGCCGCGCACGCGTTCGTCCACAGGAGCTTCATCTGACCCATGCCCGCGCGCCCGCCCACCATGCTGAACATGTCCGATTCCATCGACGTCTGCCTGCTCAGCGGCTTGCCCTCCCCGGCCCCCTTGCCACGCTTGCTCGAGCCCTGGACCTGCACAACACGCGCTAGGGCGCGGACGCACGTTGGACGCACGGCGCACGGCGACGCAGAAGGCGAGCGAGGGCAGGCGGAGCGCGCTGGCAGCCGCGCGGACGCGGGCCAGCGCGCAGAACAGCGCAGCAGCGCGGGAAGCACTACAGCGCTCGCTGGCGGTCGCGTTCGGTCGTGCGCGGCTCACGTCGTGCAGACTGCTCTCCATTCGGCTCGGCGGCCCGAGCTCGCTGGGCTGCGGGAGCAGCTCCGACTTCTCGGCGTGCATCGACGGCGCGGTCCCCAGCTCGGCGTTCGACGCGTCGTCTCCCGGCCGCACAGACGCGTCCGGCGTCGGCCCGTCGTCCAGCCGCGGCAGCGCCGCCGGCGCGCGCACGTCGTGGTACGACAGGATCTCCGAGTGGCATTTGTTCTGCGCCACCGCGCACTCCACCATGCGCACCGCCTCGGCGATCCCCGGAAGCTCTGAAAGTATGATAGAGTCGTCCGGCATGAAGGACACGGCGACGGTGGTGCGCGACTCCTGCTGCGGCACCTTGGGCTTGCCCTTGCCCTTGCCCATCGCCATCATGCTCCCGAACATGCTCCCGTGCGCGCCCATGCTCATACTCATGCTCATCGTGGAGCCCCCCCCGCGGCTGGCGCGGCCGTCCGTGCTCATGCCCGACCCGCCGCCGGACAGCCCGAGCGCGCTCGTGTCCTGCACGTTCTCGAACGTGTTCACCACGAGCTTCATCCTCGTGTTCGGCGCCTCGAGCGTCTCGGTGCGCGTCGCCACCCGCCCCAGCTCCCGCTCAATGTCCTGCCCCTGCGCCTGCGACCCCGCGTTCGAGAACTGCACGGGGTCGCACTGCGCCAGCCGCGACTTCTCCAGCCCGTTGATCGTCTGCGTCTCGTTGTTGATGTACTTGTCGCTCCCAACTTTGCCCTCCAACAGCTTCTGGTACGCCTCGTTGCGCGCGCGGACCTCGCGGCCCTCCGCCGACTCGACCGACACGACGCGCGGGATCTGCTCGAACATGTCGATCGTCGGCGTCTCGGACAGCTGGATGCCGACGAGCGCATCCAGGTCAGAATCTTGCAGGTAGAGTTCGTGGATGGCTGACACGACGGCCGTGGGCTTGGGCTTCGCCGCGGCGCCGCGGCGGGAGGCGCCGGCGGCGAGGGCGCCGGAGGGCGCGCGGTCGGGCGTCGGGCGGACGTCGTCGGCCTGGTCGCCGAGGAGGAGCGCTGCGGACGGGAGGCTGGACCTCGCGCCTCCCGCGCCGATTTCCGTGAACGAGCCGCGCTGGTCCTCCGCGGCCGGGATGCTTGGCTGGTGGCCGCTCGCGGTCTCCTGCGCGCGGGGGAAACGCGGGCGGGCGCGCGTCGGGACGCGACGGAGAGGTGCCGGCGAACAGTGAGACGCGGAAACGTCGCGGTGCGGGGCGGCCGGCGCGCGCGGGCGGTTTCAGGTGATGGACGCGAAGTACGCGGGGGCGGAGAGCGCGTGTGCGGCGATTCCAGGGCGACGTACGTCCGGTGCGGCGCTGAGAAGGGGCTTGGGCGTAGCATCCACACCGGTCACCGGGTCGATGACGATGATCTTGCCGTCCTCCCCGGTCTGCTGTCCCTTCTTCGTGCCGGTTATCCGCGATACGCGGCTCGAGAGCCGGCTATACCGCGCTGCAAGAGGCGTGGCGCACGGCAGGAGGAGCTGCGGTGAGGCAGCCGGGCATGGCACGGCGCCGCGCTGCCCGGCGACGCTCGCGGGGGGCGGGCGCGGTCGCTCGTGCGGCGGGCGGTCTCGGGGAGCGCCGCGTCGTGCGCCCCGGCGGGGACCGGCCGCGTGGAGGGCGTGGTTCGAGGCGCGCCGGGGGGCGCAGCGCAGTGGAGCGGGGTGGCGAACGGGCTAACTAGACGGTTGCTGCGCACGCGGCGCGCACCTCCAGGTCCGCTTGTAGACACGGAAGCCCGCACGCCGCTGCCGGACTTGCGGCCCGACTGGCGCGCGATGCTTTTGCTCGATCCTTTGTCCTGGGCCATGTTGGCTCGCCCCCGCACGCCAGGCTCGACGACAGCCGGTGCTCCTGCCCCTCCCTAGAGACCTCGCTCACTTATATCGATGGCAATGGTCGTTGGGCGCGGTGTTGCGGGGAAACCGGCCGGGGCGAGCCCAGGACACGAATTCGCTTTCAATGGCGCGGACGTCCTGGAAGCAGCCCGCCGTGATGTTCCTGCGAGTGCGCGGGCGCCCTCGCGTCTGCACGGGCGACGTCGCGTGGCGCAGCGGGGCCATATCGCGCGACCAAGGCCGGGGGAGTGTCTTTCGCCTTCACGTCAGGCTTTGGACGCCTCGCTCGCCGCGCCCGAGGGCTCGCGTGCGCGGCGCGCTGCCGCAGTGGCCGGCTTAAATCGCGAAGCACCTCCGAGCGCAACGCGAAGCGCGGACACTCAGAGCTGCGGCGAGGTTCCGGGTCGAGAGGAGGTCGAGCTGGAACGGGAAGCCCCCGGCGAGTCTGGGCTGGAGCGGCGCGGGGATGGCGTACAACTGGACAAGGTACAACGAATGGCGCTGGAACCACCCGTTGATTAAGGACTACAGCTTCTTCAGGAACACGGTGCGTCGGCCTCCCACCACGACCGCACCGAAAGCGACCTGGCGCCGCGGTCCCTCAGTGCATCACTACCTTTGCGACCAGGCCATGCCACGGCGCACCACCTCCGCCCCACTCCGCCCCGCACGCGGCCGGAAAGCGCGCCAGAACAGCTCTACGCTGCATCCCGGGCCCCCTCTCGCCGCCACGGCGCACGACCACCTCTCTCGGGCACCCAGCGCACCGCTCACATCAACACACACCTCACGGACGTCGATTTTGGCCGCCCGCAGCTCTTCCGCGGATTCGGCCGCGCTTCCCTCCTGGCGGGCATCTACATCGTCGCCGACGTGGCCTACAACGCGAGCCTATCGCCCGAGGAGAAGAAGGAGCGCGCCCACTGGCACACGCGATGGTAGCCGCGCCCGCACGCGGCCCCCGCGCTCGCTGAGCCGGTCCCAGGAGCCCTGGCACTCTTCGCGGCCCTCCGCCGGCCCCTCGCGGGCGCGCGCCTCTGTGACTCTGCACCCGTGCCCCGCGACACAGATCGCGCGCGTTCCCGTCAGTCCCGTCCCACCGGCGCAGCGCCTCTGTGCGCGCAAGCCAGCTCGCCACCGCCCCTCTCCGCCCAGCGCCTGCGGGGCCGTCGCGACGCCCGGCGCGCGCGCCACGTCCGCATGGGCCGCCCGAGCCGCACCGGGGCCCCGCGTGCAAGAAGCGCCCACCTCCTGCACTGGACGGAGACTCCCCCCCCCCTACTGAGAAACACAGAGTCGCTGTTGTCGGGTGCGACACCGCGCGGGACGTCCCGGACGCGATCCCGGACCAGGGCGCCTCATCCGGCGCAGCTTTCGGAAGCTCCAGGGGCAGGAACGCGCCCGCAGCGCGGACGTGGCGTAGCGTTGCACGGCGCATCGTAGCGCGGGGGCGCCCGCGGTGACAAGGGGGCTCGCGAGCGCACGCACGTCGCCATGCAGCTGCCTCACATCCCGCAGCCCCGCGCGGGCCGCGGCTCGGCGGCCGGCCCTGTAGTCGCGGCGGTGCGACCCGCCGACGGTCGTGCGCTGGGGGGGGTTTTAGTCGATGTTCCCGGAGCCCGCGAGGATCTTCTCGATCTTCGAGTAGTCCCACTCCTTGTTGCACAGCGGGCACACGCTGCGCGTCTTCAGCCACCTCTGGATGCAGTCCAGGTGGAACACGTGGCCGCACGAGCCCCAGGCGATCGACAGGCCTGCGGGGCGGGCCGGGCGCGACGCGTGGAGTGAGGCGCGGCGTAGAGGCGTGGATCTGGCGCACGGAGGGCGGCTTTCCGGCGCGCGGGGGGCGTACCGGGCGCCTCGGAGTCGCCCGTTGGCGCGGCCTGGTACTCGATGGAGGGCTCGTAGAGGTTGTTGCGGCAGATGGCGCAGGTGTCGGTGCAGATGGCCCAGGACCACATCGCGACGGCGTTCCACTTCTTGATCTCGAAGCGCTTCTTCTTCCCGGCCTTGTGCTTTGCCTGTGAGCACCTCAGAGGCCCCCCGGGGTCTCCGCGGGGCACGGGGCTGCTGTGCGGCGCGCCACGTGAGGAAGTGGCGCCCGTGGGATGCTGGTGCGCGCAGGAGGGGGCGCGTGCGGCGGCTGTGGGGCGGTGGGGCGAGGCACAGAGGGTCGTGCATTGAGTGCGCGGGCGGGCGGGGGAGGCGACGAGGCGCACCTGGGCGTCATTCTGCTCCCCCTCGACCTCCATCTTCTCGTCCTCGGGCATTCTGCGAGGGACGTCCGCCCACAGGCGCGCCTGCAGGGCAGCACGAGATGACACGGGCACCGAACCGTCGCTCTCGCGATTCACGGCGGCCACAGAGCAGATCATGCAGCGCGCACGACTTTGCGTATTACGAGAAGCAAACTCCGCCGCCCGAGCGGTGCATGTTGTCCACGCAGGGGGCGAAAACCGCACCTCTGTCCGTTTCCGCGTCTCAGCCCCGCCACGCCTCTCTCCCTCGCCAAAGCCACCGGCCACGCGTTCAAGGAGTGCCAGCACCCGTCTCGCGACTGTCGTGCGCCCGCGAGCGTCGCCCCGTCGAGCCCGGGAGCCCCTCGGGGCCTCCCCCCTTCCCTGTGCTCAAGGTAGCACACCCTTCCCCCCCCCCGCAGCCCAGTGAATGCCCCGCCCGCCCGCCCCGCCGCGCATTCCCTCCGCGTTGACGACGGTCGCGAAGGACCCTCTTCGGTGTCGCCGTGAGACCTCGGGGGCGCGTACGAGACGTCCGTGAGCAGCGTAGACAGGGCGGGTGCGCTGGTCTCGCGGGTATAGGGGCCGGGGATGACGGAGAAGGCGCCAGACGCGAGCTGGGCGGAGGCCGTGGAGAAGGAGAAGCCCGTTGCGGCCGAAGCGGCGCCAGCGGGGGCGCCGGATGCAGCGGCCAAGGCGCCCCCTGCCGCGGGAGTCGACGACGACGGCCCGCCGCCGGGGTTCGGGTCGCCGAAGGCTTCCGGCACGGACACGAAGCTCGCGGGCGGGATCGACAAGCTGAAAGTCGAGGAGGGCGCGGAGGCGGAGTCGAAGAAGGTGGGTGCTGCACGGAAAAACCGCCACGCGGCCCCGCGTCGCCTGGGCGCGCAGGACGGGCCGATGCCTGGCCGGCGCACCTCCCCTTCGCTGACCGCAACACAGCCAGGCGCACAACGCGCCGCGCGGGTGCCCCGCGAGGCAGCACTCGCAGTGCAACACGCCCACACTGCCACCGCACACACACGGCCGGGACCGCGCGCGAGACGGCGGCTGCGCGGCCCCGCGCACGCACACGCCGCAGGCCTCGCCGCGAGACCCCGCGTCGCGCGTCGCGCACCCGCTGTGCGCGCTCCTGGCTCATACTCTCCTTCACCCCCCCCCGCCGCCGCGCAGGTCGAGGTGTCCGAGGGCACGACGGAGGGCCAGGCCCACCTGTATCGCTCGGAGCTCCGCTGGGAGGACCTCAACCTCTCGGAGGACCTCCTGAAGGGCCTGTATAAGGAAATGGGTTTTGAGCGGCCGTCAAAGATCCAGGCGCAAGCCCTCCCGCTGCTCCTGCACCCGCCGTACAAGAACCTCATCGCGCAGGCGCACAACGGGTCCGGGAAGACGACGTGCTTCGTCGTCACGATGCTCGCGCGCGTGGACCCCGCACTGGCGAAGCCGCAGGCGCTGTGCGCGTGCCCCACGCGGGAGCTGGTCGTGCAGAACCTCGAGATCGTCCGGCTGATCGGGAAGCACATGGGCGGCGTGCGGGCGATCTCCACGGCCGAGGCGGACGGCATGGAGCGGTTCAAGACGCGCCGCCCGCCGCCGATCGACGAGCAAATCGTCGTGGGCACGCTCGGGCGGCTGCGCACGTGGTCCTCGCAGCTGCGGTGCCTCTCGTTCGAGGACATCCGCGTGCTGGTCTTCGACGAGGCGGACCAGATGCTTGGGCTCGAGGGACAGGGCATGGACTCGGCGCGCATGCTGAGCGACATTCGCCGCAAGAGCAAGGACTTCCAGATGCTGCTGTTCAGCGCGACGTTCACGGACACGGTCATGCAGGTCGCGGAGCGCGAGATCCGCGGCTCCGGGCGGCCCTATGAGACGATTGTGGTGAAGAAGGAGGAATTGAGTCTCGACGTAATCAAACAATTCAAGGTTCGGTGCCCGGCGGACCCCGCGGCGGGCGCCGGCCCCGAGGACGCGAAGATCAAGTTCCTCAAGGACATCTTCCCGCTCGCGGAAAACCTGTGCCAGACGGTGGTGTTCGTGCGCGAGAAGGTCATCGCAGACAGGCAAGTAGTTCGTGCGCGCGCCGCCGCGCGCACGCGCCCCAAAACTCCCCCGGCCTGCGGTGGATTGCCCGAATCGGTCGCGCGAGCGACGTTCCGGGCAGCCTTGTGCGCTCCGCGCGCGCTGGACCCTCGCGGCTGCGCGCTGACGTTGCGGCGGTGCGGCGGCGCGGTGCAGGCTCGCGGCGCAGCTCAAGGCGGACGGGTACAGCGTGTCGAACCTGCACGGCGGGTTCGAGAAGAGCCAGCGCGACCAGATCGTCAAGTCGTTCAAGGACGGCCAAACCAAGATCCTCATCACCACGGACGTGCTTGCGCGCGGGTTCGACGTGTCGGCGATCTCGCTGGTGATCAACTTCCACCTGCCCACGGAGGGCCGCAACCGCGTCCCGGCGCCGGAGACGTACCTGCACCGCATCGGGCGTTCGGGCCGGTTCGGCAAGAAGGGCGCGGCGTTCAATTTGCTGCTTGACGATGCGGAGGCCGCGGCGCTCGGGGTCATCGAGCGGCACTTCAACCACCCGATCAAGGAGGTGAAGTGCGACGACGAGGACTCGATCCAGGAGATCCTCAAGGAGGCGGGGCTGGCCTAGGAAAGGCGCGCCCTGTGAACAAGAGCAAGTGGCGGTCGCGTCAAGTGAGGGTCGCAGAGACCGATCGAGGGGCGGTGGAGAGAGGGGTAGGTGGTGCGTTGCGTCGAGCGAGGGCCGCGAAACTGCTGCAGCGAGCCTGTGAGAGGCGGCCCACTGTCCAGGGAGTGTGCGTGCGAACACTCGCTGCTGCGTTTGAGACGTGGCGTCCTTGCCGCGAGGGTACTTGAGGACCGCAGCAGTGCAGCAGACGACGCCCACCTATCACGTCGGGACAGGCAAGGTCAGAAGGCCAGTGCTGTCGTGTCGGCGTGTTGCATCCCACCCGCCTAGAGCTCCGCCGCTTTCGTTCCACCGGGCAATCCCGCTCGCCTGCCGCTCTCTCGGCGGCAGAGTGTGGGCCGACCTACAGGCATCCGCGCCGCGAGGGCGCGGGCTGCTCACTCCACCGCGCATGCGAGAGTCCCGAGGAAGGATCAAACGCTTCGCGTTACAACGGTATTCAGCCGCTGCTACTTGTAGTAATACTGCATCATACCAACTAAACAGCAATACCAAAACCAACACTAGCAGCCATAGCTCTCCTGCATTTCGGGCGCCAGAGCACTGGCGAGGGAGAGAGACCCCCCGTACCGCCAGGCCAGCTCCTCCGGGCGCCAGACGCACCCACGCCGCACCCAGCCGCGCCGCCCGCCCGCCCCCTGCGCGCCCGTTCCCTGCTCGAACACGTGCACACTCCTGTAAAAACACCCTGCGTGCGCCGCGCCGCGCGCCGTCACGGGTCCTGCGGCGCGGGCGTGGACGCGACGGACCGATGCCGCGGCGGCGCGCGGTCCCACTCGTCGTCGCTGTCGCTCGACTCCCCCCCGCCGCTCTCCGCCACCGTCGAGGAGTCCAGCCCCGTGCCCACCGACCGCACCGCCGCGTCCTCCTCCGCCGCCTGGTCCGACCGCGTGTAGCTCTCCCGCAGGCTGCTCGCGCCGACCCTCCGCCGCGCCGGCGCCCCGCGCGGCATCTCGTTCACCGACCCCTTGCGCTGCAACCCCCCCTGCTGCCCCAGGCGCTCGGCGTGCAGCTCGACGGCCCGCAGCGCCAGGTGCGACCCGTCCCGCCGGAAGCTCGAGTTCCGGAAGTTCGCCTGCCGCGGCGGCGCGTCCCGGAGCGTCACCACGATCACGCTCGTGTTGTCCGACGCGTGAAACACGTCCTCGGCCTTCCCGGTGAGGTACTGCGCGCACGCCTCCGCGTCGTACGTCTGCATGAGGCGGCCGCGCGCGAGCTCGATCGCCCGCTGCGAGCGCACGCCGAGGTCGTCGCTGGAGCTGTGGAAGAGCTCCCAGAGCCCGTCGCTTGCGAGGACGAGGAACTCGTCGCTGGCGGGGTCGAGGCGGTGGCGGACGACGTCCGGGGAGTTCGAGACGATGCCCTCGCGCTTCATGGCGTAGTGCCAGTCGCCCAGCGCGCGCGACGTCGCCAGGTGATTGCACACGTAGCCGTCGCGCACGTACCCGCCGGCGGCCTCGACGCGCGCGAGCTCGGCCTCGTTCTCGTGGGGGCGGTGGTCGGCGCTCAGCGGTATGGCGCGCTTCGCGCAGCACAGCACGGCGCGCGAGTCCCCGAGGTTCGCCACCCAGAGGTCAGGCCCCCAGACCAGGCAGGCGAGGGCTGTGGTGCCGGACCCCGTGCGAGCCGCCTCCTCCTCGCCGACCTCCAGGCACCGCGCCTCGTACTTCTCTCGGAGGCCCTCGTCCACGCGGACGAAGGCGTCGCGCTGCGGGGGAAACGGCGCGCGGAATGTCAGAGGGGATGTGCGGACGGGGTGCTGTGCGGCGCTGGGGCGGGGCCGGGGCCGGGGCGCGGCGGCCGGGCGGCGGAGGTGCTGCGGCGGTCTGTCGCGGGCGCGGCGGCGCGTGCGCGCCGGGGCCGCGGGGCGGCATGCGGCGTGGAGGGGCGGGTGACGCGGGATGTCGTTGACGGGGGGCGCACCAGAGCCTGCTCGATGTCCGCGGGGAAGTTTGGCGCGGAGACCAGGGCCTTCGCGAGCTCCTCTCCGCAGTACTGCGACGCTTCCTGGCCGCCGTGGCCGTCGAAGACCTGCGCGCGCGTGTGGTCCACGGCGGTGGGGGGGATGAGGCGCGCGGGCGCGGCGGGGGCTCGTCCGCGCGAGCTAGGGCGGCCAGGCGGAGGGGGTGTGCGTGGAGGGGGCGCGCGTGTGGTCGGGCGCGCCCGTGCGACCTGCAGCAGGCACGGGGGCTGCACACGGGAGCGACACGCACCGCGTAGAAGCCGCGCCACTCCGGCGCGTCCGGCGGCGCGGCGACGTCGCAGCTCGCGTCGAAAATGTCCGCGAAGGAGCACGTCACGTCCTCGTTTTGCGCCCTCCCGCCGACGATGGACGACGCTCCGTGTCGGATGCACTGCTGTGCGGGCGCCTCCGTGGTCTGCGGGGCAGCGCGACATCGAGCGGGACACGCTCGGCAGACAAACTCGCCGCTCCGATTCCGGGACGCCCGGGAAATCCCCTCGCCGCGCGCCAACGCTCGGGGAGACGTCGCAGGCACAGAGCGGCGGTTGCGGACGCACCTCGCTCCGCTCCGACGATTCCGACGTGTTGTCTACATCCCTCAGGCTCGAGGAGCTCTCCGCCGTCGGCACGCGGTTGCGCAGGGCGGGCGGGACGTAGCGCGAGCCCCCTGGTGCAGCGGGCCTGGGAGGCAGCCCGCAGGGCTCCTGTGCGTGGGGTAAATTTCCGTCTGTTGTCGATGTCAGCATCGCGGACTTGACTGGCGTGTGGACCTGCCCCGCGCCGCCGCAACGCCATGGGGCGGAGGGCGGCGCCGCGCTCCGAGCGGCTCGCCGAGGCGGTCAACTGCCCGAGTAGAACAAACCCAGGCCGGGCGCCGATCCGAACTGCGTTCGTTTTCCGGGCGCGCTGCATTCGTTTTGGGCCGTATGAGCCTGGAGACCCAGCAAGCAACCGCGACTGCCCCCCCAATGGCATTCCTTGCTCTTGCAGTGCACAGACCAGGCCTGCGGCGAACGCAGCGGGCCGCGAAACGCCGTCTCACGCGGCGCATTCTGCACACACGCCGATATACATGCGTTCTCCGTGGCTTCACAGCGCGCCTATGCCTTCCGCGTCACGATACGCGCCCTTTGCACATTGCCGCACAAGTCATCGACATTCGCTGCTCGTCCCAGGGCGCGCCCGCCCCCCGAGCCGCACCACGCGGACAGCCCGCGCCTCCGCCGCGCGCTCCGGCATCCGCGCAAGCGTTCACAGCTCACGCCCGACCCCCATGACTAGGCACTCTCTCTCACGTCCTCCTCCGTCTCCACCTCGCCCTCCCGCCCCGCCGCCCCCACGAACACACTGCGCACCGCCTGCGCGCCCCTCCGCGCGCGGTCCATCAGCTCCGACACCCCCCCGCCTTCCGGCGCAGCATCCCACCCCCTGGACGCCCCCCACTCCTCCTGGCCGTTCCCCGCCGCCCGCGGCCCCACGAGCGCGAGCAGCACGGGCAGCAGCACGAGCCCGTGCGCCGCGCCCGCGGCCACGAGCACGAGATACATCCGGAAGTAGAAAACCCGGAAGATCTGCGTCGGCGCTGTCGCCAGCACCGCCACGCCCACCAGCTTCGTCAGCGTGATGCCGCGGACGACCGACGCGCCGGTCTCGCCGAGCGCGGCCTGCACGCGCGCCGTCCGCGTGCCCCGCGCGTGCAGGAACGCCAGCAGCACGTGCGAATTGAACTCCACGCATATCCCAACTGCCATCGCCAGGTTGACCAGCGCCACGGCGTTGAGCGTGAGGCCCCAGGCCGCGCACGCGCCGGCCAGGCAGAGCACGGTCGACGAGATGCACGCGAGCGCGAGCGTCGCGCCCCACACCGACCCCGTCGTCACCGCGCACGTGACAAACACCGCCGCGATCGCCGACGTGAGCATCGTGAACGCCTGCCCGCGAACTCCGAGGTACTGCTCGAAGAAGACGTGCCAGAGGGAGTAGGGGTACACCTCGCGCCCGAGCCGCGCGGAGAACGCGTCGGACAGGCTCCAGGCTGACTCGAGAGCCGCGATGTAGTCTGACTGCTCGGAGAGGGGGGTGTGATACGTCCGGAAGCTGCTGGCTCGGATCGCGCCGGCGCCGAGGCCCACGATGCCGCCGCGGTCGCTGCGCTGCAGCGCGCCGGAATACACCCCCTGGCCCCCCTTCGCGCACCGAGCCGACGGACGCGCTTGCAGGAACCACGGCAACGATTGCTGCACCTGCCCGAGCGTCGGGCGGTCGCCGACGAGCAGGTCCGGCCCCGCGGCGCCCGTGGATCGGAAGCACGTGTGGCAGGACGCGCACTCCGGCCCGTCGAGGTCCGGCGCGCCTAGGAGGAGCTCCAGGGAGCGACGCGCAGCGCCGGGGCTGCCGCAGGGGGGCTGATCGTCCGGCGGGCAGTAGCGGCCCATGTCGTCGTGGCGGCAGCACTCTGGGAGGCTGGGGGAGATCCAGGAGAGGTAGTCGTCGATCCAGGACGCGGCGGGGGTCGCGATATATGATTTCCATGGTTCCCGCGAGGCCGCCGCGACCTGGTTGAGCACCGAGTCGGCGTCGCAGCCGGCCGTCGAGCACAGCGCGTTGATGTCCGTTGCGTTGCGGTGCACGTCGAGGTCCGTCACGACGAAGAACAGCGGCGCGCCAACCCTCAGAACTGACGCAATGTCGCCAAAGTAGCCCTGGAGATATGAGTCGGACGGCAGCGCGAGGCGCTGGTCCAGCCCGATGGGCGCGCGCTGCACCGACACGATGGACAGCGCGACCGCGCACGCGAAGCCCGCCAGCACCGCCGCTTGCGGCCCACGGCGGCACAGCAGCGGCGCGTGTATGTCGCGCATGTAGCGCGACACGGGCCCGCCGCGCCGCGCGACGGCGGCGAAAGAGTGCTCCGAGGAGTCGGACGGAGCCGCGTCCGCGTGCGGGGCCTCCGAGTGGCTGTCCGTCGGGCGCGGCTCCACCGCCTGACTCGGGGGCAGCAGGGGGGTCTCTGCGTCCGGGGGGGCGAGCTCGGCGCCGCCGGCGTTGCCGTCCGGAGCGCTGACGTGCGAGGAGAGGCGGTGCAGGCCGTCTGCGCGCGACGGATCGCACATGTAGCACTCCGAGAGCCCGGAATCGGTGCGCGTGCCGTCGATGGCCAGCAGGGCGACGAACGCGGTGACCTGCAGCGCGAAGTTCGTCGCGATCGTCGTCGCCGCGACGATCGAGAAGTACCGCACCGCGGGGGTCGCGGACAGCGCGCCCGTCGCGAACGCCAGCAGCTCGGAGGCCGCCGCGAGCGCGATTGACGGCCCCTTGCTCGCCAGCGCCGCCGCCGCGCGCTGCCCGCCCGTGGCGCGCCCGCGCTGCTCGAGCCCGAACGCCTCGGCGCCGTCCGCGAGGATGAACATATTGTCCACGCCGACCGCGAGCGCCAGGAACGGAATAACTTCCAGCGAGATGAGCGTCGCCGGAATGCCCGCCGCGCTGCACAGCCCCACCGCGGACGACACCGACGCCGCCACGATCGCGACGCCGCCCACACCGAGCCCGACCTTCGTGTGCACCGTCAGCTGAAGCAGCCCGACACCCCCCCCGGGCCACTTGGACAGCGCGGCGGCAATGTAGAGCAGCATCGCGAAGTAAGACAGCGCGACGGTGCCGGCGTCTTCGCCGGTCTCGCGCGCGAGCTCGTCCTGCACGGACCGCTGCGTGCTGAAGCTGAACGTCAGCCCACGCGCCGCGAGGATGTCGCGCACTGCGGTGTCCTCCGTCAACAGATGCACGAACGCGGCCTCCCACGCCTCGGCCGCCCGCGCGAGCGCCGGGTCCGAGGACACCGGGTACGTGACGACGAAGGCGGTGGCGTTGTCGGCGAGGCCCGCGGACGGCGGAGCGCCGCGTGGGTAGCCCCCAAGCACCACGGCGGGATCCACCGGCGCGCCGTAGTCCGAGAAGCACTCCGACGACCAGTGATCGAGACAGTACCTCAGAGGCTTGCGCTCGCCGTACGGGCCTGCGGGAACAGAGAGTGACGTCTGGCATGGGAGGGGGGAGTGTGGAAGGACTGATGGGGGGTGTCTGTGACCGCGGGAAGCTGACGCGCACCTGTGCCGTTGACGAACGCGTCGCGCGACATCTGCCAGTACTGCAGAACGGTCTGGAACACGCAGGGCTCGTCGTCGAACGCCTTGGCACAGATGTCTGCCAGCCGCGCCACTGCCACTGCGTCGCTCCCGTCCTCCGCCTTGTACGGCGCCTCGATCCCGTCCACCAGGTCCTGCACGTCGAACATCGCCAAGATGGCCTCCTCGGACCCGATCGCCGCCGCCGTCCCGTTCCCCGCGCCCGGTTCGTCCACTTTGACGATCATTTGTTCAACGCGATAAAACGCGCCGAACGCGTCCTCGTACCGCGCCTTGTCCGTGGCGGCCCGCGAGCCCTTCGCTACCCACAGCCGCTCAGGGTCCGCCTCGACGCGCAGCTGCGACAGCCCGCACGACAGCACCAGCGCGACGCCCGCCGCCCACGCGATCGTCCTCCACGGCCTGCGCACGCACGCGCGCCCGATCTCGCCGAACAACACGCCGAGCTTGCCTTCGAACCCGCCCGCCGGCTTGTGCGCCGTGGCCGCGACGTCCCCGTCGTCCGGACCTGACGCGGTGCCGGGGGGGTCTGCTGCGGAACACCACCCCTCGCTCGAGTGATCCACGGGGGCGTCGGCGTGCCGCGCCCAGAGCACGATGATGCCCAGCGTCGCAGCGAGAGCCGCGAGCGTCCCGAGGTCGAGGCACGTCACCGACGGGACGCGGAGCGCGCCCGCAAAGAGGCGGCACGACGGACCCTCCGCGGGCTCCGGCGGCTCCGGCGGCGCGCACATCGGCGCCGCAGGGCAGTCCCCGCACGAGCACAGGAACGCTTTGTCCCCGCACGACGGCAGCGTCGAGTTCAGCGGCTGAAACCCATCGCACGCCGAGCTGTTGCTGCCGCCACCGACCGCCGGGGCGGGACCGGAGTCGCAGTCCGGGAAGTCGATCTGGATCGGGCTGCCGGCCGGCGGGCGCCGTTTGTCCTTCCTGAGCCCGAGGAACTCGAACCACTCCTGGTAGTTCTTCGCGTCGCCGCCAATGTATGTCATGGCCCTAGCGTTGGCCGTCGAGTACGTCACGTCCTTGCACGACGCGTAGAACGCCTCGCCGAACGCCTCCGCGACGGCGAAGTCGACCGCCAGCACCTGCTCGCCGTCCTTGTTCTTTTTCCCTACGTTGCCGTGTAGGTCTCTCGAGTGCGTCGCGTTCGGCGCCGCGGTCGGCGTCGGCGGCGGCGCGGGCGGCGTCGTCGGCTCGGCGACGGGCTTCGACGCGGTGACCCGCACGAACTCGGCCTGGCGCGGCGAGCACGTGAACGAGCAAAAGAAGTGGCGGAAGTTATGGCTGCAGGCCGGACAGCCCTCGATGAAGACGAGGGCGAGCTCGACCTGCATCGCGAGGCCCGAGACCTGCTCCGCGCTGCAGCAGAACGTGCCGTTCGCCGCCTGGCCCTCGGCCCACACCTGCACATCGCAGGAGAGGGTCAGGTGGCGGTTAGGTGCGAAAAGCAGGCCGGTGAGTGGACGCCTGCGGATGGCTCGGTGTGGAAAAGGATTTCGAGAGAATAGTCTCTTGAATTTGTCGCGGTTTACGAGATGGCTCGGCTCTCAGGGTGCGTACTTCGGGGCACAAGCTCTGGAGCTGTTGCTGTGCGTCTGCGTCCTCGATCGGCGTAGGTGCGGAGTGGCTGACGCACGGCATGTCGTCACCGAAGTCGTTCGCGCCGCAGTGCCCCTTCATGACGCACTTAGGGTCCTTCGCGTGGCGCACGAGCGCGCTGGGCAGTGCAGCGGCAGCATAAACGCCGCTGCTTGAGCACACGAGCAGGCACAGGGCAGCGAGAAGAGCTAGCTGCATTATGCGCATCTTAGTCTGTCAGCGCGATGCACGGCTCCTAGGTTGTGCGCCTCGAGGCGCGCCAGCTGCGCCTCGAGTAGGCCCAAGTGGCACACTTGGGGCAAGCGTCGCTTCGCAACTCGCCGTTGATGCGATTTTAATAAGCGAGCCGACGCAGCCTTAACTGCCCGTCATTCCGCCGCGGCGAGAAAGAGAGCCGGGCGCTGCGCCCACGCCAGCAGAGTGGCTCGCTGTATCAAGAATCTATGGGCTCGTGCTCGCGACAGAATACCTCTTCAACGAATGTATTTCACTACACGATATCTCGGCAGCTACCCGCGCATCACGGGCCCGAACGTCGGCCCAAATCTCCGCGGGAACAGAGCCACGCACGAGACACCTCCGGGTCCATAAGCACCGGCTCACGTCTGACGCGCCACACGCGCCGCCCACCTAGTCTGCGCCGAGCCACTCCAGGAACGCTCTATGCGCTGCCCCGGTGTCCCCTGCCCCGAGCCCCCCGGAAGCCTCAATCAAGACGGGTGTTAGTTCCTGTTCTCCTATGTCGTCGTCCTGCAACGTGACCCCTGCGCGCTTCCGGCGCTTCCGCTCCCTCCGCTTCTCCTTCCGATCCCGCCGCTTTCTGCCGCGTTTCACCTCCGCGTCGGCGCCCGGCTGCCCCCCCTCGTCTGAAGACAGGGATTGCGAAGGACAGGAACTCGAAGATCCTCGATTGCCCTTCAGCCGCTCGAGCGTCGCACGCAACGCGGCCACGCTCGGCTGCGCGCCACCGGCGCCCGCAGCTCCCGCGCCACCCGCCTCTCCGCTCCGCCGCTGCGAGTCGCTGTCCCCGTTCTCCTTCTCGCCCCCCGCTGCAGGTGCACGTGCGCCTCCCTCCGCGGCCCGGTCTTGCGCAGCGCCGTCCTGCCGCTCCGCAGCATCGGCGCGGTCGCGCGCAGCCATTGCCGCTGCGAGACACGCCGCAGCAGCGATGCGCATCGCCTCGAGCCTGCTCTGACTCTGTGTCTGTGGCCTTCTGGCGGCCACGTCCGTGTTCGCGGCCCGAAGTGCCGCTAGGACCTCGCGGGAGTTCGCTTCGTGCGCGGCCGCTCCGTCGGAGACTGTCTTCAGAAACGCGTGCGGCGAAAGAGCCGAAACCACGATTGTAAAATCGGCGGCGTCGTCCCACTGCGTCCGGCAGGCCACGCCGAGGCATCGCAGGTGCGCATCGGCCTCCCCGCCGCCCCCGCTCGTCCCCCGACGCCGTCGCTGGCGCGCCACCTCGTCCGCAAGGTCCCTCGACACGCTCGCGAGGCTCCGCACGTCCAGCAGGCCCAAACAGGATGCCAGCAGAGCACGCGCACTCTGCGCCGCGAGGGCGCCGCTCACGAGCGCCACGACGTTTCCGTAGCTGCACAGAGGCGTCGGCTGCTCCGGGCCGCCGGGGCTCGCACGGTCGTTGCGCTCAGAGCGTCGCACGGACGCAGACAGCATGTCGGCGATGACGTCGCTGCCGAGGCGGGACAGGAGCTCGGGGGCGGTGCTGACGGAGTCCGCGAGCTCCTCGGAGCGCCAGAAGCCCGGGCAGCGGGCGAGGAAGGTGCGGATGGTCGCGACGACGTCGAGCTGGTGGAAGTATGCGGGGGACTGCGAGACGAGCACGGGGGGGTGTGAATGACGCCCCTGCCACGTCAGGAGGTCCCAGACAGCGGCGCGCTCGGCCAGGCAGTACCGTGCGAGCGCTTTCGCGCCGTATCTGCGCGCAGCGATGAGCGGCGCAGTGATACTGGTTGCAAGTTGACGTCAATCTCGAGGACTTGCGTTCGTGTTACTGGTTGGAACGGACCTGAAGTGGCGGAGGCCGCGGCTGCTGAACCCAGAGAACCACGCCTCGATGTTCTCCGGATGGGCCTCGAAGATCGAGCGGAGGGCGTCCGGCCGGGCCGCGAGAAGGTCAGCAGTCACGCGGTGGTTCGTTTCCGCCGCACCACGCAGGAGACGCGTCATGGCGGCCTGCAGTTCGAGAAGAGGTGGATATTGCCGTTCTGGCGTGTTCCTGGGAGGCGCAGGGCGCCGTTTGTGGGCGGGAGCGTGTGTGACCTCGCACCGTGTCTGCGGAAGACTCTGATCGCCTAGATAGGAAGGATACGAGGATGTCGGAGGCGGCAGCGTGTCCGACGTGGTGGCACAGATCAACCACTGCGCCGACGAGCAGCGTCCACATCTCCTGCCGCGCCACAGAGGACGCATCGTGGAGTTTCCGCACAGCTGTCCACACTTTGCGCAAATGCTCCATCGCCGCTTCAATTTTCCGGCTAGCTAGTCACGTGACCGTGTGGTTCGTGTCAAGACTGACCATTTGGATTTAATTCACCGTCGTAGTCTGCCCGTTTCAGGCTGTCATCGGCAAACAGACATCAAGGTCAAGGCGGTCCGCTGGCACGCGTCAGACGCGCCCATGCCACCGCACGGTGCAGTTCACAGGCAGCGCCGCCATCGGAGATCCCCGCGAGGCAATCACCTCGCACCAGAACGGACAAATGGGGGCGTTTCAGGGGGTGTAGACTTCGCAAGCTTCTACTTGCGAATGTACTCGTTCCGCGCGATTCAAGGGGCTAGCGGCACCGCACCGCAGCGCACATCGATCCCCGCAACCCGTTCTCGTAGTTCCAGCACGCGCTTATCAGGCAGCGTCGGTGCAGCGTCGACCACGGTCCAGGCAGGCCAGGTGGCAGCACCCTGCCACTTGTGCCGAGGCCTCCTGAGCCGTTTCCCGGTGCCGGGCCCTGGAGAGCGTTCCCAGGGACGATGCACCGAACGGCGAGGCGCTGGGATGCGACGGAGGACTGTCCGGAGGTGACGAAAGATGAAGGGAACAAAGAATGGATCCGCAAGGAGGCCAGGTGGGGTCTCACGGGCGTCCAGGGGCCTGACCTCGCCCTACATGTCCTGCTCTATACAAACCACGCCCTTGACGGCGCGGTCGAGCGGTTTCGGCGCCGGCACGCGCCGTGCTAGTCCCCTCCATGTGCTGCCGCGCTGTGCGGCGCGGGGCGGCGGCTCGCGCTGATCTCGGGGGGGGCGGCGCGTCATTACGCAGTCGTTCGATCCCTCCGTGGCCGCCGCGCCCGGAAGCCGTGCGAGCGACCCGCCTCGTGCTTGTCCAGGCCTGAGGGGGAAAGACGCCGCCCCCGCCCCGTGCCGCTCTTTTGCACCGGTTTCGAGCGTCTTCTCGGATTCATTGAGCGCAGGAGGGTCGAGGCCGCGAAGGACGGCAGGAGCACGGGCATGAGGACGACCCAGCTGTCCCTCTCGCAGCTGCGCACCGTTCAGCGCGGCCCTGAGGACCTCAAGGGGAAGCTCGACGCCTCGCAGTCCCCGGACGCGAAGGCAAAGTTCAAGAGCATCCACCAGGCGCCCCCCGGCCTCCGCGAGAAGCTCACGCCCGCCACGCTGCGAGGTGCGACCCCCTTCTACCAACGCGCACTCACCGCCGGCGCGGAGCGGTCTCGCGCCATCCTGCGCGCCGCAGAGGCTCAATCAACGCGCAGCCGCGCGTCTGTCCGCAGCCGGGGAATTCCTGCCGCACCAGTGCCATCACGTGACTTTGGGATGGTCGGGGAGCCAAGCCGGCAACCAGAAGTCCGTCGGGTCGTCCGAATCGTCGCTGGGGATATCCCACGGAGAGTTCCAGCGGTTCGCCAACCAGCACGGGCTCGCCGCGACGAAGTTCCGGTGACTCTCGCGCCCGCCGGGCCCAGCTGTGACGCACAGCACGCGCCGCTGCGTCAGCCGCCGCCCACCGCTTGTAATGAACTTTCAGTCTGACGAAAGGTGTCAAACTGGAGGTCACAATAACCAAGGAAAGGGGTGGCCGAGAGCAACGACGTGGTGGAGTACCCGCACGCAGGATGAGCAAGCAGCGGCAACAGATGTCGGGGTTGTGCTTCGCTGCCTCGCTACCCCCGCCACCGTCCGACGCCGGCGTCCCTCGCACGTGCGCCACCCGTGCTCCATCAGCGACAAAAACGCCGGCACCATCAGGTGGCCGACTCCCCCCCCGCGCCCGCCCGAGAGCCCGAACGCACAGCCCGGTCACACCACCCGCCACCTACACGCCCGCCCCGCGCCGCTCCTTCCCCCCGCCCCCCTTCCCCTTCCCCTGACCGACCTTCTTCTCCCGCCCGCGCTTGCGCCGCACCCCCCCCTGCTGCGCGCCTTCCTCCGCGCGCCCGCCCCCGCGCACGCCACCCAGCTCCTCGACCCACCCCTCCGGCAAGTCGAACGCCTTCCGAAACAGCGCCTCGTGCTCGCGGTAGAACCCCGCATTCGCCGCCTGCATCTTCGCCACCACCTGCTCGAGCGTGACGCCCTCGTTGAGCGCCAGGAAGCGCTCCACGGCCTCGCGCGCCGACACGCCCTCCATCCCGGGCGGGAGCCGCCCGAACGTCTTCTTAAACACCCCCCGGACCCACTCCCAACCCTCCTCGTTCCCGCCCATCCAATCGGCGTAGGCCTGCTGCGGATCGAGCTGCCCCTTGTCCGCGAGCTCCTTCTCTCTCTTCGCGCGCTGCTCCGCCTCCCTGCGGCGCGGCGCGGCACGACACGTCGCCGTGAGCAACCCCGGGGCGAGAGAAGCATGTCGTGTTGCGCACGTGCGGCGGCGGCGGGCACGCACTTGAGCTTCCTGCGCTGCTCTGCCGTGATGTCCGGGAGGGCGTGCGTGACGAAGCGGTTCGCGGCCGCCACGTCCAGCCTCGCGGGCGGCGCCCCTGGGTGCGCGGAGGCCGTGCGGGCCTTGTTGAGGGCACGCTCCTTCTGCACGATGCGGCGCTCGTCGCCTTGCACCGCGTGGTTCTCCGAGGGGTTCTGCGCCGGCGTCGCCGCGGGCGCGCGGCCCCGCGTCAGAGCGCGGGCGTGTCTGCGGAGGCCACAGCACATGGCGCGGGGCGGCGACGCGTGGGGGATTCTGGGCTTCTTACCCGTCCGACCGTGCGGAGATACATCATGTGAAGGACGTTGATCGTCCGCGCGGACGCGAGGTGCACGGCAGCGCGGTCGAGCGGGTCGAGATTCCGTTGCAGGTCTCCCGCAGATACCTCCGTCAATTGACGCACGATTTCCTGCACAAAACGCAACCCTCGGACGGTTCAAGTGCATGTGCTTCGAGTGACGGGTTCGATATCGCATGAAAGAGCGACCAGCCGCCCGCGGGCAGAAGTTGCACGCACGCAAGGGCCAATGCGGCCCCCGCGCGGAACCAACGCGCCCGCGCACCTGCATCTCGTCAAGGGCTTCCTCGAATCTATCCAGCTGGGCGTTCGCGTCGGCGCCGCCCGGCGCAGCGAGCGCGCCGCTCATCCTTTCCCCTCCAGTGCGTCCCTTGCCGTCTCACGGCCTTTCTCAGTCTTATTCCAACGCGTCAATCATCCCGATCTGTGCCGGTGGATTGTGCGGTGCGGCACGCGGGCAGCGCCTGCTTAGGCACGCACCGCAGCGCCCGCCTGACGCCTGCACGTGAGGGTCTGCCGCGTCAGTTGCTGGTTCGCCGCGCGGGCGACATGGGGCGCGCGCAGAGCGCGGCGCGGCATCGGCCGGACGAGCGCCAGGTCCTCTGAGCACAGCGGGCTCGCGCGACAGTGAAAGCCCAGGCTGGCTGCGGACAGGACGCTCGGTTCTGGTTCCACCGCCCACCGTAGCAGGCTGGGACGGCTCCGGCGCGGCGGCCAATCCTCGTGCAGCACTCACACAGTCAGGTAGCCGCACGGTCGCGAATCGGCGAGTTGCCAGCCGCACGCAGCCTTGCGCTGGTCACGGTTTTGTCCCTCCACCGCGCGGCGGCGGCCACGCGTGGGGCCGACGTTGTCGCCGCCGCACTCTCGACGACGTATCGCTCCTCGCAACGTGCCGGCGCCGCTCTCTGGAGCTCGTTTGCGCTCAGATCGGCACGCATCATGCCCCGCTTGAGCTGCTGATGCCCGTGTGGCGACGCCTGGGACCCCTGGCAGCGGTCGGGCCGGGCGAGAGGGTCGATTGGAGTGAGCATAAAGTCGCTGCCTGTTCGAACGAGAAATTTGTCGCCGCGTGACCGAGGAATCGCGGACACACTTGCACCGTGGCGCAGGTGGCTTGGGACGCGTCGCCCGGGCTTCTCGGCGCCTGGAACGGCGGGCTCGTGCATCCTGCAGCAGGAGGAGGCGTCAGTGCACGCTGGCCGCCCATAGCGATCCAGCCGGTCGCGGGAGCAGGCCGGTTGCGAGACTCGCGGCGCAGTCACGTTGATAGGCGCGGCTTGGGTCCTCACGCCGGTCTGGAGGGACAATGAGCGAGAAGGGGAAAGGCTTTTCGGAGGCCCAGGTCCTGGGCCTCGAGGGCCCGCCGAAAATGGTGAGCACGGCGCGCCGCGAACACGCGTACCCACCTGAGACCGCCGACCCCTGGCCTCCCGCATGCGCCGCTAGGCGCACGTTGCCGCACCCTCCCGGCTCGTACCAGCCATGAGTAGCAGCTCGCACCCTCCGGCACGGTCCCATTGCCCGTTCCCGCGACGCACTTCGCCAGTAACCACAACCAGTGCCATTGCACCGCGACGCAGAGCAAGAACTGGTCGTGGCAGCGCAAGAAGCGCCTCTCCCGGGCTCTCGAGACCTTCGACAAGTTCCAGCCGGGCAAGATCCGCCAGGTCGGGTGCTTCCTGGCCGGCGCAAACAACTACTCTCACACGGGCGCCACCGCCAACGCCCAGTACTTCGCGTACTGCTCGACGCTCGCAGGTCCGCCCGCCCCACCCGGCGCCCCTCCCCCCGCACCACGTCGCGCGCCGCACCGCAACGCGTTCCGCGCGCACCGCACGTCGGACCACCCCCCCAACTCTTGCGCGCATTGCAGTGTACGCATTCTCGTGCCGTACGCGGACGCTCGCGGCGGTGCTGTCCCAGTTCGAGGACAACCTGAGCGCGTGCGTGCTGTCGACCGTCGAGCCGGAGGTCGTCGCCACGTGCACCTGCACCGGCCTGCTTCAGGTGTGGAACGTCATCTCCTGCGACCTCCTCGCCGAGACGCGGTACGACAAAGCGGACCCCCCGCGGCTCCTCGTGTTCGACAAGGTCCACCCCAAGGTCCTGCACATCGCCACCACGCGCACCGTCAGCAAGGTCGGGTGGCAGGACAAGCCTGAGGGCGCCGCGGAGACCATGCCGCTCAACGTGCTAGCAGGTGCGGTCCCGCGCGGGCGCTTGGCGCGCTCCGGCCCCGTCTGTACGCGCACGCAGCGGCCGCGCGGCCACGCGCCGGCATTCGTCTTCCAGCGTTGAGCTGGACACGACACACCCTGAACAAGGCCAGCGCGAGAGCTTTTGTCGTCTCGATCGGCTGCGGACGCTTCGCTCCGGTGCCCCCGCACCGCGTCGCGCACGGCTCCCGACTCGCTCGCGCCGCTCGTGGCCGCCGGGGGCGCCGCGCCGCGAGGGCGGGCCTCTCACTCCCCCCCCAAGCCATCACACCCCCCCTACGACATCACACCCCCCCCCTTCCGCAGGCCCGTTCAAGGTCGGGTCCACGCACGAGGTCCGCACGCTCAGCATCAGCACGCGCAACCCCGCGCTGGCCATCGTCGGGTGCACGGACGCCATCTTTTACGTGTACGAGCACCAGGCCACGAAAGGGCGCGGCGACCGCCCGCTGGGTCTCGGCAAGCCGAAGAAGCTCGGGGAGATCACGTCGGAGTTCGCGGACGTCCAGTTCGACCTCCTGTCGCCCACGTACGCCGTCCTGTGCCTCAAGGACGGCCGGATGTACCTACACGACCTGGAGCAGGGCATCAACATGGTATCCTTCTCCAAGCAGGCCGTTGGGAACTGGCGCGTGTGCTTCCTCCCGAAGATGCCCGGGACGTTCGTGACGGTCTCGGAGCGCGCCGGCGCGCTGCACGTGTGGAACGTCTCGCAGGGGCAGCCGCTGCGTTCGCTGCGCACCGGCCTGCCCGGGATCAGCAGCGTGTGCTTGCTCGAGGACTCGAGCGTCGTCGTGCTCACGGCGACCGACGGCAGCGTCATCTGCTACGACGTCGAGACGCGGCGCGTCGCCTGGGACGCCAACGCCGGCCACACGGATACCATCTTTCATTGCGCGCTGTCCAATAAGGATCCCGATGTGCTGGCGACGTGCTCGTTCGACCGCATGGTCCGCATCTGGAACCTGCGCGACATGGAGTGCACGCAGGTCCTCCCGGGCGCCGCGGACGTCCTGTACAGCGTCAGCTGGTCGCCCGACGACGCGCTGATCGCCGCCGCGTGCTTCAACGGCTCGGTCGTGCTCTACGACGTGAAGAAGGGCGTCGCGAAGCGCTCGCTCAAGGTCCACCAGGCGCGCTGCATGAAGGTCGCGTGGCACCCGACGAACCAGGACCTGCTGTGTTCCGCCGGCAACGACAGACGCTGCGTCGTGTTCCGCATGGATGGCTCCGGCGTCGCGGAGTTCACGCACGCCGCGGCCGTCATCGGGTGCTGCTGGAGCCCGCACGGCAAGGACATCATCGCCACGATCGACCACTCCGGCATGGTGCGCGTCCTCGACGTCGGCCAGGTTGCGCTGGTCGTCAAATTCCCGTCGATGCACCAGTCGACGGGGTTCTCGGTCGCCTGGTCGCCGCTCGTGCCGGACCTGATCCTGTCGACGTCGTCGGACGGCACGGCGCGCGTGTGGGACGTGGCGAAGAAAGTGTCGGTGCAATGTCTGGAGGGGCACCAGGACAGGGTCCGAGCGGCCACGTGGCACCCCGAAGTGCCGTACCTGGCGTTCACGGGGTCCTGGGACGCGGACATCCGCGTGTGGGACGTCCGAAGCGGTGCGCCGAAGCCTCCCAGCTGCCCTTGTCGCTTCCCTGAAGCTGCGTGCTTGTTCTTGTGCCGACCACGGGGTTCCCGCCCGCCGCTGCCCCCGCGCGTGCAGGAGCGTGTCTCGCGGCGTGGTCGCAGCACCAGGCCGACGTGTACGGCATCTCGATCCACCCGAAACGGCCGTTCGTGCTGTGCACGTGCTCGCGGGACACGACAACCACAGTGCTGTCGATCGACGACATGTTCACGCCCATCAAGGTCGGCGCGCTCATGGGCCGCTCGCAGCAGGGCGTCACGGACGACGTGATGAAGAAGGGCGCGCCGCCGCAGCTGTGCGGGCCCGTCGGCGCGCACGTGGGGGAGTCCCCGCAGTTGTCCCCCCTGGAGCTGCTCGAGCGCGTCGCGGACGCCATGCTCCCGCAGAACGGCAGCCAGGCGCTCGTCGAGCTCGTGCGCGCGTCGGTGAGCCCGGGGAACAGCGGGGGCAGCGTCGTGCACTCGGCGCGGGTGCCGCACATGTCGCGCGTCGCCGAGATCCTCAACGCGCAGGCGCAGGAGGTCGAGCTGCTGCGGTCCACGACGAAGATGCGCGGCATCGGCGCGGCGTCCCGGCGCCTCGAGGTGCTCAACAAGGCCGCACGCGCGCACCTGCTGGCCGGGAACATCGGGCAGTGCGCGGACATCATGGCCGAGCTGGGGCGGTGGGAGGAGGCGCTCGTGATGGCGTCGCTCGACTCGCCGGAGAAGTGGCGCAGCATGGTGGCCCGGCGCGGCCAGGACCTCCTCGACAACGGCGGCACCGTTGACGACGTGGCGCCGATGTTCCTGGCCTCGGGCGACACGTCGCGGCTCGTGTCGATGCTCATCGCGGCCGAGCGGTACTCGGAGGCGTACTCGATCGCGGCCATGCGTCAGCTCGGGGGCTACTCTGTGGCCCCGCAGGTCAACCCAGTGACGAACCGTCACTCGCGGACGCGGTCCCAGCCCGACATGGGCGCGATCGACGGCCTCGCGCAGAAGCTCGCGAAGGAGAAGATCGGAGGGGACGGCGAGGCGTCGCCGGCGCGCGAGGCCTCCGCGGCAGAGGGCAGCGCCGCGTCCACGTCCACGCGGTCGCCGCTGCCGCCGTCGGGGCGCGCCGTCCTCCCGCCGCTGCAGCGCGTCGGCACCGCCGGCCGCGGCGGCGACCTCCCGCCATCCGCGGGCAGCAGGCGCCGGCGGGGGGCTCGCCGCCGCCCGCCGACGCGCAGCAAACCCCCACGGCGCCCCCGCAGCCGCAGCCGGCGCTGTCGCGGAAGGCGTCCGCGCTGTCCCGCGGCCAGGCCGGCCCGATCTCCGGCCGCGCGACCGCGCAGCTCGTCGCGATCCAAGCGCTGCAGGCCCAGCGCTTCCTCATGCGGCTCGAGCCTGTCTGGGCGGCGTGTTGCATGATGTCTGTCGGGGACGCCCCGTCCGCGCTCGTCGCGCTGCTGCGCGGCGGCGAGACCGTGCTGGCCTGGGGTGTCGCGCGGGCGATCCAGGCCCCGAGCGTGCGCTTCCTGGCGCTCGAGGTGGCCAGGATCTGCGCGGGGCAGGCCGCGGAGCTGGCGAACGAGCTGGCGCGGGACGCGCTGGGCGACGGGGACGCGTCGGTGCCGACGATGGGGCTGGAGTTGGACCCCGTGGCGCAGCTGGCAGGCGGCGCCATCCCTGCGGCGGGCGGGGCGGCGGCGGCGGGGCTGGAGTCGGCGGCGGCGGAGGCGAACGCGGGCGGCGCGCCGGACGACTTCGAGAAGTGCATGCGGGCGGCGGAGGAGGCGTCGCGCGGCGGCGACGTGCGCGGTACGACCTCACCCTGCGCTCATGCTTCTGCCATTGCTGCCACAGCCCATCTGGTCCTCCTCAGTGCGCGATCCCTGGTCCCAGTTTCCGCCCGCGAGAAGCGGCCGCGGGCCCGGCCGCTTCGTCGCCGCCCCGAGCGCGTGCTCGGCGCGAGTCACGCACCTGCAACGCAACGTCATCCCTGCTTGATCGATCTCCATTCCCTCGACCCCCCTTCTCTGCAGGCGCGGTGAACGCGGCCGCCCGGGCCGCCGCAGCCTACCTCTCCGGCTCCCCCGCGGGCCCCGGCAACGGCGGCCTCGCCAACCTCGGCTGCCTCCTCTCCTCGGCACTAGGTATCCCACTGCTGGGGTCGGCCCGCACCGCCGCCGCAGCGTACCGCGAGCTCGGCCCGTCGCTGCACTACCCGCGCCAGGGCATCGTGCCCGCCAACGTCGTCTCTCAGGCCGTGCCGGAGACGCAGCACGCCGGGGACGCGGCGGCGGCGCTGGCGTACGGCAGCCTTGCCGCCGTGGCGGCGTGCCGGGCCGCCCTGGACGGCTACCAGGCGCTCGCGGAGCCGCTGCTCGAGGTGGCGCTGAAGTGCGTGCGCGAGGCCGAGGCCGCGGGCGCCAGCGTGCCGCCGGAGCTGCCCTCCCTCCTGGGGACACACGCCCTCGTCCTGGTCGCGGACAGCAGCCCGCACAAGGCGTACGCGGGGCTGCGGCGGCTGCTCAAGGACGCGGACACTCCGCGGGCCGCCAAGGCGCTCGCGGAGGCGCGTATGAAGGCGCTGGAGCCGATGGTAGCTGCGCTGCCCGTGCCGATTGAGGCGGCCATGGCGCTGCACGGCGTGTACGACGTCGGCGAATAGGCGGCGGGGGCGCGGACGCATTGTGACGGCGCTGGAGGCGCGCGGAGCGGCTGCGGCGGCGTGTCCTTTACACACAAGGCCCCGACGAATACGCTTGAGTGTTTGTGTTCGTGCTCCTCTTCCGTGCGGGAACTCCACCGCGGTCGTCGCCCCCTGTTCGCTCGACGTGTCGTCCAGGCGACACGCTCGTCATACTGACATTCCTTGGTACCTGGTTATCGTACCATGCGAAAGAGTAACAGCATGTGTGCGGTGTCGCGTTTGGCAGTGTCGCTGGCTGCGAATCGCAGGCGATGGTGGGCAGTGCGGTGGCGCGGGCGAGTCTGCTCACTTACGCGTACGTTGCGGCCGCGCGCTCGCGTGTAGCGGATGTACTGACCTGTGCTGGTGGCATCACGTAATGGCGCTCCGGGGCGCTGCGTGGGCGGATCCACGCCCGATCGCCGCCTGGAACGCGCCATCTCTCGGGCAACGGAGGCTCGGGCGTCGTCTTCGCGCCCGCGGGCGCCGGGGGCGCACCGGAACGCGATGCCAGCAACGGCCAGTGGTGACGGCGGTTCGCGGCTCCTCCGGCGGCAAGTTTCCTGTACCAGCGTACCCTCGGGGCGTGGACCGTCGTTGGAGTGGCCGGCCTGAAGGAGGAAGGCCGGCGCGGCCGGAGCCGGCAGGTTCAGGAGGTAGTGGCACAGGTTTGTTGGTGGGGGTATCCCACAACGCCGGAAAGGTCGAGTCGAACGACTGTCGCGCAAGCGACCCTTAGCTTTGAAGGCTAAGCCCTGGACCGCCAGGGATCATTCCAGCCACGAGTGTGTCGGCACGAGTGTCGACACCGCGCACAGAGCTCCGTTCGCGCCTGCTCAGCGCAAGGTCGCGCGGCGAGGTCGACGCACTGACGAAAGTACACAGAGCAAGCACCACGAGGTACGGCGGGGCGCGCGCCCCCGTCGATGACTTGCGCAGGTGCGAGTACGAGTGCGGCCTGCGTGCGCCAGCGTCGGCGGTACCGCTCGCGCCTCAGACGGCGCGCGGCTGCTCGAAGCTTTGGCGCTCGCTGGCTACGTAACGCCGGCCCGGTGCTCCAGCGAGCGCTCGCCCTGCCGACGTCCGGAGCCGTAGGAGGGAGGCTGTCCGGAGGCTGGCTGCGGGCCGCGCGATGTGCGAGCGATGCAAACGGAACAAGAGCAACACTGGTAGAAAGCATTGAGCATGCCAGATACGCGCTGGCGCGCGTCGCGTGGCACGGCGGCGGCGCTGATGACCCGGCGGCCTTTTCGGCCGTGCGCGCGCGAGGGCCACGATCCCTGCGCGCCGACGTGCCAGTTCGCGATGATGCCAGCCGTACCAGCGGCGACTGCGGCGCGCTGCCGACGCGCGGGCCCAGTTACGCGCGGAGGAGGCTCGAATGAGGCCTCCGAGTGAAACTCTCGACCTCAGTCCGACTCCCACGCGCCGCAATTGCGTCGCGACCGCTCCCCGTGGCGGCAGACAATTCCGTCCCGTCATCGACACGCTCCCTCAGCCACACCTGCGACCCACGACGTCCACGCACCGGACCCTCGCGTTCGTAGTGGTTGCACCTGGCGCGGTACTGCCGAACGCGAGGCCCAGAGGCCGCCGAGCGGCGCCACCATGCAAGCCCTGAACCGCACCTCGGACCTCGGGCAGGCCTCCCTAGCGCATTGCACCCAGCCTAGGTCAGCCACCGCACTCCCTGCTCTGTCTTTGCTCCCGGCGCGTAGCGGCGCACCGTTGCCCCGCCACGCCAGTCCCCCCGCTCTCGGATCAGAAGACACACCGTGCGACCTTGCCGCGGAAGCGCTCCGCGTGGTGTGCGCGCCGCACGCCGCACTCGCCGCCGGAAGCTTAAAGCTGCCACGCAACAGTTGGACGTCGGCTCCCGCGCCCGGACAGCCCGCACCTCGCGCCTGGCGCGCCCCCCTCGAATGTCACCGACCGTAGCCGCGCCGTCGCGGGCCCGCGGCCCGCGTTCGCGCCACCACCGCGCACCAGCGCGCCCAGCAAGCCTCTGCCACTACGACGAGTGGGCGCTTGAATCGGGGGCGCGTCGGCGCGATCCGCCCGGACCGAGTCCTCCGCGCGCGACGCCCGCGCCACTTCCGCCGCGGACCGCCCCGCCCGAGCCCGATCCCATGCGCCCCCGGGCCCGCGAGCCTGTGCTGGCTCGTGGCAACGAGCTCGACGCCCGATTCGCAATGTATCGCGCCACCAACCGCGCCCCCTCGGCCGCCTTCCGCTCCCGCAGGCACCTGACTCCCAGAATCCAGGCCGCTCACGTATCTACCACCTCGAGAACGTGCGTACGCCCGCTCACAGCCACCTCGCCCGCCTCCCGCCTCCGCGCCCGCGTCCCAGGGCCCCATTCCCCGCCCGCAACGCCCCCGCCGCGCCGCGAACGCCGCTGCAGGGCATGCACGGTCGCGCGCGCGTTCCAGGGCCCCCCGCCGGGCTCCAGCGCGCCGGCCACGTCCGCGGCCAAGCCCGGCACCGCCGCGCCGCCAGGCGACCTCTCCGCGCGCGGCATGCCGCTCTGGCAGGACCTCCTCAGTACAGGCGACCTCGGCGACATGATTCCGCGCGCCAAGTCCGCGTCTGACGTGGGCATGCTGAAGCGCAAGGGCCGCCTTAAGGAACAGGACGCCCTGATCGAGTTCATCGTCGGAATGGCCGCGACACACACCCCGGCGGAGGCGATGCTCAAGATCGAGCGCTGGATCGACGCGCACCGCGCGAACCCGCGCGGGTCGCGTCTGCAGCGGGCGGTCCCTCTTGTGGGCGCCTTTCACACGCGGCTGCCTCTCGTGGACGCGCTGGAGGAGTACGACGAGTTCTTCAACCTGTCGCGGCGCAAGTACGTCGCGCCGAACTTCGCGGAGATCCGGCACATCCTGAACATCGCGCAGGTGCACGCCATCGCGCCCTCGCTGCGCCTGGCGACGTTTGATGCCGACGGGACCATCTACCAGGACGGGCACCACATCGAGCAGGACTCGGTCATGATCCGACACCTCACGGGTGAGCCGCGCCCCCGCGCGACCGCTGGCGCCGCCGCCCCGCGCTCCCCGGGGCAGAACAACAACATTGCGTCATTCTTCAACCGCCTTTTCTGCCGCCGCGACGCTCACGTGATCCCCCCCCGCCCGCCCGCCGTCCCGCGCGGTATATGTCTGACCCGCTGCGCGCCGGCGCCCCCGCCCGCAGAGCTGCTCCTGTCGGACGTCCACGTGGCCATCGTGACGGCGGCAGGGTACCCGGGCGAGGCGCACAAGTTCGAGGAGCGCGTCGCGGGCCTCCTCGCGGCGTTCAAGTCCATGGACCTCCCGCCCGAGGCCCTCGCGCGCTTCCACATCATGGGGGGGGAGTGCAACTACCTGCTGCGTTGCACGCCCGACTGCCGGCTGGAGTTCGTGCCCGACGCGGAGTGGAAGTCCGCGGACATGCAGCAGTGGTCCGAGGACGGCATCCGCGAGACGCTCGACGCCGCGCAGGCGCTGCTGCTCGAGACGGCGGCGCGGCTGCGCACGCCCGTGCAGCTCATCCGCAAGGAGCGCGCCGTGGGCGTGGTGCCGAGCGAGCCCGCGGTGTACGAGGTGCTCGAGGAGATGGCGATCACGCTGCAGAACCAGCTCGTCGCGGCGGACGGCGTGCCGTTCTGCGCGTTCAACGGCGGCAACGACGTGTTCTGCGACATCGGGGACAAGTCGTACGGGCTGCGCGCGCTCATGGGGTACCTCGGGTTCGGGCCGGGGCAGGTGATGCACGTCGGCGACCGGTTCACGACGAGCGGGAACGACGCGTCCACGCGGGAGCTGTGCAGCATCCTGTGGGTGGCGGCGCCCGAGGAGACGGCCTTCTTCCTGTCGCTGCTGATCGAGGACATCGAGCGGGAGATGTACGCGCGGCAGACGGCGGCGAAGTGGAAGAAGGCGCCCGTGGGGGACCCGCGGTGAGGGCGGGGTGCTTGCGCGGCGCGACCTAGGACGGGGATGGCTGTCGGACGCGATCTGATTTCGGGGGTTCGGTGGTCGGCGTAGGGGGTTTCCTGCTGCGCGGACGCTCGTGATTGCGAGCGGCGGCGGCAGGGGCGATTTTTGTGCCGCCAGTGACGGACCTGCTGTCAGCAGCACCGGCCAGTGGCACACCTGGCAGGTCCGCAGGGGCACCGCGCGCATGTACATTACAATCGGGCGTCGTGGCCTGTCGAGCCCTGTCTGTAACCAAGGTGATTCACTCGGCGTCGCCGTTCTTGGGGTCCAAGCGTGACGGCCATCCACGTGATGCCCAAAGGGGAAGTGATGACCAGGGACGCTGACGTGCATCGCAGACGTCATGGCCCGGGCCGCCGTCCGCTGCGACGCCCGCGCAGACCATGAGCGTCCGGCCGAAGAGCTGCGGGGAGCGCGGCGGCGCGTACCAGTCGCCGGCACGGATGCGCGCCGAACGCAACCACATCCAGAGAGGGCCCGGGTTCACAGTTCCGACCACGCGGCTGAGATCCTCGTCTTTTAGCCGGCCCGGGGGCGAGACCGGGCGAGAGCACGCCCGTGATACGGGACGAGGATCGGCACTGCCAATCCCAGGCCGCAAGCCTCCTCGTGGTGACCATCCACGACAGCTCAGATGCGCAGCACCTCGACCTTCGCGAGCACTCCTTCCCCCACCGCCGCATCTACAACCTCCGCGCCGCCGCCGCTCGCCGCGGCCCGCCGCGCTGCCGCCCGCGCCGCCACCCCACAGCAGTTCTTATACTTGCGCTTGCTCCCGCACGTGCACGGGCGGTTCGGAAACGGACCCGAGCGGGGCACGCGCACCCCTCCCTTCGACGCGTGCTTGCGCTTCGACTGCGGTCTGTCTTCGGCGCCGCGCTCGTCGGCGCCACTGTCGTCGCCGCCGCCGTCTTCGGCCGCCTCCGCCGCGGTTTGCGCGGGATCGGGAGCGGCGGGCGCGGCACTGGCTTCTTTTGCATCGCAATCAGCTTGTGGCGCAGCGCAGCCGTTCTCCGGCTCTTCCGCGGGGTCGCTCGCGTCCTCGATGCGCTCAGCGTCGACACAGTCCCCACTCGGGCCGTCTGCTGCCTGCTCGGGGGCGGCCGCCGACTCCTCCTTGGACGCCTCCTCTTTCTCCGCGACGACGGCGTCCGCAAGCCGCTGCACCAGGACCTCGATCGCCTGCGAACAAGGCGAGTTTGTAACACGACTGATTGCGCCATACCATGGCCTGCACGGCACAGATGCTCCTATGGGCAGCTATGCTGGAGCAAGGTCGAGGAGCAGCGCACCTCGTCGACGCTGCCGTTGCACTCCGCCAGCACGGCGGCCGCCACCGCGTCGTCCTCACACCCGGTGCTTGCACACAGAATCTTCACCGCCTCGGCGTCCGCACCGTCCGGGGCGCGCTGCTCGAGCGCAAGGATCGGCTGCAAGGCACCAAAGGGGAGAGCGCAGGCCTGCTGGAGTTCCACGCGTAAGCGTGCAAGCTCATGATTGGGCAAGACATAAATATGTGTTGAGGGTTTGCGGAAACCATCAAACGCTGTCTGCAACGATAGATCCCTGATGGCGACGATGCCGCGCACGCCGCCGTGCGCCCGTCCGCAGACGCACCTCGGCCGGGCCGGTGCCCATGTCGGATGCGAGCCGCACGGAGTCGTAGTGCTGGCCGCCCTCGTACGCGAGGTGCAGAGTCCGGACGCCCGGCCCCTCGTGGTTGCGGATCTCCCACGGCCGCTCGCCGTGCTGGTGCACGATGATGTTGACGCCGTACACCTCCGATATCACCTGCACACCGCAAAACTCCCCCAAGGGTGTCAGCTGCGTGTTCTACTCATAAACTCACGGCATCGCGGCGCAGCGCCGGTTCCAGCACGCAACCGCCCACCTGCAGCTCGAGGTGGCCGCCCCACTGCCCCTCCCGCGCCATCCTGTCGCAGTACGCGTCGTAGTCTTCGTCGTCTTCAATGAAGAACTGCAACACCTCCTTCTGCTCCCGCAACCGCGCGACCACCGCCGCCCTGACGTCCCCCGCGCAGCCGTCCGCGCCCTCGAGCTGGTCCGCCACCTGCGCATCACGTGCTGCAGCGCGCGGCGTGAGCATGAGCTGGTGTGGCTGCTCGGCGCCGGTCGCGGCGATGCGTTTTAGGATTCCGCGGAACGCACCGCGTGGAACATGCAGTTCCCGTCCGCGGGACACGTCTTGACCCGCAGGCCCATCCGCGCGAGCTGCCCCTCGAGGCTCCATGAGCACTCTGGTGACTCCGGCCGCTTCGACTTGCCCGCTCTTCCCTTCGTTCTCTGCTTCCCGCCTCCGTCGCCTCTCCCGCCCTTTCGCGCCGCCTTGCCCTTCCCGCCGTGCTTCTTCCCCATGTGCCCCTAGCCCCCGGAAACCATCCAAGTGTCCTCAGCGTGCCGCCCGAGCGGGATGACCGCCCGAAACTCGCTCACGCCGCACGCCTATTGCTGTTTATCCCCGTGTCTGCCTTTGGAGATTGGAAGATCGCACGGTTCCCACCGTGTTCGAGCGAAGAGGGAGCCTAATAGGACTCCAGACCTAAGACCTGGTCTTTGTCGAAGAACCAGACGTGCGGTGGACACCAGGTGCGGCCTCAAACCTACCAAGACCCAGAGAACCTCCTGGCCGTGACTCGCGCGGTCGCCGCGCACTCAGCGCCCCGCACCTGACCGTCCCAGAGGCCTCCCACGGACGTGTCGGGTGGTCTCGCACAGCGCACGCCGGGGCCGATGTGCGTCGCTCTCCGCACCAGGGCAGCACTCTTGCAGCAAGGAACGACCTGGACAGATGCAAATCGCGCGAGCCTCCTCGAGGGTCGTTGTCAGCGGCTCCAAGTTTCCCAGGCAGCGGGTGCGTCGCGTCCCGTGCCCCCCGCACCACCCGCCCCACCGCATGCGCCGCGGGCCGCACACGGCAGATATCTGAGGCTGGCGCGTGCGCTCACGCGGTTTAGGGCACCGCGCTCGCGGCACGGGCCCAGCGCGAGCGTCTGTGGCTGCGCTTCCACACTTTATCGAGCGTTCTCCGCGGTTGTGCGCGCGTGCGCGTGTCGACGCGCCCCATTGCCAAGTCCTCGCGCCAGTCTGAGACCGTGATCGTCGACGGGCGCGCGGACGCGGCCCCTGCAGCGTTTCGGCGCCCGGCACTGCGCGCGTGCACCAGAGTACGCGTGCGCGCGTCGCTGTTGCAGATAGAAGGCCACACGTGTCGCCACATACGAGCCAAGAGCTATGACGATACGAACCATGCACCGCTAGTCTCTGAAGTCTTCCCTACCGGGCGAATCTCCCCATTTGCACTTCGCTCGGTGTCTTCACGGCGCCGTCCGTCCCGCCACGATCCGATCCGAACCTGCGCGTCCTTCCAACGTGCCCGCAGATCCCCTGCGCTCCCCTCGCGGCGCGTGCGCTCCGCGTCCCAGCTCCCTCCGCGGCCGCACCCGCGCTCGCCCCGCACGTCCTCTCCGCCCCCACGCGCCTCGTCAGCGCGCGCGCCACGGCCGAGATGGCCGTCGCGACCGATGCCAAGGTCGCCAGCCTCAGGCGCGCCCGCCCACCCCCCACGCCGCGCCCACAACACCTCACACACCACGCCAAGCATCAACCACCATAATCACTGTGCCGCACCGGCCCCGCCCGCAGGAAAGAGATGGCGGCCGCCGGCGTCGCGGCGTACATCATCCCCTCGGAGGACCCGCACATGTCGGAGTACGCCCCCGCGGCCCACGAGCGCCGTTCGTACATCTCCAACTTCACAGGCAGCGCCGGTACCGCCGTTGTGACCACCGAGAAGGCGCTGCTGTGGACGGACGGCCGCTACTTCCTCCAGGCGTCCGAGGAGCTCGGCCCGGACTGGACGCTCATGAAGGCCGGCACGCAGGGGTGCCCGGAGATCGCAGAGTACCTCGCCACGGAGCTCCCCGCGGGTGCCAAGGTGGGGGTTGACCCGTTCCTGTCGACGCTGTCCGGCGCGAGGAAGCTCAAGGCCGCGCTGGAGGCCAAGGGCAAGGAGCTCCTCCCGGTCTTCGCCGGCGGCAACCTCGTGGACAAGGTGTGGGGGAGCGACCAGCCCAAGCTGCCAGAGACCCCCCTCCGCGTGCACTCGCCGGAGTGGGCGGGGGAGACGGCGGCGGAGAAGGTCGCGCGCATGCAGACCGCCGCGAAGGCCGCCGGCGCGAGCGCGCTGCTCGTCACCGCGCTCGACGAGGTGGCGTGGCTCTTCAACCTACGTGGCTCCGACGTGGACTTCAACCCCGTGTTCGTGTCGTACGCGATCGTGAGCGAGGACGGCGCGGCGCTGTACGTGAACGAGAAGAAGATCACCCCGGAGGTCGCGGCGTACCTCAAGGACGCGGGCGTGTCGGTCAAGCCGTACGAGGCCGTTCTGACAGACCTGACTCAGCTCGGCAAGGCCGGGGTCAAGGTCATGGCGGACCCGACCAAGGCCTCGCTCGCGCTCGAGGCCGCGGTGCTCGAGGGCGTCGCTGCGCGCGAGCCCGCTGCGAAGAAGGCCAGGGCCAACGGGGGCGGCGTGCAGGCTGCCGCGCCGCCGGGGCAGGCGTTCGTGGAGGGCGACTCGCCCGTCGCGGCGGCCAAGGCGCTGAAGAACCCCGTCGAGGTCCAGGGGATGCGCGAGGCGCACCTCCGCGACGGCGCCGCGCTCGCGCAGTTCTTCGCGTGGCTCGAGGCCGAAGTGGCGTCCGGGCGCGAGGTGTCCGAGGTGGAGATCTCCGACGTGCTCAAGGGCTTCCGCGCGAAGCAGCCCGGGTTCTTCGAGCCGTCGTTCCCCACGATCGCCGGCGAGGGCCCGAACGGCGCCATCATCCACTACCGGCCCGTCGAGGGCCCGAACAACCGCAAGGTCGGGAAGAACTCGATGCTGCTGCTCGACTCGGGCGGCCAGTACGACTGCGGCACGACGGACATCACGCGCACCACGCACTTCGGCGAGCCGACGCCGTTCCAGCGCCAGGCGTACACTGCCGTGCTCAAGGGACACATCGCTCTGGATCTCGCTCGGTTCCCGGAGAACGTGCCGGGGCTGGCGCTGGACGCGTTCGCGCGGTCGGCGCTGTGGCAGCTGGGGCTGAACTACCGCCACGGGACGGGCCACGGCGTGGGCGCGGCGCTGAACGTGCACGAGGGGCCGCAGTCGATTTCGCCGCGGTGGTTCAACACGACGGGGCTGAAGGAGACGATGATCGTGAGCAACGAGCCTGGGTTCTACGAGGACGGCGGGTTCGGCGTCCGCATCGAGAACCTGGTGCGCACCGAGAGATATGAAATCGTGGTTGGTTGTGCGCGGCCTGTCTTGGTTGTTTGCGACGGTCCTCGCGTGCGGTGCGCGCGCGGTGCAGGCGCTGATCAAGAACGCGGAGACGGAGCACAACTTCGGCGGCGACAAGTACCTCGGGTTCGAGTACCTGACCATGTGCCCGATTTCTACCAAGCTCATGGACCTCAAGCTCCTGACTAAGGCCGAGGTCGACTGGGTCAACAACTACCACAAGGCCGTGCGCGAGGCCATCTCGCCGCGCGTGGAGGGCGCCGCGAAGGAGTGGCTCATCAAGAACACGGAGCCCATCGCAGTGTGAGGTGGCGACAGTGGTGACAGCCGTGGTGTGACGCATTCCGGTCCGGTGGCTCCGCGAAGTGGCGCTGGTTGTTGCGCAAGGGCGTGCGGAGCCGCGCGCGGTCCCGGCGGGGCTGGGATGCCTGGGAGGCGGGGCGTCAGGCGGACTGACTCTTGATGGGGTGTTCATGCTGTGAAAGAGGCGTACGTGGCGCGCGGTGGCGTACCTCCGGGGCCACTCTCTCCCTTGAGGCTGCAGACGAATGCGACGTCTGTCCGGTCAGGCACGAATGGGCGCATCGTGAGCTCTGTGTGGGCGCTCCGCGAGGGAATAGAGGGCTGCGCTGGTGCCGCGGCGGGCTTGTGCGAGAAACAGCGGGGCTGGGCGCGCGCCCGCGGCACGGCGTGGTGCGTGCTTTGAGTTGTTGCGCTCCGTCGAGTACGCGGTCGTGGGAGAGGGGGTGGCTCCAGCATGGGGGACGTCAAAAGCCTGTACAGCCAGGCGATGAAGCTGATTGTGGACTTGAGAGGGAATCTAGAGAAGCTCGAGGCACACGAACAGGTACGTTCTCTATCACTGAAGCGACGGTGCCGAAAAATAGTCGGCGTCTGGGTCACCGCATGGCGTGTGAGGCGCATGCACGGCTGGGAAGCGCAGTTCCCCTCTGAGCGGAATTCCACGCTGCAGGAGCGCTGAAATCGTACAACATAGCACGACATGACAGATTTGTATCTCCTTAATCTGTGAGATGCATGTTTGATGTCGTTCATATGCACACGAGGACGCGTGCGCGACATGACCTCCAAACAGTCATCGCTCGGTCCCGCGTCGCACAGGTGGCGTATCCCCCGCCGGCGTCCGCCAGCCTCATGGAGAAGTCCAAGGCGAAGATGCGCGAGCTCGACCGCATCAGCAGCGCCATGGAGAGCATGTGGCGCATGCAGGTACTAGCAGCTCTCCCCACACAGCGCCACCCGCCCTCCACAACGACCTCGGAACCGACCATCCCACGCCCTCCCTCCTGCGTACCACCTGTCCGCAGAGCCTCAACAAGCCCGCGCGGCCCGGCGACGCGTGGAAGACACGAGTGGAACAAGTTAGTGAAAGCGCTTCTTCAATTCGGATGGCACTCGAGGAAGTGATGGGGCGAGAGGGACGCCGGCGGGTCGAACAGAGCGAGCGCGAGCAGCTCCTGCAGCGCGTGCGGATAGGTACGCCCCCGTAATCCCCGCGTTCCCTTCGCAGTCATCGAAAAGGCTTCGCGAAGGCACGGTGACGAGCTGGGTCCGTCCGCCGCTGCTGCGCTGTGCAGGGGACGCGGCGGACAGCGTGCGGCGCGGCTTCGACGCCGAGGCGCAGGCGATGAAGTCCATCAGCAACAGCAAACGCATCCTGGCGGACTCCCTCGAGCAGGGTGCCGCCATCCTGCAGCGTATGGGCGCGACGCGGGAGCGCCTGAAGAGCGCGCACCGCAAGGTCCTGGACGTGGCGAACGTGCTCGGGGTGTCGGAGTCGCTGCTGCGGGTGATCGAGGGGCGGCAGCGCATCGACCAGCGCATCGCGTACGGCGGCATGGTGGCAACACTGCTCCTCATTGCGCTGCTGCTGTACTGGAAGCTCCGATGACGCGACGACGTGACGCATCGCGTCCCTGTGAGCTGAGCTGCGCGCGAAGCAGCACGACCGCGCCACCACTCACTGTGTTGCAGAGCTTTTACTTACGATGCGTGCGGACGAGAGCTCACATGGTCCCTCGCAGGTGGTTCCCGCGCGGGCGACTACCCCTTTGCGCGCCTGGCGACCTTGCACAGCTTGGCGACCAGGCCGCTGAGCTGCAGCGCGGTGCTGACGCCGTCGCCGATGCGCATGTGACACATACCAATCTCGCGGATGAACTCGAGCTTGAGGAACTCCGGCAGCGAGTCGAAGTTGCGCGTGACGCGGAAGAGCGTCGTGACGATGTCGGACGGCGAGTACCCCAGGCCGTGCAGCGCGCGCATGCCCTCGTAGGCCTCCCCGAGGTTGATCGCCGCGCAGGCCTTGACGATCTGCGCGACGAGCAGCGGGTGCGGCTGGTCGCACACCTTGAAGACGCTGTCCGAGTTGACGAACCCAAACCCGCTGTGCGTCGCCTGGAGGTTGTTCAGCGCCTGCCGCATGTCGCCGTCTGCACACGCAGGGCGCGCGGGCGGGGGGGCGGAGCGGACGTCAGACATGTCGTGGGCAGCGCGGACCTCGTCGCGCGCAGGATGGCGCGAGAGCAACGAAGACGAAGAAATCCGGCCGGAAACACGACAGATTAATTAATTAATTAATTAGTTGGGAATCTCCCACTAGCTCTTGCCAGCAATTACTGAGAATAGGAACAGGACAGGGCGCCCCGGAGCCCCTTGTCCGGGCGGCCAGCTAATACTGAGAAGCCGGGGCAGGGCGTCCCGGAGCCCCTTGTGAAAGCGGCCAGTCTCACCTGCCGTGAAGATGATCGCCTCCATACCGTCGTCCGTGTACCCGACGTTCTCCTCCTGGCACACGCGCCGCAGCCGCTCGAGGATCTCTCCGTCGGACAGCTTCGAGAACCGCACGATCGCGCACCGCGACTGAATCGGTTCGATCACCTTGGACGACTGGTTGCACGCCAGGGCGAAGCGCGTGGTGCCGCTGTAGATCTCCATCGTGCGGCGCAGGGCCTGCTGCGCGCCCGCGGTCATCGAGTCGGCCTCGTCGAGGATGACGACCTTGTGGCGCCCCGGCGGGAGCGTGACTTTGCACTGCGCAAACATCTTGATCTTGTTGCGCACGACGTCGATGCCGCGGTCGTCCGACGCGTTGAGCTCGAGGACGGCGTCCTTGTACGCGGGGCCGAGGAGGGCGCGCGCCAGGCAGAGCACGCTCGTCGTCTTGCCTGCGGGACCGCGCGGCGGAGGCTGGACGGTTGATGCGAGCGGCGTGGGCTGGAAACGTCGCATGCGCGACGTTTCGAAAGCTACAGAGCGCTTCAGGGGGGGCTGTGAGGCTGGAGGAAGGATCGGGGCGGCTGGGTGGGGTCCGTGCGGGCCGCAGACGGCTTCCCGCGCTGCGTGAAACTCTGTAGGAAGCACCGCGGCTTCGCGCGTGCGGTGGGCGCACCTGTGCCTGGCGGGCCCGAGAAGATGAGGTTGGGCATATTGCCCATCGAGGCGATTTCCTGGAGCCGGGAGACGGCCTCGGTGTTCCCCACGATCTCCTCAATGAGGGTGGGCCTGTACTTCTCGACCCACGGCATCATGGGGCCCTTGGATGCTGGGGCCGACGGGCCCGGCGCGCTGGGCGCAGGGTCGACCTCCATGGCCGCCATCGCGTATCGACCGGGACGGAAGCTGCGCTCCGGGGAACAGCCGACCTCCCTGCGCCTGCGAGCACGCTGAGGCTGCTTTGGCCCGCTCCCACCGGCTGGATACGCCGCCCGCGGGGCGCGCTATCGCAGGCTCGTCTGTATCTCAGCCGGGGTGCCGTTCGACGCGGAAGCAGCCGCGCGGGTTCGCTTCGGCGCGTTGCCGCACCACAAGCAGAGGCACGTCTCTGGCGCCAACACGCAATGCGGCCTCGTCCGCGCGATTCGCACGGATTTCTGCAACGCAGCTGCACTTCTCGATCGAAAACTGACGAAATGCCGGCGACGCGCGCCAAACAGCGCCCCGGGGCACGGCGCAGCTGCCGGCAGGGCCCCCCCCACTCAGGCAACACGGCGCACCCCGCGGCGCCACCCCGGCACGCGCGCATCGCTCTGCCACGCCTCGGGCCACCAGCCCATCACCCCCTTTGACCCAGCACGAAGCATCAACGCCACCAATACCGGAACAGGTGGAAATGAAAATGATTGTCCACACAGAGTAGTAATTGACCACCCGCGCACGAAACGAAATGCGGGTGTGCTATCGTCCTGATCAAGGCGGCAGCGTGCTAGGAGTACTCGCGCGAAATGCCATGTGAGCGTGCCATCATGTGCCAAGGGAAGGCTCTGACCTGCAATCAGTTAGAGTGAGTGGCGGGCGTCGTCAGCAACAACGCGGCGAGCCGCGCGAGTACTGGACGACGCCCGCCAGCCGACGCGCCGAAGTGCTGGTCCACGTCCTAGGCTGCTTGTACCAGGGGGTGTCGGCAGCCGGCTGGGTGACAGCGGTGACTGAGTCTGCGGCATTGTCCGCGTTGTGTGGCGACGCGCCGACGGCTACTCAGCTCTCCTCGTCATCGCCGTCCCCCGCGCGTGGCCTGTCATGCGAAAAGGGATCATACCTCGGTCTAGCGGCCACGGAATACGCGCATGGCCAACATGTCAACATCGGGGGGGTAACAGAGTGCGTCATGTGTGCGGGCATGGCTGGATAGTTCCGAGCCAGCTTCGCAGCGCCGGGATCATGTATGAGGGTGACGAGTTGCAGGGCGCCGGGCACGCCCTGTCAGCAGGTTGGCCAGTATGGTCTGCAACCTGCACGTGGCGACGCACGAGGTCAGCCAGGCCCGCCGGCGTGGCAGGGCCAAAATGCGGGCTCGGGTGCGTCCGGCAGGCGGCGCGGTGGATCGCCAGGACCTGTCGCATGCAGTAACCTCGATGCGCACGCATGCAGCGCATCATGGCCGACATCTTGGCTACGTAGCTGTCGCGGTCAGTCACCTCGCTGGACACGCGGATGTGTTCGGTGCGGACGATGTTGTAAAGGTGTCGTCGCAGCAGCGCACACGAAGCGTGGGGGTACTGTATGAGGTGAATGTTCTCAGGAAACAGACCGCGTTTGTCATAGTGCGAGATCAGGAGGAAGCCCTGATATTCGGGATGCGGACGCACGCGGAGGTCTAGGAAGGAGACACCGTCGAGCGGGTTCGCTGGGGCGTCAAATTCGACCTCAAGACAGGGGGGGTACATGTTATGTATACCAGAGATGAGATCTACGATCGACGACGGGGTTTCGGGGGGCGGGGTGGGGGGGCGGGGGTGGGTGTTGAAGTAGCGGTACAGTGCGTTCGCGAGAGAGAAATTGTCGTCGATGTAGCGCCTGGAATAACGGAAAGACCCCAAGACCTTCAGCCAAGCGACGTCGCCAGTGCTCAACCAGCGGTCGCGAAACTGGCAGAGGAACGCGAGCTCATGCCGGAACATGTAGCAGTTCGCGAGGTGGGGGGAGGCCGAGAGCCCCATGGGCACACCGCAGGTCTGGTGATATACGACGCCCCCGAACACCACGTAGGCGCGTTTGACGAGGATGTGCACGAGACCATGAAGTTGCTCGATGCTCGGTGCCCATTTCCCAACCATGCCGTCCGCGTCCGGCAGCTGCGCCACCCACCACCACGTCTCCCTCGCGTCAAACGCGGGTTGCAAGTCGATCAGGAGGTGTTGCCCTGGATGCAGTGCAAAAACAGCGTCGATGTGTTCGATGACGCAGTCGATGAGGCCGGTCCCGTGGTCCGCGCTCGTCTCGTGCCGGATGTGCGTGTAGAGCCGCTTGATGTCGGCGCCCAGCAGCAGAGGTGGTTGTTGAGCATGTATCGCTGAGCGTGGTGGGTTGTCATGTAGATACGCGGTCACCATGTCACGCATGCCGCGGCTGGAGTCCACCAAGAAGGGCGCGAAGCTGCTGCAGAGGTCCTCCGGGACGCCGTCGAAGATGGAGCTCCAGACCTCCACGAGGGTGGCGTGGCACATGAGCGCGCCGAGGGCCTTCGTCAGCAGCTGCGCTGCGGGGCGCGTGATGTCGCTCGAGCAGTCCGAGATGTACCGCACGTCCACCTTGGCCTTGTGAAGCTTCATCGTCCCGTAGTAGTGCGGTAGACCACCGCACTCGCGTTCGGTGCGTATTCCTGGTAGCTGCAGGTTGTCCAACATAGCCTCCGTCGTGTTAGCGACGTTCACCACGTGCCTGGCATGCGTGATGTTGGCATTTGCCGGCTCGTTGACAGCGAAAGCGTCGTTGCTGTGCAGGTCGTGCAGGAGGACCTCGATGTAGGCGCGCCGACACACGAAAACCAAATTCCCGGCGTTCTTGTCCATGGTCGTGATGGTGAGGCGTGTCGCGTCTCGCCGCAGAGCCACGCGATCGTCGGGCTGAATGTCCGCCAGCGGCGGGGGCCATGGAAGGCGGAACCCGGGTTGAAGAGCGGGTTGGAGTGCCGTTTGCGTAGCAGCAAGTATAGCATCAATGTACGGCATGCACGCTGCCGCGTCCATGTCGGCGGCCTTGCTGACGCGTTTCGTCCACCCGAGCAGCGGCTTCTGGTAGGCTTCAACGATGCTAGCTACGGTCGCGCTCGTGGCTTGGTGCAGCTCCGGGACGTGTCGGTGCTTGGCACCGCCGACGGCGAACAAACGGCGGTACGCGGTGCTCTGGATGCCCGCCGCAGCAGGGTCCAGCGTGCAGAGGTGCCGCACAGGCTCGCCGTCGATCTGCCAGTAGGGGTCCTCGAGCGTGAAGTGGCGTCGTAGGTCCGGTCCTTGGTGTTGCGCACAGTCGCACTGCGTCGCCATGATGTCGTACAGGCGACTGCGTGCAAACTTGGCAACTCCGCTGTGCGTGCACACCGAGCGCGACAGCGGTGGAAACCTGACCGAATAGCGCGGGGCCACCAGAAACAAGCCATCCATACCTTCGCGGATACGCTCAGGTAAGAGGTTGAGAAAGTCATCATTATTGACGAGGGTTTCGAGGGGGGCGAGGCTAGCCAGGGGGGTAGGGAAGTCGTGGATCATGAGGGTACGGCTCCCGAGGTCGATGTCTGCGACGGGAGGGTAGTGGTGGTTGATGGCGGCCTGCAAAACGGTGCGGGCACTGTCCAACATCTGCTGTGTGTAAAAGGGCTCGTCGAGACCCAGGTTAAGCGCATCGGGATGCATGTGCGACACGCAGTGATGGAGGGAGAAGAGGTATTTTCCGATGTTCGCTGCCGTGCAATGGTTCACCGCGCGTCTCCAATGATCGTGCTCTGTGTCGCCGGCGCGGCGGAACAAAACAACGTCAAGAAGGAGGCGAGTCTGGTAGATATACTCGCGTGTACCGAGGCGCGGAGACATGCCTGCGATAGCGGGGGGCAGGGACAACGCTGGTGCCGTAGTTGTGAGGCAGTTGTCAGCGTCGAGGTGGATGGTACGTTGATGCGTGGAGGAGATGGCAAACGTTGGCTGGAAGAGGGTCGCCAGCGCTGGGAGCCCACTCGGGCCGGGCGGGACGGGGAAGTCGTTGTGGGGGATCGCTACGGGGTGGGGGTCAGCGGCGATTTGGAACGCCAGGGGGGATAGAGGCCATGGGGCAGCATCAGAGTGGCCAGCTCCGTAGCCGAAATTCCACATGCCCTTGCAGTAATTGAGGCCGCCGGGGTATGTGGAGCCCAGACAGCGTATCATGGTCTGCTCCCAGGCCAGGGAGTAGGTGCGGAACTTGTGGAACCAGGCCTTCAAAGCGTCCGGGCTAGTCGCCGGCGGGATGGGCACCTGGCGTGCGAAATTGATGCGAAAGAGGGGCACGATGGTGAAGTCGCGCCACGGGACATGGCCGTTCGGCGACTGCGCCCACACTCGTCGCATAAACTCGTAAAGCGGGGTGTGCACGGCGTTCGGATGGTGCGTGAATGCTGCATCAAAGTGCTCCTGCAGTCGTTCGATCGCTGTGCGGTATGTCTCCCCGACATAGTAAAAGAAGGGGTATTTCCGGCACAAGAGGACATAGACAACCCCGCGCGCCGCAAGCGGGGGGTTTGCCGTGACCGATGGTAGCGCGGCGAGGTCCGAGAGCGCCGGCGGGGGCGGTGGGAAAGGAGCGCTCGGTGGGGGGCACGGGTGCGGGTATGCGGGCGCCCGTTCGTCGCGGGGCACGTAGTCCCAGTAGGGTCGAGGGGCTAGTGCGGAGGCGGGGTGGGAGGGTGTGTGGTGGGGGCTAGGAGGGGGCCAGGCACGGGGAGATGCCTGCGGAGCAATAGCGGCCGCGATGCGGCGTGCGTGCGTGATGCTGGGTCGAAAGTTCGGGTCGTGGTCATTTAGATTTGCGACATGGTGGAACAGGGTGCCATTCGAAAGGTGGCCACGCAGCGTGCGCGCCTCGGCGGTGCCGGCCTGGTCGCTGAGACGCAACGCTGCTTGGAGCCGTTTCCTCCGTCGGCGACCGATTGGAGTGCGCATGGTGAGAGGTTTTGGGGGTGAAAAGAGGGTGGTGTGCGGAACTAGACCGAGGATGCAGTAATCAAGCCACGACGGGAGGGCGACGATGACGGGGAGAGCTCTACCTAAGTTGCGCGTTCCTAGCACGCCGGGCGGTGAGCCACGGACGTGAGACGGCGGAGTCAGTTAGCCGGAGGCAGGCTCGTCTACGCCGACGGTTGAAGGCCGGAGTAGGGAGGTAGCTCTCAGCTGGCACTGCGCCAAAGCCCCATGTTCGAGGCCCGGCGCAGCACAACACGACACACAGAGTAGTAATTGACCACCCGCGCACGAAACGAAATGCGGGTGTGCTATCGTCCTGATCAAGGCGGCAGCGTGCTAGGAGTACTCGCGCGAAATGCCATGTGAGCGTGCCATCATGTGCCAAGGGAAGGCTCTGACCTGCAATCAGTTAGAGTGAGTGGCGGGCGTCGTCAGCAACAACGCGGCGAGCCGCGCGAGTACTGGACGACGCCCGCCAGCCGACGCGCCGAAGTGCTGGTCCACGTCCTAGGCTGCTTGTACCAGGGGGTGTCGGCAGCCGGCTGGGTGACAGCGGTGACTGAGTCTGCGGCATTGTCCGCGTTGTGTGGCGACGCGCCGACGGCTACTCAGCTCTCCTCGTCATCGCCGTCCCCCGCGCGTGGCCTGTCATGCGAAAAGGGATCATACCACACCAAGCACCGACGATAGTTCTTCGCTGACCTACAAGCACCCTCACGACGATGCTCGGGGCACGAGCGACGCGTGGACGTCCGCAGTTCACACTCGGTCGGTTGCTGGTGGGGGAGCTGCGATCCCACACGGGGGGGGGGGTTATCAGCCCACTGCTGGCAGGCATGGGCAGCGTCTCGCTGCCCAGGCCGCGGCGCACGAGCGTTTCGGCGGTGGGGTACACGCCGCGTGGGTGAATGCCGACCGCGAGGCGAGCAGAAGCAGCGGGCGGCGCCGCTTCTGAGGCGCTCACTGCGGACGAGGGTTAGAGGCCTAGGGGACGGGGGAATCGGGCCCTCGCGGCGCAAGAGCTGCGGGTGGAGGGGGTGTTTTCGGCAGGAGCAAGCGCTTGGTCTTGCTTGCCAGCTGCGCGCAGGTGCAGGTGGAGAGTCGCGAGGCCGGCACTGCCGACGTGCGTAACAGACGCGCCGGGGTACAACCGAGGGGGGCCGGTACGACGCTCGGAGGCGAGAACGCTACATCGGGGCGAGCATGCAGGGCGGCGAGCTTGCCAGGGGGGGTGTCGATGTTCTACCTGCCAAGACGTCCGCACACGAGGTGGGTGGCTTGCCGCGTGAACCGTCTCAGCGCCCCCGGGAAACGTGAAAAAGGGGGGCCGCAGCGATCGTTGGCTTGCTTGCGTTCGCGGCAGTGCTGCCCGTCGGTGCGCCCTCCGGCAGCAAAGCGGGGGAGGTCTGATTCGGCGGGGAGGGGGGGGAGAATGGGGGGGGTGTTGCCCGGAGCGAGGGGCGATGAGAGGGGAGAAATCGTACGAACCGTCTGGAATAGATAGCACCGAGAGGGAAAGCGCGCGCTACAAGTCGCGCACTGCGCCCGCATCGAAATTCCGGGGCGGGAGGGTGCTCGTGCTGCGTCCCGCGCCGCCGCAGTCTCCGGCGCGCACGCCACGGTCGCCCGCAGGCCCGGACGCCCAGCCCGCACCCACCGCCGCCCGCCTCGCCCCTCACGCAGGCTGCGGCGCCTGCGACGGCTGCTTGCCGGCGTCCGCGGCCTGCCCCCCCGCAGGCGGGCCCACCGACATGTGCTGCGCCACCGAGCTGAACAGCCGGCGGATCTCCTCGGTGCAGTGCGTGAACGGGTGCTGCCAGAACCGGTACTCCGGGTTCCTGATGAGCTCGATGAACGTCACCAGGAGGCCCCAGGGGTGCGGGCGGTTGACCATCAGGCGCTCCAGAAGCACGCGCGTGACCTGCTCCTTGACGATCGTCTCGCGCGCGTTGCGGAACGTCGCGAGCACCACGCACGAGAAGTAGTGGGTGTGCGACGACGGGTACCGCAGCTGGTTCGCGACCGCGTTGAGCATGAGGTAGCGCCCCTCGCTGTCGAGCTCCGTCGCCAGGCGCAGCAGCACGCCCGCGTGCTTCACCTGCCCGCGCGCCGGCGGGGGCTCCGCCGCGGCGACCGCGCCCACGTACAGCACCAGCGCGTTCAGCAGCGGCACGTTGTACCGCGTCCCCATGGCCAGCGCCTCATCCTGCGACAGCATGAGCGCCGGGAGCAGCCCGGGCACGCCCTGCTCCGGCTGCGGCGACGCGAGCAGCGCGCGCACGTCCTCGCGCAGCTGCTTCGGCAGCAGCTGCTCGGGCTCGGGCGTGATGCGCGGGGGCTGGCGGATCTCCGGGAGTAGGTCGATCTTCAGGTTGGGCGTGAGCGGGTCCGGGAGGCGCATCGTGCGCGGGAAGGCCGAGAGGATGAGGTTCCTCATCTGGATGCAGCTGGGCGGCACGGCGTCGCACAGCTGGAAGTGGAACTCGGCGAGGAATTCCGGGAAGTCGTGGAGCAGCATGAGGAGGATCCGGAGGGTGCCGCGGTACAGGAGCCGCACGGGGTCGGTCAGCTCGGCGTTGCGGAGGTAGGGCTCGAGGAAGCGCAGCAGCGCCACGAGAAGGCGCTGGAAGTGCGGCCAGCCCTTGTTGCCGGGCAGCATGAGCAGGCGCGGCATGAAGCCGCGGTACGAGATGAGCTCGAGCCACGCGAACGCGAAGGCCGGGACGCGCATGGGCTGCAGTGCGTTGAGCGCGGCGGCGGTCGCGGCGACCATGTTGAACGCCGAGGGGTCGCTGAGGTTGGTCGGCGCGAGCTCCGAGATGAGCCCGATGCACAGGCGGAAGTACGGGCGCGCGTTGAAGACGGCGCCGCGCTCGTCCGCGTCGCGCTGCAGCACCGCCGCCATCACCGACAGGACCTTGGCCAGCAGCGGCGCGCCGCCGCCGTGCGCCTGCACGAGCGTGCACACCAGCCGCACGTACGCGTCCACCGCCGTGAACGACAGCTGCCCGGCCCCGATGCCCGGAGCCGCCATCTCCGACCCGAGGCAGTGCGCGATGGAGAGCTCCATCAGGTAGCGGATGAAACGGTCCGTCAGCTCGTCGCCGTTGAGCAGGCCCGCCTGCTTCACCTGCGACACGAACGCCGCCTGCGTGCGGTCCGCGGGCGACGCGTCCAGCGCCCGAATCCAGTCGTCGAAGATCCGCGCCACCTTGTCGCGCAGCCCCGGCGGGTCGTTCTTGTCCTGCGTGGGCAGCGCGGGCTGCCGGCGGACGCCCTGGCCGCCGCGCTCGCGCGCCGTGCCGCGCGGCTGCGTGCGGCGCGCCTGCTCGACGAGCTGCATCAGCGCGGGGCCCTGCGGTCCCGGCGTGGCGTTGGCGACCTGGGCTACCGTCTCGAGGAAGGTGGGGAGCTCGGCGCCGCCGACGAACGCGTCGCGGACGATCGTCGCGCGCAGCACGTTGACGGCGAGGTCGATGCGGCCCGCGGTCGTGAGCTTGGCGAGCACGACGTCGAGCTCACGCAGCGACAGCAGGCGGAGCATCATGAGGGCCTCGAGCGCCTCCTTGTTGAGCTGGAGGGGCTCCTCGAGCATCGCGTACCACTGCACGGCGAGCTGCGGGAGCGACGGGAGGCACGCGGCGCGCAGCTCGTCGAGTGCGGCCACCATCGCCAGCACGTACGTCACTTCGATAGGCGTCGCGGGCGGCTTGCTCGCGAAGAGCGCGCGGAAGATGTGCTGCGCGACAGCGGACGCCTCGGCCTCGCGGTTCGGGCCCGAGGACACCACCGTCGGCACCTGCGCGGCGATGCGCCGCACGGCGTGCGACTCCGGCATGTCCCAGAACGGCGTGATCGTCCCGCGGGAGGCCTCCTGGTGCAGCGCGGACTCGAGCTGCGCGCGCCAGACCTTGAGCCGCTCCGCGACGGCGGCCGGCAGCGGCGGCGGCTCAGCGACCGACCGCTGCCCTGTCGCTCCGCTCGGCGCAGCCCCAGGCGGCATCGCGGCGCCGGCGGCGCCGGCCGCGCCGCCGGGCACCTGCCCCGCGCGCGCCATCGGCCCGATCTTGGGCACCATGCGCGGCAGCTCCGGGAACACGTCGTACACGTGCGTCTGCCCCGCACCGGGCTTGGGCTGCAGGGACTCCGGCAGCGCGGCGACGGCGGGGGGCAGCTGCATGGGCCAGGGGCGGCCGGCCTTGGCGGCCTGCGCGCGCGCCTGGAACTGCGCGTCGAGGCGCGCGTCGATGTCGCGCACGGCCTTTTCCTGCGCCATTTTCTCCGCCAACATGCACGCCAGCGGGTAGTTGTCGTCGACGACGATGACGACGACGCGCTGGAGGTACTCGTCCGACAGCTTCACCTGCGACGCCGGCGGCAGCATCTCGAGCAGGCTCTTCTGGATGTGGTCGCGCAGGCCCTCACGGCAGTTGACCAGCAGCAGCATGGCGCTCAGGGTCGTCGCCATGTTGTGCGCCGCCTGGCGCATGCGCGCCTCGTCCGCCTCGAGCGCGAAGTCCTTCGCGACGAGCTCCTGCGCGGTGATGCTCGCCACGGACACGTAGCGGTCGACGATGCCCATCAGCTGCATAACGGCCTTCTCCAGCACCGCGGGCACGACGCGCTGCAGCTGGAGCTGCTCCGCGACGGGCGCGACCTCCTCGTTGATCTGCGCCCAGTTCACCACGATCTCCGACAGCCGGCTGGTCCCCACGAACGGGCGCGCCCCCGCCTGCAGGGCCGCCTGCTGGTCGGCGCCCGCCACCGCCGCCGGCGCCGCGCCCTCCATCGCGTTCAGCGCCGACCGCGACGGCTCCTCGGGCCGCTGCGGCGCCGCGTCCGCGCTCGCCGCGGCCTCCCCGGGCTGGAAATCCGGGTTGCCCTCCTGCATGCGCGGCCGGTTGCGCAGCAGCGACGTCACCTGGAGCCGCGGGTCCATCGGCGTCATCGCGAACGCCTTGCTGAGCAGCAGCTCGATCTCGAACCGGATGTTCAGCTTCACGCGGTCCAGGTTGTAGATCTCGAGCAGCAGGTTGAGCATGGCGCAAGTCCAGGGGTTGGGGGGCTTGAAGACGCGCGACGCCTTGGCGCCCTCGAGGACCTTGGCCACGAACGGCACGACGGCGATCATGCGGCCCTCCTCGTAGGCCTGCACGACGATGCCCTTGATGTCGAGGTCGCGGAAGAGGATGGCGCGGTTGCGCGACAGCGTGAGCTGCCCGAGCCACTGCCCGAGGTTCTTCAGCAGCGTGCGCTCGCCGGCGTCCTTCTCGATGCGGCTCGACGTCATCAGCGCCTTCGCGTAGGTGATCGTCGCGGCCTGGAGCAGCGGCGTGAGCGCCGGGCGGTTGAGCCGCTCCAGCAGGCCCATGTAGAGGGCGTGGTGGTTGCTCTCCTGCGCGGCGCGCTTGGCGACGATGTAGTGCGCGAGCCACTCGTTGAACTCCTCCTTCACGAGCTTCCCGATCTCGCGCGCCTTGTCCGCGACGTTGCCCTGACTCAGGTTGTTGATGTGGAACGACACGCGGTCCAGGAGACGGTCGTCCGGCCGGTGCAGCTTCTGCAGCACGGTGCCGTAGGCCGCCTCGAGCGTCTCGGCGTTGATCGTCGACAGCGCGAGCGACGGCACGAGGCTCCCGGCCTTCCGCCCGACCGACCGCAGCGGGTCCGCGCCCTGCGCGGGCCCCGTCGGTCCCGACGGGCCGGTGTCCTTGGCCGCGTCCGGCGCGCCGACCGCCGGGGACGCCGTGCCGCTCCCCTGCAGCGCCGCGGCGCTGCTCCCCGCGCGCGCCGCGTCGGGGCCGCCGAACCGGGCGGCGGCGCGGCCCCGCCCGCGCCCGCGCCCGCGCCCGCGCCCGCGCCCGCGCCCGCCGCCGCCGACCCCTGGCGCGCCTTGGCGGCCCGCACGCCCGCCTCGGCCATCTCGACGATCTTCGGCACGACCTGCGGCGCGTGCGGGAGCTGCAGGAGCGCCGCGCAGAACGACGGCCACTCCGGGATGCGCTGCTGGAAGGCCCCGAGCGCGCCCTTGGCAAAGGCCAGCATCTTCTCGTTCGAGCGCGCGTGCTTCAGCGCGTCGAGCACCGTCGCGAGCGACCACTCCAGGTGCATGCCCGACACGAGCTGGTGCTGCACGAGCGACCCGAAGAGCTCCGCCGCGATCCCGAGCTCCTTGTCCGGGTAGTTGCCCAGGTGGGAGACCTCGGCAAAGAGGTTCTCGACCACGCAGTCGACGACCTCGCGCTCGCGCTGCACGAGCGACTTCTGGTGCCGTACGAGCATCGCGACCACGTCCGGGATCGTGAGCTGCCCCGTGAACGCGTGCCGGAAGACGTCGTTGGCCTCCTTCTCGACGTCCTGAGCCCACGTCTTGTGCTGCAGCGTGCCGGGCTGCCCGCCCGCGCCGCCGCCGCCGTTCGCGAAGGTCCGCAGGAACTGCCCGTGCACGAGCGCGACCTCGTTCGACAGCTCCTGGTCCTGCAGCAGGCTGCTCGAGCTGTGCAGGACCTTGAGGAAGATGCTCAGCGTGACCTGAGTCAGCTGGATCTGCGTCAGGAGGCCCCCGGCCGGGTTCGCCTTCTCCTTGAGGAACGAGAGGCACGTCCGGACGAACTCCCCGCGGCCCTGCGCGACCTTCTGCGTGAGCCAGCGCTCCAGGTCGAGGTACTCCCGGCGGCACGCCAGCGACGCCAGCTCCAGCGCGAACATCGGCGCCGTGCTCTCAATGACCGTCTGGATCTGCCGCAGCTCCTGGCAGATGTCCAGGATCCGCGACATCGTCCCGGGCTCCTTGGCGTACAGGTCGACCATGTAGGAGATGAGCACGTTGCGCCGCACCGCCCACAGGCGCGTCACGACGACGTTGCTGTTCGGGTGGTTCCCGATGAACATTGGGATCAGCGCGTTGCACACGTCGCGCTGGAGGGTCCCCCACTCCTCCGTGCACGACACCACGCTCAGCAGCAGCACCTCCGGGCACTGCTTGAGCGGTGCGTCCACCACCTCCCGCACCTCGCGCGCGCACACGCCGTCGCCGTGCTTGCACAGCACCGCGACGAGGTCCAGGCAGACCCACGCGTGGTTCGCCGTCCCGACGGGGCTCGCGCCGCCCGCGAGGCCCTCGAGCGGCTCGAGCTTGCGCGCCGCGTGCTCGAAGGTCAAAACCTCCGGCGGGAGCGCGACCGCGGCGCGGAGCAGGGAGATTTGGCCGGCCGCGTTCTGCCACGCGCGGCCGCAGATCGCGTCGACCGGGAACGGCTCGCGCGGGCGCGCGAGCCGCAGCAGCTCCGCCAGCAGCGCCGCGCCCGGCGGCCCGGGCACGACGAAGCCCGGCGTGTCGAGCGCGCGGACGACCGTGGGCCAGTTGAGGCGCGGGGCCGCGGACTGGAGGGTGGCGGCGACGACGTCGAGGTTCCACCCGTGCGGCTGCTCCGGCTGCGCGGGCGTGGCGCGGCACATGACGGCCACCATGCGCGCCACCGCCACTTCGGAGAGGTCAGAGCTTGTGCTCTGGAGCGCCTCCTGGAAGGCGAGGCGGGTGGCGGTGCAGGCGGGGCCCAGTTCCTTGACGACGCCGGCCAGGGTTCCGGGCCCCGCCAGGTCCGCTAGGTCGCCCATGGCGAAGGTGGGGGCGCCCCCGGGTGCCAGCGACGAGCGCTGGGCGTCTACGGGGCTTCTAGCCGTTACGGTGAGCGGACTGAGGAGAACGGCTTTTTGCGCATCCTCCTGCAGGTGGGCAGAGGGGTCGGGGCGCGGGGGCGCGTGGGCGCGCGGGGCCGGGGGGCGCGGAGCGGGCCGGGGCAAGCAGTGGACGTGGTGAGAGCTGCGAGGGGGCGCGGGGAGGGTCGGGGAGGGGGCGCGCGGGCTGTGGGGGCGTGGAGGTGCGGAGGGTGCGGACCTGGGGCAGTGATTGCAGCGCGCTTGCGACGGCTGCTAGGCACTCGGCTCCCTCCTGACCCGCACACCTGAGAGATGCGAGCAGGCGGTGTAGCGTGCGGAGGCTGGCGCGCTTGAGTGCGTGGGGCGCCTCCTCGACCTTCTCGCTAACGTAGCGGAGGCCTGCGCGGGGCGGCGGGGGGCTGTGGAGGGCGGTGGGCGCGGGCGGGACTTGGGCCCGAGGTGCAACAGCGCGCGCGTTCGCGGCGGTGAGGGAGGCGCGCGGCCGGCGCGGACGGCGCGAAGCGAAATTGAAAAGTCGTGCCTGCTTGGCGGAGATCGGCGTCTGGATAGTCGCAGCAAGCGCTGGCTAGCAGAAGCTGCAAGTCGAGCGAAAGGCGACAGTGCTTGTTGAGATCTCGTAGAAGCGCCGCCCGCTTCGACTTGACCTCAATAAATCCGTCCCCGACGAGCTCGGTGAAGTCCGGCCGACTGGCGAGGTGCCCGAGGACGAGCGAAAGCACAACAGTGCTCTCCTTCTGGGCTCCTGACGCTGCGAGCTGACTCGGCTTCGCCAGGAACGAGCACAGACTTCGCAGGAGGTGCGCGTGGCCGGCTCCTCCGAACCTCTCGGCGAGCTGCAAGGATCGCACAAGTTGTCTGAAGCCTGTTCAGTCCCACGCGCCGTGCGTGCAGCGGCGGCCTGGCAGGGGGGCGGCCGCGCCACGGCACTGCTCAGCTGGTCGCGGGCCCGGTCGCCAACGCATTGGGCACCGTATTCGCGGGGCGGGGCGCGCTGGGGCGCCAAAAGTCTACAGCAGGGCTTCCAGGCCGTGCCCCGGCTCTATGGCGGCGCTGGCGGCTGATCTCGACAAAACGCCACGACAACGGATAGCGCACAGTGGCGCTGACCGGGAGGAAGTGGGCCCTGGCATCGTGGCGACGCCGCAGCGCGGCAAAACGAAGCTGGAGATGAGACGAGCTCCGCGCTTGCGTTCGCAGCACCGCGCGACGGCCGATGCCGCCACGCGAAACGAAAGGACTTGCGAGGGGGGCCGTGTACCGCGGCCGTTCGCTCGGGGCGCGCACCTGTAGGGCCTCAGAGCTCTTGTCTCTAGCGCTGGTGGACCGCTGCGACAACACGGAACCTATTTGCCGCAGAAGCTCGTCATACATGAGCAGACTGAACTGCCTTCGTGACGTTCGATATCGCCGCGGCGCGCTTCGCACCGCCCCCTTCACCCCAGGCCGCCTGAGACAACAGCACTCCTCCGCGCCACTCCGCCCGACTCAGTGTCCCCCACGCACACGGGCAGCAGGGCGGCGGGCGACCGCCGCTCGCACACGCGGCGCGGCCGGGCGCGGTCCCGCGCCGCGCACGCCGCTGGCAACCTAGGCGCCGTGCATCACACACGGCACAAGCGCACAGACAGCAGCTACTGCCGCGGGCCGGTCCAGCGAGCGACCGCCCGCGCCCCACCAGCTAGGGGCCCACGCTGGCAGCTGTACTTGCGGGCGCCGCGCAGCGACTGCGCCCGGACTGTGGCAATGCAGTGTCGTCACAAGCGCGGGGCGCCGTTGTGTCGTCATGATGGGGGCTCTCCGTCCTCCTGCTCGCCCTGCTCCGCGCCCGGCATCACGATGGCGGGCTCGTCCCACTCGCCGTCTGCGGAGCGTGGCGCGGGGGGCCGCGCGTCGACGGACGTGGCGGAACAACACGTGTGGTGTTGCAAGTTGCCTGTGTGCCGCGTGCGCGCTGGACCGCGGCCACGCAGGGTCCGTGCGTGCAGGCAGTGATGGCGGCGAGGCGCGGACGGCGCGGTGTCGCCGTGGGCGCGCGGGAGCGGGCTGGGCGAGCGTTGCGCTGTGAGCGCGCAGTGACGCCGCGTGCGCGGCCTGCCTGGGCGCAACGAGGGGACACTCACCCTCCTTGAGCAACGACATGGCGATGATGTCGTCGTTGACGACTTGCAGGTCGCCGATGAACTTCGCGTCCTCGAGCAGGAGATCGTTCTTTTTCAGCTGAATGTTTTGTGGGGGCTGCAAACGTGGAATACACGGGCGCACCGGCGTTTTCGAGGGAGACTGGCCTCGCGGTGGCCGTGAGCCTCGGTTCGGGCACGCGGTCGCCGGTGCGGAGCGACGGTCCGGCGGGGGCGCCCCATCAAGCACCCGGCCACCTGCTGCGGCGCAGCGCCTCGCCCGCGGCTGCTCGCACGCCGCGTCCCCGCCGCCGGCGACAGCTGCATCTGAGGACCACTCAACAGCGTCGATTCCGGTAAACACGGGTGCGGGGGAGGCGCACCAGGTCAATCAGGGGCTGCAGTTTGTTCTTGACTTCGAGGATCGAGTCCGTCGGCGCGCAGGAAATGAAGAACGTCTGCTTTCGCCGCTTGATGCGGATGTACATCTCCGGCGCCGACTGCACGCGAGTTCAGATGCGGCGCCCAGAGCGGGCCTCGGAGCTCGCGCACGACATGGGCAGCCGCTGTGGGCGCAGCGAGGCCGCTATGAGCGTTCACGCAGGCCGTACGCGTAGGAAGGGACGCACCATCGTCCTCAAAGCGCCTCAGACACCCCCCCCGACCCTGCGCTCGCTAGTTCGGGACGACTGAACTCTAGCGAAACACTCCGTCACGCTAATCGAGGTGTGGGCAGCCGATAGTCCGCTCTCGAATACGCTGCACGCACGCCTCTGTCCACTTCTACCAGCGCAGCACCCCGGTGCCGAGGCATGACGCCGCGGGGCGCCGTGCACGCCCGGGGTGTGGAGTGGGGGGTTTCAGCCGCGGTGTCTTCCTGAGGACGCCTTGACGGCTGATTGCTGCGGCGATGTCCCAGCTACCTGCATCGAAATCCTGTTTCGGCGCGGAAGGGTGGTACGGAGCGCACGCCAGGTCTCAGACGACGTCCAAAACCTGGCACCGCAAGAGTTTCGTTCGCCGCTCCCCTAGTTCCGAGCGCTCGAGGCGGCTGAAAAATTGCAGGGATGCCTTCGTTGCATCATACCCAGGCGTTGCCTGCGCGGCGAGGGCTTGGCGCTGCGGCACGTCGCAGAGCGGGAGCGAGTTCGCCTCGGGAGCAAACCCCGTGCCGCTCGCGAGTCGTGCTGGTGCGCGCCGCGACGAGCACGGCGCAGGACGCTCAGCTCGCCATCATGGAGGCCCTGAAGACCGCAGAGGGCCGAGGCAAATCAGGCAGGGGGCTCCGTCCTCGGCACGCTGCACCTGCGCAAACACCGCCTTTCCCGCGCCATCCCCGCACTCAACGCCGCTCACGGACTCCCGTCATCTCGCAACTTCGTTCAGGTGTGTCGCCGGAGCAGGCGAAGGCGATCCAGGACGCCGTCGACTTCCTCGAGCGCGAAATAGGGGTCCCAGACCCAGTCACGGATCCTGGGCTCGAGGTGCGCGGCCCGCCACGTCCCGCCGCGCCCCTGCGCGCGCTGCACGCGCACAGCCTTTCCTTCGCGCTCTCAAGGCGCTGCGGTGCGGCGCGCGATGAGGACACGTATGGACACAGGTACTGCATACTGGCCGTAGCCGCGGCGTCCTGCGGCGCCGCGAGGCATGTCGGTCTACCTGGTGACTCCCGTGCAGGACTGACGCCGCACCGCAGCCGCCGCGCTGCCCCGCCCCTCACCGCGACGCGCACGAGCGTTGAGTATCCCTGCTGGCGCGCACAAGAGCTTGCGGGCGCGCTTGGTGGCCGGCGCGCGACTTGCAACGCTCCGTGCCCGTGGGGAGCCGCAGGGGAGGTGGGAGCTGCTGTACACGAGCCGTCCAGGCACGGCCTCCCCGATCCAGCGGGCGTTCACTGGCAACGACGCGTTCACGGTGTATCAGGAGATCATCCTGAAGGGCACGCCGGAGGACCCGTCGCCGCGCGTCAACAACGTGGTCGACTTCGGTGCGCACGCCCGCCGCGCCGTCGCGTGCCCAACCAACCGCGACCGGCACGCGCGGGCGGCAGCACGCCGCGCAACGGCTCTTTGTGTTTGGTTCGCTCCCGCTGCCCGCGGCGCTTCTCCGTCGGGTCTCTCGCAGCTGTTCGCACGCCGCTGCCGATACGACCGACGTGAGCGAGATTCGCGGCTCCACGCGCAGGCAAGGGCGTCGGTGAGCTGCGTGTGGAGGCGGAGGCCAGCACGGACGCGCAGCCGCTGGACGGCTTCGTCGCTCGCAAGGGCGACGGCGGCGTGCTCGGCCTGTACCCGTTCGGGCGCTCCATCAGCACCCCGCCGGTCCGCACGAACATGCGGCTGGACTTCCAGTTCGACAGCGCCGCGTTCCGGTTCGACTCGGTGCCGTTCAAGATCCCATACCCGGTCCCGTTCCGCCTCCTCGGCGACGAAAGCAAGGGCTGGATCGACGTGGTCAGTCCCCGCAGCACTGCTCCCTACCTCGCGTCCCCTGCGCATGGTGCCGGCCGTGCGTGCGCGGCTCACGCGAAGCCCCTGCGCGGCACTGCGCTGCAGACCTACCTGTCTGACGACCGGGAGTTCCGTCTGACCCGCGGGAACAAGGGCACGCTCTTCATTCTCCGCAAGGGGGCTCCGAAGGGCAGCGGGGCCGCGACGGGCGCCGAGGCCGCGGCGCTGCCTCCGCGCGAACGCATCGCGAAGTTCGTCGCGGGCGACCTCGAGCTGTCGCAGGCCGAGGTGCTGCGCATGGTGGAGGAGCTGGCGGCGATCAACCCAACGCCGGCGCCGGCGCGGTCCGAGCTGTCGCGGGGCAAGTGGCGGCAGCGGTGGTCCGCGCAGGCCAACAACAGCAACCCGCTGCAGAAGGCGTCCACGGCCAGCGGCGACAACTTCCAGATCATCGAAGAGACGACGTTGACCAATGACGTGGCGTTCGGGTCCTGGCTGCAGCTGCGGGCGGAGGCGGCGTGCCGGCCGCTCGAGGACGCGCGGACAGGCAAGCACGCCCCCGAGTGTCGCGAGAGCCGCTCGCGGCAATGCATGAGACAACGCGTGATGCATTCGGCGCATCTGCGCGTTGGATGTTCGCGTTGTTGTTCACAGCTGGTCACGTGCTGCGTCGTGCGATGCAGGCGTCACGATCGACGGTGCGGACCTGAAGCTGTTTGGCAACACGCTGCGCCTAGGGGGAGTCAAGGGGGAGGGCTGGATCGACTGGCTGTACCTGGACGACGAGATCCGGGTCACGCGCGGGAACAAGGGCTCCACGTTCATCCACACGCGCGAATAAGCGGCGCGCAGGCGGCCCTCCGAGACGGTATTGTAACAACGAGTGCACGTGTCGCGTTCGGGCGCGTCGATCAGCGGGTTCGCCTCCGCGTGCGTGTCGTCCTCCTTAAAATGAGTAAATTTGTTTAATGAGTAAATGAGTAAATGTTTTTAATGAGCTTTTTCTTCGATGGGCGGGTCACACGGTCGTCCGCTGCGGCTTCGGCTCAGCTTTGCTCATGTTGAGCGCGTCCATGGCGGCCGCCAGCCAGTCGTCCTGCCCGCGGGCCCAGCACAGGAAGGTGCACTCCGCCAGCGACGCAACATTCACCGCCAGCAGCTGGTGGTGCGGCGGGACCAGGAGGAAGTTCAGGGCCTGGAACCCCGGCCAGAACGCGAGCTCGGCGACGAACGTCGGAGCGAAGTCCTGCTTCAGCCGCCGCGCAATCGTGCCCAGGTTCCCACCGGCGACAAGCTCACTGTACGCGAAGAACCCGGCCACGTGCACGGGACCGAACGCGAACGCGTCGAGCGCCACCTGCATCGGACAGCCATCGCACGCATCCGGCGAAAGTCTCGAGGCCTGATAGAGATTCGCGCGTTGATATCCTTACATGTAATAGGGCGCGACGGACGCGGCGCTGGTGGGCGCAAGGGCCGGCCGGGCGCGTACCTTGGCGGCGACGAACGGGATCGTCCCTGGAGCGAGCCGCGCCGTGCAAGCCCGGTCGAGCCAGAGGTACCACACGTGCCCAAGAGGACCGATGACGGCGCCTCCGTACGCGGCGGAGGACAGCACCTGTGCCTTCTGCGGGGCGGACGGGGCGGTGGACGACAGTGAGAGGCCTGAGCGGGCGCGCGGAGGGTCCGGGGCGCCCGCGCGGACGCCCCGGGCGCGCAGATTGGTGTGAGAGGAGTACGGGTACTCAAAGTGGCATATCTGTCAGTACCTTCACGGTCTTCTCGCCGGAGATCGTCTGCGAGAGCAGCTCGCCCGCGGCCCAGATCGCCGCGGTGGTCGCCGCGTTCGTCAACACGGGTCGCCGCGCGAGCTGGCGCTCATACGCGCGCCACACTCGACCCACGCGCCCGCCGAAGGAGAGGCTCTTCATTCGCGGTCAGTCACGCTCCCGTAAGCCCTTGATTCAGTGGTCCGGACACGCGGCTCGTATCGCGTGACGTTCCCGGATTACGTCGCAATCCCGGGGGCGGCAGGAGGTGGTGCCGATGGAGAACGAGCAGCGGAGGCACCGGGCTGCGCGACTTGCTGCCGCGGATGTCGGCGCCTTCTGCGGGGGAGCGTGCTACCTGCCGGAAACGCGCCCTTGTCGTGGCCGTTCAGAGGGCCCACCCCGCTGCCGCGTGGTGGCACTAGGGAACGCCTAGTTCTACCGTGTGCGCTGCGCAGTGGCGGTGCAGTGCGCGCAGGGCGCTCCTGGCAAGAGGCCTGAGTATGGGGCGTGCGGGCAGGGAGAACTGTGACGCTTCGGCGCGGACCACGTGAGATAGAGCCTTGTGAGGGGGAGCCTTATGAGCACCGACAAAGTGTCTACTGTCGGACGTGTGGCGCCGGGGCGCGAGCGCGACGTTGGCGCGGCGGCCAGGCGGGTTCGTTACTTGCGCGTCTTCCGTGCGGAGCCGTCAGGTGTGACAGGAGAAGCCCCGTCATTGCGAGGGAGAGCATCGGGAGTTGTGCGAGGTTGAGAGAGTGGCCGCGTGCCGCGCTTGAGGGGTCGCCGCGCCGCGCACTGCACCCTGTCGGGGCCCTCGAAGTAGCACAGTAGGTTCGGCACCATGGCGGCAGGGGAGATGAGCATCGTGCTGCAGGACAGGAGCAAGAAGACGGTGCCGATTCAGCAGCTCGCCACGCACGCGTCGCGCGAGAAGAACTTCCGGAAAACCGTGTGCAAGTACTGGCTACAGGTAAGCCCGCGAGGCGCCGCGCATTTCTGGCATATATGTCCACGCTCCCGCCGTGTGAGCCCGGTTCCTGCCTCCACAAGAACCGGCCGCTGGCGCAAACCGGGGCCGCGGCTGGCTTCGACGCTGCAGGGGAAATGCATGGTCGGAGACAACTGCGACTACAAGCACGCGATTGACCCCAACGCGATGCCGGTGTGCGAGGAGTTCGAGCGTACAGGGCGGTGCCGCGACCTCGAGATGGGACAGTGCCAGTACAAGCACCAGAAGCACGGCGAATGCTTCTTGTACAAGCTCGGATTCTGCCCCTACGGCGAGCGCAGGTCCGCCCCCCAACCTGCGTCCCCTCCGCGCCGCGGCGCCCGCGTGTTTGTTCCCCGCACAGCAGAGCGCCTCCCCTCGCGCGCACCGACACCTCGCGACCCCGCACAGAACGTTCCCCAGTCTACAACTCACGACCCCCGCCTCTGTCCGTGTTCTCTGAGGCGAGGCGAAGGCCCACCAGCGCGCACTGCTCCTCGACTGCACTGCAGGTGCCGCTTCCGGCACATCCGGCTGCCGGGCCCGCCGCCGGACATCACGACGCTCGAGGAGGCCAAGCCGGAGCACGCGCAGCACCGCAGACCCAAGGACGACGACATGGACCGGAGGGGGGGCCGCAGGGGCAGGTGCGCCCTGCGGTGCACCTCTGCTTGCTGCCGGCGGGCCCGTTCCGCATCGCCGAGGCGTAACGGGCGCGCGCGGATCGCTTTGCTCGCAGGGGCCGGGGCCGCGGCGGTCGCGGCGGGCGGGGGCGGTATGGGGACAGGGACGGCGGGCCCCCGGGGGGGTTCGGGGGCGGGGGGGGGTTCGGAGGGTACCTGCCCGCGCCTGGCGGGTTCGGTGGCGGAGGCGGGTTCGGTGGCGGCGGCGGGTACCGCTGATGGGCTCGTCGGAAGTCGTCATTTCTCGACTTGCAATTCTTGCAACAAACGGCAACTCCACGGCTTGCCTGTGAGCTGGCGCGCGCGTGATCGACGCGAACAGCCGTCGCCGCTGCCTGTGGACCGACCGAGACGATGCAGCTGCGAGCTCCCTTGCGGCGGGGCTGCTTGAATGTCGATCAAAGTGATGTGCGCGTGGTGGATGCGGTCCCGACGAAATCGCTCTACTGCTCTCTTTGCGTACCGTAATTCGCTGTGTGCGCCTCGCCTGTCGCGCTCGTCCAAGCATCCTCGCGGCGAGGGCGCCTGTGGGTCAGCGAACCACGAACTCCCCCCGGGGTGTTGAGGAGGTGCATTGGTCTGCTGCGAGCAGCTCGTGCCGCCCTATTCGGCAGGGCCGCTCGCCCCTGCTCACTTCGCCGCCGAGCCGGACGCCAGCTTCCGGTCCAGGTTCGTCGAACTACCGCGAGTGTAGTTCGACCAACGGCGGGGTCTCACAACGGGTGCCGAGGGGCCATGACGGACCTGAACGCGGTCCTCGAGATCGCGCGCAAGGCGGAGGGCGACTCGCGGGCCTTGAAGGACCTCCAGCGCAGCCTGCAGCGTCCGGACGCGGCCCAAGTCGTCGCACAAGCCCAGAGCTCGGGAGCCGCAGCCCTGGCCGGCGTGGCCGCTGCAACGCACCCAATCGCCTACCTGACGCTTCTGTAAGTACAGCGCTCTGCGGCTGGCATTGACGGCGTGTGTATCTCGCCTGGACTTGCGCATGCCCGGGACGAGGGTGCTCGCGCACCCAACCGTCGGCGCTCCGGCGCGTTGCCTTGCTGCGCGTCCGACGCATAAGGGCGTGATCGAACCGGCGTATCTGTCTCCCGAAGCCACCTCGGTCGTGGGGCCGACCGCGAGCGTGCGTGATAACGGTGTGTGCAGGCATCTGCTCACGAGGGGCGAGAGCACGGAGGCCCCACGATTCACGGCGGATCTTGAGCCCCACGTCGTGGCCTTCATCACGAGCTGCCCCGGGCCGACTTTCAGGGCGATCCCCGCCTGCCTCGCGACGGTGTGCAGGGCCTATGCCCTCCACTGTTTGGTAGGCAACCAGCCGATGCAGGCCGTGCCTGTGCTCAGGATAGCCATGGAGAAGCTGCAGCAGCGCGGAGAGGGCGGCTCGCGGGACGCGACGCTCCTCACGCCCATGCACGGGCTCATCCTGCGCGCCTGCGTCCACGCTGCGGACCCTGCAGCAGCGGGCGACGTCGTACGCGACACCGTGTTCGACGCGGACCCCGCCGCGAGCGGCGTCGCGGTCACTGATGTTCTGTTGTACGGCACGTACGGCGGAATGGCGGCTCTGGCGCTCGAGGACTATCCGCGCGCCTCCGAACTGTTCCTGGTTGCGGCAACGGTCCCCGCCCAGGTCACCTCCGCGATGATGGTCGAGGCGTACAAGAAGTACACACTGGTACGGTCCCACGCGTCTCCGCCCGCGTCGCGCCCGGCTCTCTCCGACGTCCCCCTGTCCCTGCTGCCACAAAACGACTGTTCCTGAAAACGCACTGCGTGCCACCGCCCCGGTCGCAGACGAGCTTGCTCCACGAGGACGCGAACACCCCTGCCCAGGGCTCCTCGGGCGGCGGCCCGCGGCTCGGCAGCTCGGGCCCGTGGCTCATGGCCGCCAGCAACAGCGGAGCCAAGTCTCTGTCGCGCCACGTCACGCAGTACACCGACCTCGCCTCGGCCTTCCGCAGCGGTACGCCCCCCTCGATCCCCGACCCCACGCCAGCCCGCTCCGCGCCAACCCCGCTCGTGTCGCGGACTGACACGAACAACAACACGTCGGAGAGCCCCCGCCCCGCCTCTTGTTCCGACGCCGCGGGCCGCGCCCGCCGTCCACGCAGGCGACGTCGCCCGCATGGAGCGCGTCCTCCAGGAGAACGCGCCGCTGTTCGAGGAGGAAGGCAACTGGGGGCTCGCCAGCCTGTGCTGGGAGCGCCTTGCGGTGCGAAAGCTCCGCGCCCTGCCGTGCATCTACGCCTCGATCCCGCTGGACCAGGCCGCGAGCCGCGTGGGCCTCAAGACGGCCGCGGAGGCCCGCGAGCTCGTGCACCGCGTGATGGCGGCGGGGCAGCTGTCGGCCGAGATCGACGGCGACGTGTTGCGGTTCCGCGGGGGGGCGCCCGGGGACGAGGGAGCCGCGGGGTACGCGGACGTGGAGGCGGAGCTGCAGCGGCGGCTCGAGGAGGCGCGCGTGCTGACGGCGCGCGTGGCCGAGCTCGACCACGCGGTGTCGCTCGACAAGCCGTACCTGCTCAAGTGAGTGCGCTGCGCGCTGCCGGTTGCATGCGTGCCTTGCGTATCCGTGAGCAGCGGGCGGTGCTGCGTCCGCATGTCGCGTGTTGCGCCTTCCCGCTCACGAGCGCGGTTTGTGTGTGTGTGTGTGTTTGTCTGGTGCGTGGAGTGACATTGCAATAGCACATTGGTGCGTGCTTCGCGACGCAGGATGATACAAAGGGAGGGCAAGGGCGGCGGGGGCCTCGCGGCCGCGGGGTCGCCCATGGCGGGCGGCGCTGGCCCATCGGGTGCCGGGGCCACGAGCGAGCCGATGAGCGACTCGTGAGCCGGGAGGCCCCGCTGCGAGCAGAAGGGAATCGGACTGACGGAGCCGCTTCACCGGAACATAGGAATTAGAGACTCCCTTTCATTCCGAGCCATTGAGTGCACGCAACGCAGCGCCGGCCCCGTCTTCGCGGCGGCCATGTAACACAGAGCAGCGACACGCAGCGCGGGCCATCCTGCCCGGCTGCCAGCCTATGGCAACCCGTTGGCGCGACGTCGTGCCCCTCACGCTCACCAGCAGGAGTTGCCAGTGCAGGCCTTCAAACGAAGCCGCAGCCCCCAACAAGCACCCGGCATCCGATCCACTGCCCATGCCCCCAGCATTGACGCCCTGCTCCTTGCTCCTACGTCTTTTCGATTCGATGGAACTCAATCCAATTCAATTCCATTTCTTGGTCTCTTCGTCCCCAACTCACATGCCGCGGGGCCGCAACGCAATCACCGGCACGGCCGCACGGCTCCTTTCCACAGCACCTCAGCGCCGCCCACCAGCCCCCTCACGCGAGCGCCATGGCCTTCAGGTTGCGCTCATTCCTCCGCGCGTTCTCCCCAACCGCTCGCGCGCCCCCGAAGCCCGGCCCGCGCGCCCGCGCGTTCCGCAGCCGCGCCGTCCTCTTCGCCACCTCGTACGGGTCGTCCGACGCCCCCCCGCCGTCGCCCCCGTCGTCCTCGTCCCCATACCCCTCCGCGTCGAGGTTGCGCCCGCTGAACATGTCCGCCCCGCCGCCGTGCTCCAGCCAGCGCTCAAACGCCGCCACCATGTCCGCCTTCACCTCCGCGATCTGCCCCTGCAGCCCCTCGATCTCCGTCCGCAGGTTCTTCACGCGATCAAACTCCTGGCGGTATTGCACCTTGTGGCCCTTGAGCTCGGTCAGCAGGTCGAAGAACTCCTGGTCCGTGATCTCCGCCTGCGTCCCGGCCTGCTCGCGCCGCGCCGCCACCGCCGCGGACACCCGGTCGATGTTGCCCTTGCACCGGTTGACGCCGTCCGTGGCCTCGCGCAGCGACGCCTTCGCGCCGCGCAGCTCCTCCTGCGCGCCGTGCAGCCGCGCCGCGAGCTCCCGCCCTGTCGGATCCGTCTGCTTGTACCGCTCGTACGCCGCCCCGCGCGTCCCGAGGTCGCCGCCCGGCGACCCCGGAACGTCGCGCCCTGCGTGCGCCGTCGCGCCGCGCGTCCGCGCGCCCCGCGGGCCCGACCGCACGCCGTCCGGCGTCGTCGACCCCGGCCGCGACGGCGACCGCGCGCCCCCGGCCCGCGGCGTCACCGCGTCCTCCGCCGGCTTGGCCATCGACGGCGCCACGCCCGCGTGAAACCCCCCCATGGTCCGGTCCAGGTCGCCGACCCCGTCGTCCGCGGCCTCGTCGAAATCAGACGCGTCGTCGATGCCGTCGTCGTGCCCCGCCGCCAGGTGCCCGCCCGCCATCGACTTGGCACGCTCGATGGCCACGTGCGCCCGCTGCTGAGTCTCGGTACACACTTCCCGGAACATCCGGTAGGTCTCGCGCACGCGCTTGAGCGTGTCCGTGGGCAGGGCCTCGTCGCTGACCTCGCCCTTGACGAAGCGGTTGATCAGGCTCCGCAGGTCGCGCAGCTCCGCGTCCGAGAGGTCGTCGTACGACACCTGCGCACGCCCCATCAGGGAGTCGCGCATCGCGAGCTCCTGCTTGAGTTCGCGGATGATTCGCTCGTACTTCCGCATGAGGAACCCCGGGTCGTTGCTCTCGTTCACCACCGCGTCGGTCTGCAGCAGCCGCACGCGCGTGGCGAAGCGCAGCGTCCCCAGGGTCTCGTCAAGGTGCTCGTCCTCGCCCCAGATGTTCGCGACCATCACCGTGCGGCTGTTCCCGCCGAGCGCGTCCTTCAGAACGCTCGTCAGCTTCGACTGCCGGAACGGCACGTGCCGGTCCCGCCGCGTCAGCGCCTGCACCACTTGCTCGAGGTACGACAGCGAGCGGTTGATGTACGACGCCTCGCGGAGCGTCTGGCCGAGCGCGCCGGTCTTCTTCGTGCGCTCGCTCCCGGCCAGGTCGACCAGGTTGAGCTTCGAGAGCACCGCGCGCTCCGGCCCGACGCCCGTGTTGGCTGCCTGCACGTGGATGGTGAAGATCGAGTGCGAGCGCGAGGACGCCGAGTTGAGGACGTGCTCCGCGGTCGACCGCATCTGCTCCCCGCGGAAGAACTGCTCGAGCGCCTCCTCCTCGCTCGCGACCGCGACCTTGCTCAGCCCTTGCACGTCCACGTTGCCGCCGCGCTCGACGATCGTGAGGTCCTGCCCCCCGGGGGAGTCGGCCAGGAGGTCGTACAGCGCCTCGTTGTAGATCTCGAGGTAGCTGACCTTGACGGAGTACTCCTTCTCGACCTTGAGGTCGATTTCGCGGAAGATCGACGCCGTCGCGCGCGGAATGATGCCGCGGTGGCGGCTGTACGCCGCGGGGTGGCCTGCGGGGGCGGCGGCGCGGGGGCGCGGACGTGTGCGCGTGCTCTGCGCGGCCGCACGCGCGCGGAGCCGCGCGCCGCGCGGGGCCAGCGCGGGGGCGCGCACCTGACATGGTATACGTTTTCCCGGCGCCCGTCTGGCCGTACGCGAAGATGGTGCCGTTGTACCCCGCGAGCGTGCCGTCCACGACCTCCTCCGCGACCTCGCCGTAGATTTCGTCCTGCCCCGCGCCGTCGAAGCACCCGTCGAACTTGAAGGTGTGCGTGGACGTGCGGGCGGCCCCCGTCACCGTCTGCGCGCCGTGCCCGGCGATCGAAATGCCCTTGCCGTCCGCATCGATCCTGCGCGGCGGCGTGGACGCGGCACTCAGGGTCAGCGGCGCCCGCACCACGCCGCGGGCCGGCCCTGAGCCACAGGTCGTGGCCCAGACACGCCGCGAAACACACGTGAGGGGTCCCCCGACGCGAGACTTGCCGCCGAACCGAAGCTCATATCTGTCTGGTTGGTCGCGGTGTGCGCAGGGGCGCGATGACGGCGCGAGCGCGGCGCAAACGGCCCTCGAACCACAGATGCCGCGGCCGGAGGGCATGCCCGAGGCACCGTGCGGGGCCTGAAACGCTCTAGAGATCGAGTTTCTGCCGCGACTGAGGTACTACTGTCGAGTTGTGCGCAGGCGGTGGGAGCGGCGCGGTGGAAACCCGCGAGCGCGCGCGCGATGCGGCAGGTCGCACGGCGGAGGTGCAGCCGGGCGCCCTGCCGCCCGGCAGACGCAGACACGACGCTGCGGGATCGCCCATCCGAACGCTCCAAGCAGTATCCGTGCGCAGCCGGCGATTCGCGGTGGCGCGGGGGCCGCAGTCGGCCGTGCGTCGCGTTCCATGTTGAGAGAGGAAGCCACTATGTCTGGGCGCCCGACGGAACCGAACCGCGCTGAATTCGCAGTGCGGGCGCGTCAGGATGTTCGGCGAAGTGCACAGGGCGAGGCGCGCACTTGAGACCCGACAGAGGCTTCACGCTCGGACGGTTTCGCACGTAAACTTTGATGGCGGTCTTCACCATCGTGCCGCCCCCCAGTGACTGACTCCCCGGAGACGGGCAGACGCGTGGGGATCCGCAGGATGCGCAGCTGCGCCGCGAGCGGCCCCCGTGGGGCAACAGCGCCCTGGCGGCCCGCGCGCGCCCACCTCAGGAGACGACCGACGCGAGGGGGGGGCGAGCCACGCGCGGGGCGAATGTGGCCCGGGGGCGCGTGGGGGGGCGCGTGTCCGCGCCGGCAGCACTACACGCATCTTCCCTACACGGCGCTTGACAGGAGCGGGCGAACGACGTCCACACTTGGCGGCACGTATTGGCCTAGCTCTTCTGTTGGCGTGGTTGCACCGGCTGCTCGGGCCCCGCGAGGCCGCACCGCCCGCGACAGCGCGACTATCAGTTTGAACCCTGCGCGGGAAAGCAGCTGCTAGAGGGCGACGGGCGGCTGCGCGTGCAAACGACCGGCTCCGACTCGACGACAAAGTGTCGTAGCTGCTCGAGCGTGGCGTTTCGGCGAGCGTTCTCACTCCCATGGGGTTCTTTTCCCGACGTTCGCACGAGTCCGACGGGCTTGCCGCCGGCCGGGTCGCTGTGGCGGTTGCTGAGGAGCGCGCCAAAGCTACGTCGGGTATGTCGCACAGCCGCTGGCCGCCCGCACCGAGCCGCAGCCAATGTCGGCTCAGCACGATTTTTTGGCCGCCGCGGTTGCCTCCGCCACCGGGCCGGCGCAGCAGCGCGCGCAACCCAGTGCATGACACGTCGTCTCTGCTCTCTCGCGCTCGCAACGCAGGCTCCTCGGGCGACGCGAAGCGCCGGACCGACGGTACGTACTCGGAGGAGCGAAGGCTGACGGCGCAGGCGTCCGCGGTGCCGGCGAACGACGACGAGCTATGCCGAGCGGCCGAAAACGAGTTTTTCGCGGTACGTCCTCGGCCCTCGCCGCCGAGCCACGCTGGGCGGCGGCGCGCTTACTCTTAGCACACGCTACATGCAGACGCGGTCGATGCGGCCCGCCGGGCCCCCACGGCGCAGCTGTGCCGCGTTAGTCAACATGCGGCGGTTGAAGGCGCTCCTCCGCGCCCTGCTCGTCGAACCGCGCGATGCCGGCGCGAGCAGACGCCCTCGAAGTCAACGCACGGCCCCGCGGATCGCGCCGCGCGCTGCCCGCCGGGGCGCGCTTTTGCGCGCGAAACCGGGCAGCCGACGTGGCCCTCCCCCTCTAGGGCGGCGCGGCGGCGCGCACGCCGCGCGGAAACCGCCCCGGCTCACCCGCGCAGGCGCCCCCGGTCGCGCAGGCAAAGCTCAGCGTGCCCATCCAGATCCCCGGCAAGCACGGCGACCAGAGCACGGCCAGCTCGGTGGACGGCTACGGGTTCGGTTTCCGCCCCCCGCACGAGCTCACCAAGGCCGTGGCCGACATCGACCCGTTCGGCGAGAGCCCGACGTGCGGCCTCAAGCGCGAGCGCCTCAAGCATCGCTCGAAGGTCCTCATCGCCACTGGTGCGCCCGCCCCCCCGCTTCCAATCAACTCGGCGCAGCGCCGCGCGCTCGCCCTCGCCGCCCCCGCGCCTCACCCTCGCGCTCGCTCCTGCTCCGCAGGCTTCGTCGAGCGCGACGACACGGACCCGCCGAGCCCGGAAGGCGACACGCCGACCTGCCAAAACAGCCAGCGGCGCGCCCCGGGCGACACGCGGTCGCCGCTGACGCCCGTCCGGCTGAACCCGTTCTTCACGTTCAGCGACGACGCGGACGAGGACACCGACAACGGCAACGTCTTCTGCGAGTAGGCCGGCGCTGACCCGCCCCGCACCAGCGCCGGCAGCTCCCGCGGGCGCCGCCTGCAGACGAGCTGCGCGTTGCGCAAGGGAGCGGCGCGCACTGCACCGGCGACGCCGCCGCTGTGCCGCGCGACCGCTCCGGGCACGAACACACCTACGAACCCCCGGCGACCTCCCCGACTGACCGGCCAGGTCCTGGATGGCGAGGCACTCGCCACTACCCCTCGAACAACCCCCCCTTCACCCCCCAGATGCATACCAACAGCTTCCCAACGTCCCCTTTGTTTCCCGAACCCCTTTCCCTCGCCCCCCCCCTCCCCTCCTCCTGCCCTCTCGTCCACGAGCGGCGTTGTCGTCCCACGACCTAGCAAGGCGTGGCGCCGCGCACAGCCTTCGTCGCCGCCACGGCCCTCTACGCGCTGCGCCCGCCCCTCCAGGCCCTCGCAGTGCTGTGTACCACGCCTTTTTGCCAGTCTTCCACCGCACACAGCGACCTCGGCCGCAACAACGATAACACGCCCCTTGGCAGCCGCCAGGCCCCCCCTCTGTGCCGCGCAATGCCGACGCCCCAGCCCGCGGGCCCGGAAACTCGCCGCCCCGGCCTCTCGACGCTGCTCGTGTCGCCGACGTGCTGCTCATGCACGTCGCCGGCCGCAGCAAATCTCCTGCGCGCCGGCACTCTGTACGCCCGCCTGCGCCCGCTCGTTCGCGAGCGGCCGCGACACGCGGGGCCGCGCACCAGCCGGCACAGCTTATGAGTAAGACCAGACCAGCGGATTTCGCAAAACCCCCCCCACGTCGGCGCCCGGACATCCACCCGAGCGCGTAGCAAGCTGTCAGACACTGTGGGGTCACTCCCAACAACCCCCCTCCTCCCCCAAAACACACACACACACCCTCTCACACCCTCTCTGCGCCCCTACATGTCACACACCGCGCAGCTCCCCTAGCCATGTGAAACTCGCCACCAGCGTGGTCTCACAGCCGAATCAGCGAGGCATGGCGATCTTTGCTCGTGGCATCGAGGATCTGCTCCAGGCTGACTCAGTCACAGCTGCCGAACCTGTTGCTACCATAACGGTGGGGGGTTAGCATGACTCGCCACCTAGTCGAATGATCTTTTCAGGTCCCAAAGCCTTATGGCTGACGACGCGAAGAATGTGACACCTCACCTCACCTCAGCAGGACGTCGCCCCGCGCAGTCGCTCGCGACGAGGGGTTTCGGTCGCTCAGCGAAGAACTAACTATCAGGCTCAGAGCATCCTCGCGGTGAGGGTGCCTGTAGGTCAGCGAAGTACAGACGCCGAGCCCAGCCCTCCCCGCTGCGCAGCACGCAAACATCGCTGCAGCCTAGTGTTCTACGGATCGATCGATCAATCAACTCTTGTCGCGCGCACATCAGCACGCGCCTTGCGGCCACTCTGCCTGCCCCCGGCGCACGCCACCGCCCCCTCCCCGCCCGGCGCCCACGACCCACCGTGCCCGAGCACGCACCGCCGCGCCGCCACCGCCGCGCCCACGACACCGGCAGCCCAGCAACACGTCACCACTCGTCCGAAGCAAGCTCCGGCACTTCGCGCTGCATGCTTCCGCCGCGGCTCTGCGAGGGCGTTCCGTGCCGCGACCCGAGCCGGTGCTGCACGCCGCAGTCCGCGCACATGCCCACCGTCCCCCGCAGGCCGCTCGAGCACGCCCGGCGCAGCGTGGCGTCGCAGTCGTTCGCCTCGGCGCTCTCGGGCGCCGCGCGAGCGTCCGCGTGGTCGAACGCGAGCGCGTCGGCGTCGCGGGAGACCCGTTCGAGGAAGTCCAGCAGCAGCGTCTGCCACCCGTCCAACTTGTCGTACCCGGGAAAGTAGTTGATGTCCACGACGTAAAACGTCCGCGAGATGCCGTCGGGGCCCGGCTCCGTCGGGCGCGGCGTGCCGATGATGTCGATGTTGAACAGATTCAGCCCCACGCGCCGCCGCACCTCCTGCCCGAGCTGCTGCACGAACCACGGCGGCGGCGCCGCCACGCGCGACCCGAGGGCCGACAGGAGCTGCTCCGGGTCCTTGTCGTGGTTCGCCGTCACCGTGCGGACCTCCTCGAGGTCGCTGTCGCACACCGACGCCGGGGGGTCCTCCGGCGCGCGCCCGCCGTCCGCGCTCACCTGCGCCGCGCTGGCGCCCACCGCCTCGACAGGGTCGAGCAGGGACGCGCGCAGGGAGCCCAGGCCGGACCGCATGGACCCGAGGCGGTACTCCTCGGGGTTCTTGGGTTTCCGGGACACGGCGGTGAAGATCTTGAGGCCCGACGGCGTGGCCTTGGGGTCGAGGCAGGTGCAGGGGTCGTCGTTGCAGGTCTCGCACTGCCCGACGTCGATCCTGGAGAGGGATGGTCGGCAGGCGAGCAGGCTGCTCTCGCCGACGACGTAGACCTGCGCGCGGGGCGGGGAACTGGGCGCCCAGTCAGTGTGCGGGCGCGCGGGGCAGCCGGCGGGGGGTCTGCGGCGCTCGGTGCGCGAGCGTGGGGCTGAGGAGGAAGACGGTGCTCGGGAGGCGGGGCGACGCGTCGGGAGCCCGGTGCGCGGCGGGCGCGGCGGGCGGGTGCGGCGTGGAACGACGGGGGTTCCGGCGCACCTTGAACATCACGCCGCCGTGCTCGATGAACTCCTGCAAGATGAAGGGAGTTGGGAGCGCGGCGGAGGCCGGGCCGTTGATGAGGTCGTCGAGCGCGCCCTCGTTTTGCAGCACGGCGATGCTGTGGCTCTCCTGCCCGCCGAAGGCGTTGAGCGGCTTGACTATCATCGGGTACTGCATGCCCTCCCGCCTCATGATGTCGATGATGTCGCCCACGGACGCGCCGTGGGGTATCTGGGTCTGAATGGGCGACCGCACGCGGATGCGCTGCCTGCTCCCGTCGCCGCCGGGCCCCTCCACGATGATCTCCTCGCCCTCGATGTGCTGGAGCATCGTGGACCGGCACGCCAGGGACTTGATAGCCGCGGGGTCGTCGACCGTGCGGGTGTGCGGGTGCCGCTGGACGTAGTCGTCGAGCTCTTGCATCCACTTGCCATCCGAAGGCAGCTTGTGGAGCAGCACGTCGAACGGCCCCTGCACGGGCGCGCGCGCGCGTCGGGCGCGGGGGTCAGCGTGGCGGCCTGGAGGGCTCCGCGGGCTGGGCGCGTCGCGACGCGGGCTGGGCGGTGCGGGAGCGCGGGGCCAAGCACAGCGAGCGCACCTGCTCCTCGATGGGCCGCGAGAGGTCGAGAATGCGCAGCTCCAGGTCTCGCGCTGCCGCGAGCTCAATGAAATCTGCGGTTCGGGGGGGATCGCACGGATCGTGGAGGTCGCGCGGGCCGGCACGGGGGCTGAGGGGCGACCAGAGAGAGCAAACGCTCCGCTCCGCGCGAGCGCGCGCGTTCTCGCGCGGCGCTCCCTGGTAAACATTTGACAAGTACCTGAGGTCAAATATCGGTTGATCTTTTTCTGCGTCAGCGCCGCCCCGATGACGATGCGGCGTGGGAGTTCGTGCGCGCTGCCGTGCGCTCCTGCGCCGTCGCGCGCCGCCGGGGCGGCCTCGGGCACGCGCCCGACGTCCAGCCGCGCCACAGGTTCCGCGGCTGGGCCCCCAGGGCCGCAGCTGTCGACTGCACGGTCAGCGGTGCCTGGACCCATGCTCAGCGCTGCTGCGGAAAACGGCCCCGGCGCCCGGTCCTACCCGCCCTCTATCCACGCGTGTCCTCGACTCCACCCTGGCTCCTCTCCGGGGACATGTAAACCGCGCGCTCCGCCTATCCACGGCGCTGCACACTCCTGCCGCACGCCGCCCCTTGGTCGCGGAATCTTCCCGACCCGCGCAGCCAAAAACGCCCGCAGTGCCTCGGTGCGCCGCGTGAGAGTGAGGGCTCGGCCTGCGCGGTTCGCTGCGCCGCGGGGCCGCCCGCAGGCCCAAAGGCGACCGGCCGGGCCTCGACGCGACCCTGTCCGACTGTCGCACGGGCGACGCGGGCGCCGCGGGCGCTGGTTGGGCCGCGGCGCGCTGTTGCTGCGCTGGTCAGGTGCGCGGGGGTGCGGGAGATGCCTTGAATTCACGCCGTGGTGCGCCGCGGCTCGACCGGCACTGCTCTCTCGTTCAACGCGCCGCTCGTTCGCGCGGTTGGGACCGGCAAACCGCGGCCCGCGCGACCAGCGCCTATCGAGCGACGCAGCGGTCGCGACGCGAGCCCGGCCGCGGCACGCCGCGCGACGAGCGAGGCGACGCAAGCCCTGAGCGCAGGCACCGCTCTCGCGCCGGCGCGGGGCGGTCGGCGGCGCACGGCGCGCGGCGCGGCGGCGGCGCAGCGCACGCACCGCGCGCCGCCGTCCGGCACGGAGACCAATGGACCGTTTCACCTCGGCGGCCGTGCGCTTCCTGGAGGCGCACCGCAGCGTGACGAACGTGCGGTTCTCGAAGCTGCCTCCGCCGGACCAGCACGAGATGGCTTCGTGGATGACGGAGCACTCCCCGCTCCAGCTGCCCCCGGACCTGACGAAGTTCTACCGCACCTGCAATGGGTGTTCGTTGGCCTGGGACGCCGCGCTGCCCGGCGGGGCGGTCCCGATGGGGCACATGCACATCAACGCGCTGCGGGACGTCAAGGTCGTGCCGCTCAGCGTGCCAGAGAGCCCCGTGGAGCGCGCGTCGCAGCACGGGCACCCTCCCGCCACGGTCTACGTGTACGGTCTCCCCGAGGACGTCGCTGGGTGAGGTCCCCGCCGCTTTCTGAAACGCAACCCGATCAGGCGGTTCCTCAGTTCGCAAGCTCCGAGCTGGGCCGCCAAGCTCCTCCTCGGAACCGCGGGAACCGCCCGCGAGACGCTCGGTCTGCCCAGTCCAACAGCGCGCGACCGACGCTTCGCGGTGCGGCGGACGTGCAGGGCGCTCGGCGTGCGGGCTGAGGACGCGCAGGGCGAGGGGGCGGCGCGCACGGCGACGACGACGCGCGTCCGCACGGCCCTGTGCATCGATGACACAAGCCCGTGCGGGCCGCTCGCGCTGCTCTACCTGCGCGGGGCGGACCGGGCGCCGAGCGTGTGGCTGCGCGACAGAACGGGCGCGTGGGCGTACGTCGCGGAGACGTTCACCGACTTCTTCCGCCTGTCGGTCATGCACCTGGGGCTCCCTGGTTGGCCGCTGGCGCTGACGCCGTGGGGGCTCGACGCGGACACGCGGACGTGGCTCGGGTTCCTGTCGCCGGAGCGCCTCGCCATCAACCTGGACGGCCGCGACCACGCCGAGGACGTCTTGCAGCAGCAGGAGCAGGAGCAATGACGGTGATGATGTGCCCGGCAGGTGGGGGGGGTGTCAGACTCCTGGTGTCAGACCAGGTCGGCGCGAAGTGCGAGCCGTGTGCTTTGTAATGCCTGTGCGCAGACAGGCGGGCAGTCTTTGACCTACAGTCGCGCAAACATTCCTAGATTGTCTTGTTTTGTTTTCAACCAACTTTCAGGCATGCCCCCCGACCGCCAGGATAGTTCTTCGCTGACCTACAAGCACCCTCACCGCGAGGATGCTCGAGCGACCGAAAGCCTGAGCGACGTGACGTCCAGTCGGCACGTGTGTGCCTCGTTCTGATCCCTCATCACACGTCGGCCTCCTCGCCGCCGCGCACGTGTCATCACCTGCATGCATCACGCCTGCCAATGCATCCCCCGGAGCCGTCCGCGCGCGTCACGCCGCCGGGTCCATCACGTTCGCCGGGCACATGTACTGCGACTGCGGGTCGTAGCGGTCCCCCGGGGCGCGCCCCGGCAGCGGGAGGAAGCGGCACGACAGCGGCTTGTCCAAACGGTGCGCCATCGCCGACAGGTCCGACAGCACGCCCGCGATCTGCGTCTCCAGGAGCTTGTTCTCCGGCAGCGCGGGGTCGAACCCGCACTCGTGGCCCTCCGCGCCCTCCAACTGCAACCCACATCAACCACGCCACGCACAAGGGTGCCGTCAAACTGCGCGGCTCCTTGGACGGTGCGGCCGCGGGCAGCGCGGTGTTCTTCGTGTCCGCGCGGTGCACGGGGCGGAGGTCCACGCACCTTGGGCCCCGGGATCGGCACAGTGTCGAGCCCGATCCCGCAGACGGCGCTATACATCACCAGCTTCGACACAGTGCACGCGCCGGCGTCGGCGGACTCCGCGAGCCCCTTGTCCTCGCACACGGGCAGCATGAGCCCCGAGTACCCGCAGTTCTGCACGCCCTTCATCGTCTTGAGCACCGAAGTCATCATGGCACACGCCGCGAGCGTCCCTGCGCACGCAACGCCGATTGGGCGCGCAGCCGTCTGCCCCCATGCGGCCCTTGCACCGTGCTGAGGATTGAGGGGCCTGAGGGTGTCCTCCGTGGTCGCACCGCCCGCCCGTGATCGATGCAAGGGGGGGTGGGGTAGGGGGGGGTGTCGTGCCTGGGGAGCCGAACTTGCCGAGGCCGAGGGCGTCGAAGGAGTGCGCGAGGCTGGGCGTGTCGAGCCCCGGCGCGATGCTCGTGTCCACGCCGCCGAACTTGTAGTTGTGCTGCCGTTCTAGCTGCAGGGCAATTTCCTGCAGCGCAACCGGTGCACGTGAACGTGTTCGCGGACCGCGGCGCGCGTCTGACGCATGCCAGACAACGGGAAATTCCAAATACGGCGATGTCGGACGGCGTCGTGGGGAGAATTGCCCGCGGGGGCGGATATTCCGTGTGTGAGGCACAGAGCGGACAACTGGCGCGCTCCCGCCGCATTCATGGCATTGACGCCCCTCTCAGGCCACCTGACGTCATTATCGATTCCTAACTAGGCTGAAACGGTCCTGATTGAGCACCGCTAAGCAGGAACGGTCCGCGTAGAGCGCTGGCAAGGACCACGCACGAGGACGGGCGCAGCTCGCCTGCACGGTGTGCGCGACGGGCCCCATTTCGTCGCGGAGCCGCTTCTCCGCCGACACCAGGTCCTTCGTCTCGGGCGCGGAGAACGCGTTGTGCACCAGCGCGTCGTTTTCGAGCCCCACTGCGAACGTGCCATCCGTCTCGGCGCTCGCGCACGCCACGGGGAAGTACGGGATCCCCGCGCCGCAGTGGTGCGCAGTTCCGAGCCTGAAGTTCCACTTCCCGTCGCTCTTCGCGCTCGCGGACGTGATCGCGCGCACCGCGTGGGCTAGTTTGCCAGGCGGGCACGGAAACGGGACCGCCATCGACATGGCCACCATGGGCCCGTCCGGGAAGTCCGTGGCCTCGAGGAGCGGCACGACATTCCGCCACGCCGTCTCGCTGCTCGCGGAGCCGATGTTGATCAGCGGAACGTTCAGCGCGCGGCACTGTTGGCACACGCTGGCTACGGCAGCGACGGGGTTGGCGCCGGCCCACGCCTCGAAGGAGTCGAACGCGATGCGGGTGGTCTGGACGGCGATGCCGGCGTGCTCGTACGCGGAGCGGGCCGCGGAGAGGAAGAGCGAGGCGTCGGTGATGCGCGTAGCGCGCTCCTCAGGGCAGCACCCTGCGAGCGACACGAACGCCGTCACCGTGCGCACGCAGTAGTCTTTGGTGCTGGGAGACATTCTCGATTTGGGGAACCGCCGGGGCGCGGGAGCCCGTCATAGCGCGCGTCCGGCTGCCCGTGCGAGCGGGGGAAGCAGCAAGGAGGGGTCTAGGACACGCGTCATGCCCGAGGGTCCTCGTACCACGCGGAATTCTCCGCTTCCCAACGTCTAGTAACGCATGTTGAATGCAATCAAGACCCGCAGGCTGCGTTAAATCGCTCAGCGACGCCGCCACGTCCACCCGAAGCCGCCAACTGACTCGCGCCGACGCGGGACGGCCACGCGAGCCCACGCGGCACGGCGCGGATGGCTTCCTGGCCGTCACCGGCCTGCTATCTTGAGCTCCGTAGCAGTACACCGCTCGGCTCGAACCAAGGCAGCGTGCACAACCGTATCGGATGCTGGTGTCTGTCCTGATGGACTGCAATCGGCGCGTCCGCGCCTGACGCCGCCGCGGTCCCGGTCCATCCCCTCCCGCACCTGCGCGGCACGGTCATCCTGTGTCGCGGTACCGGACAACGACAACGACGGCAGCCGGGAACGAACCTGACGCAACATGCAATCGTGGCCTGCGAGGACGCAGGAGAAACCCGCCAAGAAGCGCGGGCGCGCCGCAACGTCTTCCAGATCGTCGAGCTGCCCTCCGGCAAATCATCGTCGCAATCGCGGGACGTGCGGTGCAGGCGGGGCGCCCCGGGAGTGTTGCCACACGCCCTTCCGGGGTCGTTGCGACGCAGCCGGCGACGCATTGCCAGAACGGCAATGCAAGCGCAACGATGCCAGACGGTTCGGGCGGCTCGCGGTGCGCACATGCTCCGCGTCGCCATGGAACCAGGCACGTTGGCACACAGAGGCCGCACCAGACCTGAAAGGGGCGAGACAGTATCGCATGCTGGCGGTGATGGAACGAGTGTGATCGACGCACTGCACGCGGCGCGGTCGTCTGTGCGCGCGAGCGACCTCACACGCCCTGCGTCACCGCACCGTCGCGGGGGGCTCGACGTCGCTGTCCCGCGTGCTCCCGCGCGGCCGCGACCGCGCCCGGTACGCCCGCTCGTACTGTCCCCTGTCGGTCGGGTCCCTGAGCTTGGACAGGAAGTCGAACAGGTCCACCGTTCCCGGGCCGACCTTGACCAGCACGCGCGAGCCATAGCTCTTGACGGTGGCGCGCTTGTAGCCGTTGAACAGGTACAGCCGCGGGGCGAGGCGCTCGAGGCGCAGCCGCACGCCGTGCGAAGACAGGTGCGCCTGGATCTTGTTCAATACGAAATCAATATGTTCCGGCGCATTCATACGTTCGAGGATCTCGGGGTCGACCACCGTGGCCATCCGCCGCCCGATCGCCCCGTACTGCCGCCCCTTCTCGATCTCCGTGAGCGCGCGCTCGTAGTCGCGGCGCGCCTCCTGGAAGCGCGCGTCCAGCCCGAGGCGCCCCGGAGACAACGCGCGCTGCGCTACGCCCGCCGCGTTGTGCGCCGGCAGCCCGCCGTCGTGCTCGCGGTGCTCCCACGCGACCGACCCGTGCGCCCACGTCGCAGGCAGCGTCGCCGCCGACTCTCCAAGCGAACCGCGGGCCCGCGGAGCACGTTTGCTCTGCGCGGGGCGCGCCGCGGCTGCCGCGCGCAGTCGCGCGGCGACGCCGAACTCGCTGTCGCTGACGAGGGCGTCCACGATCGCGCGCTGCTCCGGCGTCATTCCGCCCGTGGCGCTGCGCGCCGTCGTGTTGCCGCTCACCGGCGCAGTCGCAGACGGCATGCGCACCGCCCCCGGGACCGTCGCAGCGAGGTGCGCCGGCGCGGGCTGGTTCGCGGTCGACGGCGCGATGCTCTTCACCGGATACACGTTGTGCAGCGCGCCGGGCGGCGGCCCGCTCATCGTGCGCGGCGTCAGCCCCGCCGGCCCGCCAACGCTGCGCGACGCAGTCCGCGACGCGAGCGACGCGTTCACGTCCGACACGCCCAGCGCGTCCTTGATGTCGTCCAGCGACGTCCGCCCCTCCGCCGCCGCCCGCGCAACCACCCCGCCCCCGCCCTCCCCCTCCGCCGCGCTCCCCCGCAGCATCGCCGCCTCCATCGACAGAAACCGCACGCGCCGCTGCAGCTCCGCCGCCTCGTCGCCCTTGCGCTGCAGCTGGTGCTCCGCCTCCCGCCGCGCCGCCGCGTGCTCCGCCGCCTCGCTCTGCGCCGCGTCTAGTTTCCGGTACAGCCCCTGCAGCATCAGATCCTTCTCCTCGGCGCGCGCGCGGTCGCGGCCCCACATCGACCGCGCCTCGTCGCGCTCCGCCACCAGCGCGTCCGCGCGCCGCTGCTCGCGCGCCCGCGCCGCGTTCGCCGCCTCCAGCGCCGCCTCCGCCTCTGCCTGCGCCCGCCGCGCCGCCTCGATCTGCGCCATCGCGGCCTCCATCGACCCGCGGAGCTCGTCGATCGAGTCCATGTAGCCCGCGACCGTCGCGAGCTGCTGCTCCGCGGCCCCGAGCGACGCCACCGCGTCCGAGACCGCGGCCTCGACCTTGACCCATGACTCGCGCCCCGCCGCCAACGAGGGCGCGTCCTCCCTCAGCGCGGGGAGCCGCGAGGCCACGCGGCGCACCCACGCCATCCCGCCGGGGGGCACGAGGCCGTCGAACGCGTCGAGCGTCGCCGCCATCCCGCTGCCGTCGGCGCCGGAGCCAGAACCCGCCCCGCGCTGCTGCAGCGCGCCGTACTGCGCGAGCCGGTCGTACATCGAGTGCGACGCCGTCACCGCGACCTTCCGCAGCGAGGACTCGAGCCTGTGCGGCATCACGTCCGACACCCGCGCGAACGCCGCCTCCATGACGTCGTCGGGCACGTCCCAAATCGAGGCCGACGGAGACCGCGGAGACCCGCCCGCCTTCGCGCGCTCGCCCGCGCGCGCGGCCTCCTCGACGAGGACCTTCGCGGCCTCGAAGAACGAGAACCGCATCGCGTCCAGCAAGCCCCGCGCGACCCCCTGCAGCGCTGGAGCCAGCTCCGCAAGCATGGCTTCGAGCTCGAGCCCCGCGAGCTCGTGCGTGGGGGCCGCGGGCGCGGCGCGGGGCGGCTGCGGCTCCGCGGCGGCGGCCTCGGTGCTCTGCTCGGCCTGCGCGCGCTCTCGCGCCCAGTCGCGCGGCGCGGCGGCGGCGGCGGGGCGCGGAGAGGGCTCGCTGGCGTCGGAGGGCGCGGTGCCGGTCGTGGTGCCGGCCTCGCGCGGGAGGGCGTCGATGCGGAACGTCGGGTCGCGCGCCAGCAGCGGGGCCCGCGTCGACGCGCCGTCGCGCGGGGTGCTCGCGCCCGACGCCGCCGTCGACGTCAGCGGGGAGTGTCCGACCGAGGCCCCGGCGTCCTCCCGGGCGGACTCGGCGCGCGAACCGGCGCCGGCGAGCGCGGGCGTCGAGTGCCCGGACCGCGCCGGGCTGTCGGCCTGCTCCGGCGCCACACTGCGCACCTGCGGGCTGAGCGACACGCCGTGCGCGTCGCCGTTCGTCCCTGCGACCTCCTGCGCCGCCTGCTCCGCCTTGCTGCTCTCCGCGCCGCTCTGCGCCGCGCTCGTCGCAGCACTGCGCGCCCCGGGGCTCGTCGCCACCGCCGCCGCTGCGGGCTCCGTCTCGGCCGCCGCCGGCTGCGCCGCGCTCGGCTTCGCCGCTTCCGCCGCCGCGACCGCCGCGGCGCGCGCCTCCTCGAAGCTCATGCTGTTGCTCGCGAGCAGCCCCGGGGGCGGCTGCGGCGGCGGCGCGTGCTCCGGTGCTGCCGGTGGCGGCGCAGCCGACTCCGACCCCCCGGCCGGCTCGCTCGCTGACGCGCGCTCGCTCTCCGCCGCGGAGCTGTGCTCGATGACCGACTGCACGCTGCGCTCCGCCGCGCTCGTCCCCCGGCTCTGCGTCGCCTCGCCCACCTCCCGCGCAACGGCGGCCATCTCCTGCAGCAGCTCCTGGTCCGACGTGTTGTGCAGCCACGTCAGGTCCTTGCTCGGGGAGTCGTCCATCGCCTCCTGCGCGCCGTCCTGCGCCGCCGCGCCCTCGCCCGCGCTCCCCGACGCCCCCGGGGGGGTCTTCGCCCCCTCCCCCGCCGCCGGCTGCCTCTCCGCCGGTCCCTCCTCGCTCCCAGACCGCGCCTCGGCCTCCGCGCTCTCCGACTGCGGCGCCTGCCCTCCGGCCTGCTCCGCGGCGGCGCCGTCGCCCTCACCTTGCGCCTTGCTCGCCGCGTCGCTGCCAGATCTCCTTGGGAGACGGGCGTCGGCCGGCGGCGGCGCGCCAGCCTGCATCAGCTGCGGGCTCGGCATCGCGGGCATCGCCGGCGCGGCCTCGTCCGCGCCGGTCTCCCCGAAGCCCTCCCACGCGCGGGGTTGCCGTTGTGTCGCCGGGGGCTCTGCAGCGGCCGTCGGGGTGCGCCCCTGGCTCTCTTCCTGCATCAGCGACCGCCGCACGGTCGCGTCGAGCGCGGACGCGAGCGTCGGGCTCGTGATGTCGTTCGCGTCGGCCAGGATGGGCTGTTCGGGCGCGGCGGAGGGTGGTTGAGGGGGGGCGTCCGCGGCGGCGGCCGGGGGCGGCGCGCCGGTCGCGGGCGCGGTGTCGACGTAGCCTGGTGGATGTGCTTTCCACGCGGGCTGCTGCTCGCTCTCGGGCGGCGCGGGCGGGCGCTGCCCGGCCGTGAGCGTGTTCCCTGGGGAGGCCATCAGCGCTGCCGACGGCGCCGGTATGTCCGAGGTGTCCGCTTGCGCGGGGCTGTGGACGTCCTGCCCAGCGGGACTCGGCGGATGGCTCTGCGGTGCGATTGCGGGCCCGGCGGAGCGGTGTCAGGCTGCGAAGCAGCTCCAGGTGGCAAGCTGGCGCTGCGGGGCGCTCGGCAGGGCCCCGGCGCGAGGCGCACGACGGCCCCAGAAGGCGCGTGCACCAATGTACATGCCGGAACGAAGCTGCGCCGCGCGTGCCGCGCGCCACCGCGGCCGCAGCGAGCCGTGGCTGGCACACATGAGCAGGCGCTCACCGAGTCTCCGAGGTACTCCCCCGTCGACAAGCGCTTCCTGGGCCCGAGCTGGACGCGGTTGCGGTAGCGGTCTTCGACCTTCCGGACGCGAGCCATGCCGTCCGCGATGCGCGCGTCCGTGGGCCGGGGGTCGTGTTGGGCCCGCCCGTGCTGCGCCATGGCGCCCGTGAGCGCTCTCTGCGGGCCGGGACGTCGCGGCTGGCGCGTCAGCGGCGAGCGACGTGTGAGGAGGGCGCAGCGCCGCGGACGCCGGGGCGGCAGATGCGGCGAGGGCGGCACCGCACGCGAACGCGCGATGACAGCGTCGTGCAGGATCCGGAGTCGCTGTGTGCTCACGAGAGGCGGCGCGGAGGGCCGCGACGTCCGCTGCGAGGCCGTGCGTGCGACGGTGCGCGCGTGCCGCCCCGGGGGGGCGCCGCAGGGCTCGTGCCGGCCGCACGGGCGAGTTGCGAGGGGAGGGCGTAGAGGCTGAGCGCCGGCGAGTGTCGGACCTGGCGGCAGATGTGACCCGGACGCTCAGATGTATTTCGAAATGGACGGTTGAGTGGGGTGAGGTTGCGTCAGCGGGCGCGCGCGGCGGTCCCGGCAGCAGCACTCTATGGACTGCGGGGGCAACGATCGAAGCAGCCTGGTGCCTCGGACGCCCCTACGTACGCTGTCCCGGGATGCCTTGCGCCATGGGGATGCCGCGGGGCACCGCCATCCGCGCGTCAAGTGCCCCTGCGCGCCACGCGGCGACAGACTGACTAGGGGAGCCCACGAGTGTCCCTCCTTCCGTGTCAGACACCCAGCTGGGCTCTTGGGTGCCCCTCCGTGTGGAGCACGGCACACATGGCCGCCCGGACGTCGCAAACGCCAGCGTTACCGCAGCTACGCAAAGGACGGGGAGCGTCTGCAGGGCGAAGAGCGGGAGGGCGGGCGCGCCATGGGGCGGTCCAGGAGCCGTAGCCGCGACCGATACGAGTACAGGGGACGGCGGGACGGACGCGATGATGGGCGTGACAGGGATCGTCACGATAGATACGACAGGTGCGCCGCGCGTCCTCTTCGGCGCTGACCAGCAGGCCTCGCACGCGCAGCCCATGGGGTGTCCAGTGTGTTGCGTGCCATGCGTCGCTCACAGCAGAACTGAACGTCCAAGTCCTGCCTGGTCGCGACGGTTTGGCCAAACAGGACGCGCGCAGCGCCCGGGGTTGTCGCCAGGACGACAACCGCCCGCCACACCGCCCTCCCGCTGCGCTGCGTCGACCTCTGCAGGCGAGACAGATACGACGAGCGCAGGAGGGACAGGCGCGATTCGCGGGACCGGGATCGCGGCTACAGGGACAGGCCCGACCGTCACCGCAGCCGCAGCAGGAGCCGCGACCGGGGGCACCGCAGCGACCGCTACAGGTGCGGCTGCTCGAGACGGCGCACGATCACCCGCGTGCGCCAGCGTCGCCCCGCGCGCTCCTGCAGCACCCATATTGCCCACCAGCGGGCGGCTGCCAAAAACAAGTTTGAGTCACATGCAACGATTGCGCCGCGGGGTATGAGAGCGACCCCGCAGCCTCCGTGACATGTGCAGAGGTCGGGAGGATTCCGATCGGCGGGACAGCCGGCGGCGCGACGACGACCGCCAGCGCCGCTCCCGCACCCGCAGTCGCAGCCGCAGCCTCCCGCGCGGGCACGACAGCGGCGCGGACCGCCGCCGAGACGGCTCCCGGAGCCCGGACGTGCGCGCTGCGGCGCCTGGGCCGCCCGAGGACCAGCCGGGTCGCGTGGCGGTGCCGCTGAAAGCGCCGGTCGTTGGACCTGCTGTCAAGGAGGGGTTCTTCGGGGGCGCGGAGGAGGACGAGAGTGCGCCGCAGCCGACGTTCGCGCACGCACGGGCCAGCTACAAGCCGTCGTGGGTCCCCGGCGCGGACGACGCGGCGGGCGACGCCGGCGCGCCCGACGCCGCCCCATCGCCGGGCGCGGAGCCGGACAACGGCGCCGCAGACGATGACGAGGAGGACCCGCTTGACGCCTTCATGGCGGCGGAGGTGCGCTGCCCGGCATGCGACGCGTCCCACTCAGCCGCTCGTTGCAACCATGGGCACGCGCGCTGCACGTTGTTGTGCCGCACGCGTCGCTGACTGAGCTGTGCTCGGCTGGCCGCGTCGCGCAGGTCGCGCCGGACATCAAAGCGAAGGAGAAGGCCGAGGCCGAGGCGCGCGAGGCGGAGCGGCGGCGGCTCGCGGAGGAGCTCAAGCGCGGCGGGAAGCGGTTGCGCGGGGTGATCGACGAAGACGACGGGGAGGAGGACCCGGACGCGAACCCGGACCGCGAGATCGAGGTGCCCGCGAACAAGGTCAAGGCGATCGTCGGGCCCGGCGGCGCGCACATCCAAGAGATTCAAAAGCGCACAGGTGCGCGTGTGCAGATCAAGAAGTCGGAGGAGGACCTGTACGGGGAGAAGGCGTGGTTCGGGGCGAGCGGGGTCGGCGCGGGCGCGGGGGGGCTGGACGCGAAGGCGCGCGCGAGTCTCCAGAAAATCAAAGCGCAGATCCGCGGGGAGGGGGGGGAGTCCGGGGGCGCGGCTGAGGAGGGCGAGGGGGCGGGGCGGAGGCGGACGTCGGTGGTGATGCTGTTCGGGACGAAGCAGCAGTGCGACGCGGCGGCGGTGTACATTGAAATGGCCGTCGAGAACAAGGAGCAGAAGCAGAAGAACAGGCAGCGGCAGTATGACAAGAAGAAGGAGGAGAAGCGGCGGAACAGGGAGCTCTACCTGCTGCGGCACAAGAACGACTACCTCGCGCTCGGCGTCCCGGTCGGTGCGCCGAAGGACGAGTGCAAGAAGGCATACCGCAAGCTCGCCATCAAGGTGCGAGCGTGCGTGCGTGCGTGCGTGCACGGCGGTGCTGTTGTGTGTGGGTGTCCGGCGCGGATGCGGCGCTCGCGCAAGGTGGCGTTGGTGTTGTATTGTGTGGGTGATGTGTGCTGACGGTGGTGGTGTTGTTGTGTGTGCAGTACCACCCGGACAAGTGGGCGTCGCGGCCCAAGGAGGAGATGGAGGCGGCGGTGGCGAAGTTCCAGGAGATCCAGCGCGCGTTCGACTCCCTCATGAGCACCGACGAGGAGGCCACCATCGCGCAGCTCAAACACAACTGACCGACGCGGTTCCCATCACTCCCGCCTCGTGTAACCACGAAGCACGTAGCGCAGACAGCTGCACACATCCCACGCGTGTCACATTCCGTCCCCAGGCTGCACCTTGGCAGTGCGGAAGAAGTGCGGCGCAGCCTCCGTGAGCCACCTGGGGTCGACAGCGGCGACGTCCTGCATGTCGAAGACCCCCTCGGGACCCTGCGCGACGGTCGCGAACACCACCCACTCCGGCCGGCAGCGGAACAGCACGGACGCCGGGCCGATGCGCAGCACGGGCGGGTCGTCGCCCGCCGCCGTGCGCGCCCGCGACCGCACCAGCCGGTACCCTGCCCCGGCCTCCTGCTGCAGCGCGCTGCCCCCGTCCGTCGTGAGCACCGCCGCGCTCATGAAGAACCCCGCCACGAGCGCCCGCAGGACCACGTCGACCCCGCCCTCGCTCGTCGCAACCCTCAACCCCAGCCGCCGCATGTGCGCACAGAGCTGCGCGCGAATATCCGACACGCGCAGCATCGCCTTGTGGTTGATGCAGTTCCTGTGCGACCACTTCGCGGACCGCCCGGACTTGTTCCAACCCTCCCACACGTTCAGGTGGGTAATCAAGTCCCCCTCTGCCACCCAGAACTTCGCGCGGGCTTCCTCGAGGGCGCGCTGCCCGACGGCGCGCGCGGACATCCAGGGGGAGTGCACGCTCAGCACCGCGGCGATCGTCACGACCTCCTCGCCGCACCCGAGCTCCGAGGCCGCGCACAGCGCCCGGGCCAGCGCCGGCACCGTCGGCAGCTCCGACATCGCGGCCCCCAGCGGACTGGTGACGTGCGCGTCGCGGTCGAGCGCGCCGAGCGCGAAGAGCGACTCGAGCGCCCGCACCATGCACTCCGACGGCGGGGGCGAGAGCCACGCGAACGACATGATGGAGTCCACACCCAGAGCCTTTAATTGAAGGACGGTGGAGGACAGTTCCGACCGCTGCATCTCCGGGACGGACTGCGGCGGCAGGAGGTCGCGGAAGGCGTCCTCGGTGCACAGCCGGAAGCAGTGCCCCGGCCGCAGGCGTCCGGCGCGGCCGGCGCGCTGCACGGCGCTTTGTTTGGAGATGGGGGCGGTGAGGAGGGACTCGAGGCCGGCGAGGGGGTCGTAGACGCGCTGCTTGGAGAAGCAGCAGTCGACGACGAAGGTGACGCCTTCGATCGTGACGGACGTCTCGGCGATGTTGGTAGAAAAGACGACCTTGCGCTTTCCCCGGGGGGTGTCCTCGAACACCCTCACCTGCGCCTGCCACGGCAGGCCCGCGTACAGCGCGACGGGCATGAGCTGCAGGCTCGACACGCGGTTGTGCAGGCGGCGCGCCGAGTCGATCGCCATGCTGACCGCAGCCTCGCAGTCCTCCTGTCCAGTCAGGAACACCAACACATCCCCGGGAGTCCCCTCCCTGTGTATCCGCAGCACGGTCTCGACGGCCTCCCGCACGAAGTCCGACGCCGGCTCGCGCAGGTAGTGCACCTGGACCGGGTACAGCCGCCCCTCCACGCTCAGCGCCGCGGGACGCCCCCGGAGGCGTTCGGTCTGGCTGTGCGCCTTCTGGACGTCCCGCTCGGGGTCCGGCAGCGCGAAGAACTCCATGAACAGCCCTGCGGGCAGCCGGCGAGCGCAACGCCGTCTCGGGACCGAGCCGTCGCGAACGGCGCAACAACCGCCCGTATGCAGGTCGTGAGCGGTCGGCCTGACACGCTGCGCGGTTCCGATCGCGTGAACGGGCGCGTCTTATCTCTATCCGCACCTGCATCGATCGTCGCGGACGACACGATGACCCGCAGCTCCGGCCGCCGCCTCAGCACCTTGCGCAGCAGCCCCAGCAGCACGTCGGTGGCAATCGACCGCTCGTGCGCCTCGTCGACCATCACGACGCTGTACTTCGACAGCAGCGGGTCGTCGAGCATCTCGCGCAGCAGCACGCCGTCCGTGCAGAACCGCAGTCTCGTCTCCCCGGGCGTACATACGTCCTCAAATCGGATCGAGTATCCGACGGGGCCGCCGAGCCGGCAGCCCATCTCCTCGGCCACGCGGCGCGCGACGGACATCGCGGCCACGCGGCGCGGCTGCGTGCACGCGACGAGCCGCCCGCCCGCCGTCCAGCCCGCGTCATCGAGAAACTGCAGAATCTGCGTCGTCTTGCCGCTGCCGGTCTCTCCGACGACGACGACGCACTGGTGCTCCTCGAGGAGGTACAGCAGCTCGCGCTTGTACCTGCGCGGGCACGGACACGCAGCGGCGCCGGCGTTCGGTCACGCAGATGTCGCGGGCGTGGCTCCGCAGCTGCCTGCGTGTTTGCTGTGCTTTGACGGTGTGGTCGGCGGGGACGCGACGCGCGGCGCAGCGGGCGAGGCGGGACGCTGCGGGCGCGGGAGGGCGGTGCGCGCGGACGGGACGCACCGGTAGATGGGCAGTCTGCGGCGCTGCTCGCTGATCTCTAGGCCCTCGGAACGGTTGAACACGCGGCTTCCTACGTCTGCGTCCGCGGTGTCGCGATCTACGTCGAATGATATACCGAACGCGCTCGCCTCCTGCGTTCCGGGCCGCAGGAAGCCCGCCCCGCGCGACATCCCGCCCCTGCGCCTCCCTCCGGGCTCCCACACGCGTCGGTCAGGTCGCCATCGGCGCGTGCGGCCACGTCGACACAAGGACAGAACGACTCTCCGTCGTGCTCCGACACGATGTGGAGCGAATCGTTTCTACTCAGCGCCTTCTGAGCCTGAAGAGTGCTGCCGTGGCGCGTCTTGGAAACGACGAAGCCCCGTCGGTTGTCAGCCTTCAAACGATAAGCATGCACTCCGGGCTCCACGTGCGCTACAGGTCTCGTCCAGCCAGGCGGCGCACACGTCCAAAAAGCTGTCGCACGGTGCGCTGGCGTCAGTCTCCCGCCACAGTCCCCAGAGACCACCGCACGACAGCCTCCTGCGTCCTTCATGGCCGAGATACAACAGGTACCATGGCATACCTGTAACGAGGAAGGTCGCACAATCAGAGGCGCATGAAGACCCGTGACACAGCTGCGCGAGGACAACACCAGGAGCTCGGTTTCTTCCTTGCGTGACGACTGGACTTGCCGTCTCGACGCGCACAAACGGCAAGCAGACCCGCATAGCTCCGAGGCTCTCCTTGTAGCTGAAATTCAACAGACACCGCCGCAAGCATGCGGCCCTGTGCGCTGGCAACCTCATGGTCGAGCAGCAGGGCCGCACGGCTTCTGGCGGAGGCGGGTACTGAGGCCGGTGCGCAGGACGGGGGGTCACTGCAGCCAGATGTCCGGGACGAGGCGGAAACAGGGAGCGAAGCAGACGCCACGCCGCGCAATGCAACAGATGCTGTTCTCAAGAGCGATTCCAGGCCATATTTGCCGAGCGACGACGTGGTCGAGGTCATCCAGTCGTACGCCGTGTTCCTCCTCGTTCTCCTCATGTGCTTCCTGATCGGGAGGATCGCAGCGCTCGCCAAGCTGCCGCAAATCACGGGGAACCTCCTGGGCGGCGTGCTGGCCGGTCCCTTCGCGCTCGGGGCGCTCAAGCCGTGGCTGCTCGCCGACCTCAAGGACGTCGAGCTCGTCTGCCTGTCCCAGATCGGCATGACCGCCGGCTCCGAGCTGCACGTCCGAGAGCTCGCAAACAACAGAAAGCAGGTCCGCCCTCGCCCCTCCCCTCTCTCCCCGCCCTCCGAACCAGCGCCTCTCGCTCACGCCACGACCCCTCCGCACCTTCCGCCGCAGATCTTCGGCGTGGCGCTCGCGATGTTCTTCGGCACGTGGCTCGTGGTGTTTCCCACAGCGTGGTTGTTTGCAAACATGCTCCTGCCCGGGTACCTCGCCGACCTGAGCATCGGACAGGTCGCGGCCGTCGCGAGCCTCACCGCGACGCTCATGGGCTCGCGCTCCCCGGCCGCCGCCATCGCCGTCCTGCGCGACACCGAGTCCAGCGGGGCGTTCTCCAAGCTCGCCCTCTCCGCGATCATCGTCAAGGACGTCATCGTCATCGCGCTCTACGCCGTCAACATGGAAATCGCCAGCCTCCTCTGGACCATGCAGGACGAGCCGCCCGCCGGCCACGCCCCGTCGCTGCCGACGGTGCCCTCCGAGCTGCGGCTGGCGCTGTCGCTCAAGGAGCCGATCGCTGCGGTGCTGGCGTCGCTCCTCGTGGGCGCTCTGTGCGGCCTCGCGGTGTCCGCGGCGCTGCGGCTCGTCGGGGCGGCGGTCGGGGACCTGCGGGGCCTCGCAGGGGTTCACCCGGAGGGGGGAGTGAGCCGGGGGCACGCTGGACGAATGTCGCTTCTGCGCGCCGTGGTGGTGGCGCCCGCGTCGCCGATCACGTGGTACCTCGCGGAGCGCGCGGGGGGCGAGCCGCTGCTGGCGTGCGTGGCCGCGGGGGCCGTCGCGGTCAACGTCAGCGAGTTGCGACCAGGCAAGGTGAACTACGAACGCGCCGCGGTGGACGCGACGCTCCGCAGCCTCAGCCCGGTCGTCAACCTGCTGTTCTTTGCTCTGACTGGTACGTCCGACGCCCACCTCGTCGCCTGCCCGGCCGCTCGTGCCAGAGACAGCCAATGCGATGAGAAGCTTCCATGCCGCCTGTGCACTCGTGCAGGCGCGAACCTGCGTCTCGACGCCGTCGCGACCGCGGTGGTGGGCGGCGCGCTCGTGTTCGCGGCGCGGCTGGTCGGGCTGGCGCTCGCTGACGTCAGCACCTCGTGGTTGCTCGTCGCGCCACAGTGGCGCACCATCATGTGGGCGCCCTTCGTCACGCAGGCCGGCTGCGCGATGGGCCTCGCGCGCGCGGCCGCGACGCGCTTTCCCGGCTGGGGCGACGACCTCGCGACGTCGATGTTTGCAGTCATCGTGATCAACAACGTGTTCGGGCCTCCCTTGTTCCGATTCGCGCTTGCGAGGGCCGGCGAGATCGGCGGCGACAAGCTGCCGAGGTCCCACGCCAACGGCGCTGCGGGGCAGCACGGCGCGGTGCCGCATTCCACTTAATTTGCCTCGGCGGCGGGGGCGCAGACACCGACACACGGAGAGGGATGTGCAACGGCTCTAGCCCGCAGCGAAGGACTGCGTTGCGAGCCGCGAGACTCGGCGGGGCGAGCACCACATGCTTACAGCGTCTGTGACCGGACTGCGAGGTCGTCACGCCCGTGCGTGTGCCGCGAGTGCGGGATCTGTGTCTGCGACGATAAAAGCAGACGAGTTTCGACGATGTCCCGCGCACGCAAGCCCGCTCGTCTCGAGTCCCGCGCGCCCTACAGCTCCACGACGCGCCGCAGCCCCCGCGCGCGGAAGAACGAGTGCCGCGCGCCCGGCATCGATCCCGACGCCTGCAGCCGGGCGCGTTTGGCCGGCCTCTCCCCCGCACCGCCCCACCCGGCCTCCTTGTCGTCCTCGTCCGCCTCGAACTCCACGGGCACGGCGCGCTCCTCCAGCAGCTTGGCGCACGTCGCCCACGAGAAGCGCACCAAGTTGGGGAAACCAAACACGGCGTCTACGTTGTTGGCCAGCCAGGCCTTGGTGGCGGGGTCCGACGGGTACCCGGACCCGAGCTTCCCGTCCGGCGCAGAGCCCTCCTCGAAGCGCTCCTCCCACGCGAAGTTCGCGATCTGCACGCAGGCGGAGCGTTGCGGCCACGTCGAAGCTATCGCAGGCAGCTATGCGCGCGGCGACCGTCGCCGCCAGGCTGGTACTGCTTGTCCGGGGTCGCAGTGCCTCGGAGCGGGCGCGTTGCAGGCTGTGTGGGGCGGCGGGGCCCGTGCGTGGTCGCGGGGGGGCGCGGTCGTGGTGCGCGCATGATCCGACCACACACCTGTCGGTCCCTGGTGACTTTCGCGGCGATGGACGCGGCGCTGACGATCGGGTACAGCGCGTCGGCCTTCGACCGCACCGTGAACTTGATCCCGGAGAACATTTGCGACAGCTTGTCCTGCGCAACGCGCGTGGCAGCAAGATCGGATCATGCAAACAGCCGACAGCGGGCCCCCCCGCGCGCCACGCGCCGCCTGCGGCCCAGAGCAGGCGGGCGCAAGCGCCGGCGACCTCCTGCGGTCGCGGGCGCACCTCGTACTTCTGCGCCGCGCCGACGGTGTCCACGTAGACCTCTGTGAGGTTCACGCCCGCGTCCAGGCACGCGCGAATGAGGCCGAAGGTCGACTCGTTCGCGATGACGTTCAGGCTGATCTTCTCGAACGCGAGCATCTGCGCGGAGATGGTCGCGGCGCTCAGGGAGTCGACCAGGAACCCGAGCCGGGGGTCGTTGAGCAGGTCCTCGAACAGCGTGTCTCTCCGCTCCTCAGTCAGCGCCTTCGAGTCCGCGAACCCCTTCTTCTTGAGCGCCTCGAGGTCTGCGACGGGGCAGAACGCCACCCCGTACACCATGGGCCCGAGAACCGGCCCTCTCCCGGCCTCGTCTGCAGTCACAGCACGGTGTGGCGCACTCCTCGTGCCCGCACGCGATCGCTAGGCCGAACCGGGAAGCAACTACCGCGGTGCAGCACAGGTCAGTCGTTCGGCCGGACTTGGGGAGCGTGGGAACGGCCGAAAGCACACTGCTTCGCGGGCTTTCGGCCAGAGACTGCGGAAATATGAACAGCAAGTCGAAAGAGCGCGGCCCAACGGTGCCAGGGTCCTCGAAACACAATTTCCGCGCACCTACGCCCAGAATGCATGGCTCACGGAGCCACTCCTGCCCCTTGAGCTCCTCGAGACGCATCGTGCTCGCTGCGCGAGGCGCTCAAAGTTGCTGCGCTGCCGTTGGCGCGGGCGGACCGAAGCGCCTGTCTGGCGACCCTCTGGGCCCCGCCGACACCTCGTGCTGCCGTGGAGATGACAGGGGTCCAGCCGGAACGATGTCGCGTGATCGGCGTGCCTCGAGGACGCGTGCGGACGTGCAGTGGGCGGTGACAGCAGAGGAGCGGCCCGGGTCCCTCGACAGCGCGATAAATACCGAATCTAAGGTGCCCCGGACGTTCTCAGACTCCCAAGTGTCCGCGACAGCGGCGGGGGCCGCGAATGAGGCGGGTCCCGAGCAGAACGGCCGCCGAGATCCCCCGGGGAGCGGCACCAGGTCGGGCGGGCGTTGGGCGCTGGGCGGGTCCTCCCGCCTTCGAGCGCGCGGTGCCGCTGCGGTGCGGGTGCATGTCGATCGCTTCCTGGGCGGCCGGGTCGCGTCCACGCCCCACGCCGCCGCGACGTTGGGTGCATCTCAGGGGATCCTTGCGGGGCCCTGCGAGCCCTGTGCGGGGCGATCACGCGCGTCAGCAAGCATGCGGCTCGCCTGGTGACCACTGCGGCAGATAGATAGCCAGCGCACCGCGTGCGGCGGAGCGCAGGGGTTGAAGTGGCATTGGTCACGCCTTTCACGCTTCGTACCGCCGCGCTGGGTGACGTCCCAGCCTCTGTCCCGGCGAGATGATTCCCGACAGGCTCCTGCTGGAGGATGACGACCTCCGAACGAGCTGGTGCGCCCGCACGTCCCGCGGCCGGACGCATGCTGTTGCGCCTGCACCTGGGGGCCTGGGCGAGGCCCGAGGCGCTTGGCCGGCGAACCTGGCCTGCCGCAAACGTGCACCGTCATGCCACGCGGCAGACGCATGCCGCCGTGGCCGGGAGGCTCCGCGCAGCGGCCGTCCTAGGCTGCAGGCCCTAGCGACATCGTTTCCGGGGATTCCTGACTCAAGAAGAGCCCAAGTGTCACTTCAATGCAGGACCGGCGTCAAGGTGTCGATGACGGAGCTAGAGTACCCGGACACGCTCAATTTCAACGAGTTTCTGAAGGTGTTGCAGGCCATGAAGGCGTATGAATCACACTCGGAGGTAAACCCGGCCGCTGCGGCCCCCGCCCGCACCCACGCGGCCAGCTTATTCGATCCCCTGGGTGTACGCTCGCCCGCGGCGGGCGATGCGATGCGCAGCGGCGTCGGAACTCGCGGTCCGAGCCCCCACCGACCTGCAGGCCAACACGCTGTTCCAGGCGGTCAAGCTGAACTCGCGCGGCAACGCGGTGAGCCTGAACGGCCTCGAGGCGGTCGCGTACCTCTTCGCGGAGAACCTGAAGCCCGTGTACGACGCGCACGTCCAGGCGGCGGCCGAAGCCGACCACCATCGCGGGTCCCTCGACGCCCCGCGCGGCCTCCCCGTGGCCTCCTTCCACCGCATGATCCTCGCGAGCTGCCTCAACGAAGAGTCCGACCTCGCCGAGCCCCCCGAGGGCGCCGAAACCTTCCTGCCCGAGCAAATCGAGGCCGTCCTCGGCAAGTTGCCACTGCACGGGCGCGCTGGCCTGCCGCGCCCGATGACCTTCAAGGACTTCCACCTCGCGCTGCTCTTCGTGTCCGAGGCGACTGACGTGCCCTTCCACGTCCTCGCCAGCGCGATGCGCGACGTCGAGCCCGCGCGCGGCGGCGAGGCGGACGAACACGGCGACGCGGTGCCTGCGTTGCTGAACGACATGGGCGCCGGCATGCGGGGCCTGGGGCGGTCGGCGAGCATCGGCCCGGGCGCCCTTGCGCGCACGACGTCGGGCCTGACGCGCGCGACGCCGGGTCTGGCGCGCACGGCGTCGGGCGTGTCCCGTAGTGGGCCCGCTCCGTCGCTGGCGCGTTCGCAGACGATCGCGTCCGGGGCGAGCAGCCGGGAGATGCTCAGGGGCGGGGGCAGCAAGCGGGACGGGCTGGCGAAGACGGGGTCGCGCAAGGGGACGATGGGCGCGGCGGGCGGGCCGGCTGGCGGGGTGCGCGCGGCGGCGGACGAGGCTTCGGAGGCGCTGAGGGCCGTGGGGCAGAAGGTGGAGGCGATCGAGCAAGTGCTGGCGTCGCGGACGACGCAGGCCTCGTCGCGGAACCTCATGGCGGGGACCTCGGTGCGGAGCATGGCGGCGGCAGGGCGCGCGGCGTCGTCGCGCATGATGCTCGCGTCAGGCGGGTCGCGGCGCGACGGCCTCCCGGCGCGCTCGTCGACGATGCGCGGGACCACGATGGCGGGCCGCGCGAAGGCGGCGTCGGTCGCGGGCGCGGGCGCGGGGCCGAGCCGGATGTCTTGGGAGAGCAGGAAAGGGGGGGGGTCCGCGCCGGGGGCGCTGAAGCCGTCGGAGGTCATCGACATCGACGGCGGCCTCGCGGAGCTCTTCGGCGTGCTCGCGGACACGGAGTACCTCACCCCGGGCCCCGACCAGCCGCCGCTGGAGGACGGCACGTACCTGCCGGTGCAGGCGTTCCGGTCGCTGCTCGAGAAGCACGGGCTGGAGCTGAACCCGTACTGGGCGCAGAGCGTGTTCACGACGGCGCGCGAGCGCGTGATGGAGCGCGGCGGCCGCGCGGGCCCGATGCACTACGGCGGCGCCGACGTCATGTCGCAGGAGGTGTTCATCGAGGCGGTGCACATCGCCGCGGACGAACTGAGCCGGCGGCCGCAGGACATGAAGGCTGCGCTGATCACGGGCGGCCGCCCCGACGGCCTGCAGAGCATGCGCTCCATGAGCATGCGCCGTAGCAGGCTGGCGTCGGGAGCCAACGAGTCGTTCGGGGACGGGAGCGCGGAGGAGACCCCCCCCGAGGCGCCGCCGATCCAGGGGCGCCAGCGCGTGCTGTCGTACGCGAACGTCACGCCGACGTCGGCGCAGGAGACGTCGTACGAGGAGAAACTGCGGGAGCGGCTGCGGGATGCGTTTGAGGCCTTCGCGGCGTCGAGCGGGGGCGGTCTGGACGTGCGGGCATGGACGGTGTGGCTGCGGCGCGCGGGGCTGGACAACGACCTGGTGACGGCGATGGGGGACGCGGCGGCGGCGCGGACGATCATGGACCAGGTGGGGCGGGCGTCGACGGGGAGCAAGCTGGACTTCGGGGCGCTGGAGCTGGCGTGCGAGAAGGTCGCGAGCGCGCTGAAGAAGGACGCGACGTGGGTGCGGGAGCAGCTGTGCGACGCGTGACGTGCGCGGCGGCACGGGGCCGATATGTGACTTCACTGACCGCGAGGACTCGCTGGCCCACACGTCCGTCCTCACTGCGAGTACCTCGGAGACCTCGAGTCACGTCTGACGCACACAGCACCATCATGATGTTTTACCACCGATGGAGAGCATGCGAGACCGAGGTAGTGCGGCAGTGATTCAACGACGATCGCAGAATCGAGCAGGCGGCGCGGCGGCGCGGCGTCACATCGGTGCGCGCCCCGCGGCGGTCTCATGGGCGGTCGTTGAGGTTGGCGCTGTCCATCGAACGCCACCACGCGCACCCCTCGAACTTCTTTGTCGTGTTCGCCGCGTCCTCCTCCGCCGTGTCCTCGTCCGGGCTCTCGACGACGACGTCGTCCTCCAGCTCGCGCGTCCCGCGCGCGACCGGGTGGCGCGCCGGGGCACTGCGGCGCTCCAGCGCGGGCCGCGCCGGGGCCTTTTTCGGCGTGCCGGCGGAGGCGTCCCCCGCGGACTTGAGCGCGAACGACATGAACTCCTTCGGGAGCGTGTACGAGCGGGATACGGGGTACTTGCGTCCCTCGGGCGCGTCGGGGCGACCCGCCGCGCGTCCGTGGCCGCTGCTGTGTGCGCTGCCGGGGCCGCCGGGGTAGTGGTCGGACCGTGTGGCCGCGGAGTCGCGGTGCGGGTGCGTCGCGCGCTGGTCGGCCGGGCGTTCCGCGTGCGCAGCGTGCGCAGCGTGCGCCAGGTGCGCCGTCTTGCTGAGACGCATCAGGTTGATGTCGCCCCGGAACTGCTCCTGGGTCTCGTCGCGGTCGACGAGGTTGTTTGGGACAGCATGCGGCGAGTTGCTGTCCCAGCCGGGTACCAGGGACCCCATGACTGCGTGGGCGGTTGGGCCGAGCGGGGCAGTTGCGCTCAGGCTCAGGCCGAGGTCTCCGCGCCAGGAGAAGGCCGCGGGGGGTGATTGGAGAGGCTGAGGGAATAGTTGAGCTAGAAGGGCGTGCTTCGCGACCACGACGATGACTGTCAGGCGGGAGAAAGCGCTCCGTCGGGCCGGTATGAGTCAGCATCGATTTCCGGAAAGCGCAGCGTTCGAGCCGCGCCATGCGCACGTCAATGCCGCTATAGCTCGTTTATGCCCAGATGAGCGCGGAACAGTGGCGAAAAAGCGCGGAACGTCGCGAATCACGCGACGCGGGCACTGGAATCATTACCTGGGTGGTTGGCGAGTTTCCGCCTCGCTCCCTTGATTGGATCGCTTGAATGGACGTGTCTGTTCGTATATATCGATTCTGAGCCAGCTGTGACGCGCACACTCCCTCTCATGCCCCTCAACGAACGAACGCCTCGCCCCACCAGGTGGCACCTGAGCACAGCACAACACACACCCGGGGGGCGTCAGGGGGGACCTCCCGACCCCCCCTTCCTGTCGCATCTGCCAAAGCCACGCCCCGCAGGACCACGCACCTCCCACCGACACGCCCAGCCACGTCGCCCCCGTGCCCGCCGCACCGCCGTCGCACAAGGCCACACGCACCACCCCTCCGCCACGTATCGACACGAGCAACGCACGGCGTCACACCGGGCACGCCGCCCCGCGCGCCCTCACCCGCCCCCCACCAGCGCCGCGAACTCCGCCCGGATGGCGTCCACCTGCTCCCCCAGCGCCTTGTGCTCCGTCTCGAGCTCCTGAATCTCGTGCCCGGCCTCCTCGATCGCGTCCTGGCTCTCCGCGGCGCTCTCCTGCTCCCGATGCGACCCCCCCGCGCCGCTCCGCTCCATCCCCGACCGCACGCTCACGCCCTTGAGCCGATGCCGCCGCCCGTACTCGAGCGCCTTGCTGCGGAGCGCCTTGGACTCCTCGATCCGGTTCTGCTCCGTCTGCTTCTTCTGCTGCTCCAGGAAGTCCGCCGCGCCGCGCGGCAGCGCCTTGGCGCGCGCCTTGGCCTGCTTCCCGTACGCGAGCGCGCGCTCCCGCCGGGCGCGCTGCTGCGCGATGCGCTCCTCCTGCAGGTCCGGCCCGAGGCGCCCGAGCATCTTGTACTCCTTGTCGTCCTCGTACTTCTGCTTGTACTCCTCGACCGATATCGGCTTGTACTCGACCTGACGCGGGTACGCATGTGCTGTGGGGGGCTGGTACTGCGCCGCCTCGCGCCGGGCCGCCGCCGTGGCCGCGCCGCTCGCCGCTGGCGCCGCGCGCCGCCGTGCTTCGGCGCCGCGGCGCCCGCGGGGACGAACGCGCCGCCGATGCCGCCAGCGTCGCCGTGCCCGCCGCCCGCCGCCGCGTAGCTCCCCGACATTCCCGGCGGCTTCCCGAGGCCCGCCGCCTGCGCGAACGCCTTCTGGTAGGCCTGCTGCTCCGCGGGGGACATCGCAGGCATGAACCCGGGCATCGCTGGTGGCACACCCCCCCCCCAGCTGCCACCGACGCCCCCAGGCATCCCCGCCCCCGGCGGCATCCCGCCCATCATGCCCCCCATCGGCGGGAGGTTCTCCATCCCGGGAATCATCATCGGCGGCATGCTGGGGTCCATCGGCATGCCCCCAAACACCCCCGGGGGGGGTCCCGCGGCGCCGTTGCCGCGCCGCGCCGCGCCGTTGCCCATCCCCGCGCCGCCGGGCGCGCCCATCATCATGGGAGGCATGCCCATGCCCATCGGCGGAGGCATGCCGCCACCGTAGTCGGGCATGCCCATCGACGCCCCCGGGGGGAGTCCTGCGACGTTCGCGGCCGCGGCGAGGCCGAACGGGTCGTTCTGCGCCGCGGACGCGTGCGCCTGCCGCCACCCGCCCTTGGTCGGCGAGCTCTTCGCCGAGCCGTACGTGTCAGGCGCGGCGCCGGCGTCGCTGGTGCGCCGGGAGCGTCCCTGACGGCGGCCGTGGCGGTCGGCGACCTCGTCGACGACGCGGAACCCCGCCCCGCGCTCGCGCGCGCTGCCGCGGACCTCCGAGGGCGGGAGCGCGGACCCGCGCGCACGGCTGCGCGACCTCGAGCTGTCGCGCGCCGCAGCGGGCGGCGCGTGGGCCTGCGTGCTGCGCGCCGGGGCGCGTCCGCGCGGCGCGGCGTTCGTGCTGGCCGAGGTGGCCCGGGAGACGTTCGAGCGGGCGCGCGGCAGGCCCTGTCCGGCGGGCACGGCCGGGTCCTTGCCCAGAAAGGAGATGAGCTTGCCCAGCAGGGCGAGAGCCGCGCCGTCCTCGGCCGCCATGATGGCGTCGGCCTCCCTCTTGGTCACGGGAACGCCCTTCTTCGCGGAGATGCGCAGGAGGAGCTCCCAGTTGGCGGACTTCTTCTGGACGGAGGTGGCGTGCTCAAAGGAGTGCATCGACACGTCGTCGGGGAGGAACCGCGACAGGATTTCCGCGAAGAGGAAGCCCGTCGCGAAGTCCCTGCGTGGTGCGGCGCGGCGGGGCGGTCGCGAGGGCGTCGGAGGCCGCGTGCGCGTGCAAGGAGGGGACGCGGGCCGATCCTGAGACAGTCGCTTGCGTGCGGCTTCGCGCGCCACTGGCGGGGGGAAGCAGGGCCCGCGTGCGCGGAGCGGGCGTGGTGGATGAGGCTCGTGGCCGAGGGGGGGCGCTTGGGCCGTGAGCGGCGGGTTCCGGCCGCGAGCGCGCAGGGAGCATGTTGACAGAGCGCGCAGCTGGGGTGGGCCGCGGCGGGGCCGGGGCGCACCGTTTGGGGTTCTTGATGGGGTAGCTGAGGTCCAGCTTCTGCACCCATTTCAGCTGTTCGCGGCTCAGGCCCGACATCGCCGCCGACGGTCGCAGGGCGCCGCGAGTGCAGCAGCGAGGTCGTGAGGCGCCTGCGCCGCGTCGTCTCCGCGGCGCGGGGCGTTGACCGCGCGCGGGCCGGTTCCCTGAAATGTGAGCGTTCGACGAAGACGCGCGAGAGGCTCTGTTGGAACGCTCGCGGGCCTCCCGGGCAGCCCCGAGGACACAGCCAAGCCGCGGCGGCCTATCTGGGATCTACGCGGGACTCGACCGACACTCTGAGCGCCTTGGGCACGGTGATGCACGCGTGGGCGCCGCACGAGGGCAATGAGCCGCGGCAGGAGAGCCCCACAGTCGTGGAACAACACGCTCCCCCCGACACAAGAAGAAGACCACTGCGACGCCTTCGACCGCGCTCGCGACATGCCTGGCAACTGCACCGGCGTCCTGCGCGCACACGCGAGCTCGTCCACGAGCGGGCGCCATGCAAGCACGAAACCACCTCTCAGGATCAGAAAACAGACACACAAATATATATATGTTTCGTCGAGTCGAGACAAAACAGGACCCAGGCAACAGAGGCGACCCTCGGCTGGCTGCCCACCAACGCACCACGCAGGTTCGCGGCCGCGTCTCACACGAGTGCCCGGCGCGTCAGCGGAACAGCGGCACGCCCGCCGGCGGCGCGGGGGGCGCGGGCACGGAGAGCAGGCCCATCGCCCACGCGCCCTGCGTGAGCGGCCCGAGCGTGAGCGCGCCCCCGCCGGCCCCCTGCGCCGCCGCGGTGCCCTCCTGCAGCTCGAACACCTCGGGCCGTGCCTCGATCAAGTCCACGTGCTGCTGCGACGAATAAAACCCCTTGGCCGCGTCCGACGGCAGCGACACGGCGAGCATCGTCGCCATGACGTGCTGCGCGAGCGGCGTGGAGAGGCGGTCGGACTGCGGCGCCGCGAGGGAGACCCCCTCGGCCGTCTCGAGGCCGCGCAGCAGGGCGCTGTGGAGCTCCTCCTGCACGGGAACCATCGGCTCCGTGTTGTTCTCGGTCTCCCCGGACGGCCGCGCGCTGCCGGTCTCGGGCCGCGACCGGCGCGCGCGCCCGCCGCGCCCGCCGCGCCCGGGGGCGTCGACGTCGACGTCCGCGCCCTCGCCCTCGCTGTCCTCGCCCATCTCCGCGCACGCCGCCGCGAGGTTCCCCAGCGCCGCCGCCGCGTCCTCCACCGCGAGTCCCTCCGCGTCACGCCCGGCCCCGCGCCGCCCGCCACGCCCCAGGCGCGCCCCGCCACCGCCGACGACGACGGCGCCCGCCCCCGCCGCCTCCGCGAACCCCACGCCCTCGTCGTGCATCGCCCGGCGCGCCCCGGCGCGCTCCGCCACGCTCATCGACGCCGGGTCCCGCGCACCCTTCTTCCCGGCGCCCCGCCCGCGCCCCGCCGCGCCGCGCCCGTCGCCCGCTCCGCCGCCACAGCGCCCCCGCGGCCCTTCCCGCCCTTCCCGCCCCGGCCCTTCGCGGCCGCCTGCTCGGCCATCTGCTGCTTCGCCGCCGCCGCCGCCGTCGCCGCCGCGTCCGCCGCGAGAATGGCCTCCATGTCGGCAGCAATAGCATTGTTCTGCTCCTTCTCGGCCGTGCGCAGCTCTCCCCGCGTGACGCGCCGCGCGCGCATGTGGCCCGACTGCGTGCCGGGCGTCACCGCCCCGCCGCCGTCGCTCAGCCGCGCCGCCGCGGCGAACACCCCCCCCGAGAGCAGCCCACTGCCCCCCGCGCCCGTCGACCCGGGCCCCGCCTGCCGCCGCTTCCCGCCGGTCTTCGGACGCTGCTCCGAGTCCGACGCCGGCCCGGAGTCGTCCCCGCCCGCCGTCACCCGCGGCCCCTCGCCCGCCCCCTCCCCCGCGCCGCTCGCGCCCTCCGTCTTGCTCGGCGACACCTTCCGCGCCTTCTTCCGCGCCGCCACCGCCTTCCCGCGCCCGCGCCCGCGCCCGCGCCCAGCAGCCGGCGCCGGCGCCACGCTCGCCCCCTCCGTCGCCGCAGGCCCCTCCCCCTCCTCCTTCCCCACCACACCCAGCTCCTCCGCCAGCACGCTCACGTCGTGCCCGGCCACCGCCGGGTCCGGCCCGGGCTCCGCCGCACCGCCAGCTTCCGCGGCCGGCTCCGCGCCGCCCTCCGTCTGCGTCCGCCGGCGCCGCGGAGCCTTCTTCGGCGCGCCGTTCCGGGAGCGCTTCGCGCCCGCCGTGGCCGCCGGCGGCTCCTCCGGCGCCGCCTCCGGCGCCGCCTCGGGCGCCGCGGGAGACTCCTCGGCATCGTTCCGCTGCGCCGCCGCCTCCCCCTCGCCGTCCGCGGCCGCCTGCGCCTCCAGAGCGGCCCGGACCGCCCGCGCCGCGCTGCGCTGCCCCGCGGCCCCGCGCGCCCGCCTCGCGCCCGCTGCTCCCCGCCGCACCGCCGCCGTCGGCCTCCTGCTGCGGGCTCCGCTCGCCGCCCGCCCCCGCCCCCGCAGGCCCCGCGTCCGACGCGTCCTCCTCGCCACCGTCCTCCAAGTGCCCCCCGTGGCTCCCGTCCGCCTGCTGCTGCTGCTGCTGCTGCTGCTGCTGCTGCTGCTGCTGCTGCTTGGCGCCCCGCTTCTCGCCGCTCGGCGCCTGGTGGTCCCCGCCGGGCGACGGGTTGCCCGTCCCGCCCCGCGGCTCCCATCCGCCGTCGCCCAGGTACCGCCACTCGCGCCCCTTGTACGAGCCGCGCCAGATGCGGTCCGACGACCGGCCGACCCACTCGCACGCGTACCTGTCCTCGAGCCCGCAGTACTCGACGAACACCCTCTCGCGGGTGTGGTCGAGGACCTTGGCGCGGTACCACGCCCCGTCCTTGAGGACCATGGGTAGCGCGCGCACGTACAGCGGGTGCCCGGGCTTGATGCGGTCCGCCTGCGCCTCGTCGTGCTCCGCGGCGGCGCCCTCGGGCGGCGACGGCGCGGGCGTGGGCTTGGCCGACGCGTCGGTCGTCGCCGGCTCGCCCGCCGCCGCCGCCGCCCGCGGCCCCGCTTCGGCCCCGCGGCCTTCCCGGACGTCACCGCCGCGGCCGCCGCCGCCGCGGCCGCCTCCGCCGCCTTCCGCGCGGGCCGCGGCGCCCCCCGCTGCGTCTGCGGCGTGGGCGCGACCGGCGCGGGCGTCTCCGCGGGCTCCGGCTTCACGGCCGCCGGGGCGCCCGCGGCCGCGCTCGCCGCCGCCTGCTTCTTCCGCCCGCGCGTCGCGCCGGCCTTCCCCGCGCCCTCCCCGGCGTCCGTCGCCGGCGCCCGGCGCGGGGCGCTCCGACGCCTTCGGCGGCGCCGCGACGGGGCTGCTCGGCTCCGTCGCGCCCCCCGCCGGCGTGTCCGTCGGCCCACGCTGCCGGCGCGTGCGCACGGGCGGCGCCTCGGCGTCCAGCTGCTGCTGCAGCCGGCGCGCAAACTCCTCGTCCTCGTGCTCCCGCCGGCGCCGCTCCTCCTCCGTCTCCCCCGCGACCGCGCCTGCGTCCTTCTTCTTCGCGTGCGCGCCGCCGGGCTCCCTCGCGGGGCCCTCTCCGCCCCGCTTCGGCCCGGGCGAGGACGCCCGTGGCTCCTTGTCCCGCCTCGCGCCGCGCGCGTCGTCCTTCTTGGCGTCCCGCGGCGGGGAGCTCTTCGGCGCCGGCGCGGGCGGGGCGTCGGGCTTCTCCTCCGCGGGCTCCGGGCCGGGCGCGCCGGCGGGCGGGGCCGCGGGAGCGCCCGCGGGCGAGCCCGGTGCCGCGGGGGGCGGGCTCGCGTCGCCTTCCGCGGTCATGAGGGCTGCTGCGCGCCGTCCGGGCGGGCGGGGGCGTGCAGCGGCTGGTCAGGCGCCGGGAGAGGGCGCCTTGCGGTGGGACGGGGCCCGGACGGTCCCTGCGCGCGTGCAGAGGGCGTGCGGAGCGGTGGGGGGCGCTCATCAGGGCGGGAGCGGCCCGCGTCTCGGTTGTGCGGCGCGGAAGCGATCGCGGGGGGCGGCGGCGGGTATGGTGGATCGGGAGCGGGGGCAGCGCCGGGCGCGCACGGACCGCACGCGACGCGAGGTGCGCGAGAGGCTCGGGAGGCTCCAGCGGGCAGAATCTCCCGCCGGGGCCGTCGCGCCCGGCGCGCGCCCCGCGCGGGTGGAGACGTGAAAAGCAAGGAAGCGAGACGAGCGGAGTCGGCGCGCTTTGACGGGCTGCGCAGGTCGCGAGAACGCACCGAAGCGAAACCTCGATGCGCTCCGCCTCGTTCCCGCTCTTCGTCGCCCCTCGCGATCAAGCCGTGATTCCCAGCTATTTCTAGAACCGCGTCGCGGCGATCTGCGCGTATATCTGTCCCGCGGCCCGGCGCACGCTGCCTGTGCCCCTTCCTGGCAAGCGAGCCTCCACGGTGTCCCCGCGAGCCCGCGAACCAGCCTCGAGCAGGGTTCCTTATCACGCGTCGTGCCTGACGCGCCCACAGCGCCGCCCAACGTCGCGCCCGCGCCCCAGGCCGAGTCAGCACAGCGGCACCTCCCCCCCGAGTGCTCCCGTCCCCCGCGACACCCCCATGGGCGGGCCTCGCGGGGCGCGCGCGGCACTCGCGATCCGCCGTGATAGACGACCGTGCACTGGCGATCGACGGAGCCCGCACGCTGCCGCGTGGGAGCCACGGAGGCGCGTTACGTGCCCCCGGGACGGGCAGCTGCGCTGCGCGCGCGACCTGGGAGCGCGCGCGCGCACGTCGCGGATCCGTGGCGCTGCTTCTGGCCGGGTGAGAGCGTTTCGCGGCGATGGATCCGCTGCGGGCGGCCATCTCGCGGCGGGGAGCGCATCTGAAGGAGCTGGTGGAGGCGCTGGTGCAGGTGGCGTCGGAGGGGCCCGGCGCGGCGCGCCTCGGCGACGATGCGGCGAACACCGTCGCAGGTGCGACCCCGCGCTTCCAGGGAGCCCCGCGATCCACGCCACGCGCGGCCCGCCCGCGCGCCCCGCTTGCGCCGCGCGCTGCCTCGGGGCTCACGGACGGCGCCGCTCCGGCCCCCGCCGCCCGCAGCGGTGCTCCTGGTGGCTGCCCTGCTGTCGTTCGGTCCGTCGCGGAGGGCCGCGTGGCTCGTGCTCGACACCGCGCTGGCCACGGCGCTGCTGCTGCTGCTCGTCGCGCTGGTGGTGCTGGTGGCCGCGTCGATACCGCTCGCGCTCGCCGCGCTGCTGCTGGGCCCGCCTGCGGCCGCGGGGTGCCTGCTGGTGGGCGGCGTGGACGGGGCCGGGCTCCCCGAGACGGCGTGGGGGCGCGCGTGTGCGCCCGTGGCGGGGGGGCGGCGCGGTGGGCCGCCGCGGCGCTCGGGCGGTGACGCGGGCGGCCTGGCCGTGCGGGCCGCGCGGCGCGCGCGACGCTGGGTCCGCGCACAGGAATGACGCGTGTACGCGTGTAGCGGGGGGGCTCGGCAGCGGCGTGTGCGGCCGACGAGACGCCGCGGTCGACGAAGAGCCGTCGCGGCTCTGGGCGCATTGCGGCGGGTGGAGGGTGGCGGGTGGCGGGTGGAGGGCGGGCTGCGTGCAGCGAATCGCCGGGGGGGCAAGGATCGTGTTATGTTGCGCATGCTGTGAGCCACGAGCGGCTTGGCGTGAACAAAGGGTGCGTGAGTCATGTTGCGAGCAGCGATGGAGGAGACCGAGGAGCGCGCTGGCGGTGCGTGCAAGCACTCCGTCTCCTCTCTCTGATCGGACACAAGAAAACATGGCGGCACTATGTTTCCCCCTGTGTCGGCGCCCGCGAGCAAGGGGCGGTCCGCCGCAGATCCCTGCCGGCGCTGAGTCCCGTCCCCAGCGCCGATGTGACCGCCATGCAAGTCGAGGTGCGCGGCAGAGCGCGGCGTGTCGAAGGAGCACGCGCTGACGTGCGTGGGGTGATCGGAGAGCAGCGCGCACCGGCACGGCTGTTCGCGGCGCGCCGAGCTCGAGGTTGACCAGTCCGTCAGACGAGGGCGCGAGGACGGAGCTGCCTAGGGCGGGGAGGCCTCACCTCGAGCAACATGATCAGGAACTTCGGGCGTGACGTTCATGGGAGGAATAGGAGGCGGCGGAGGAGGAGATCGAGGTGGAGGAGGAGATCGGGATGGCAGCGCGAGCCCCGCTGACGCGCGACGTGCGGCCGCGGCAACAGCACGGCGCGTCGCAACAGCATCGGACATTGTGCTCTACCCGAATACGGACGCCACCTTGTGGGCGACGGCTCGCCGCACCGTCGCCTCGTCGCCGTTCGCCGTGACGCGCGCCACCGCCGCGTCCGAGACTGGTCGTGCGGCGCGCGTCGCTGCGCTGAGCATGTTGAACCCCGTGAGCTGCTGTTGCTCTTGCCGCGGCAACAGCAGCAGCCTCTCACGGGGTTCCAGATGCTCAGCGCAGCGACGCGCGCCGCACGACCGGTGTCGGACGCGGAGGTGGCGCGCGTCGCGGCGAACGGCGACGACGTGGCGGTGGGGCGAGCCGTCGCCCGCAAGGTCACGTCCGTCTTCGGCTGGAGCGCCGTACACGACCTCAAGCACGAGGAGTCGCCGCTGCTGCCCGAGCACGCGGGGGAGGTCGTCCCCCTGCTGTTCAGGCAGCTGCGCGGCGTCGTGCACGTGCACCGCCCTGGCGGCGTGCACCTGACCTGATTTCAGGCAGACGCTCGATAATCAGGTCAGGTGCGCGCCGCCAGGGCGGCGCAGGTACACGACGCCGCGCAGCTTCCTGAAGAGCAGGGGGTCGACCTTCCCCGCGTGCTCCGGCAGCAGCGGCGGCTCCTCGCGCTTCCGGTCCGGACATGGCGCTCCACCTGAAGATGGACGTGACCTCGCGTCCCCACGGAGCTTCGGGACGACCTGCACCGCGTGCTTCTCGCTAGAGCGCTGATTTGAGCGATGGGATCGTTCAGACTCAGCCAACGCGAAGCATCCGCCCCACAGACAGATGGCTACTTGCGGAACGCTCCGCCGATATCGCCTGCCACCGCAGCTTTGATGCATCTCAATGCATCACTGAGTATACTCGATCAAGTCGTCGAGGGTGTCAAAGAGTAGTTGCAACCTCCAGTCCGCTCGGAACGCGGCCCCATCGAGCTCCGCGAACGACAAAGAGTCGGCCGGGATTCCCGCCCTTGTGGAGCGCGTTGAGGAGACATCTTGGTTCGCGACGTGCGTGCGAGACTATGAACTGCGCGCTCTGGCCAGCTGCGTGTTTCAGCGTCTCCCCAAGGATGCGGAAATCGCCGTCGAAGGCAGCACACAGCCTTGTGGGACGGGACGCGCCTGCCCCCGCCCCCGAGGCAACGCTGTGTTGCAACTGCCGGGCCAGGGTCGCCGGCTGCGCGGACCCGCCGACTCGCGGCTCCGGGCGCCCTCGCGCCCCCTTGAGCTCGCTCCTACTCCGCGCAACCTGACTCCGCCGTCCTGACGCGGTACGACCCGATGCCGGCGCTTTTGTCGCGTGATCCGGCGTTCTACGTGACTCACGCATCGTGTTGCAGTCGATCGACTGTACGAGGCACCCCTGCGAGCCCCCACGCACGCGGAAACCAGCGCAGCGCATCGTTCGCACGCTGCTGCCGACGGCACGGACGGACCGCCGCCGCGATGGAAGCCCCGCCGGTGAGGACTCGCTGATACCTACGCTGGTCGCGGACCAGCGTGCCCCGCAACGAGACGCTCGAGCGACGTGTTTGTGCGGGTCATCTCAAACCTAGGAAACATAGAGACACGCCCGTCATTCCTCGTCGCTCTCGCAGGCGCAGCTAGGTCACTTCTACGCGGTGCTCGAGGGCCCGCTGGTGCCGTACTTGGACCGCGCCTCGCGCATCCAGCTCGCAGCGACCTGCACCGCTAGCCTTGCGTGCATCATGCGCGACTCGCGGAGCACCCTGCGGCCTCTGAGCCTCTACTTGGACGACATCACCTACCTTGACTTCCTTCACGATGAGGCATCGATCAAACAGGACCTGCTGCCGCACCTGCGCGCCCTCTCGCGGGGTATTCAGCCAGGAGAGCCCAACTGCTCAGGAACACTCGACTACGAGTCGTTCGCGATCAACGCCGGCGACGTCCACGCCCTCCTCGCCGCCCTGACCGCCTCGTCGGACGAGGACCTGCTCCTGCTCGTCAGGCCTGACTCGACCGGCCGCAATCTCGTCATGCTACGCGAGATGCTGTGGCGAGCTGCGCGGGCCAGCGCGGGGCCCCTGCGCCTCCACAAGCTCGCGCTGAGGGACCTCACCGGCTGCTGGACCCCATTGCCGTGCGTGGAGAGGCTCCTGGGGCTGCCGGGGCTCGCCAACTCACTGCGCGAGCTTTACCTGGAGGGCCTTGTGTTCGCCCAAGATCGCGACGAAGATCGGGCCGAACCGCCGGACGACGGCGAGTCCGACCCCGACGGGAGTCGCACGATCGACGGCGGCTCGCTCGCGCAGCCCGGCGCGGCGTCTCTGGGGCCCGGCTTGGAGCGCAGACGCGACGCCGACGCTCTGGTGGCGCTGCTGCGGGGAGCGGAGGGCCTCACGCGCGTGACGCTGCAGCGCATGTGGCTGTCGTCCACGACATGGCGGCGCAATTTCGGCGCGCTGGCGCGGCACCGACGGCCGTTGCGCGAGTTGCACATCGAGTTTGATTCCGTCGGGGACGCCGAGGGCTTCCCGGTGGAAGAGCTGGTGGAGCTGGTGCACACGCGCCGCATCGACGAGCTGAGGCTCATCGGGGTTCACCAGGGCGCGCCAGATGCTGTGCCGCGGCTGCTGGCGCGCGGAAGCAAGGCAACGCGCATGGCGGTGCACCCTGGCTCCGAGACG